ACACTCTGAGTATTTCTCACTGAGCCATGAAGTCTTGTTAAACTGCTCTGGTGTGGAATGGCTCTGACTCACTGGCTTAGCAACAATCACACACACCACAACACTCCGTCAAACAGGGTCGTTTTTGTTTTAATTTGATATTTGATATATGATATATGATATATGGGATACAGATCCAATTTATCCCTTTTGATGCATAAACTCTAACTATATGCCAAGAAGGGTTCTCTTTTTTTTCAGCTTAAATCTCCCTGTGTGGAACCCGGACTGTCACCAAACATCACGTCTGAACTATAGAGACGTTCATACACTCACATTCTTTTAAAGCTCATGTACATTTAACAAGTATGTTCTACAAGCATTTTTAAGTTGTGTTTTACACCCCTAACTCGTGAAATATGGCCGCTTGGTCAGTGGCCCTTTATGTGCTTTACTGTGATGCTGTAAGTAACCCTCTCAAGTCATTTCTGGACACACCCTTCCAAACATAATGTTTTTATGTGCCACTGAAGTCAGCTGACGTAGTATGAAGAGCGAGAAAGTCTGCGTATAGCACAAGCGGCTGGCAAATGAAGCGAACACAGAAGTGCCACTTCAGGTTGGCTCCAAAAAGTGACGGCGGAGGCGGGACTGCCAAGGTGGCGACGTCCAGAACCGACCACACTGAGCTTCACAAGGCCTCTTCTTTTTAGCTCATCTACATCTATACAGTGAGGTCTAGTGTCCTTCGGTGGTATCTGCATTCAGCGTGTTTCTATATTCATCTATGAACTGTTCTCCTTTGATTTGTCACATTTTTGTGAGTCTATTAAAGCAAGCAACACAGGTCACACGAATCCATAAGTTAACCATTCTGTCTAATATGAAACTGAAAGTACCAAAAGCGGGAACTTACAAGTGCCATTATAAACTCATTAGGGACATGTTGGGGTTTTCCTCTCACTCTTTTGTAGCAAAATGTGTGTAGAATGGTTCAGCCCTACGTGTGTGTGTGTATGTGTGTGTGTGTGTGTGTGTGTGTGTGTGTGATCACTGACAGCCAAAATGATTAAAGATCCCCCGAACAAAACATGTATTAAGACATATACAAACACTCTGCTTGGGACAATAATGTGTGTCTGATGTGTTTTTTCCACATTAAAATCCTTAAAAAGTCATCTACTCCTTCTACCTCATTAAAACGTCCAGAGTCTCTGAATATACAAATGTTAAAATCAGATTTTCAATAAGCACAGAGAAACTTTCCACTTTCAGCAGATGAATGTGAAAACATCCTTCTAGTGTCCAACTCTGCTCAGACATCATACACAGTGAAGCTCAAATATCTGTGGGAACAAGAAGAAAAACACATTTCTGACTGGAGGGGACATTAAGTATCAGATCTCCACCCAACTTAAAAAGGGATTTTAGTGCATTAATGAACAAAGCATGCTTTAAGTCGTTTTTTGATAGACAACTTAATGCACAATGTCTTTTGTCTTCCTTTTTTAGCTTTGAAGAGCTCATGACTTCATTGTGTCCCTCTAAATTCTGAAACCAACCCTATGTCCCTGGGCCCAGTGTCTACCCAGTTCACTGCGTCACCTCCAATATAGCAAACATATGGATGAGCCATCCTTTGTTCTGATCCACTCATTGTTCACATTTGAGATCGCCACTTTGAAGAAGCCCTACAACTTTGCAGACTCTGTGATGTTCGACCTGTTGTCCTACCACCGGTCACTGGACCTTTAAACAGCTGACTGATGTTATCTGGTTACATGCAAAGCAAGCACCACCTATGCCTACAGCAGTTTATGGAGTCACACATACGCATATTAATGCTGGGATGAACTAGAGCAGAGCTTTGATTTTCAGGCCCAAAACTGATGCTATAGGCCAGGCTTGGGCCAGAATGAGATTTTCTATATACATATAGCTATATTTAATATTTTATTAATGCACACAACTATAATTATTGAGTGAATTGATCATATATTTGTTTTGATAATAATTTGTACTATATTATAAGCACACTGCAGTTTACTTTAGCTTGAAATAATCAAATCTATTGAATTTATTTATGTATTTAATTAAAGTGGATTTGGAGGGGTAAAGTGTTTGGGCTGGAGCTTTTGGGCCCGTTTGAATCTCTATGATGGAGGGATGGAAAGACGGATAGATAGATGGTTCAAGGGTTGATGGCAGTCAAAACCTCTTTTCATAGAAAGCAACAACAACATTTGTCTGGGAACATTTAAGTATAATATTAAGGTCTGTCAAATACAACAAATGCTCTCTAAAAGACAAAGCATCACAAAGCATTCGTTTAAAAAAGCATTAATCCACACAACACACCAACACTGACATTAATAATAAAACAAAGATCAATACAAGTCACACTGCAGTACATTAGGCGACCAGCTGCAGACTAGTGTGTGTGTATGTGTATGTGTGTCTGTGTATGTGTGTCTGTGTGTGTGTGTGTGTGTGTGTGTGTGTGTGTGTGTGTGTGGGGCAATGTCTTGGCAACTTTATTGCCATGTTTCACTTCCTTTGACTTTGAAACTCATGCACTGTTGACAGAAACACTGCAAGTTCTAGCTGGCGACATCCTGTCAGAAGACAGACACACGCACACACATACTGTTTGCTTTCTCCCGCTCTATCACGCACACATATACACAAAATATTAGACCTTTCATAACAAAACACCACAAGTATGCTTCCTACAGAAATATTAAGTTAAGTGTGTGTGTGTACAGACCAGAAATAAGAAGCCTCTGATGCAGAGACATTTGTTTACTTCAAACACTTTTAACATCTGCTTATAATGAATGATATTCAACAAGGCCAACCAACAAGATCCCTGACAGTGATTCATATACACAGCAGTTTTTCCTTCATGAAAAACTGACAACACACAATGCTAATGAAGTAGTCGTCAGCTGAGAATGACATCATGTCATATTCACTGGAAGGGAAATCAGTTGCTCAACACCGTCTTAGCCACTTCTCAGTGTTGGGTGTGTCATTGCTCTTGGATACCATAGGAAGTAAATAAACAACCCACCACTTTATTTTTATCTATCTATTATAATGTTGGAGGGAAAGGTGGGATCTGCCATAATCATCTTCTCTTCCACAGAAATGTTTACACAACTCATAAAGACAAAACTTCCTCGAACACTACATCACTTACTTTGTCGCTACCAAACTTCTAGTCTAGTTCACCTTGAATTGCATAATTTTCTTTACTACCAACCACTCCTTTTTTTCCACATCGCAGCTCCATGCTAACCCACAATGCCTCAATAAAGATTCACTCAGAGGGTAGGACATCTTGCACCGCATCACAGCCAGTGAGTCTAAAAAGAGCTTCAAAACTTAGGAAATAGCACTTACACCTTACTGGTGTAGCCTGGGTTAGTTTTATTCCTGCCACTATCTGCCAGTTCTCACTGGAATTGCATGTGTCATGTATCTGGCTCAAGCTGGGAGTTGTTAAATGATGCCCTGTCATGTTGTGAAATAGTTCTGTTAATGCTGAAAATGTCCATAAAAAGCAGCTTTTTTGCCACATAGCTGAATGTGCAAAATTGTTGTGGACAGGAAACCGGTATATAAAGCTGTGGCAGGGTCCGCCTCGCTGCCAGTTCCTAGTGACCAACTGTGGTACTGCAACAAAGTAATCCCTGCATCCTATAAAGCCTTTTCCTCAAAGACCACCATGACACAAGGTCAGTTACTTACCTTACTGACATCTTTTTAGCCCTTCCATACTCAAATGAATGGGGAGTATATTTCAGTGAGACTGCTCCTTTAAAAGGTCCAGTGTGTAACATTTAGGAGGATCTATCAGCAGAAATGGAATATAATATTCTAAGGTATGTTTTCATTAGTGTATAATCATCTGAAAATAATAATCGTTGTGTTTTTGATACCTTAGAATGAGCTGTTTTTATCTACAGACACAACCGGTCAGCTTCTATTTGGTCCACCGTGTTTCTACAGTAAGCCAGAATGGACAAACCAAACACTGGTTTTTGCGTTTTTCAGAGCCACCAGCCATTTTTTCTACAGGTTAGGAAGGCTGAGCTGTATTCAAATGGTTGCAATCTGCAACTTGACTAGATGACACTAAATCCTACACACTGGTCCTTTAAGTCTCCATTGTGACTGCAGTTATCATACTGAAAGCAAATACAACAACAAAAATGCAAACGACATATTTAAAGAGGGCAAAACCAAGTCATGGAAAAATTGCCTTTACTGACTACATTATTAAGCTGCAACCATTTCAAGCAACAAGCTGAGAATACCACGAAAACAGACTAAAGCATGGATGACAGATAATGCGTTCTGACTAATCTTACTATCAGGACTTACACAAAACAAGATTCTGTCCGACACACACCTAAAAAACGGTTTCAGTTTATATCAGCACTGAGGAGATCTTACAGTGCCCTCTTATTAACTAACTGTAGAAGTTTCACGTGTGTCACGGTTCCCATTGGCTAGGGTAGGCACACAGTTATCCCAGCCTGACCCTATCTGCGATATCAGTCAATTACGGATTTCCTTACTTATCAGCTAAAGAACACACTTGGTAGAAAGTAACTCACAACGTGCTACGTGTGTTTTGGGGTGATACTTAATTCGGCTAATATTCCAACACCAAAGCAGCTCACTTTAAGAATTAATTTCACTTTTTTCACCCGTTCTCGCATTTCACAACATCGTAACACCACGGGAGGCGACAGCAACACCCAGCAGGGCTGAGATTTCACTTTAAAACACCAACTTCTCTCCTTAAGGTCTCTACGTTAAGTCTTCTGTGTGTGTGCTGATAGTGGGGACACCGACAGAGTATCGTTTGCAGTCACGTTTCGACTGCACCGAAGAAAACGCTGGAAAACGGTGAAAGTGGAAGTTTTTACAGTTTTCCCTCCAGCTGCTCCAGCGGTTCCCACCCAGCAGTACATGGCAGCAGACAGTGCTGGCTATCACAAGTTAGTTACCTGTTAGGAGTGCGGCGGGCAGCAGAAGGCAGTAGAAGAGCCAGACCACCACCTGAAGATCCATGTCAGTGCTGATCGATAGTCACTAGATCAATAACTACCATCGATCAGCGCAGGAACGCTGGCTCGCCAACTTAAAACGGCTCCATCGGGGCTGATTGATTAAATGTGACAGAGGAATAGATACACCATTATTCCGATATTCGATCATGATCTCCCATCAAAAAGTTAAAAAAAAACTTGAGGAGAGTTCGAATAAAGTTTCCAGTGAGTATCGATCCCCTTTCTATGAGAGAGCAGCAGCAGTTCGACTCTGAGCGGAGCTGTCGGGGAGGAAGAAAGCGTTTGTTGCATGTGTTCCTCCGGAGGGGCCCAGTCTGAAGTAACAGTGTTGTAGGTGGAAAATGTGATTCACAGGCAAGTGAGTCTGAAGGGCGTTCATAGAGGAGCTATTCTCCACTGAGCGGCCTGCTGCTGCCGCTAACGCTGCTGGTCACCTCCCCGCTGCACACACACACACACACACTGCTCACACACATTCACTGCTCACACACTCACTGCTCACATACACTCACTGCTCACACACTCACTGCTCACACACACTCACTGCTCACTGCTCACACACTCACTGCTCACACACACTCACTGCTCACTGCTCACACACTCACTGCTCACACACTCACTGCTCACACACTCACTGCTCACACACACTCACTGCTCACTGCTCACACACACACTCACTGCTCACACACACTCACTGCTCCTTTCTCACACACTCACTGCTCACACACACTCACTGCACACACTGTTTATGACTGTTGTTCAGTTACTGCGTTGTAATGCGCTCAGCAGTGTATTCCCGCCGGTCCTTTGGGGAACTGTGTTGGCATTAAACCGGTTTGCCTGTTTAGAGGTCTGACATTTCTGACACGACCACGTCAATCACCGCTTGCGCTAGAAATAGCTCTGCTCCAACTCCAACAGGCGCTAAATTAAATGACATTGTTGTGTAAATGGCGCCCCCTAGCGCGCAAATAAACACTGTAAAATGTGGAGCCAGTGAAGGCAACACAGGTGGTTTCTTACTGGCCTGTGGGCCCTTACTGTAAAATGAAACAAAGGATATTTATGTATTATATATATTACCATGTGAAATAGTTTTATTTATTTGACTTACTATAATTGACCTACTTTATATAATTTGTGTTTATAGCATTCATTTTTGTCAGTGGAATAAAAGGGACCCCCCCCCTCCCACCCCACACACACACACACACACACGCCGTTTGGATTGTTTGTAATAAAAGACACAGATATGGAAATAAATAAATAAATAAATATTTGAATCAGATTTTATTGGCCAGGTATGTACACACAGAATAAGGATAAATAAACAGGTCAACAAGCTCAACAAAATAGACAGATATATATAAACAATCAAAACAAAAACAATAACATTTGTAGACAATGGTGCAATGGTGCCGAGTGCTGAAAGGATGCTGAAATAAATCATTTGTGCATATGACAGTATAAAACTATATAAAAAAAACTAAAATAAATAAATAAATGAAAATAAAGTAAATAACTGTAATGGTTGTACTAAAGATCTAAGTAAACAGTTATTACTGAAACAAATACAATCAAACAATAGATTAATCATTTTATAAATAATGAATCAATAATAATAAACAATAAAATAAAAATATAAGGGAACTTCAACATAATCTGGTTGTAAACGTATTAATCAATCTACCTTGTAAACTTGGTGTCGGTGTGGACGTGTGAGTGTGTGAGTTTTCCCTCTTGGACTGCTTTACTGCTTTATTTGAAGGATTTTAGAGAACCAAGGAGATGAAAGCATGCAGTGCTTTACAAGATAAGGCAAAAACAATTAGAGAAAAGTCTGAAAAAGTATACATAACAGAGTGAATTATAACACAGTCAGTGTGGGGGAACTGCCATAACTGGCTGTTTATTAGAGCATTTACTAAAACCCCAGGGATGGAAAGAAAGGAGGAGAGGACAGACAGTCATATTACGGCTGGGAAGCCAGCCACCCACTGAGAGTGCACTGGGAGTATTCTACCAATGCAGACAACAAAACAAAACACAATTCAAATAAAACACCACACTAATAAAATGTGCCACCACAACCATACCACCATCAAAAGTGGGTGAACTCCCAGTACTCCAACCACACTGTGACCAGAGGCCCCCAACAGCCGCAGCGCTAGAAACAAAAGACACACAAATAAAACCCTAAAGCACATCAAATTAACTGTACAAAGAACAATAAAAACTAAGATACCAAAACTAAGCTAAAATTTACAATGCTAAAATAATACTACATTAATAGGTACTTACCTCCTGCTGACAGTGATTCCTCTTTCAGTCTTTTTACCGACAATAAAGTTACGGCAGAGCCTTTGTAAAATTAAAATACAATACCTCAGGGTGCTTGCACCCCTACGGTACCTAAACAATAAAAGTCTTGCATTTAACAAGTATGAAGATGAATCACTTATTTCTTAAATGCCCCTTGAGCCTTGCATATTAATGATCAGTGTGTGTGTGGAGTAGGCAATAAGTGATCAAGACACTGATTACTTTCCCGAACTCTCGTTCCCTAAGCTAACAGTGTGATTTAAGCCTTAAATCCCTTACATTTTAAGGGACCCATGGTTATGTTAAGAGTTGTCTGTATATGTAGATTAAGAGATGATTAACATAGAGTACTCAAAAGTAGAAATACTCATTAGAATGGGGATATTGCTGTGTTGAGTGGGTGATTCAGTTACAGGTTCATCTGGCTACTCAAACTACTTATGGCTGGGAAGTTAAACTATATCAAAGTATCATATAATCTACTTTTATTCTTTTATCATTTGTTTCAAAAGTCAAATCTATAATGTAAAATAGTTGTTCCAGTAATTTCTTTAGTCTCTAGGAGACATTTGATTTGCACACTGTGAACATGGACACATTTGTGGTGTGAGGAAATGAATATAATAAATGTCAATAACAAAAAGACAATGGTGTCAGTGAAGAAACCTGCTGCTCTGTGCCATTGATCATCATATGTGAGGTGATGATTGTCAAACATGATTAATCATGTCCTTGGATTCTCCACAATAGATGCACATTAAACCACAGATCCCCAATTTGAGTGAATTTTGTCTTAAGACCCCAGAGTATTTTTTTTAGGTTTAAGAGATAGTAAAGACTTTATACTTGGTCAAAGATCAAACTAGGATCACTGTAAATTACAATCAGTCAAAACAGCCAACCCCATGTATTCCCTTGTTCTTCCAACTTCCAAAAAATGTGAGAAAAGTTCAAATATTCTCTTCCTCCTTTTGCTGGGGACTCCCTGCAACCCACTCGGACCCATGTTGGTTTAAGTGGGTGAGTTATGAAGCCATGAATGAATTTATGAAATTATTTATATGCATACATTAACAAAATAGTTCACAAACACACAGAAGCAGATCTCAGCAAAACAAATAGACTTACCTCAGAGTATCTTATTATTATTATTACATAATAAATGATTATTATTATTTATATTTTTTATTTCTTTTTAAATGTACTTATTTCTTTTTCTTTCTTGTGTCATATAAGCATGCATGTATGAATGTAGGAGTGCCCATATGTGCGTATGGGTATCCATGTGTGCATCAATTGACGAATATTGCCGGTTGTTTAAATTTTAAAACTAACAATTGCACAAACAAGTAAATATACTGAATATTGTGTTGAAACATAAAATGATTGCAATAAAAGTCTTACTTTTTTAAGGATACATGTTGGATGAGAAGGATGGGTCAGTGTCGCCATACAAACGTGTTTTAGAAAAAAACGAATCAATCAATCAAAGAAATAATCAAAACAACAACAGGACAGATAGTTCCTGCAATATAACACGACGTCAACACAACAAAAAACAAATTAAGATTTAAAACAAGTGTGGCTTTAATAACTGCGCCATTCATCAAAAATTTAAATTTTTTAAATTAACAACAGCACAATATAGAAACATTCTGGAAAACAATGCAGCACATATTACACATATTATATGTTATTAATATATTATATATTACTTGAATACAATGAAAACATTAAAAGAGTATTACATAAAATGAAAAGATAGAAAGCGTACACACACATGCATACACCATTAATCAAAATGTCCCATCCCTCTTTAACTAGCCTACGATGTCACCTGACCCGGGGGCGTGGCTTTGCTCAATTCGCGCGAAACTTCTTTTCTTCTTCCTGTGAAGTGTGAACGTTTCCGGAGAGCCATTGTTGATGGACACTATTTATATCTGTGTCGAGTTCGTTTCATAGTAGAACCGTGCATTTTTTTCACTTTGCGGTTCCTGTGTGTTCCTCAGGCAGCAGCAACATGGCTCAGGCTCGAGTGACCGACTTCTTTTCCCAGAGAAAGAAGGGCATCGCCGCTCCGGTGAAAGCAGCCAGGCAGCGCAGCCGTGGCTCTTCGTCTAACGTTGCCAGCACACGGTCAAGATCTTCCAAAAGCAAAGACGTTTTCCTTCGTTCGTCCTCCATCCATGAGGAGTTTGTCCGAGTTATCGACGAGGCAGCGGGGCTAAACGAGAGAGAGGATACCGGCGACACCGCGAAAGACTCCCCCTCCAGTCCCCGGACACCAAAGCGGACCTCGGCTGAAGCGGAGTTTGACCTCGGGGCAGCAGTGTTTTCAGCCACCGCCGACCACAGCACGGCCAAGAAGAGACGGCAAGTGGAGGCTGTTAGAGAAGCTAAAGCTAACGTCCCGGAGAAAGTAACGAGGAGGAAGGCCAGGAAGAAACTGGTTCTCCCTCAAGACTCACCACAGGTAATTTCATTCTGACCGACTCCTCCTTCTATGAGGGAATTTGTGTTAGCTCCAGGTTGTTTTTAAAGGCTTGTCTTCATTATTCAACCCAAACAAAGATGGCAACTAGAAAAGTTTGCTTATTTTTCAGTCTGCGAAACTCAAAGTTGCAGTAGGTCATTTTAATTTAAATGCCTTTTTTTTTTTTTTTAAAGATCCATACTGCAGCTTTAATTACATATATACAGTCACATTGCACGCGTGTACCTTACCACTCAATGACAGCGAACACTGAGATTACTTTGTTGCTGTGTATGTCCAGGCTGCAGTCCAACCCCCGCCCAGTGAGGTGACTCCACAGCCCGCAGCTCCAGCAGCAGCAGCTCCAGCAGCAGCTCCAGCATCGCCTCCACAGAGGGGTCAAGTCATCAGCAAGAGCACCGGAGGACAGGCCAGCAAGGTAACGCAGTGTGTCTTTACTGGGAGAAGTACATGCTTCCCATGAGTGCCTAAATTGTGACAAAGTGAAGTTAGTGTACCAAAAGCCTAAAAAGTTTGAGTAAAGGATTGGGTCAGTGTAGAGGGGTGAGCGCTACCTTAGTTGTACCTATCTATGATGAGTTTGTGCACGCACTGTAATGGTTGTGGTGCACAGCCTCTAGTTTGCTACAGAGCTAGATTCATACAGGTGCTGTTGCAAAACACAAGTTGTTGTGAAAAGTTAATATTTTGATGCTGATTTAGTGTATCAAAGGTCCAGTGTGTAACATTGAGGAGGATCTCTCGTCAGAAATGCAATATAATACTCATAGGTATGTTTTCATTAATGTATAATCACCTGAATATAAGAATTGTTGTGTTTTGTTACCTTAGAATGAGCTGTTTATATCTACAGAGTCTGCCACGTTGAACCACTGAGTTTCTACAGTAGCCCAGAATGGACAAACCAAATACAGGCTTTAGATTGGGCATTTCAAAAGCATTATCGCTATTGTTTTGAAATGGTGCATTTTTGGGGAATTAATCCATATCATTTAGCCTTTTAGTATTTGTGGCAGCAGGACAGGTGCATGGAATTGAGTTCATGTTGATAAAAGAGCACGTCAGCCAGTGCAACAGTGTGGTTCATGATGTGTTTTTAATAGGTTTTGGACAACAATAGAGCCCGGTGACACATAGGAACAACATATACCAGGTTTAATACATTTAATAATTAGAATATTGTCCCACTTATCCTTTAAACAAAATTCTTATCCACTGTCTTTCAGGCTCTGTGTAAAGAAGACATAGCAACACTCAAGTCTCGGCTTCAGAGGATCAAGAAACTCGGAGTGGAAATAACCAGCACTGCCTCCTCTGCTTCCTTTTCCACACTGACATCTTCTGCCTCTCCAGCTGGTGCAGCACCGAAAGACACGTCCCCTCAGGTCTCAAACACTGCCACGCCGCACGCCTCTGATGCTAAAGCCCTCAAGTCCACTGTAGCACGGTCCAAAGAGCTTGCAGCTAAAGCCCAGAGGAGGAAGGAGGAGAGAGAGGCTAAGGAGAGCAAGCAGAGCGAGACCCAAACCCAGGACAGGTGAGCATGGAAAAACCGTCATACAACACCAGTTTTGCATTTTCATCAACACGTGCTCCTCTAAGTCCAAATCAGGAGTTAAAGTGTCCTCTCTTGTCCCTCAGCACTGAGCAGCCAGCATACCAGCGGTACCACACCCTCGCCCAGGCAGCCCCTCCTGGCCTCTCCCTGCCTTACCAGTACAAGGTGCTAGCTGAGATGTTCAGGAGTATGGACACGGTGGTCGCAATGCTGTACAACCGCTGTGAGACGACAACCTTCGCCAAGCTCAAACAGGGAGTCCAGGACATGATGCACAAGTAGGTGGACGGATGGAGAGTGGGTCTGGTTGGGCTTTTCATGTTTAAATGTGACTATGGTTAAAAAAAACCAAAGGGTTTGTAAATCGTAAATCTGGACATCGAAAGAGTTTTTTTTTTTCTTCAATTTCTTGGGAGTGATACAGATCATGAACCCTTGAAACATGACACGAATCATATCTAAACTGTCTAAATCCATTGCAGTACTGCACAAAATCAAAATCTGAGTTGGGCATCTTGAGTCAAAACTCACGTTGATGTTTGCCTCTTTTCATCCACCTTGCAGGCGCTTTGAGGAGAGCCACTTGGGTCAGATAAAGGCGGTGTTTCCTGAGGCCTACACATTCAGACAGGAGAAGAACATCCCCACCTTCAACAGCAGCATTAAGAAGGGCAGCTACCAGCTCACCGTCGAGCCCGTCATTCTCTCTGGTTAGAACATTGTCTCAGTCTTTAAAGACAAATTGCTTCTGCTCAAAATTTAACCTTTACAGTAATGGAAAGATGGGGCGCGCATGGTTGCGCGTCTTCCCTCCATTCCTTATTTAATCTCATCGTACATGTGTACAGTGACAATAAAGGCATTCTATTCTAATCTAATCTAATCCACAAAATGTCTCTAAATGGGATGTATGTAAACTGTGGGTGTAGTTTCAGGTCCCTGTTTTACAGTAATAATGTCATCATTTATTTACATATGTGTGTTTGGTTGTCCCCTTCAGACCAGAATGAAGCACGTCCCGTCCTGTCAGCCTCTCGTCTCCTGGAGAGAAGACAAATCTTCCATCTGAACCTGGTCTCCATCGTCAAACAACACCACAAGGTCAGCTGCTGCTCCCAACACAGCTCCCATTTGGTTTCACATAATGAGGGTCACAACTGGGCTCAGGCACTCAATGGGGAGAACATGGTTCTGTCAAAGGTTTTAAACTAGTTCTAAAACCTACCTCTCTGTCCTGCAGGTCTTCCTGTCCACGTTGGCTCCTCCAGTGTCTGTCCCAGAAGACAAACTGACCCGCTGGCACCCTCGCTTTAACGTGGACACTGTGCCGGCCATCCAGGCTAGCTCGCTGCCCCAGCCTCCTCACACAGAGAAACTGGCCACGGCTCAGGAGGTGCTGGACAGGGCCCGCTCACTCATCACACCTAAGGTACCAAATTGTCAAATGTCTCTCAAAATATCATCAGTTTGTTGTATTTTAGATGAATATTGTACAATCAAAGGATAATTAACCTGAAAAGTCATGCTTAATCATATGCCTGCTGTATTCAGTATAGTAATCCTGTATATTGTCCTGTGCTCAGATGGAGAAGGCTCTGGTGTCTCTGGCTCTGAAGACAGAAGATAAAGCTGCAGAGAGCAACGAGCTGACAACTCCACAGAACTCAACAGTCCCGCAAATGTCAGCTGCCCCTGCGGCTCAGGTCCCAACCGCCCTGAAAGGAGTGTCCCAGTCCCTGCTGGACAGGGTAGGTACACCAGGAGGAGGGGAGGGGAGGGGAGGGGAGGGGTGGGTGGTTGGGTGGTTGGTTGGTTGGTTGGTTGGTGGTATAGACTTGACTGTGCTTTATGGGTATGTTTGCATGGTTGAATTTAAGGGCTGTATGCTGCTATTGGTGATGATTAATTGGGATATTGTGTTAATAATCCAGCATATTTTAAATAATTTCAGTGTCTTTCTGTTGTTGCTATGTGGTTCACACTCACAGAACACAAAAGAAAACAATTATTTTGACCTATTGCTTTTTTTTCTAAAATGTTCATAGATATTATTGTTATTGAGTAATATTGTTATCATGAATTGTTTTTAGAGAACCACGTTGTGATTTATTGTGCTGTTTTGTGTGGTTTGTCAGATTCGGGCGAAGGAAGCCCAGAAACTCCAGGCAGCCATGACACGAAACCCCGTCCACGAGGATCGCCTGCTGATGATGTCACGGCTTCCCGAGCTGGCCAGGATTCTCCGGAACGTTTTTGTTGCAGAGAAGAAGCCGGCTCTAATAATGGAGGTGGCCTGTAACAGGATGGTGGCCAGCTACAGATCTGCTCTCAGCACAGGTTGGTTCAAACAGCAGCACCACCAGCCTCCATCCAATGGCTTCTGAATTGTTTTTAACTGCTAGAATTCTAGTTAGGCAAATAGAAACAGTTGAAGCATGCAGCATTTTACTAGGGGTGTGAGAAAGTATTTTCACTTGAGTATTGCAGTATTATATTTTGTGATAGTTTGACCTCCACTCTAACGTAGCAACATAAACTGAGACAGGAAGAAGTAAACGCGTATATATTTTCTGGGCTGAAAAGCAGTGCCATGTTGGGTATTGCAGAGACAAATAGAGGTAAATACAAATGCAGATCCTACTGTTCTGGTTGCAAAAACTTATTTTTCTTAATACTTTTTAAAAATCACAACCTATTGCCTTTCTTAGAGTATCGCAATATATTGACTCAGTGGATCCCAACCTGGAGGTCGCCAAAGCTTCACAGGGGGTTGCAAGGGCTTCTTTATTTTAAGGGGTGTAAGAAAACTTAGATATACACAGTAGGCCTATATCTCAAGATTCTGTTCATGAAGAAAACTAAATTAAATTGTTGTTTAGTAGACCTGAACACAAGAGATATTCATAGAGCCTTCACTCTCTGATAAACAACATCATTAGCATAAAAAAAACACAGAGCTAACAGAACAATGGCCACAGAGACAGAGAATTGTAAAGAAAAAAAAGTAAAATCAATATTTACCGTTCATTTTACACAAACGTCCTGCAGTTATTGTTTTCACTGTTTGGGTTCATTGTTCAGTTTATCAGTTCTCTACTGTTACTGTTATACATTGAACATAATAGGAAATATCCATAAAATATGTCACTTAACTCAGTAATAGAAAATCAGCCCCCTGAGGAAACCGGTTGGGAGCTACTACTGAATCATAACCCCTGTAAAGTGATGCGTATCATGTCGTAAGATTATTGCCAGTTCACTATCACAGGGCTGTTGCTGTCTTCTAACATTGTTACGTGAACCGAGAACTGTTGCGTGACTGGTTGTCCCTCCCCTCCGTGAACAGGTGAAATGGAGAAACACATCCGTCTGCTGGCAGAAGTGGCTGCCGATTGGCTGACTGTTCATCCAATCAGAAAGGACTTCTACCTGAAGCTGAACAAGAACATGGAACTCAACATGGTCGTGGACAAACTGAGCAGCAGACTGAGAGAGGAGGAGAGACTCTGAAAGACGTTAATGACTGAGAGACACCATTCTCAGGTCCCTGCTGGCCGAGCTGCTGGCCGACTGAAGGCTGCTTGCTTATGAGTGCCATATTTTGAAGTGAATTCCACTGGTTTGTTGGCAGCAGGCACAGTGCACTCTAGGCTGTCGGTGTGGAAACGGTCACCGATTGATGTAGGCACAGCTTCAGGACACCGGGGTGTCTCAGATCCCTGAGGGCCACATGGGACTAAGCAGAGCCAGTCCTGGTATTCCTACCACCCTGTGTTGTAAACCGGTTACGGTAATGTTTTGTTTTTTGTAGCATTGATGTGTACAGTTCTGCCTCCAGTCTTTTTATGGATCGGGTTTCTACAATGTAGAACTGATGAATGTTTACATTTTTAAAGGTCACTGTTTGATAATGTTTCAGAAATACAATCATTTGTCAGAGCCCCACTGCCTCCAGTTATTTTTCTTTTCAATACAATTCACTAAATAGAACAGTCATTAACAAGGGCAATGACTGCATTAATCATCTGAAAGGGACATGGAAGCTGATTCTGTCAAGATTACATGAGAGAAAAGGTTGCCATGAATCTGCAAAGTACTTTAAAGTGCTGGAGTTTAGCCTGCAGGAGTCTAGCCTTATGTGCTCAACATTCAACTATGATATACCATTGTGTGTGGAGCACTGGGCCAAGCCTGATACACTGCTCATTCTCCCCATGGGTTTTCATGTATGGTTGGAAACCAGTTTTCTTCTATATGCAAACTGTTGTGGTAACTATTGATGAGAAAAGAAGGTGCAACAAGGCCAGCATTCGATAGCAATAGCTGAACATTCTGTACACAATTTCTCAAAATGACATTTTGTCACATTCACTCAAACCCCCCCCAAAAAAACAAAAGTTCAGATTTTATTTGTTGGGCCCAAAAACGGTTTCTACTGATGCAAATTAGCACACATTTAATGAGACGGCATCTCATTTTCAGAATTTAATTATTTACAAAAGATAGTCACACTGCAATTCTTGAACTGTTCTAGGCTGTTGCCTAGTAGTGATCCGATATGTTTTACATTTTTTTTATATAATATTCATATTTGCCAATCATTTTCAATGTTGGTATCGGTATTGAAACAATTATAATATAGAGAACCATTTCCAACTGCAACAGGATGAGTCTGAGTGTCATTTCCTGCATAGATTTATTATATGAACATGTGGTTCAAACACAGAATTTGAGGCAGTAAGGACAACGGTGCTGAAAATCACAATGCAAACGTGCATTAGAGAGAAGAACAGAGGTTACAGGTAGACCAGTGGTTCCCAACCTGGGGTCCGCGCCCCCCCTATGGGGTTAGGGTTAGATCGCGGGGGGTAAGCACAACTTTGTCTGCTGAGGTTGTGAGGTTACCAAAATTATTTACAAAAATTAAATTTATAAAATCCCAATAACACACCCAATTGGATAATCAAAACTCTGTATAATCCAAAGTGAAACATTTTTGGTCCACATTTAAATTCATTAAGCTATTTATTACCTATTTAGTGCGTGTATGCAGGTAGGGGTTGGGGGGGCCTGACTTGTCTTGGACACAGGCAAGGGGGGCTTCGAGGAAAAAAGGTTGGGAACCACTGAGGTTGACCATAACAGTATGGCTTTAAATACAACACTCCAGATGAAATACCACTTTGGTCGTAACCAAAAAAACAACCCAGAGCGTCAACTTATTTGATCGTTATTTGGCCTTAAAGCACCTACAAGATTTTATTGTTTTTGTGTTGATTCTGATGCCCCCTGTGGACAAAAGTGGTAGTGTTCCTACCACCTTGTTTCATTGATTTCAAGGGGAATCCAACCCGGTGGCAGACATTAAGAATAACTATATAGAAATGGCCAGTCTTCTCACTGATGGTTTGTTTATGTAGGTCACATAAAGGCATCAGTAATAAGATTATTTCATAAGCAGTAGAAGGTATAACTATAGTTTGGCTTTTTACTGCTATTTTTCCCACCAGCTGTATGTTAAAAAAATAACAATAGTGGAAGCAGATTCACAGCCATGTTTGGATATCTCGCATACTTTGTGTACAAATGTTAAGACTTTAACACCCTCTGAATCCACAAATTTTTTTTTTTTAATGAACTGTACAACTAGGCTACAGTTAACCGTTTTATCAAATGTTCATGTATTTTACTGTTTATTAGCCAGCAGCATGTGCTACTGCTAGACAGATGCTAATTTGTTAGTTAGAGCCATCCAGTCCCAGAAACCTTCCTATTCTTTAAAGTTAAACTAATCTGTTGAAAGAATAGGAATGTGTAAGCTATTAAATATACAGATTTACATATGGACATTCTAATAAAAATAAAAAAATCCCCCCCCCCCCACAGTTCTGCTGTAAAGTGTTAATATGGGGCCTTATGGAGATTGACTCACTCCTCGAGCCAGCCTCAAGTGGCTGTTTGAGGAAGTGCAGTTTTGTGTTACTTGGTTGTTACTTGGCTGGGTTGTGTTGGCTTAATTTGCCAGCCACAGAGGTTGCTGCTTGATTATAAGCCCAAAGCATGCTGGGTAAGGCTCCAGTCCTTTCAAACAGAGCATTAAGAGATTACTTTATAAATGATTTATGTATATTTTACATATATATATATGATTGAAATGACAAAAACAAAAAAAAGGACGCAAGCTGCAGAGGCTTCTTGTTCGGTGGTGGTCACTTGGGAAGCCCCTGACTGTGAACATTGGTTTTACAGTGGACCTCAGTACTGAACCAGGGAGAACAGACTGTGTGGTTTCAGTTTGTCGATGCCGTTCAGCTCTTTGAGCTCGATGACCACCATGCAACCCAGAACCTCGGCCTGCTGCTTCCTCATCAGCTCACAGGCTGCATGCAGAGTCCCTGCAACACACACATATCAGAATGTCACCTTGGAAATGTTATTCCTTGGGCCACAATCTTGTATTTTAATGACTTGACATGACCTGACAACGCTCTGAGGACCTTTTCTCTCCTCTTTGTCTGCCTCCTCATCTGCAGCTAAAAGCTCTTTCCTTTAATCCAAAATTCAATCTTCTGTCTCCAACCCCAAAAACTCCATCCATCCATCCATCCATCCTCCTCCACCCCCCATGTCCTTCTTCCCTTCTACCGAGCAACTTTTATTTTGTTAGAAAAGGTAGTGATATGCGCTCATTTCCAAACCTGTCCTATATCCATCTCTACAAATTTTAACGTCCTTTTCACCTCTCTCTCCCAATGACTTAACACTGGTTATCCTCCTACACCTCCAACCACCTGCCCTCTTGACCCTATCCCCTCTGACCATCTTCAGTCTATTGCTCCAGACCTCCTTCCTTTCTTCATCAATACTTCTAACACTCTAAAAGTAGCTGGAGTGAACCCTCTCTTAAAGAAACCCAAGCGCAACTCTTCTGATTCTAACCCTAACCCTGCCTCTCTTCTTTCATTTCTTTCTTAAACACTTGAGCATGCAATCTTCACTAAACCTTCTGCATATCTCCACCAGAGAAACCTTCTTGGGGGACCAGTCAACAGAGACTGCCCTCTCCTCCCGTTGTAATCCTGCTGGACCTTTCAGTAGCATTTCACATGGTGAACCACCATATACTTGTTTTCATCCCCCAAGAACCGTGAGTCACATTCTACCCCGAGGACTAACCAAACTAAAGGTAACTTGTGTCTGAAGCTTGTAGCCTCACTACTGACGTCCCTTAGGGTTCTGTTTTGGGTCCCCTTCTCTTTACACCAAGTCTCTATTGTTCACTCACATGGCTTTTCCTGCCACAGCTATGCAGATGACAAACAACTAATTCTGTCTTTATCCAGATCTAAAATCCAGGTAGCAGACATCTCTCAGTGGAGACTTTCTCTCTTTGAACAATTGTGAAAAATATTCCCATTTATAATATCCCCAGTTTCATCTAAATCAAATACTCTCATTTCAAAATACAATTAATACACTTAAGGATATTTAATCTGAGATTTAATTTAGAGGTTGAACTCGCATCAAGCCTTTAGCTGTGGCAAATAAAGTGACTTCAGAAATTAATGTTATGCTGTCTTATTAACTGACTGCCAATGTGAATACATAATGTCCGCATGATTCACTTATTGAAACTGAAGCAGAAGTTTCAGCAAAGAGAAGTATTATTATAATATTACATAAAATCTATTTTTGCTTGCTTTTTATGTTTATGTGGAACAGATGTTCCCTAGTCACACTGAATCCAATGAACATGATGGTTATAGAGCTGATCTAACCTCCAGTCGCTAGAAGGTCATCAATCAGCAGAATCTTCTGTCCTGGAGCCACCGCATCTTCCTGAATTTCTGCCTCTGCCTGTAGGTACAGAAGCAAAACTCTTACTGTTCATTAGACAGACGGTGATGAAACATGGTGACAGCATCATGCTGAGGGAATGCTTCACAAGACTGAGGTAGCAATGAAAGGAGACAAATACAGAAAGATCCTTGAGAAAAGAACATGACCTTTGAAAAGAGCAAAGATTAAATTCCACCCGGAAGCACGGAACAATACTCAAACACACACACTGGTGGATTTTCTGCATGAAGTGAGGTCTTTCAATCTAAACCTTGATACCACCTCAGTCAAGACCGAGGCTAAGTTGGTATTCATTGTGTTGGTGGTCGTGCTGATGGTTTGTCTCTAGAAATTACGTAAATTGTTTCCATAATGACGTTGTGGTGACAACATAATACCTGCCTGGATTATGTTCAAAGACAATGTCTGTTTAACGGGAATCAAACACTATATTTATGTAACATGGTGCCAAGGAGGTGGCTGGACTGGAGGCCAGGCGTACAAAGTGAATGACTGTGTCACCACAGTCCAGGCTTTGCGTCCAGACTTTGGTTAAGGTTAGGGAAAGATTATGATTTCGATTGAATGTTTATGAAAAAAATCGTATGCCTAACGTGACTGCTGAAGTGTATTATCTTGTATACTGACAGTATTGGAAGATTGCCTATTTTGGCAGGAAACAAATTAAATATGTTGTCAGTGAACATTTTACTGATACGTACAGTATCTACATTTGCGACTGGCTCATTATGTTATTAGAAAATATAATTTGGTATGCATCCTTTTCCTCAAAACATATTTGCTGTTACAAATTAGTAGTATATAATTATCATGTCTAAGAGATGGTTTATTGCAAGGTAGTAATTGTTCCAAAATTATTTGGTCTACAAAATGTCAGAAAATTGTGAAAAATATCCATTCCAGTTTCTCAAAGGTGATGTCTGTAAATTGTTTGGTTAATCTAAAACCCAAAGATATTCAGTTGAATATGAGATCTCTTTATTTGAGAGGCTGAAACAGCATTTTCTGGCATTTTATTTTAACAATTATTTTTCTGTCAATCGACTAATTGATTAGTTGACTAATCTTTACAGCTGTAACGCACTGCGTGTTTTTATCAGTTTGTATGCTGTATGTTACAGGTGGAACAGTGAGGAAGCTGTCATTTAAAGTAACAGCTGGAACAGCTGTGAAACTGATACTGTGATGGTGCAGCTGTCATAAATGGGCCCACGGGGGGATACATGTACACTGACACTGACACTGATACACATGATCAGTCTGGTCTAATGTCAGTCTTGCAAAGCCCTGCTGAAGGCTTCAGAAGGTGACCAAAGAGATCAAGTTCCACACAATCTCCTTACTGGTCAGCCAGTATTCCTCTGTGACTCCAACAACAGATCAGGCCAGAAGATTGGTCTAGCACGTTCATAACAATATGTTGGGAAACAGGAGAGGAACATTTTAAATAGTTCTATCGATCTGTCTATTTGCTAATATGCTGTCTTATGTACTTAATGCACATGTGTAGAAATGTATGTAAATTAAACATTTCTATCAATTAATACATCAATCTTTGAATTTCTGTACTCCTCAATTACAATACTATCTACAGTGTAAACTGAATCTAACTACAAGGCTAACAAATACAGAGTAAAGGTTTGTGGTCTGTACCTTCCCATACTCCAGATCATATGACACAGACACAGTGGTTCCAGGCAGCTTGCCTTTCTTTCTGATCATGACAAAGCCGACACCCAGCCGCTGGGCGAGCAGAGGCCCAAACAGGAAGCCACGAGCATCTAAACCTGTACACAAACAACATAAAGAGGTAGCCAATTATACATTAGAAAGACACATTATGGCAAGATCTAGATAAGTAGTCTAAATAATGAATTTACATGAGAACATCAGATTTCAGAGAATTTGAAGGCTGCTTTCCCAACAGAATGTTGTATCTTCCCTAACTTGAACCTTTCAATAACCTTAGACTCAACAATCAACTGTCTCCCTCAGCTCTGATTGGTTGTTTTCATTCAGGCCCGGTGGATTCTTGCAAATGTCATTAGGAGCACTAGGAGGAGCCAGAGGAAGCTGATTGTTTCACAGATTATCTGTCTCATGTTCTACTGTCAGGATATAGTGAAGGTTTCAACAACTTTGACGAAAAGTTATCTTCATAAAAATTACCTACTGCAGCTTTAAATAGTGTAAGTATTGAGAGGAGCACTGGTTTACAACAAAATGTGCTTTGCTTTGCTTTCTTACCTATGATCAGATCAACCTGTGGGTGATTCTTCCTCACATGTTCTTCGAACAGGTCTATTACTGCTGTCAGAGCGGCTGGATCCTTCAGAATGGGACAGATATCTCTGCAGGATACACACAGTGTGTTAGTATGCCCTCATTTAAAATCGATATCATTATGAATCACCTTTATTTTGTGAGAAGACACTTCCTGTGGTGAGAATTGAGTTGTTTATGGACTTTAGCTTCATATATATCTGATATATTCTTCCACTAGTTTTAGTATGGCTCTGCACCGAAATGGATGAATCATCATTCTCTGGGCTGCCCCTTCACTGCTCTGGAAATACCACACTTCCTTTAAACTTGGCCCTAAAATCATTTTTGAATAAATGGTTGAGTAATAGTGCTCCTTGCTTCACTAGAAGTTTGCAGAAGTGTGGACAAAAAAGACTAAAATCAAAGTCCTGCAACTCGACTTTACTACCAATGGCTTCACTTCACTATTAAATTAGTTATGAAAAGGAGATCACATAGAAGAAATGTGTGTGATTTAGTTAAAGAGATACAGTAGTTTGGGGGAAATTTACTGTCAGAAAGTCAGAGATTCAGACACCAATACATGTCTCAGGACAGACCTTTTTCATGTATTTGGTGTCTGAAGTTATGTCAAACAGCAATATCAGCCTATCTTGGCTCAACTGTTGAGTTAACTTTCGAGTCAGACTTTGATAACCCCTGCTCTAGCGAACTGATCCCACCTTGAACTCTGACCTGCAAAATAATTATCTTTGTCTCCAATGTGCAGCCAATTTGACACTTTGAGAAGGTGGGACTGAGCTCTGCTTCAGGAAGCAGTACTAGTTGTTAATTATCTTGTTCAACTGCATGGTGAAATAATCAGTGAGAACTATACCATGGCTTAAGATAACTTTACAGTGTAATATGACTTCCTGGCAGCTTGTGGGTCACTTCACCATGACCCGAACTGGGTCCGACTAAATGTTTATTTTTTAAATCACTGATATAACTGATGTACTGTATGTTCTGTTCAGGTGAATATTTATTGGTTAAGATGAGAAGGGGGAACCAAAGCGGTCATTCATCTCCCCTTAGGTGCTAACTGACTGAGGCCAGCATTTATTTACAGGTAGTACAGACAGGTAAAACTACTGTAACATTACAAACACTGTCCATTATTACAGACATGTAATGGTTAACGGGTACAGAAAGACAGGTGTTACATAACTTTATAAGCCACCACTTTACAATGTGAACTATGACTTTTTGACGAGACCAAAGTCCCTACTTCTGCACCAGTGACCCATGTGTTATTTGTTTCCAGGGCAACAGGGGCCAGACACGTGTGATAAGACGTGTATCCGCTGTGACCAGCACGAGCCTTCACCTGCTGTGTGTGGGGCTGTAGTCTACCTCCTCACGCGCACAATAAAACCGGTGGCACGCGGGTTAAAAGGTGGTAACCAGTATCTTACCTAAACAGAATTCCTTTCTTCGGAAAGTCTGGAAAAGCTCGGATGTGTCTGTGGACCAGCTGGAGCTTTGACTCGGTGTCGGCTGCCATTCTAACCAAATCACCGTCGCTGCTCTCCCTCCGCCGTCGCTGCTCTCCCTCCGCCGTCGCTGCTTCCTGTACTTTCTTCCTGTGGTGGTTTGCAGCCCTCTCAGTGTAAACGCAGTGCTGCCGCCCTCTGTTCACAGCCCTGCAGTGCTGCTTCAAGTCTGACCAACTCCTCTCCGACCATAGACACACTTCTGTTTTGTAAAAAGGCTATAAAGCCTCCAGCATTTATCAAAAAGTAGTGGTTAAGGCCCCCTAGATAGTATTAGTTTTGCAGGATGTCTTTAAATGCAACAATGCTATGGGAAACAACTACATTTTCTTACTTTAATTAAAGCAATACTTATTACAGTTCCACCATGTGTGAGGCCGCTACCAGATGAGATGATGATTGTATGCTCGCTTTGATCTCCTCTACAGAATCAGCTGTAAAGTCATTGTGAATGACAATAAAATAATCTTGAATCCTTAAATTTGTATTTAAAATCTAAATATTACATTAAATTCAATAACATGTCCAAAAATGTCCATTTTTGTGAGCTAGATGCTAAAAGGGAAGCTAGCTAGCTAAATTTCAGGAGCAACGCTTTGTGGCAGACGCAGACAGAAGGTCAACACTAACTATACATTATTATAAATGCTATTTTATAATAATACACATAATAATAATAACAAGAGACTATTTTTAATAAGATTATTATTATTATTAGCATTAGCATTAGCATTAGCATTTTCCTGCATCTCCCCTAGAGTTTTCTCCCCCCTTGTACTGACTGGCGGCTGTATGTTTATTAACTGCAGTGAGGACCAGTGGTGGAATATACATTTCTCAAGTACTATACTTAAGTACAAATTTGAAGTTCTTGTTGTAGTCTTTTTTTTCATGCTACTTTCTACTTCTACTCCATTACTTCTCAGAGGGAAATATTGTCCTTTTTAATTAAATACATTTGTCTGACAGATTGAGTTACTTTACAAGTGAAGATGTTTGCACACAAAACATATGAAGAGCTTATAATATATGTTTTGTTATAAACATATAGACCCAACAAGTGTATATATATATATATACAAATAGAGCTGAACATGTAGTCAATTAACTAATTAGCTGATTGGCAGAATTAATTAGCAACTGTTTTTATAATTGTTGTAAAGGATCTGAATACTTCCTACCCCACTGATTAGGGTTAGCCTGATGAAGCAAATATTCACCTAAACCCATAAAGACAAAGATGACTTCCTCTCAGCCTAAATCAGTGGTTACTAACCTTTTTGCATAAGGGCCCCCTTTTCTATCATTGAACGGACATATTTGACAGATATTTCATATTAGAACTGATAAACTGTACAATGAACCCAAACAGTGAACACAATAACTGCAGGACATTTATGTAAAACCAGAGATTTGGATGAATTTTGAGCAAGTTATTTTCCTGTGAAAATTCCCTGTGTAATTGTATTCTCACGCTGTAATTTTTCTTACTTACTTTTAACAATGAGACCTACTTAATAGGCTTCTTTTTGACAAATTCAGTGTTTTCTTCTTATTGTTTTTATCAGCTCTTTAGTTGTTTGAACTTTTCTAATGCAGGACGAGGCTGTTTATCAGAGAGTAAAGGCTCTGTGAATATAGCTTGTAATTGTTGCTGTAATTGTTGAAATAAAACAATAAAGTGATTTTACAGTATATGTCGTCTAGTAGCATATTTTAGGTGTATTAATAAGAAATCATCATGTAAACATTTAAAGGCTCTATGGACTGGTTGCACAGCAGACACTTTAAATTGCCAAAGCCAAAGGCTTAATAACAGTAGGGATGGCTCAGTTCCGTTAAGTGTTCCAGTAACAGTTACAGTAAACCAGCAAGTACCCAAACTGGAATGCAGCTATCATTAACACACCTGTGGGCTTCCTGCTATGACATGCATCTCTGCCCCGTGTCACCAGGGGAGCTGCCCAAAATCATGACAGGCATGAAAACCACTACATGTGTCCTGGATCCTATCCCATCTCACCTCATCAAGGACTCTTTACCAGCCATCTCCACACTCATCACAGAAATCATCAACTCCTCTCTCAAGTCCGGCTCAGTCCCCCGCTCACTCAAATTGGCTGCTGTCACCCCCATCCTCAAAAAACCTGGACTCAACCCTGACATCATGTCTAACTTTCGGCCCATCTCCAATCTTCCTTTCTGTCCAAAATACTGGAACGTATTGTCGCCACACAACTCAAAACCCACCTCTGCTCAAATGAACTGTTCGAACCATTTCAATCCGGTTTTCGCTCCCAACACAGCACCGAAACAGCCCTCCTGAAAGTCACCAACGACATCCTCCTCTCCGCTGACTCCGGCCACCTCACCATCCTTATCCTCCTGGACCTCACTGCAGCCTTTGACACCATCAACCATACCATTCTCCTCTCCCGTCTTGAGTCCTCTCTCAGCATCACTGGCACTGCACTTTCCTGGCTAAAATCTTACCTCACAGACCGACAACAATTCATCCATGTCAACAACTGCACCTCCTCCACTGCTCCCCTGTCCCAAGGCGTCCCCAGGGTTCGGTGCTTGGTCCTCTCCTCTTCATACTCTACCTGCTCCCCATTGGCAACATCATTCGCCACCATGGTCTCCACTTCCACTGTTATGCCGATGACGTCCAGCTTTATATCTCCACCAAATCCATCACCCCGGCCGCTCACTCGACTCTCTCCAACTGCCTCACCGACATCAAATCCTGGATGCATTCCAACTTTCTCAAACTCAACTGTGACAAATCAGACCTTATCATTATCGGCCCCAAATCCCTCACCAAAACCACAGACAGTTTCCACCTCACCATTGACAACTCCACCCTGTCTCCATCCCCCCACAGTCGCAACCTCGGAGTCATCTTTGACACTCACCTCTCCTTTGAACATCACATAAACCTAATCACCAGAACTGCCTTCTTTCATCTCAAGAACATTGCCCGTCTTCGCCCATCACTCTCCTTCTCTGCTGCCGAAACCCTCATCCACGCCTTCATCACCTCCAGAATCGACTACTGCAACAGCATCCTCTATGGCACACCATCCAAAACTCTAAATAAGCTACAATACATCCAAAACTCCGCTGCACGTATGCTCACCCACACCCGCACCCGTGATCACATCACTCCCGTCCTCCAGACCCTCCACTGGCTCCCAGTTCCACAGCGCATTCAGTTCAAAATCCTCCTCCTTACACACAAAGCCCTCCATAACCAGGCTCCTTCCTACCTCACTGACCTGCTCCATCGCCACAATCCATCCCGCAGCCTCCGCTCATCTGAAGCAAACCTCCTGACTCCTCCACCCCGGACCAAGCACCGAACCTGGGGCGACAGAGCGTTCTCTGTAGCTGCCCCTCCCTCTGGAACTCTCTCCCAAACCCATCCGTGACTGTCCGACCTTCCAACATTCAAATCACTGACAAAACTCACCTTTTAAAATTGCTTTTAATGTTTAGCTAAGTCTGATGTGTTTTTATGTTTTACTATTTGATGTTGTTTGGCTGCTTTTATGTTTATTCTATTTTTTTTTTTTTTTTTATGTAAAGTGTCTTTGAGTATTTAGAAAGCGCTTATAAATAAAATGTATTATTATTATTATAAAAATGTTTTCTGTGAAACCAGTCCATTTAGAATGATGGATACTATGACCAGATATTTGATGCTTTTATTGTCTAAAGAGAAGGCAGGAAATACGCAGAAAGATGAAAAAGGTCACTGATGGAAGTGAAAACATCACCTTTCTGGACTTTATAGGCTCTGTACAAGTGTTGTAAAGCATTATAAAGCAGTAATGGAGGACATAATATGGGGAGGCTTATAAACTAAATGCAGGTCATGAATCAAGGAAAAGCTAAAGGAACAATTTGCTGTTTGGCAGAGACACAGGGTTAAGTTGAACTAACTAATAGTCAGTTGGTGAGTGCAATGACTGTACACATCCTGCACAGTATTGGTGGTGTTTGCCTCTAATGTTGCTTCATGTAAGCTCGAAGACAACATTGTGGCAAAGTTACTAGGAATACTGTTAGCATTAAAATGGGTGGAAGAAAACAATCAATAAAACGACAGCAAGTACCACTAAGTAAAGCAGAGGTTCAAACATTGATAAAGGATCATATACACAAAACTTGGCAGGGATACTGGGACTAATGTGACACTGGCAAACATCTTTACAGCATTCAAAAACATGTAGACATTGGTGGATTACAGAGACCCAAAGGGAGCCATAGTGACCAGTCTGAGAATAATACAGGATTAAATCACACACTCCATATAACAGGCAACACCCTGGACTATGCACACACTGTAATTAAAGCCTGTATTAATAGATTGCAGCAGATGTGATCAAGAAAGGAGAAAATTAATATCAGCATTGGATGAGGGACACAATAGTACATTGGAGAATCATCATACTTTAACTAATTATTGAAAAATAATAGAGAGAATTTAGTTATTTTGTTTGTTATTTTCCTGCCAATGTACTGCTGCACACTCCAGTCCAGCCGGTGGCGGTAATGCGCCTACAAGCTGGTTTGCCAACCGCCGTTAAAACCCTAAGAAGAAGAAATTGTGTCGTTTGTTCTCGGAGATAATTGCCATGATACATAACGCAGCAGTTACAGAATAGCAGGTGTGTCCGTGCTGCGAGATGTCGGTAGCTGGTGGCCGTGTGGCGGTATTGTGGAGGGCTTTCTCTCAGTGTGCCGCTGTCGGTGTTGTCCGGGGTAACGGAGGGATAAAGCTACCTGCCGCGAGCGTCACACCGATCCAGAGCAGAGCACTCAGTGGCACGCGGCACCTCACTACAGGTTAGTGGTGTTGGTGAACTGGGAAACAGTGTTTAATACAACTGGGTTATAGTTAGTGAACTGGGAAACAGTGTTTAATACAACTGGGTTATAGTTAGTGAACTGGGAGACAGTGTTTAATACAACTGGGTTATAGTTAGTGAACTGGGAAACAGTGTTTAATACAACTGGGTTATAGTTAGTGAACTGGGAGACAGTGTTTAATACAACTGGGTTATAGTTAGTGAACTGGGAGACAGTGTTTAATATAACTGGGTCAGCAGCGTACTGTGGTTAGTTTCCATTTAAGAATATTTTTATTTCCTCAACCGCACATACGCGAGTCCCTGTTGTCGCCATGACAGTCTTATCAACCGGTCAACGAAGAGCCAGTCAAAATGATACGAGTGATATTAGCCGGATAATTTCACATTAAGCTAACGTTAGTTTATATAACGTTAGTAGCGTAAACTAGATGTAGAGGTTACCTAGCCTCTTAGCCTAATTTAAGCTAGCACTCGATGCTCTCGGACGAGCCTCCTTGGTTTGAGGTTCTTTAAAACTTTGTTTCTTTATTTCAGTAGTCTTTCTCATTTTCAGAGCAGCCCTAACGCTGGATAATAGCCAACGCTTCTTCTGCTAATGACTGTACTCCTGCCCCTGTACCGCCTACACTACTGTGTATACAGTAGTTTTCCTCCTCTGCTTTCACTTCTGTGAGCAGCGCCCTCTCTAAGTATTGTTCTTGCCAGTCTTTCCTCTATACCTCAGCACACAGGACATGAAATGAAAGTGCAGACTCTTGTTTGTTTCTCATATTAAAGCGCTAACCGCATAGTCATTGTTCAACTTAAATTCAATGTCCTGTGATACAGAGCCAGAACAAGCCTGTACACCTGCATGCACTCTGTCCTGTACCTGCTTTTTAACACTTGTCTGTCCCTCTGATCTCAGTGTAGCCTGCTGACCTACTGACAGGCCAGCACTGGGAGTTGTGGGAGGTGAAGTCTTGTCTCATTATGTTGTCTTCCTCCCAAGGGAAGTTGGTGCGAAACGGAGAGGCTAAGAAAGCAGTGGTGAGTCTACGATCTCCACATTCATAACGTTGGCTGCAGCTGCCAGTGTGGTTTCTATTATTTTCTTTTAATAAAAACTAATCATGATACTAAAATACTAGCTCATACCTCATATGATGGTAATGTCCCTTTTCTTCATCATTTCTGTGGACCAGCTTGCTAACACCTGTCATTCTGTCACTGTTTTCAGATCTGTATTGAGGGGAACATTGCCAGCGGGAAGACAACATGTCTGAAGTATTTCAGCGAAACCAGCAATATAGAGGTACAACAAAGCAAAGTCCCCATACAGCAAACACCCCGCCCTTTAAAATCAGATGTTCAATGAGCACAGAGAAACTTTCCAATTTCAGCAGATGAATGTGAAAACATCCTTCTAGTGTCAAACTCTGCACAGACAGCATTCAAACAGCACGCTGTAGGGACAAGAAGAGAAACATTTTTGAGTTATCTTTCTAATAAAAGACAGGAACTATTTTAGTGTTTTACACCTTGTGTGCTTTCATTCTTTGCCTGAATACTTGAGTCCCAGTCCTTCCTTTCAAATGAAGGCAGTCGAAAAATGGCAAAAAATAAACGTCAAAAGTGCAAGCAGACTCCGTTTCACATGCTGATCTAAAATCCAGTTTTCAGCACAGTAAGTCATCAGCTGGAAGGAAGCCTTGGTTAATGTATTATTCCTCTCTTGGTTTTTCAGGTCCTTACCGAACCAGTCTCTAAATGGCAGAATGTCCGTGGACACAACCCTCTGGTACTGTACACAACAGTGTGATTATCAGGCTTTTTCTATCAGATCTGAAAGTATTCGCAGGATACTGTAGGTTCTGTGAGCATTAAATCGGCCCTTAGGGCACTCAACTTAAGGCCCACTTGTAACATCTAGCTAGTGATTGGGTGACAGATGGGCCACTGATCATTTTCAAATTCACAGTTAAAATAAATGGATTCACATACATATGTTCAATAATGTCCCTTGGTTGTTCAAAGGAAAGCTGCATATTAGCCATGTGTGGAGTGCACAGAAGCAGCGACACGTGATTTCTGACGTGTGTGAGCCTACTGTGGCTGGATTTGAAGATTCAATGAGGCAATTCAATAAGAAATGAATGGGTTATTTTGCCCTTATTTTGTCATCTCATGCCAATTCTAAACCACTGTGTGTTTAATTTGCCAAATGACAATTTCTGTATGCAAGGTTGCTAATAACAGGCACCATCACAACTCAAAACATGCTAGCTTCAGTGCAGGGTTCCCACTTGGTAGCATCACAAGAAAAGACAAGATTATGTGTTTGAAGTTGTTATTCTGCCACATCATCAACCCTAATGTTATTTATATATATATATATATATATATTCATTTCATTTGAATCCATGTTTGTTTTTTAAATGGTCCCTGGGCAAAGAATGCCTTAGGGACTTGCATTGTTTGTTGCATTTTCAGAGACCAACAAACTACCTACATTGCTAGCTGCCAATAGAGAGAGCATTTCATGTATAGAATTTGAGTGAACTGAGACTTTATTTTCTTGGCAGTCTGTCTGATATAGATATGTCCAGTGTACTGTATGTACAAGTGAATTTGAGCCTAATGTTGGCACTAAGTTCAGAAAAGTTACTAAAAATCAAGATCCATCTTCTGGGACCATTCAGATCAAACCTTGTGGAAATGTGTGCAGTGGTCTGTCCACTAGTTGTAATAGCAGTTGAATTGATGCTGGTTGTGTCAGCTGTTTGTTTCCGTCCCTGCAGGCGCTGATGTATCAGGATCCTGAGCGCTGGGGCATCACACTGCAGACTTACATTCAGCTCACCATGCTGGAAAGACACCTGTCAACCATAGTAAGTGTACCGCTAGCTAGAAACATTTGATTGTATGCTGGTTGCAGTGCTGACGGACATGTCGGTACATGTGGACTGTGGTGCACACATACAGTATGACCTCATCAGGAAATAAGGTGTGTGCACTTAAAGTTTTGTGTTGTTTCCAGTCGGCTCCTGTCAGGATGATGGAGAGGTCCATCTTCAGTGCCAAGTACATCTTTGTGGAGAATCTCCTCAGAAGGTAACTAACCCTAACCTCAGCACCTGGGTCAGACCAAGAGATAAATAAAGGAATATAGCATACAGTTTCTGCTAAACTAATAAAATAATTGTGTGACATGACAGTTCAATCTCTAGTTTACGTTTAATACATCTTAGAGCTCGGGTGGTCTCTGTAAGGATGAGACTGTTTACATTAGGGAACATGCGCAGTGTTGTAGCCTAGAAGGAACAAACCAAACACTGGCTCTAGATGGGGCCGTTCTATGCTTTTTGTATACCCACCATAGTTTCTCCTTTGTGCTTGGAAGAAGATGGGGAAATTAGTAAGTTATGATCTGCAACTACACTGCTAGATGCCACTAAATCCTACAAGTGGGTCTTTTTACAACTGCTGGTTGTTTTATAGCATTGCCCAAAATGCCCTAATACACCCAGAAATATTAAAGGGCTCATAAAGAGTGTAGAAAAATCTGTGATGGTTTGCAAATTTGGATCATATGATGGTTAATGATACCCACACATTTTGTTCAGCAAGATAGTCTTCATAAATAAACACCACTTTTATTATGTTTTTAAGCGTTAATGTGATTGCCGGAAGTAAAAAGCTAATGTTAACTATAAATAAACTAGCATGATTGCATGACTTCAGCGTCCCCGCCACTAAACCTCCAACTTGTAATTGAATATTGACGTTAAAACCTACATTGAGTTAGAATAGTTTGCAAGAGCGTGAGTATAAACACAACAAGGCTGTAAGGGCAGACAGTACGTGCTGATGTCCTGTTGGTTGATTTGTTTGTCTTTGTTTTTGTTTTTTTAGTGGGAAAATGCCCGAGGTGGACTATGCTGTTCTCAGCGAGTGGTTTGATTGGATCATAACTAACATTTCCCTCCCTGTTGATCTGATTGGTGAGCATACAGAAAGCAGAATCACAAACAGACATTTAATAAATATTATAAGAAAGGTATTCTAACTGTGGATTGAAAGTGAAGTGTGTAATGTTTTTAATGCTGGTAATATCCATCCGAGTGTGACCGTGCTCTGAGTAATGTAGATCAGGTTTTTCTCGTTACACCTTTCAGGTTGACAACGCCCTCTGACATCATCAGATTATATATATATATATATTGTTATACATGTTATCATACATGTTACCTAACCAGTAAATTACACAACAATGAGAGGAAACATCACATGACACACTCGGTCCTCTGTCACAGATTGTTTTACTAAGATTACAATGTCTTAAATAGGATTTTGACAGGTTTTAAAAATTGATTGGGTTAATGAAGTTAATGTTACTAGTATAAAGTTGCATTTTCACTCTCTTTTTAAATGTGTTTTTGGGAAGAATTAGTATTGATCATTATGTAACAGCTACAAAACCAAACCAAAATGGAACCAGTACAGATTTTCCTTCATATACTTTGTACTTTTATTGGCAGATTGGATGTACAATAGTTCTTAAATTGGATTCTTAAATTTAAAGGAAACATTTTTCTCCTTGCAGTCCAAAACCAGTAGATAAATCAGTGACAATAAGCGCATCCATATGAACAGGGGCCAGGGTATTTTACACAGTGTTCCAGTAGACTTAATGTGTTGTCATTAAATACATTCAAATGACAGAAGTTGTCTTCTAGCACTGAAAATCAGCTGAAAGCAGATCAGCACCCTCAGAAATGGCATTATTATTATCTGAGCAGTTTTGAAGAACTTGAATTTATTTAGAAGCTGCAACGGTTTGTTGATGTTTGTTCTCTGGCTGTTTCCTCTGGCTCCAGTCTACCTGCAGACTTCTCCTCAGACCTGCCACGAGAGGTTAAAGAAGAGATGCAGAGAGGAAGAGAAAGTCATTCCATTGGTGAGGATGCATGCTCAGACATATGGTTTCACTACACAGAACAAACACTGGAAGGGAAATGAATGGGCTCCTAGAGAGTTGTGAAGATTAACACCAATGTGCCATTTCAAATGAGACCTCTATCCTGTGTGCGTGTGCTTGTGTGTGTATGTCTGTGCGTGTGCGTGTGCGTGTGTGTGTGTGTGTGTCTGTGTGTGTCTGTGTGTGTCTGTCCACCAGGAGTATCTGGAGGCCATCCATCAGCTGTATGAGGACTGGCTCATCAAGCGTACCTCCTCCCCTCTTCCTGCTCCTGTTCTAGTGAGTATTTGCTTTGGTTTGTGTGGACATACACACAGATGACCCTTCTCCACTGACTCGTGTCATGCCGAGCTGTGACCAAGAAGTGCTTCCACTTTATTCCCCCTTTCTTTGTGTGAGGTTATTGCGCCTCCAGGTGTCTGATACCCCCTTTCCGCCAACATGAACCTAGTGCTAGTTCTGGGCTGGTGCTAATGCCGGTTTAGAGTTGGTTCAGTTGAGAACCCTGAGAACTGGCTTCCTTTCACCTGCCTAAATTTTGGTCAACTAATATTAAACAAACAAGCATAGCTACAAATTTCTCAGATCAATGTTACTAACCTCCAACATAACATTAAAGTTACGAATGCATCGTGAATGTGAGAAATTAGCAGCTATGCTTGCTTCGGTAATGTTAATTGACCAACAGTAAGCTAGCTAGCCAGCCAGTTCACTGCTATGTTCTTACACATCTATGTGCTGAACAGCTAATAGATAGAGAGCTGACTGGCCACAAGATGCCCCCAACCCCTGTTGTAAGTGGTTCCTGGTTTTAGACCAGCAAAGTATTAGTGCCATGCTGGGTACTTTGGATGTCCAAATGCAAAGAACTGGTTCTGAGATTAGGCACTGGCCCCAAACCAGCCCTCAAACCAGCCCTCAAACCAGCCCTCAAACCAGCCCTCAAACCAGCCCTCAAACCAGCCCTCAAACCAGCCCTCAAACCTGCCCAACTCAAACTTAATTAGAAACTAACTGTGTGTCTGTCTGTCTGTCTTTTTTGTGTCTGTCTGTGTGTGTGTGTGTGTGTGTGTGTGTGTGTGTGTGTGTGTGTAGGTCATTCCTGCTGACCATGACCTCCAGAAGATGCTGCATCACTATGAAGAAAACCGTGACAAAATCCTTGCAGCCAGCTACCTCTGATCGAGATGGAGACAGGAGATCTTAGAAAGCTGTTTACAAACCATTGTTCTATCATTTATCTGTTACATTCACCCGAGGTTTTTCATGACCAATGCGAGCTTCTGATTTTAACTTTTTAGCAATTTGACAACTACATGGGATGACTTTGTACTCAACTACACCTCAGCTAGTGTGTGCGCTCATAAGGTGGTAATGCTCATATTTAGTGGCTTTCAATTACAAAATGTCCTTATTTAAAATGTGTGTTAAAGTTTTCTTAACCATCGGTTGGACCCTGAGCTTTTCTTTGAAACAGTCTCTTAAAGGATGTTGAAAAACCTCCCAAGTGTCAAAGATTTTTCTTAGAGCTTCTCAGATTGTGGGGTTTAGCGGATTCATTCTACACTGTAATTTATTTGCCCAGATATTTATTATTTTCCTCTTTATTTTACCATGTAATGCACTTGAACTCCTTTTTAAAACATGTTTGGATTTTTAATCTCAGTGAGTAAAATGGCAGGATGTGGTCACTGATGAAGGATTGCAGTGGTTCACAAAGGGCACCTCAGGTACGCGAGTGCTTGATCTGTAAAGTGGCCACATACATGTGTAAACGTACTAATGACTTGACTGTGGGACCTGATGAAAACGTGTTGAAATGTTTCTCTGTAAATCCTTTTAATGAAGGGACTTAGGTTCATTGACATGTTTTGTCATATTAAATTCTGTAATGCTAATTTAGATTTTATGTGTTTTCTCCTTTTTGTTGGTTGAAGGAGTTGGTAAGGAAGAAAATAATATGTTTAACAGTTTCATGTGCACCGCATGAAACCGTTAAAATATCATTTGAATGAGGGGCCATGAGATCAGTATCTGAAAAGAGAGGGGCCTGCACAATAACTCTGACCTTTGATTATTGACCTAATGAAGGTCTGACTGGGATTGAAACATTGTCCATTTAGATAAATGTGTGCTTTGGAGTGACTGTGCAGGCCTTCCCATAGATGCTGATTTCCATTAAAATTGCTTCTGATCATGATGCGCATATACTATAACTACATTCCTTCCCATGAGATCGGTTTGACATATTAATACATACACACACACTCTACTGTGTATCTTCCCCTGCAGTACAGCATTCTAATCAGTAGGGGATTGTTCCATTTTTCTACATGTATAACATAAGTATAGAGATGGGACGATACTTGATACATTGATTAAAAAAACACTCATGAATTTCTAATATGATAATTGAAAATCATGACAATTGTCAATATATTTACATCATTTGACTCCAGCATACAGTCTATTGATTTCCTCATTTATTTTAAACAAGGGGACAAAGGAATGCTTGTTCCGCAGTTGCCATAGTTTCTCCTACACGTCACAGCCTGTTCTCAGTCCCAGGTTGTCAAATACAGAAGCAAGTGGTCAGTTCAGTTAGTTGCATTCTGCCTACACACTTTAAATTATTTAATCGTGTTGCAACAGTTTGACTTAAATATCACCCCCGCAGACAAAGACTGGTTTAAAACTCCTACCTACAACACACAAGCCTTTTGCACTATTTATAATTAATTTCCACTTTAGTAGTTTTAGTTTTAGTCAAGTTTAATTTTCTGCTCATATTTTGCACTCCATGTCCTACTTGAACAATGCATAGTGTATATACTTTAATTTATAGTTTTATATCTTCTAATATTAATAATATTAGTAATATTTTTATTGTGATATTCTGTGCAAGTGGGTTTTCTTTACCAAGAAAATGAAGCTAATCTAACAGTAATTAGTTGACTTGATTTCACTGGGTTTATGTTAAGTAATGTTACAGTGTTCATTCTACTTAATAAAGCTTCGAAGCTAACTGAACTCAAAAAGTGCACTTCTCTGCTGTCCATCCATGAGATCAGTATGTTCCTCCTCTGTAACTGACAACAGAGCTGCTGTTCTTCATACAGGGGTGGAGAAATATTCATGGGGTGTCCAGAGGGTGGAGGGAAACTTTAAGGGGGGACAGAAATATTACTGTTGTCTGATTTAATCACAGACAATCACATGTATCAATATTTGCTTGGAAAATGAAGATATTTGAACTCACAATCATTATTGTGGCACATTGGTAAAGCACTGAATAGAAATATCTAAAGGTGGCATTAGAAATCAATACACTGTTTTATTTACAAATCTACAGACATTTTTCCAAATACATGTCATCAATTTTCATTGACCTTAAGACGATCACTTAGTCTAAAATGTGACCCGATTATATTATATTATTATATTATTATATCTATTTCAGTTTCTAATGCAGCTACACATGAATGAATCTATGAATCTAAATTAAGGTTTTAAATTTGATAGCATTTGACACCAAACTGTGGTGGCCAGCCATTCAATCCAATCTTCAGCTTTGTGTTTAACAAAGACAATATTGCGCAAGCAATTAGAAATTATACAGTAAAAAGAAAAACATTAGAAATAGAAAATATCAACTAAAAAAACTTTTGTGTTTGTGTGTTTGATGAGATTGTGGTGTTGAAGTGTGTGTTGAAGTTGTTAGTGTGTATGTGTGTGTGTTAAAGTCGTATGTGTGAGTGTGTGTGAGTGTTATGCTAGCAAAATATAATCACTCAATTATTTACAGATTTACAAACTACATGAACAAAAGAGCAATAATTCAATGAAAAAAGCCCTAACCCTAACCCATATTAATATTGTTATTATAATATTAATTAAAAATGAACAATTAAAAAGAAATCAACAGAGGTGTGTTTCTCAGCTTCCACTGGTTGTCCTCAAGTCATTACAGGAGTATAATCAATACATTTTGCAGCACGAATTACATTTGGGCATTTCCCCAAGTAAATATGGCAGTTTCTGCCACCCCTCTGCAGCCACCCCTGTCTCCATGAAAGGAGAAAATGAGTCAGTCCTACAGGGTTGAGAGTTGGATTCACTCCAGGAGGACTCAACATGATACTGTGCTGACCAAAGCCTCACACAGTATCTGCCTGACTGGAACACCCTGTTCATGGGGATAATAATGAAAGTGGGGTTAATCATGCTTTAAGTTCCCCTTCATTTTCATCCTGTGATTCATGACAACATGGTTCATAAAAATAGTTAATAAACAACAAAACTAGCTGTAATTAATCTACACTAAGGCCGAAATCATGAGAGAAAAACAAGTTTGATGAGCATGTGAGGATGTAAGAGGGCAGTGTGTTGATGACGTGAGAGGAAATGTTGCTAAATTTGATGAAGCAGCTTGGCTTCCTTTACTATTTCCTGAGCCTTCAGTTAGAGCAGTATGTTTATCACTTAAAATATATATATATATACACACACATTTTATTTTCCCAGAGTCAGAAACTAATAAATGCTTAAGGACAAACCTTTTTTCATGTATTTGATGTCTGAAGTCATGTCAAACAGCAATATTGGGCTATCTGGGCTCAACAGTTGAGTGTCTATGGGATTAAATAACATCGTGATCCAATAGGCATTAAGTAAACTAATCAGTCCCTCCAGGATTTTGTCAGCTTTTTGGGGGATTTTTGCAGCCAAAAATTCCTGACTTCATGGCATGTTGATACATGTTGCAATGTTTTTAGTGTCTTGTTTTTTGCAATTAAACTGTGGGAGAAAGTGAAAATTGCAAAAAATAAGAGTGATGTTTTGTTGTTTTTGTTTTGTATCATTCATTAAAAGTCAAAGGCAGCTTGTGTTCAGACTCAGAATTGCTCAGTAATTTCCATACATGTTAATTAGCCAAAAGAGATGCTCCATTATAATATACAGTACTCCTCTGCCAGCTCCTCCTCTTCCCCTCGGCCTGTTTCTGCTCTCTCAGAATCTCCTTCCTGCTGCCCTCCTGTACAGCTCTGACAGTCTGCTGTGCTGACGCTCAGCGGAGTGGGCTGACACACAGCGGGCTGCCTCTGCTCCTTCATCAATGCCGGGTTGGACTGAGAGGATCTGGTGCATCTGCCAGCAGCACAGCTCAGCAGCGGACCCGTCTCCATCACTGGCCTCCTGAGGTTCTGCTCCTTCGCCTCTCCCTCCGCGCTTGCCTTTCTCTCTATCTTCCTCCTCTCTTTACTTGTGCTCTCCTCTTCCCTCTTGTTTTCCTCTTTTCTCTTCACCTCCTCTTTGGGCTCCTGCACGTGGAGCTGGCCCATCCTCTCCGCCAGCTCTCTCAGATCCCGCTCCTCTTCCATGGAGCTTAGCGAGGTATGCTCTGGGCTGACCGGTCTCTTATTTTGTAGGTCTGAGAAAAATCAATGAGATTCACATTTATGCACACACTGCAGTTCATTTTCAGTACAGCAAGAAACAAATGCTTCATTTTCCAAGACAAAGGCTGTGGTCTTGATCTGAGAATAAGTTAGGTCCTGTTGACAATTCTAATAATCATCCCAATTCTTATGTAGATTGAGTGGTATTATTGAAGATGGCCAAATTCATAGTCTACTGCATCAGCAGAAAGTTAGTGTCAGCTCTGATTAAAGGGGAAATTTGCCAGGTTTTATGTGGATGTCCAATCAGTGTTGATGGTAAATGTAGTCCATTGAAGCAATAGAGAAATAGCTGCAAAATCTGCTCTCTTTCCGGCATTTGACCCGTACAGACCCGTATGTAGTTGGTGTCGAGGAAGAACTACAGACTGTTACAGCTTGAAGGCAACACTACAGTCTGACAAAGGAATGGTCAAAAAGCAGGAATTAATTTGCTTGGCAACACTGTGTAACTTTGATTAGCACCCAGCAGCTAATTTAGCTTGCTCAGTGTGTGCACAATGCATCCTGGTACATGAAGGCACTGCAGGCACGGTGCTGGGAGCACTTTTTTCAGCTTTTTCAGTCAATATAACCCACAGTGAGAAAGTTATTGCTGTCACAGTGTGTATGTGTGTTACCTGCTGTGGTCTGCTGTTGTGTCCAGGCAGGGGGCTCCGCTGTGGGCTGAGGCTCTCCAGTCTGCAGCCTCTGCTGTGCTGTTGCTCCAGCTCTCAGTGTGATGTGCAAGGAAACACACTGAGGACTGAGCTCATCATCAACTCTGTTTCCATCAGTGTTACTGAAACTACTGCCAGTAGTGTCTCCCAGGGCGGTGGTTTGACCGCCGCTCCTGCCATTGCAACCAAACACCTCATCGGCTTTGCTGCTGCTGTCACCTTTACTGCGGAGAGCTGTTGCACCAGCTTTGGTGTCTTTAACAGAAGCTCTTGTGGGGAGCTTAGCAGCTTTAGTGCTGGCAGTACTCCTGCTGGAGTTTGCTCGGTGAGAGTTGTCTGATAGCAGACGCCGGCCCCTGATGGCAAGGTCAGGGTAGTTCCTCTGCATCTCCATAATGGACTGGTCTATGCTGATCTGGTGGGTGCGTCTAGGCTTGGCTGGGGGGTTCCCTGTATGACCGAAGGCCAAATGCAGAGGTACCTGGAGGAATGAAACAGAGCTCAGTTCAGTACCGACTGCAGTTTGTTAAGGCTGCTTATGTTTGCTAACCTGGTTCTTCAGTCTGTCATGTCAAGCTGGGTTTTGGTCTCATCTGCTTCGGCGAATTAAGGATTCTTGAAATAATCAAGATTGCCTCGTCTACAGTTCTGAGGACGGACTCAAAAGCCAGCTATATCTGAGAATTGTGGGGCCTCCTTCTCTGATGAAATGCCCTGCAATTACTATTGAAACAAATAAGTATGGAAATATGCAATACAAGCACAAGAAGGTAAGACAGTGAGTCAATGAGGAGAACCCTAATGCTGAAAAGAAGAAAAAGGTGGAAGGCTAAAGGAGCAATCAGCCACCCTGTGGAGATCAGATGCTTTGTGGGGAAAGCTCGTACACACTTTTTGCGGAAGATCAGGGTCAAAGGAAGAAGATCTTGCCAAGGCAGTATGATAGTTTGAGCTCAGAAGGACAAACAAGGTGTGGGGAAAGAAAGGAACGTAGGGCCAGCTGTGGACGGTCCCTGCCACACTGGTCCACAACAAGAATGTGCTCCAGGATTACTATATTAATATTAGGAGTGGCGAAACACCAGTGAGGAGTCCAGGCTAATCACCCTAGCCCAACAGCTCTGTCAAAGGTGCATCAGATAAGTGTGTTCACTGTCAGCTAACATTGCTGTCTCTGCCTGTTACATCTGTCTGGACCAATTGGGAATTAATTGAAATTTGATTACCGATATTAACCCTTGTTTATTACTGAATTGACTACATAAACCCTGGGGTAGTCTGGTGTGAACCTTGATCACCGCTGTGTAGACCTAAAACCTACAGGGGAACAACAACCTGAAATGAGTTAGAATTGTTTAAGCTAATCTAGTTCTGACCGTGCATCTCAGGTGAGTAGGGACCATAAACAAAACTTCCACCAGGCTCATCATGACTAGCTGATTCCATAGTTTTGTACATACATATACTGTATGTAAAAAAAAAACGGAACTAGCATTAGTCTTTCCTTTCTGAGGTAAATCATTTTGGTGAATGACAGATGACCTCTTTCTGATCTGCCTCTTCCTCCTCCTCCTCCTCCTCCTTCTTCTTCTCCTCTTCCTTTTGCCCTGTTGTTGTCTTCTTTTCTGTTAGTTCCTCCTGTGGTTTTGTAGGACCCGCTCTCTTCTGGAAAACCTCCAGCCACTCCTGCAGTGTAAGATCACAACTGTCAGATGGAAGCCTTGACATAAGTTTGAGTTACTCTGACCTCTGACCATGTCATATGACTGCTATTCATTTGCATATACATATTAGGTAGTTAGAGGGCATGGAGACGCTCAGTTTCACTATGGCTTTCCTTATGACATGTTTATATTCCAAGTTAAAGGTTACATATAGGAGATTTCAAACATTAATAGAGCAGCAAACAGCTATTCTCTATGTAAAGATATAGTGGAGACATGGTGTCACACTCCCTCTGCCTGTGTTGCTATCACAGCCTCTCTGTGGTTTGTTTTCATAGTCGGGCTGCTCCGTGTGCAGCTGAGTTGAGTGACTGTAACTGCTGTTTTTATCATCTACGTCTGAATTATGTCTAATATTGTTAGAACAGTTTTTCCACTGTTTTAACAATATTAGATTGGTGAGTTTTATTTTGTTTCTGTCCACTTTGAATGAAGTTGATGACGATAATGTAAAATAACAGTTTTCCTCTATGTCTGGTGGCGAGCAAAAGCGATTAAAGCAGTTTCTTGTTAAACAAAAGGTCTATTTCTGTAGGAATCCTTTCCATAATGTTGTCAGAATAACAATAACAATAACAATTATGAATAATAACAATCTGAGTCTGTCAGTGCCAAAAACAAACGTACCACAGCCATTGCTGTCCTTTCTTTAAATATTTTCTCGTCTGAGTGAATTAAGGATTTATCTCAACCAAACCAGTGTTGGTGATTGTTGAAAAGACTAACAAAGAGGATTTTGGTGAGTTTCTGTCCAGTTTGAAGTGCGTGTTACGATGATCTGCTAGGTAAAATGAGTTTCCTGCTGGTGCTCTAGTGCGACATCTCAATTGTACAACCCTAATGCAAATAAATGTGTTTTTAACACATTCCTTCTCTTAAAGTCAACTTCCATCAAACTTGGAAGGATCTGAAAATACTGCAGACAGCAGTGCCCACCCCTTTGATTGGACCCGGAAACACAAACAAATTGACTGCACCACTACTCATCAGGATTCTGATCTTACCTGTGGTCCCAGCTGATCCTTCTCCAGGAGCTCCAGGAGGTGGTGACATTCTACCCTGGCCAGCAGCAGCTCAAAGCCCACTAGCATGGCTGTGTCTGCATTAGCAGCCTCACTGAGTCTGTACTCACTGAAATACAAACACAACAGAGGACAGCACAACAAAAAGGGATGAGAAGATTCCCCTTTCACAAATGACAGAAACTGGCTGAAATCCAGCATGTTGCTAGCCTTCCTTTTTGTTCCAAGAGTCACTCAATGATTAAGTTTCAAATGTGAGATTTTGTGATAACATTGGGTGCTGTAACTAAATAAAGGAGTGTATCCTTATAGAGTTTCTGCAGGTTTCAACAGGTTAAAGCTGCAGTAGGTAACTTTTATAAATATAGTTTTTTGTCATATTTGTTCAAACTTTCACTATATCCTGACAGTAGAACATGAGACAGATAATCTGTGAAACAATCAGGTTCCTTTCGCTTTTCCTTCTTTTTTCTTAGTGCTCCTAATGGAATTTGGCTGGTGAGACTTAACTATCAACGATCAGCTCTGTTTGGTTGTTTTTGTTCAGGCTCAGTGGATTCTTATTTAACATCCATACTGACAAAAAAGTACAAATGATTTGAAGGAAAATCAGTATTGGTTTCATGTCGGTTTGGTTCTGGAGTTGTTACAGCATGATTAATACACATTGTTCCCAAAACACATTTAAAAGTGAATTTGAAAAATTCAGCTTTGTACAAGTAACGTTAACCTCATTATATACATTTTCCAATTATTGGATTTTGGACGCTTTAACATCAAACTTGAGTCAGCACTTTCAAGACATCAGATGGAGATTTTGTCCCTCAATCTGTCAAATTAAATTAAATTATAAAGAGAAAATAAATAAGATTTATCATCTATGAGGTGCCATTTTCTTGACATTTTCAGTCTGACTCATTTGACTGAAGTCCAGGGCTATTACACTGTTTACAAGTGGATGTGTGTTTACAGAGGATGTGTTTCCTGGCATGGAAATACTCTACAGCTGTAAGAACAGGCCTTGTGACTTGATGTCTACAGGATTTTGTTCTGGTTTGCCTTCTCCTTGTTCCCTACCTTTGTGGAGCATCAGGATGGGGCAGGTAGCCAATAGAAGCCAGGACTGATTGAATTGTAGAACTGCTGAAAACCGGCAGGAGACAGTAAACAAACGGACCTGTAAACGTCTGAAAGAGACACAGAGAAACAGAATACATTTCATTTATTACTAAATTAAATATCTCTTAACTTTGGTCTGGATGATATTTATGGGGTGGGACGTCTGTCCGATATGAGTAAATTATGTCCGTATTGGCACCTGATACCGATACTGTATCGGACACTGCTCTAATGTATGTTAATTTTTTTCTATGTTTTTATTCTAAAATGAAAAAAACTGGGTTTTATAGCTCTGTCAGAAATTTGGATTTTACATTTTAATATTCTGAACTGCTGTCTCATTACCCACTGCCAACTGTGTCATAGTGTCAGTGTCTCAGTGTTAATTATTTCAGATGTTTCCTGTCTTCCCCATCCTGCACAGAAACAGGAAGTGGAACAACTGATACTATCTGAAACCATTACAGGGCTTTCATTCCAAAATAACATAACTATGTGCAAAAGGGGACTTTTCTGTCAAGTCTTAATTTCTGTTTGACCAACAGTTTGGTCTATGATTATAAAAGCTCTAACTATAAGGCCTAAATATCCTTGACTTGTACACCAGTAGTAGTGTCTAAATCTACTGGTAAACATCATACTGCTGTTAACATTACAGAGTACATCTGGGTTCTTCAGCAGAAATCCCTCAACATTTTGGACACTCATATAAATATTTCCATGTGTATATATCCAAAACCTAATGATTACTGATTAGGACTCTGTATTGGCAAGAGTCTGGCGATATGATACGTATCACAATACAGTGGTTACAATTCAATATATTACAAGGTGATATATTGGGATTTATTTTAATCAACAACTCATCCAGAAACTCTCAGTATCAGTTGAATGCCTGGAAGGAAAGTTTCAGATGAATATTGGAAAACAGCTTGTACTAGTGCTCATACTAATTAAATACATGCCGTTAACTTATACAGTATAAATGGTAAATGCTGACTTATGAGACAATGATGGAACTAAAAAGATATAATAAAAACATACCAGATATACAAAATTTACAGAAACGAGAGGAACATTGCAATTAATATATTCAATTCAATTATAAATAGATTGCCATTAAAACTATTCTAGTTTTGAGTTGTTTTTTCCCTTTCTCGAGTAAATCTAGTGATCTTATGTTGTGTTGATTATATGAATGTAAAAGGCTGGATTTCAAGGTGTTTTAACCAAATTATTGTGTAAAACAACAATATGCATACAATCTGAGTAAAATGTTCCTGTAACGTCCAACATCATAGATTTCAGTTTATATTCACAACACTGCTATCTAGTAGTTTGGGCTTAAAAAAAATCGATACAGTGTGGTTAAGAATCACTACAATATCCCAAAATTTCACGATCACAATATTTTTCTTTATTTTCTTACATCCCTATTACTGATTATGATTAACAAACCAAGTTTGCCTCTAGTTAGGCTCAAGTTTCATGGCCACCGTAGTTTTTCCTACATGCTTGAAAGGCTTGAGATCTAAATCAGGATTTAGCAGTCCTCTGTGGGGTCACCCTCAGGAGAAATGTGTTTGGTATTGTTGTATCTAATGGGAGCCTGCGGGGCAATCAGCTGTCTTGTTTTAACTGTCACATTTTGAAAGGAAGCTTTCTTGTAATGCAGTTTAGGGTTAGGGTTAGGTTACTAGCCTATATATAATGTAAAAATAATATAACACACATGATCCACATCAAAATGTCTCCCCAATATACTGATAGAAACAAACATTATGCTATGACATGCAACCAAGCAGCGCTGTCTGCAATAAACATTAGCAAACGTAATTCTACTTTGGATGTAAAGTAAACATCGCACTTCTGAACGCACCCCTAAATGCAATGTTTTTTTCCCACCAACATTTATTTCTGAATACAGATGGGAAAAAACGCATTACGCAAATTAACACTGAAAATTGTTTTTTTTTTTTAAATACTAAAAGAATTATGTGTATGTTGTGGTGAGAGTGGTGAGAAACAAAATTCTGTTAGTTTTACCCAAATTTCTAAGTAAAGAGTTTTTAGTCTGGTTTTACAGTGTACTAATATGTATGTTTATAAGGGACTAGTTATTGGTAAACACTGTATGTGTACCTTTAATATAAAGCGTTATCTGAGCAAATACTGACTCCTGTTGGCCTCCCCATTATTGCAAAAGGAAGGAAATGGGTTTTCAAATTGAGAAACCTTTTTAAAAACTTTTTTTGAGGGGTAGCACACACCCCCAGACCCCCCCCCCCCTAAATGTAGACTCCATGGCTACAACCTTGGCATAATCCCAGAACCATGACAGTTTTACTGCAGCATTTGACACTTACAATGAAACATAAATGTCCTTCAGTATTGTGACAGTACTGCAGAATTGCACAACAAAAATGAATACAGAGAACACTAAACTCTGACCCAGTGCAGCACACATCCTTTGAATTCCAGGCAAGAGGTTATTAAGTTACCTGGTTACCTGAAAGTTACCTGGGAGTGGCTGACAGAAAGAAAGAAGAAAGAAAGAAAGAAAGAAAGAAATACCTTCAGTGTCCTGATTTCCTTCCTCCAGGGCTGAAGGAACAGATTGACGCAGAGGGTTTCCAGCAGCTCTGTGGCTTTGATGAAAGCAGACAGCAGTTTCCTGCAGTCTGAGCTCAGGGCTCCACAGCCCTCGCTCACAGCCTGGTAGAAAGGGAACACTGTGAAAGCTCCTCTGAGTTCTGGTTCCCTCAGCAGATACCGAGCCGCCTTCCTCAGCAGCCCGGCATCGCGGCACGGCTGGACCTCGGTACACAGGTGGAGGTACCAGCTCATATAATCCTCATACAGCTCCTGGCGGGAAACGTCCACCTGTTCCTCGGCTCTGATACCGTCCTTCATGACTGCCACACCGACCAACACACTGGCAGCCTGTCAAACTAATAATGAGGAAGTACAGCTGTCAAACTAGTTGAGGGAGGAAGTGAAAGTGAGAGCATGCTCTGTTACAGCTTGTTCCATATTGAACGCCAACATGGGATGACAAACAACTCAACAACAACTCTAAAAAATAAAAAGAATAGTTAACTAAATGTATAAAGTTTTTATGTTAACTCAAAATGAAACATAGTTTTATTGAGTAGATATGTTGTATCTTTTCTTACAGTGTACATTCATTCATTCAACACCGTGAAACAAATGCTGAAATTACAACAGATGGAAAATAGCCTTCTGGTTAACTCTGCTGCATTTACAGGAATGTTTAATTAATGTACACTGTCCCTGTTCAAATAAACCAATAAATAAAAAAATTAAAAAATATATATTTCTTCATCTGAAATTATATGCTGAGATATTTTCAAACAACATCTGAAAAACTTTTTTAAAGAACATTTTTGTACAACACACGGTGTACTGAAATACTTCCAAAATCAACAGTATAAAGTAAACAATAAATGTATTATTTACTATGCATTTGTTTTGGATTTTAAACCAACAATTGTGTATTTTGTGATAATACTACGAATCATTTATTTAGTAATAATTATTTATATCTTGTGTAAGTATTTTGACTGGCTTTGCTCAAATGTTTTTTTTTTTGTTTGTTTTCTGTATGCACTCTTATTTCACTTTCGTATCATGTAGGGTTGTTGTTTGTACACATACATAAAAAAACAAAAAACAATGGAAAACGAAAGACCCTGTTTTATTTTGAAAACCGTCACCCGGATGCCATTCATTGTCTTAGGGTGGCGACGTCCTGACCCGCCCTACTCTGGTTCTGATTGGCTAGTTCTCGTTCCCTTTATTTGTTTGGGTTGGTTAAATGTAAGCGTGAGGCGTGCGATTGGTAAAAATGCCACATGGTAAGCCAATCAGAGGTAGCGTAGGGCGGGTCGTGTCTATAACGTTGGTAAATTAACTTCCGGGGTCAGTAGTGTGTCTCGTTATCACGCTGCCAGCCTGTAAACTCAGTTTGTAGTCAGTTCAACGGGACATTGGCAGCTTTAAACCCAAAAGAAGAAGAATTGGAGCCGTGTGGCTATGTGGGGCTGTTTTTGTTGAGGTTAGTTTCGACGTGTAGCTGTCAGTGAACTGTTGACAGAGTGTGTTTGGGTTGAGGTCTGTCTGTCCACATGACAACCTGGAAATGGGTCACTATAGTTCTCTAACTTACAGTTCGTTATTTATGAAAGGAAATGTTGTTGTGCCATAAAGTAAGGAGGTTAAAACTGTGACATTTTTTTAACTTGTTAATGATTTCCCTCATGTTTTACAATAGATATAGTAGCTAGCTATTATTATTGATAAATAGTAGTTCTTGGATGTAACTCTAGTTCTATGAGTACCTGCCATCTAACTTGTCTAAGTTAATCCAGGCCTACTGATATTTTTGTATTACTTCTCTGTTAATAAAAAAAGATAATAGTTAAATAATTAAAGTTGTGATTAATAATGGAAATAACCCTTATCAATGCTTCCTATATGTAAGTGTGTATGTATGTCGCTCACTGCTTTGAGAGGGGAGCTGCAATGATTCATTGATTAATCGGTCACAAGAAAATAAGTTGGCAAGTATTCTGATAATCAATTAATCGTTTCAGTCATTTTTCAGGAAAAAATGCCAAACATTAGCTGGTTCCAGCTTCTTAAATGTGAGGATTTGCTGCTTTTCTTTGTCATTTATGACAAGAGTCTTTGGGGTTGCACAATGTGGTACAAACATCATACTGCCATTATTTTGACAGACATAGGGATTACGATATGATTTGATTTCTCATTTCAGTCTTGTCCTGAAAGTCCTGCCGCCGGCTCAGAGAAGCTCAGTGATGAAGAACAGAATCGGTGGCTCACTGGACAGTCGGCTCAAACAGAGAGTGGAGCAGGTACAGCCTGAATAACACAATGAGTTTAGAGCTGCAACTGTTAATTGATTAATCGAATAGTTGTCAGCTATTGAATGAATCGCTAAATATTTTTATAATCAATTAATTGGTTTTTTTCCCAGCTTCTCAAATGTGAATGTTCTGCTTTCTTTAGTCCTCTATGACTGTAAACCTTTCATCAGTCTTTCAACAAGCGAGGTAATACTAGCAATAACAAACTTAATTTAGCACATATTTCAAACAGTAACTGAACAGGACCTAAACATAAGTCTTAAATCATGGGACAGTATGGTAACCGTCCTACCATCAGAGGACATCATGAGGGAGACTACAGCGGTGATAAATGTAACCCCCTGAGTCTGCTCTTGTTCTCAGATTAATTCATGCTGTTTCCATGTTATTCTTCCTGTTACATTGCCATGTGAACCTTAACTGTGTGAACTTCTGATATCAGTGTCAGTCATCTTTTTTTATGCTGAATTCTGTTTTTAGTATCTGGCGTCCAGCAGCTGTCAGTATGTGGACCTTTCAGCCACAGCCCTGGAGCTTCAACGGCAGTACAGGTAAGTCCATCAGAGCAGTGATTTCTTCTGGCTCAAACTCTCAAGAAAAGGTGTTGACTCTGCTTAACTTTGCTTCCAGCTGTCCCTGAAATTTGTAGTCAGTAAAACATCCAATAAATTAACACAGACAAGTTAAAATGTATGGAAGTCTTCTTTTTCTTTTAAGCTGTTCAGTTACTCTATCTTCATTGTATATCAATGAAGATAGAGTAATTGAAACACTTCACAGTGAAAAACAATAGAGGTCAACAGCAACATGATCGTACAATGGATTAACCCTTAAATTAAATATTATCCCTGTTTACACCTGGGATTAACATGTGTCTGGGGTGATCTGATTACAACTAGACAGCTTAAAGTACATCAGTTCACACCTGGCATTAAGTCCACTTCAAATCAAAGGTTCACAACGAGATGAATCAGCTTTAGAACATTGAGCATAGAGAGAGACAACATAGAGTGTGAAACTGGTTGTCTCAGCTTGACTCATGCCGGCCGATGGCGTTGTGTGCAGCTCAGTTTGTCAAATCTCCAATGGTGGCTTCACCTGTTTTAACAACCAATTGGTTTCTTGCACAGTCAGCTGGTCAAGTCAGTTAACTGTCAGCTGGTGAAAATGGCATCAGCCTTAAAATGTACCCATAAACGGCTCCATGTTCTTGACCCTCTCATTTTATTGAGTTTTTTTATTGTTTAATCAATGAAATGCAACAGTAGCAAGTTACACGCTATCACTATACTCATTTTATGTTTTAGAACACAAATTATATCCAGCTACAAAAAAAGCCTGAAAAACTGTCTGTTAGTACAGAAGTACAGGCTGTTCAGTACAAAGATTAGATTTTTTTCTAAACTCCTATACCAGCCTGAGTCTCATCTTCAACCCTGCAGGACAGACATTCCGTGGTGGCTGTGAGATTTTATAACTGAACTGGAAATCTGATGTTTTCACATCACTGATCACAAAGAAAGGCATTAATTCCAGAGAAAGTAAAAGTGTGTGTCTTGCTTGTATCATGGAGCATCTCACGTGCTGGGCTCCAGCCAACACGCTGGGACAAACAGACACAAAGAAAGAAAGAAGTTCATGTGTAACGTTTGCTAAATTTACAAGAAAGCCCAAATAATTAAGAATTTGTTGTAGACAACGATTAACCAAGTTTATAACGTTTCTCCTCACTCAAAAACTTAAGATTAAGATTTTTAAAGGGAGTCTGGGGAAATTGCAGTTACTAGTTCATCAGAGAAACCAGTGTGAACTAAACGGAAATCAGACAGTGTCTCTTTGTGTACCTTCAGTGTGGACCAGGACACATTGCGTACACACTGCTGAAAGATCATATGTGGCCCAGACTAACCTCTGAATGTGTTCTGAGCAATCGGATCTCAATGCAGCTTGGCAGCATTCACACCTGTACTTAAAGCTGTCCACTTGTGATCAGATTACCAAGGATGCATTTTAATAGCAGGTGTAAACAGGGCCTAATAGAGTTAGAATGGTAGCCTACCTGGTGGAGCGGGCGCACCATGTAGTACCACAGCCTGGGTTTGATTCCGCTCTGTGGCCCTGCATGTCATCCTCTGCCCTTTCCTGTCTATCTTCATTTATCCTTTCAAAATAAAGGCATAAAAAGTTATAGCCCAAAATATCTTCAAAACACAGAAAAGAATTTGGACAAAAACTGCATGTGCCAGTAGCACCTTCATGAAGGTGGGAGTCATTGCTGAGTTGTTGGATTAGACTGCATCTGTCTCAATTATACTGGACACTGGGTGTATATTGATTTGTAAATGTATATGTCTGTAAATTAACAGTCATGAAGTGTTTGGTTTATATTGTATCCTTAGAATGGAGTATGGCCGAAGAAACAAGACGGCTTTCAGGATTCAAGTAGAGAAAGGTAAGAGAGGCAAAAGCAGATAATGCTTGATCACACTGTGACAGGACTTTGGCCTGGATATGTTTCCAAGGTCATTATTCTAAACTGTAAATTGACACTGGAGAGATGAAATAGTAGCATGAAGTCTGAGAAAACCAAAATAATTCCACACATGACCTCTCCAGCCTCACGTACCAATCAGTCCATTCCAGTTTTCATCATTAAAGCCTCCTCTTTTGCAAAATGTATTTTAAGGAGCTCCGATGTCATTTTTCCTGTCTCATAGTGTACGAGGTGATAGCGAAGGAGACTGGGCTCAATGATCTGGAGAGCAAACACTTGGCTAAGAGAGCCAAGCACAGCCGCAATGACACTGGGTAAAGGACCCTCTCTGCTTACTGCCTGGTTTGGACCAGCGGGATCATGTCTGTCACCTCAGGGCTCTAACAGTCCTTCTCTCTGCTCCACTCTCCAACTCACGCCTTCCCCTCCTGTGTGTTCACAGTGACAGCAGCAGCAGCTCGGAGGAGTCCTCTGACAGTGATGACCCCATTCTGGAGAACACTGTAAGAAATGATGTGAAGATTAAATCTGAGGAATAACAGTAGAAACGTGTTGGTTATATTATTTCCTTTAGCTCACACTGCTGGCTAATAAAGCAGAATCATATATTTAGCACTGAAAGAACACTTGGCTCCACCTAGGCTTTTTTTAAACAATATTTTTAAATCTGATTCTGACTGTGTGTTTTTGCCACCCACAGCCCACCAACCACATGAACAGCTCTCTCACATCCCTCTACCGGAAGGGACAGCCTGACTCCAGCACCTGCTCCTCACCCAGGAGAGATCAGCTCGTTGCCAGCAGTCCTGCCACCGTAGCTAACCCCCCTCCTAATGCAGGGACGCTGGTTTCCACAGGAGGCTGGTTCATTGATAGAGGCAGAGGCCCTGAGAAGAGCAACATCCTCATTGACCTGTGTGAAGAGGAGCCAACTAACACAGCAACAAACGTATGTACATGTGATTCATGAGGTCTGCAGTACAACTTGACATTATAACTCACCAGGTGTTATGTTGTTCTCTCACAAGGGAAAAAGCTCAGAATATAAAACATTGCCTGTTAGATAAGAGGGCTGTGTATTGGCAAGAATCTAGCGATCCGATACATATCACAATACAGTGGTTATGATTCAATATATTGTAATTTTAAAAAAATATATTTTTTTAATTTCCATTATTTTTAACATAAAAACGGAACATATACATTTTTTGAAGGAATTTGTTTATTGAAGACTAAGACATGCATTGTGTTGGGCTCAGAAAAGGTCATTTATTACTCATTACTCTTTTCAAAAGTAATATTATTACTTACTCCCTGCCAACAGTAATTAGTTGCACTACTTTTCTGAGTTTTAAGTGTTCCCATCTTCCAAGCTACTTTCCTCCAAGGAATCCAATGTGATTGGATTGTTGGATTTCAAATCAGTAGGTAGTAATGTTGTAACTAATTATTTTTGAGGGGGTTAACTGTACTATTATTACTTAAATGTATTAGTAATAAGTTACACTACTAGTTACTGGGGAAAGTAATATTATTACTGTAATATTACTAGTAATGCCTTACTGTCCAACACTGAAGATATGTTCTAAGCAGGATGGTTTAAACATGATAGGTTATATTATATATATAATAATATATTATTATTATTATTATTATTATTATTATTATATTATATTTCTGTGATACAGTAAAATATAATACCAGCAATGCTGACGTATTGGGCCGGTGTGATGTGTGGGCAGTGATGCATGATTGACAGTTATCAGCCATTTAGTGCTAGAGAAGCTTCATTGCTGTAAATAATGTTATAAGGAGTTCGGTCTACACCTGCTCTATTTGAAAAGTGTCCTGAGATAACTTCTGTTATGATTTGGCGCTATACAAATAAAATTGAATTGAATTAAATTGAATTAAATTGAATTGAAATTGCCCTTAAAAAACATGTGGAACTTAATACAACAAACCAGAGGAATGAGGAATGAACACAGAGGTTAACAATAATCTGACCCTCTCACTCGAGGTATTTCACTTTGCTCTGTATGTGTTCAGCTGACGATGCTCGACTCATCCACCAACTGCCATTTCTTTTTGTCACCCGCAGACAGATGTTTCCATGCTGGAGCCTGAGAAATCTCACAAAAAGTCAAAAAAAAGGACGAAGATCTCTAAGGAAACTACTGAGTCTCGCACAGTGACCAAGAAAGGTGCTACCTCGTCTATTCAACTAGAGTCTAAGTATAAAATATAGATCAGCACACAACAACGTAATCCTTACTGAGCTTGTCAAACACTGCACATAGGGTCGCAGCTAACAATTATTTCCATTATTGATGAATGCATTTATTGTGTTTGTTATGTAATGTTTGTTTCTTGAGGTTGTTTAATTGATTAATAGTCCTCTATGTTACATTACAAGCCATTTTTTCTGTATGAATCACTTCTCAGCTAAGTCAAAGTCCCCAGAGCTCCAGTATCCCTCCCTGAAGTTTGAAGATGTGGGAGGTAATGAAGAGACGTTAACGGTTCGTATCTTCAACCTCACAGCGTCCACTAGGAGTCACCAAACTCTTTCAGTTTCATTGCTGAGGGTATGTTATATTATCCATTTGTATTGTAGTTTTCAGTTGCTATTATTTGATCTTGTTGCAGGAGGTGTGTAAGCTGCTGATCCACCTTCGTCACCCAGAGGTATATCAGCAGCTGGGGATGGTTCCTCCGAGGGGCTTTCTCCTCCACGGACCCCCTGGCTGTGGAAAGACCCTGCTTGCCCAGGCTGTGGCCGGGGTGAGTACTGCCCATGGAGATAATAGAGTCCTGTTGAATCTCAAATGCTGTGTTGCAAGTTCTGTTAAATTACCTGCCACTGGGAATACGGATATAGAAATTGCCCATCTTCTGCTTCAGGAGCTGCAGCTGCCCATGTTGAAGGTGTCCGCTCCAGAGCTGGTGTCTGGAGTGTCCGGGGAGTCTGAACAGAAGCTCAGAGAGCTGTTTGACCTGGCTTTGGTCAGTGGAGCTTTTCTTCTTGCTGATCCAGTATAACTGCTGTTATTGATATATGATAAATAATGTTGACCACGTCTTTCTCTCTGCCCTTGCAGAGCTCCGCCCCATGTATCCTGTTCATAGACGAGATAGACGCCATCACCCCTAAGAGAGAGGTGGCCTCTAAAGACATGGAGAGGAGGATTGTAGCCCAGCTGCTCACCTGCATGGACGGTAGGGTACACTGCCTTAGTAGTGACGTGTAAGTTCACTTACTGGAACAAGCAGACTCATATTATGTTATATTACAAGTTATATATATCTATCAAAATGAATGGACATAAACCTGACATGAGTTAAACATTGATTATTAATGTCTGACTTCCCTGTCTAATATGAATATTTTGAAAATAGTTTACAGGAACACTCCTGTTATTCTTCCTCTAAAGTTTAACCTAATGACAAGAAACTTGTTTCTGTTTATCCTTTAAAAAAAAACATATGTCATTTAAAAAGATAAATTGCTTGTTTGTGTGATGCACAACACTTAATGTAGGTGAGGTTAAGTTGATCTAAATCTACTTTTGGACATTTTAAATACCCTTTTGGTGGAATTAGTTTAACATATTAAACTTGTCTAGTAAAGAGCTGCAAGTTGAAATAGCAGTGGCAGTTTGGGCTAGCTATTTAAATTAGAGAATTTCTGTCTAGATTCTTGAGCTGGACTTCCGCGGGGGAGATGACATATCTTTGGTGTTTGCCTCCCGACAGACTTGAACAGTCTGACAGTGACAGCACAGGTCCTGGTCATCGGTGCCACCAACAGGCCAGACTCCCTGGACCCCGCCCTCCGCAGAGCGGGACGCTTCGACAGAGAGATCTGCCTGGGTATTCCTGATGAAGCAGCTCGTCTCAGGTCAGCCATACATGAGGATCCACATCACGTCGTGATAATCCAGATTATTAGTCTCTAAACACAGTCCATTTTGTCTATTTACCTGCTGGTCAAAGCTTCATTTATCATCCCTACATCTCCAGATTTCCTCACAGCTCTCTGTTGATGTGTTTGACATTCTAGTATGACTGTGCTCTTTCCAGTAGATTCCTCTGTCTTTGAAGTAAACGCAGTGATATGTGCAAATCGTTGGGATTTAGGGATTTAGGCATTTACCAGAAGATCACAATATCTGGCTCTGTTCACACTCAGAATGCTCTGTCCCTGTCAGGATCTTGAAGACATTGTGTCGGAAGCTGAAGCTGCCGGAGGACTTCGAATACCAGCAGTTGGCCCGCCTCACCCCAGGCTATGTGGGCGCAGACCTCATGGCTCTGTGCCGTGAAGCTGCCATGAGCGCCGTAAACAGGGTTCTGCTGGAGATAAGAGGACGGCCGCAGAGCCACAGCCAGACCTCCACTGAAGAACCGTTAACAGGCGGAGTCCTGACTGAGCCTGCTGCAACAGACGATGAGGTCAGAGAGCAACAGACTGCAGACATCATCAACCCAGTACCTCAGGAAGAGTCGGGACAGAACCACCCGCAGGTATGGAGCTTTTGCTTTTATTAGACAGGACAGCTGAAGGTTGACTGGAAAGGGGGGAGAGAGGGGGGTTGACTCATAGCAAAGACTGCAGCAAGGACTCAGCCTTTGGTACATTTTTAAACTGATTATTTGCATTTTGTCACCGTGTTCATCACAAGAGAAATGTATTTGAACCAACAGCAGTGTGAATAAAAAATCAGTTTAATCAGTTGCCCTGCTGTGTTTCCAAACATTACTGAACTTTAATCACATCAGTAATAAAGTAATCAAGTAGTTTGAGAGTGACAGCACTTTCCACTTACGGAATTTGACTTTTATTTGACTTGCGTGCTCTGTCCAGCAGGGGGAGCTGTGGCACCTGTTGCATCTGCTGAAGAACACTGAGAGTCTGTCAGAGGAAGAGTTGGCCGGCCTATCCATCCTCATGTCAGACTTCCAGGCCTCTCTGGCCAGTGTCCAGCCCTCGGCCAAGAGGGAGGGCTTCGCCACCGTGCCTGATGTCACGTGGGAGGACGTGGGAGCGCTGCAGGACATCAGGGAGGAGCTCACCATGGCCATACTGGTAAACACCAGGCCGTCTCCACATTTAACTTCCACGATCTGGACTCAGGAGGAGCTTCAGCCTTGCCTCTGGGATCATTAAGTGTTGTCATACTTTCAACTTTTAATTTAAGGATGAGATTTCATATGTTAAAATGATTCCATAGCTGCAGACCTTGTCCCTTTTTAATATATACAGAGATTTATCAAGAAAATGTAGATGTGCCATGACTGTGAGCTGTTATTGGTCCCAGAAGACTGTCCTGTATCCATAGCTACAAGATGAACAGACTGGGTTATTTAGAGTGCAGTGGTGGACTGGCTGTGATCTGGCCCACGTTTCATCTGATTCACCGTTACTGTTTGCCCTAAATTGTGTGTGTGTGTGTGTGTGTGTGTCTCTGTTTGTTTGTGTGTGTGTGTCTCTGTGTGTGTGTGTGTGTGTGTGTCTCTGTGTGTGTGTGTGTGTGTGTGTGTGTGTGTCTCTGTGTGTGTGTGTGTGTGTGTGTGTGTCTCTGTGTGTGTCTCTGTGTGTGTCTCTGTGTGTGTCTCTGTGTGTGTGTGTCTGTGTGTGTGTGTGTGTGTGTCTGTGTCTGTGTGTTGCAGGCTCCAGTGCGTTCTCCAGAGCAGTTCAGAGCTCTGGGGCTCAGTGCTCCGTCTGGTGTGCTGCTGGCTGGGACCTCCAGGATGTGGAAAAACACTGCTGGCTAAGGTTCCCACACAGTGATACCTGATAGTTACACAGCACTATTGAAATTTTAAACTAACAAAAAAAAAAAAAAGGAAAAAAAAAAAAAAAAAAAAAAAAAAAAATTAAAAAAAAGGGGTTAAAAAGGTAAAAAAAAAAAAAAAAAATATTAAAGAAGGGGGGGGGGGAGAAAAAAAAAAAAAAAAAGGGGGGGGGGGGGGGGGCGTTAAGTTTTAAATAATAATAATAAATAAAAATGTCTTAAAATATGAATTTGACAGATCTTAAGAATTGACTATTAAATAAGTTAATGTTACTTTGAAAATGCTTTATACTTTATATGTCACATTTAAATGCCTTTTTTTGAAAGAATGTGTATTGATCATGCTGCAACAGCTACAAAACCAAATCATAATGGAACCAATATGGAATTTCCTTCATATCCCACGTACCTTTTTTGCCAGTATGGATGTACAATAGGTCTGAAGTTGCATTAGTAATGGTCCTAAATTGAACCCGATGACACCTGAAACTTTCTGAAAGTGAAATGAGACTCATATAGAGCTCTGGAATCAGGAAGTGGTTAGCCTAGCTTAGCAATAGAGACAAAGTTAAAAGAATACACCTGCTAACACCTCTAAAGCTCATTGGCTAACAATTGTCAGATCAAGTCAGATGTTTTTCTTGTGTCAGAGCAGCTCCATTTGCAACATCACAGAAAAGACATAAATTAGGACAAGAAACAAACATACATACATTTAACTTAGCCAGCCCTGTAATGTATTATTATGGTTGGCTGATTCATCAAGTTTCTCATCGGTCGTTTGATTGACAATCTTTGAGCAGATATTAATTTGATTGACATGAAACAGAAATTACAGTAAGTTGTGGTTCTAGGAGGAGTTAACATGCTGGAACTATTTCTTGTTGAACAGCAGCCAGGTGCAGTGACACAGCTTCCTGGAGTCTTGTCGTCACAGTGAGGTTGCCAGATCTGCTACCTTTGTGCCTCTACAGAGCCTGTGGTCACGACTGTTCTTCAACAAACTGTTTCAGCATGTTTTTACACTGTTTTTGTTTTTACTGTTCTTAAATCAAACTTCTGTTTCTACAAAGACAGAGAAGCTGGTCATTGTCTCACTGTGTCTCACTGTGTCTCACTGTGTCTCACTGTGTCTCACTGTGTCTCATTGTGTCTCATTGTGTCTCATTGTGTCGTCTCCTGACAGGCAGTGGCCAATGAGTCTGGCCTCAACTTCATCTCTGTCAAGGGTCCAGAGCTGCTCAACATGGTGAGTCAGTAAGCTGCAGGGACATGTTTGTGTAGCAGAGGCTGCCTGTGTATTGTTGCATTGTCGTAGAGTTGGATCACTCCTTTTTAACCTCTGCCTAGTGGTTTCTGCTAGCATCACTTCAATGTGCTTGATTTGCCCTATTTTTCCCATCCTGTTTACATGATCCCACTTTGTGTCTTTCTCTTCACACCCTCACACTGAATGTTGTAAACACTCTCGGAGCAGCGCGTCACCCTTGTTGTCGTGTTTCCTGTCCTGATGTTAGAACTAACTGAAGCTTGTCTGTGCAGTATGTGGGAGAGAGCGAGCGGGCGGTCAGACAGGTCTTCCAGAGAGGACGCAGCTCCGCTCCTTGTGTCATCTTCTTTGACGAGCTCGACGCTCTGTGTCCTCGCCGATCAGGTCACGAGGTGAGAGGGATCTCGATTTACAAAGAAATCCATAAGCATCATGTTCGACACATCATTCCACAATGCTGCGCAGCAGCTGTGCAGTGGAGCATCCTGTCAGTTGATGCCAGTAGCGCACACTAGATGCACCATAAAGACAGCAGGAGCAGTCAGGGTGCAGCATCGAGATCAAATTCCTGTTTTTCCGGAGAGCTGATGTACATCTACCCTGGGAAACAGGAGTGGGGTCATATATGCTGCTGTACAAGCATAACAAACAATGTGTTCAGTGTGTTGTGAGTCTTGCGTCTAGGTGTTGGTCATATAACATTTCCACTTAAGAGCTAATGATGACATTTGTAGGTTTGCGTGCTTACCTACGGCAGCATATTCGGGCCATTATGGATAAAAAAGTGAGGATAATATTCTGAGAAAAACCTCTGAAACATTTCTTTGTTTTAATCACCTTTTGAGATTTTTCTTACAAATAAGTTAGTGAGTTTTTCCTAGCAGATTACTGAGGGAGCTGCTACTCCATCTCAGAGAATATCCAAGTTTTTTTTCTTTTTAAAAAAAATATTAATCAATTACATTATTTTTAACTTACCTACCTATGCCGTTGTACTCATCTCCTGTTTCATCACCTATATTGTTTCTCTTTTATTCTCAAAACAAAAGAGAGAAGTCTTACAATGCTACATCATATATTCTATATTGTAGTGTATATTTGTAGTGGTGTAAATCACTATATACTATCAATATCACAATTTTGACTAGATTCTTCAAATTGGGATTTTTATTTAAGATTATTCTATTTTTAATTAATTAATTAAATGTATTTTCTTTGTCAGTTTTCAGAATTTTTCAAAATGGTTTACTCATTGAATAAACCTCTGTATTAATGTGAAACTGTCCTTATGTTCCTACAAATTTTACTGTTGTAACAAATACCACAACTTCACACTGTTAAGTGGAAGTAGAAGACTGCTTTTAAACAGACAGAGATTGAATATCTTGTAAATGTAAAAATGTATGGTGCTCATTGCTTTCTACATGTGACCCACTGTGTGTGTTCAGTCAGGAGCCAGCGTCCGCGTGGTCAACCAGCTGCTCACAGAGATGGACGGCTTGGAGACTCGACGGCAGGTCTTCATCATGGCCGCAACCAACAGACCAGGTACAGATCCAGCTTCAGTCAGACCTGGACCCCCTCAGGGTAACCAGAGACCTGCTGAAAGAGGCTGAGACTGTTTGGAACAGCTGGAAGAATTTCAGTTTCAACAGTTTCAACAGTGGCAGAAAGCAACACATACATTTACTCAAGTACTGCACTTAAGTACAATTTAATTGTGCCTGTACTTTATTTGACTATTTCAGTTCTTTGCTACTTAAAATACAGTACTTGTTGAAGATGAAAGGAGACCATTTTGGCTTGTGACCTCTTTACAAAAACAGTTGGTTCTCCTGCAATGTTCAAGACCCAAAGAGATCCACAAGTTAGTCCAGCGCCACCTCAGCTAACAGTAACATGCTGCTTACACATTGATTTAATGTCATACATAATAATGATCACAGGGGGAATTTTCCTGTGGAGTCATTTTCATTTTGATTTGACAGTTTTTTTAAAGTAGATTAAAAAATATATTTTTGTATTCAGTCATGAAATATAGGATCCAAATCACTATTTATAGAGGCTTTGAAATGGTTGTCACTCTCTTGTCTTTCAGATATCATCGACCCCGCCATACTCAGGCCAGGTCGTCTAGATAAAACCTTGTATGTGGGTCTGCCACCTCCAGCGGACCGCCACGCCATCCTGCTCACCATCACAAAGGTAAGATGGAGAAAAGCACAATAATCCATAATGTAATGATTGTTTTTTCTTTTTTACTTTTTATTTGGAAAAGCATTTACATGAAATAGCAGGTTATTCCCAGCACTTCCCAGTTTGTACCATCTAGAGCCACGGGACTGAAAAAAGAAACAAATATAAATATATATATATATACTACTTACACACATCCACACGTACATATGCACATGTATGTAAACAAAATATTAAAATAAGGAAAATGAGAGGAAGAGAAGAGAAAAACAAGGAATAATTATCAGGACAGATAAATTATTGACAGTTTATTAAAGTTTTATGTTCTTTGCTAGAAAAATAAATGAACAAGACTCAGAACTGTTTTGTTGTGTTATTAATAATGTAAGTTATATTTGGTTAGGTCAGAGCTATAGAATATTAAATCATCCATCTTTGCTCAGGACATCTTAGCCTTTCTTACCCTTAGGTGTGTTAGGAACAAGTTGGGAACTTTTTAAATACAAAACTGTGAAATTATTGGTCATGTTATTGGTATCGGCTATGAGAGGCAGCAATTATAGCTGCTAGCAGTTTCCCCCTGCTTCCAGTCTTCCAGCTAGGCTAAGCACATGTCAGAGCGCACACAGATGAAACAGCTGTTGACTATGTTGTAGGGGGGCAGCAAACCTCAGCTGGAGCAGGATGTCTGTCTTGAAGAGATCGCCTTCGACGAGCGCTGCGATTGCTTCACGTGAGTTCCAGCTGTCCTCAGACACCCGCTGAACACATCCACACTGTGAATGAACTGGCTTTAACCTCTCCCACTCCACCCCTCCCTACAGTAAAACTCATTTTACTTTTTTATTATTATTTTTTTCTTTTCTTTTAGAGTGGGCAGAGTCATTAGGGGGAGATGGCAGGTCAACAGTATATGCCACATAGAAGTGGTGAACATCATCTGAAAGCTGCAGCCTGTAATAACCATTGCGTTTGTTTACAGTGTATAAGAGCTTAGAACATTATGGTTTGAGTGCATTATGGGCATCCCGATATCTCATAAGAATTAGATGGCGAGTGCTGCTCTTCTAGAATTTGCTCAGAAAGCCTCTTATTGTCAGTGTAGTGAGAAAGCCATCCCTCCTCTGGATGCCCTCGCTCTCTAGTTTGTTCCTGTGCAGTATCATAAGGCTGTGATTATCCTAGAGGTCCCAATAGTGTATTTTATACAGAAAATAGTCTCATTACAATGAAATGTCGCCTATGGGACGAACATCAGCACACATGAATACAACTGGGCTCATTGGGTCCACAAGAGTCTGAGCTTTCCATTCATTAACAGTTGATACAGTTCCAACACTGTTTGTGGACCCCAGTATTCAGAAATATTAAATACACTAGGAGAAAACAACAGTTATAATGCATGCAAAAATCAGCATGGGAATAGCATAAAGTGTGCAGACATGCACATTTTCATTCAGATATCTTGAGGTCAAAGGTCAGAGGACCCCCTTGAAAATATCCATTAAAATTGTTCCATCGCCAACACTTACCCTAACGTTCTTTAACCCCTTTCCTGACAAGCCAGCATGACACGGTTGGTACCAAAGGATGCGTTAGGTCTGAACCCGCTACAGCCTCTGAAAGACAGTAATGTGGACAAAGGCTGTCAGCGTGGAGTGGAGGAGGTGTTGCACTGTCGGTTTTCTTGCTGACTAAATGTACAAACACTGATCCACCAATCTGTGTGAGAATGAAAAATGATCTTGTGTGTCCGTGTGTGTGTCCGTGTGTGTGTCCGTGTGTGTCCGTGTGTCTCCGTTTGATCCAGGGGTGCTGACCTGACTGCATTAGTGAGGGAAGCATCTGTTAATGCCCTGAGGGCCTACCTGAAGTCCCAGCATTCCTCAGCAACTTCTTCTGGTAACTTCACACCTACCTCTGCACACACGTACAGGATTTAAAGATGGGACTGTAATGTAAAGTAGTGAGTGGAAAGGTTCCCATGGTTTCACTTTACTGTTGAGGCACAGTTTGACATGTGGAAGTAAAGATGCACTAGGGATAGGAATTTTGAGTAATTTCCATACTGGAGTACTTGTTGTTCTATCTTTCTGTAGAGATTAGCCACTTATTCAATAATGTGGCTGGTTTATTTCTTCATCTGCAGTTAACTTGTCCTGCAGGCTAAAGCTAAACACTGCATTTCATTCTGCTCTTTGCAGACCAGCACTCTGTTAGTCGTACTTTCCTCATACATCTTCAGTTGCTGTTTGACGCTCTAATTCCATCTTAAAACTGTGTGGACTGTCGCATACAGGTCACACGTACTCCTCCGGTCCCGTTGCCGACATCAGAGTGAGCAAACAGAACTTTGAAGATGCCTTCAAGAAAGTCCGTCCATCTGTGTCCAAAAAGGTAAGATGGCCTAAACAGTCCAGTAATGTCCAACCTGAATAGTGGTGACAATACTTATATTGTATTGTTTTGTTTAGGTTTTCATTTGCATTCAGTTTCTTCTACCTTAAATCTGTGTCAATGTGTCAGTGGTTACATTTTGCTCCATGGCCTGACAGTTCAGACTCAGTTGGGCCTTTTTGTTCACATTTGAATCACTAAACAGATCTGAGATGTTGGGCAGTGACTCGGAAGTCTGAGACTAGCTTCTGTGTGGCCAGACCTGACGACTTACTTTGAAAATATATATACATAAAACCTCTTTCTAATTTAACAAAAAGGGTCATAAAAGATCATAATTAAGTTCATTTATACAGCACTTGTCACCACAAAGATACAAACTGCTTTACACGGTTGAACCAGGATTAAAACATTTCAGGAAGCAATGAGGCAGTTTAAATGTTACAGAAATGAAGTGGAATAAAGATAATTACCAACAATAAAACAGATAAAACACATTGACACCCTCTTTTTACTCCCTTACTTTGAAATATATACACTAAAACCCAATTACAGGCAGGTCTCCTTCACTAGCCTGGTGTGGCTACTGGTTTTGACAAATAAACCATTAGAAGCCCTTGAAGTTTCATGGTATTTTTTTTTCATTTAACAAAAGAAGACCAGCATGTCAGATACTAAATATTCTTTAAACACACACACAAAACTATTGATACTGTGTAAAATATTCTGTATACTGTGTAAATAAACAACAGTGTGATTTTATGAATGTGAGCACACTGTGAGCCAAACACGTCTCGGTCAGTACCTGATTACTGAAGGTTCAATACCCAGCTTCCTCTTGATCCTCTGAGCTGTTTGTTAATTGAACTGTTGTGTGATTATTTTCCTTTTTATTGATGAGTTCAACATTTCAGACCATATAAAACCAACAAACCTAAAAACAGGTTCGAGAGTGCATCCCTTCTCAGTTTGATAAGCTAAATGAGTTGTCCTTTACGTACATTTTAATGTCCTGGTGTGGTTATTTTATGACACAGTAACACCTCCCAGTGCAACGCAGTGCTTCATTATGTGTGCATTCTCTGCATCCAGTCGCTGCAGAAGGCTCTGTGCTGTACTGTCCCATTACCTCCCTGCTATCAAGTAGCCAGGAGAACCGGTCCGACTAGTCCCACACTAAATACTGCAGCATTAAACTGTGGGCTGCTGCCCTCTGAATTCCTTCATTCTTTCAGAAAATAATCATTTAAGCAAATAGGAGTGTGTGCTGTTGATAGGGGGTCACATCGAGATCTCTGACTGTTTGTAGGGAGAGATGCAGGGCCAACATCCTCCTTTAGGATCCGTTTGAAGCCGTTCATGCTCCACTCTTTTTTCTGTGTGGAAACCACAAACATGCTGCGACTGTGTCCGTGTGTTACAGGACCAGAGGACATACGAGCAGCTGCGAGAGTCCCTCAGCAGGTAGACCAGACCCGCCAACATCACCAGCCAGCAGCTCGCCATTCACACCAACCTCAGTTATCAGTGAATAATTGCATATGCTGTATGTATACACGTTGTATTATGATACGGATTCCTGCTTTTATAATAAAAGTAGAAACCAAAGATAAATGCATCCGGTGTGTACTCTGATAAAAGACGTTATCAAATGTACACATCAGCTACTGCTCTGCTATCGGTGCTTTCTCTGACCACACCCTGAACTCAGTACACTCCTTCCAGCTGCTGTGTGACCGTACGCATGCCGCTGATATCTGCACTGTACACACACTGTTATTACAGATTGTTTCTATTCAGCTTGTCAACACCCAACATGCATCTCTCTGACCTCTGACCTCACTGGTAGAAGATGTGACCATCACAACAACAAATTAAATTTTTTTATACATCCAATGTTTGCTGCAGTAAAGATAAAACTGCTGAGTCAAAGAGTGGGGGGGGGGTCTGGACGAAGAACACGTAAAAGATATATGCTGCAGGCCGATATCTCATCATTTAGTTTATTTCTGTGAAAAAATGTATTCAATTGTTTGCTTAGATAGTTAGTATGTATAACTGTTAAAATACACAATACAGAGAATTGTATAAAGTATAAAAATATCAGGAAAGCTCGTCTCTGATCAATATTTACAGGAAATAATCTGCTCAAAATTCATCTAAATCTCTAATGTTAGACAAATGTCCCGCACTTACCAAGTTCACTGTTGGGGTTCATTGTACAGTTTTGAATCTTTAATGAAATATCCATATAAATGTCACAGTCAGGGGTCATCAGTTTACTCAATGATAGAAAAGGGGTCCCTTGAGAAAAAAGGCTGGAAAACAAACACCAGTCTAACACTGTTTTTTAAATGGGGATCACCTAGAGGTACTTTGGAATACTGCAGGCGGTACGTGAATTTGTCTCAGTATTAATTCAAAAATATATATAGTCATGCATAATTCATCAAATAATTATACTACAATAAGTTCATTAAAAATGTAAATGGTTTTATATTCAATATGCTGCCCTAAAACCTAGATAAAATATGCAGTTCAATGCAATCTCAGTGCCTTCTTAATGTTATTGCATGATGACAAAAACTGGTTTGCCACGGATTTACTGATGGATTCTAAACATTTGAAATGAAGCATTTAAGTGTGTTTGGTTACAAGGTTGTGCTGTATTATGCCTCTTTATACAGGAATCTTTCAAAGGGGGTCCATAAATTACATTTTTTTTAAGAACCACTGGTTTAAAAAACACCAGCAAATACATAGACATTCTATATGTCCAAATACTGACTGTGAGGTAAAGTGGTAAAATATTCTAAAATATGGTGTACACTTAATCTGATAGCTTTTATGGGGCTAAAATGTGTTTTTCTGCTGCCTTGCTTCTCCAAACTGGGCCTTCTGACTGCAACCTACTGTAGATAACAGGGAACCTTTAACTCTTCCCTGCAGTTTCCAGAAGCCTTTACCAGAGAAATAAATGCCTGTGGACTGATCCAGACTGAACAGTCCACTAATAATGCTGACTTTGTTAGTAGTAATAACAACTAGAATCATCAAGGTCATTATTCAGGCTGTGGTTTGTAATGGTGTATTTTACAGGAGAAAAAAATGTATTCGAGTTGAGTTTAAAGTCTTATATAAAGAAGTATGACTTTTCTATTTTATTTGAAACTATTTTAAAGTGGCCCTCGTCATCTTCTGTAGTATTTAAAGGCCTTGAAGGTTGTTGCTCCCCCACAGTGTGTAAATCAGGTGGATGTTTTTACAAATGTTAAATAAAATTAAATCCGATACAAAAACATCATGTAAACCCTTAAGATGTCCACACAATCTCCACTCAAAGTCCACTTACTTGCTTTTTCTGGTGCTTTCAACACTCATCAGCAGAGGAACTGTGTTCAGTTGGAGGTGTTGAGTAAACTGCGGACTGTCTGGTTGACGATGGATAAACCAACTGGGAAGCTGCTTCATATACAGTGTAGTTTAGTTCTGTACTAAAACATAAGTCCTGTTGTCTCAGCTGTCACTGATGCTGATGTGTGGATGCCCTACATCGATGTTACATTTACATTCATTCCAAAGTTGTTATGGAGCTGTAGCGACCCACTCAATAATATCGTAGGCTGATATCTGCAGATCTCTGCACCCTCAGCCGGTCACATGATCAGGAGGGGCGCACTGTAAGGTCGACTGCAACAAACAGACGAGTATGAGACACTGGAGTGGAAATTGAATAGCTGTTTATTTAACATACAAATGAATGTAAAGTCCATTTTACAGAGGCAGGGTTTTTATTTTCCACTGTGTGGTCTTTATAAATTTATAATAATATAAATGTCAAGAATCCAACAGAAGAATGGATATAGACAGACAAGATTACTCTCCGGGTTACGACAGGAAACAATACATTTATTTGGAAACCCTAGGAGAGAGCCCTTGGCCCCCAACTAACTTGAGTTTGAGGCCCCTGGCTTTCAAAGCCTTCTTCACTGCCAGGAATAACATTCTAAATGGGAAATAGTACTCATTGGCTTTAAGGTAGTTAACTATTGAATATAAAAATACTAGAGTAGAATCAACCAATTCAGTAGTAACCATATTTCTTTTTGTTCCAGGTTGCTTCATGTCCCAATTTCAAACATAAGACACAGAGGACATGACCTCAGTGGTAGCTACAACCGGCTGCGAGTGAACAAATTCATACAATTTAAATTCATTAAGCTCAGAGGCACTGATCAGGAATACACTTTGTTGTGTAATGTGGTACAATAAAGTGCACGTTAAAAAGCAAAGCGGTTGAGAGAGAAAAAAAAGGGGGGGTCATCATAGGCCAGAAAAGGCTAACTTGTACAAAACACATAAAGCAACCAACACAAGCCTCCCCATGAACTCAATACAAGAGATATCAAACAGACCAGACCACACTCACATGATGGCATGGGGGGGTTCTATATGAGTGGATTCACTCAGTTTTCAACTTTGGTCCACTTTGACAGACACACACACACCAATGGCAAGGCTGCTTTCATGTTGACCTGTAGAGTCCACAATGGAGGGAGATCTGGTCTACGTTCATTCAGCTGTGTACAGTTAATCTCTGTGGCAGGTTCCAAACTGGAGGAGGCGCTCCAACAATGTGTGGCCTCATGTTCAGCTGTCGTAGCTATCTGATGGTTTCTGGGGCTGGTTGCATAAAGACATCTTCAGATAAAACTAGTTTGAACTTGCTACCCTAATGTAAGCTAAAACACTCCAATAAAGACTGAGTTACGCTGCAGACAAGCAGAGGACAATGTGGCTCAATGTTTACCACCCGGGGGGGGGGGAACAGAGCTGACGTGTGAAGAGCGCTCGCACATGGGCTCCAATTTCTGACAGCCATGAAAGAGCTGCCTTCAAATTTACATCTTGAAAAAGTCAATTATGAATTATATCACCAATATAATTCATAATTGATCCTGAGGGGGGCAGGAGTGTCTGCACCCACTATCACAACAATCCATCCAGACTTCGCTCAGAATACACAACAAATTAGACATCTATCTCAAGTTGAACTGTTGAAGTGATTTAAGTATTGAAGTCTTTGTGCAACCAGTCCGAGGTAACAAACCATAACCTCTTGTACCTTCAGTCTAACAGAAGGACCTGGTTACCAAATCATCAAATGGTGTTCTCTTGTGGAGCTCACTTCCAGACCCACGTACACAACCTCTGAACGGATTAATATGCAGGAAGCTGTTAGGTTTATTGGGTGAGTCGGGACACTGCTGCTTTGTTCCTGAGAAGCTTTCGGTTGAAGTTACTCCTGCTTGACGTCTCCCTTCAGCTTCCTCTTGATCCGAGAGTACGGGCTCAGCGCGTCGTCCATGATGAAGTCGTACAGGACCTTGACCCACGACGTGTACTGAGGCAGGTCATCGTAATACTCTGCTGCTATTTTCTTCACCTGGAAAGCAAAAAGAACATTTCAGACAGTTCACGTTTCACAGAGTCCTGTGCATGCTTTCATGTTTGAAACATAGTGATCATTTTATACTTTCACTTTTGTTTCCACACAGTGAAACAGCAGGGTTGGGTGCTTTTAATGTGGCTCTGACAGCCTGCTGACTGTTGTGATTAACTGTGGGTGGACAGAGCTGATAAAGCCTGTGGATATCAAACTAATTCTGTAATGCTAAAGCTGAGGTTCTCACTTTGGTCATTTATTCTAGTAATCTGTCTACAGGCAAGTAAACAATTAGAGGCAATTTCAATTATTCCAATAATTAGAATCCCACTGCATACTTTCTTCCTGGAAATGACTGAGCCTCAAAATAAATAATTACCAAACCCTTGTGCTGCTGTTTCAGTCTGCCTCAAGTATGTAGTAAATGAACTACAGTGTCTTTTTACAGGCTTTTTGTGATGTGCCCCACGCACTGGATGATGTGTTTACAGCGCTATTCAGTAGATAATTGTTGTTTTATAGTGTCTTATCTTTACTGCTGAAGATTTCACTTTATCTTCCTGCTGCTCTGATTAAATAACACATTCGATGGTTGGCAGGTGTTAATTTCACCCTCTTCATATCTATAGTAAAAATAGTCAGAATATACACATATACACATTTAGCATTTACCTGTTAACTTTTAGTATGAATTTATAGCATGTTAAATGCTAGCTGTTTACATATTAAGTCTATCACGTTAGCACACTAAGGTTAGCGTGCAATTGCATTAATCTAGACAGCAGTTGTCGGGGAGGACTGACTGTGACCTGTGCTGAGTTTTAAAGCAATGCTGTAAAGTGTAACCGTTAGTATTTTTCTGTTAGATGCTAAACTGCATTACGCTGTACTTAAATCAGTGCAACGGGAAGATTGAATCTAATAATAATAATAATAATAATAATCATCATTATCAGGGAGTGTACATTTACAGTCCTTACACACACTTACTGAAAGAACCAGATTTGAAGTGTTCACCACCCATATCTACAAATGTAACAATAGAAGTGAGAAGGGTCAAAGGTAGATACATTCCTTTTGGACCCACCACCATGACCTAATTATCTCATCATCTGGAGATAACAAACGGTCCTTGCATCATTTCTTAAAGACACTGATTTAATTGGTGTTATCTGAATTTCTAACCCTCTCTGGTTAGAACTCCCTTTGTCTCAAGATTGGCGTAGAAAACTAAAACCTCCATCTTGTTGGTGCTGCATTCTTGATTCTTTTCAGTTGTCGTGTGTTGTTTTTAATGCTACGTGGTCAATGACAATCCTAACTAGCTAACTATCCAAGTGGGTTTGATCATTAAGTTAACCAAAGAAGCGAGAAGAGATTGGGGCAAAAATGCCTGCATATAGTACAGCAACCATATTTTACCCTGAGACAGTGAAATGACTGAAGTGTTGATGTGAAACAACACACGGCCACAGTTGCACATTCAGTGTTTGTCAGAGGATTTAGTTAAGCTGCCTGCCTAGACACATTTGTCTCCGCCCAAATTCTTTTCTTTTTTACTAACCTCAAGGAAGGAAGTGTTACCGACAGTGCGGCCTGATTCAAAAGTCTGCCACTTAACAATAGACCTTTTTCACAGTAGCCATTTTGGCATCAAATAGTAGGGTAAACAATGGTGTTTTAATGATACTACTTCAAAATCTGTTCCATTTAGTGTAGCAGAGTCTCTCCACTCAGACAACATGCATGTATCCTTGGTAACACCTGTGTTTACCCTACTATTTCATGTCAAAATGGCTGCTGTGAAAAAGACCTCGGTGGGTAACAATTCAATTCAATGTGTATTTTTTGTATAGCACCAATTCATAACAGAAGTTATCTCAGGACACTTTTCAAATAGAGCAGGTCTAGACCGAACTCTTTATAACATTATTTACAGAGACCCAACAGTACCACCATGAGCAAGACCTTGGCGACGGGGGCAAGGAAAAACTGCCATTTAAGAGGCAGAAACCTAGGACAGATCCTTCGACTCTAGGTGGGTGGTCGTCTGTCTCGACCAGTTGGGGTCCAGTCACCCAGTTGTACTAACCATGGGCAGTCTGCGTCCTGGGATGCTGGGGAAATCATGGTGCTCGTTGTGGTAGCCCACATTGAAGGTGAGCAGGTTGAGGGAGCCGTAGTAAGAGTAGGTCTCGTGACCCTTGAGGAACATGTAGTGCTCAGCTATGAAGTGACCAGAAATCGGGTGCAAGCCCATGCCCAACATGGAGCCGGCCAGCATGTAGACCACGGGCTTGGCCCCCCACAGCCAGTAAAGCAGGAAGTCAAAGGTGAGCTGTACGGCCACGTTGGTCAGCTCCAGCTGAGTGATGGGTTTGGGGTTGATGCACAGGGGTCGGATGGCATAGAACAACGGCTGCAAAATAATCCAGACGAACTTCCGGAAGCGCGTGCAGAAGAACCAGCCTTCGAACTCAGTGGGGATGTCTACATCTACGCCGTCTCCTCCCAGGTAGCGGTGATGGTCCAGGTGATAGCGTTTGAAGGAGGCAGAGTAGGGCAGGCCGATAGGCAGGTTGGCAAACATGGCAAAGTAGCGGTTCCACATGGCCTTGTTGTTTCCAAAGGCCGTGTTGTGGGAGACCTCGTGAATAGCAAGGGTCATTGAGTGGTTGATACAGCTCCCGAAGGCATAAGTCCAGAACAAAACCCATTTCCAGTCCAAGTCTTTGACCAGGTAGAAAGCTAAAAACTGTATAGCCACCATCATGCACACAATCCATTTCAGCCTCGGGTCAGGACCCATCAACGACTTGATTTCTGGGTATTTGGCTGCAGGAGAAAAGCAAGAGTTCAATTCAGTGAGGGTTCATATGCTGGAAAGAAAACAGTGTATCAGGTCCTCAGATTTCAATCAGTGGATGTGTCAATGTGAAAAGAACAGAGCTTTGATACGTCTGCATTATTTGTTCAATGAGATGTACTATGAAGAAAAGCATGCTGGGTACAGAGACACATTTCAGTGTAGCTGAGTGACTGATTGGCCCCTTGTGAAATGTATTTTACCATTCCATTCTCCGATAAGGCAGCAGTAAAAATCCGTCACCTGCAGTGCCGTGGCACAACCAGTACTCTATACAACATTCAGATACCCACTGGCCCCCCGTCATAGGCTCTGAAATGTAGCTCACATTAGTCGTATGACATATATGATTTGCTATTAGGTCCGCTTGTTCTCTCAAATGCTAAAGATTCCTTCTAACTAGTTGATATTTATATGATCTTCTAGATGATCTTTTTTGGTAACTTAATAGACAAATTGTAAATCTGCTGTCAATTACTATATTTCTGTACACCTGCTACATTTATAATGTGTTGCAAGTCATCTTATCAACAATTAATATGAAGATGTATATAATCAATATTTTTTTAATCAAAAGAATAAGTGGGTCACACTTTATTGCAATTGAACACTGTTGTAATAAAAGAGAATGAAAGAGAAAGCAAGCCAGTTCAGATCCTGTTAGCTAACATCGTAAGTGGTCATTCCCATTTGGAGATATTTATCTTATTTTACATTATTAATTGTAAGAAAATGGAAATGTTATCCTTCAAATACTACTTATACTAATAATTCTTGCAAATCAGTCATGCCAGACTGCTGGCAGACAGCTGATATTGGCTACTTTTGTCTCTCACCTCTCTAACTGGGGCAGCAATGGAGATGTAGGCTGTAGCTATGAAATAAATCCTTTTATCAGATCTTTCTTATCTAACTCACTACAGGGAGATTAAAGAATAGTAACCATGTAAGGGGATTTCAGGTGACTTGCTCAAGACGTCATTCAGCTCCAGGCCTTTTGCACAAGTTTGAGGACACTCAAAAATTTTGAGCAATAATCCACCAGACTTATGGTTAAATTTCTACTAGCCAGTGAAAATTATTACTTGTGTTCAATGTTAATGTTTTTATTTTAACATGTCTTGTTGGGCAAGTGGGTCTAAAAACTACTTGCCCAAAGTCAGTTTTTACAGATTGTTTCATTTATTAGTGGTTATAAAATAACAAAGACCATTAAAAGACCAAAGTACAATAATGCCAATAAATCTTCCATCAGCATCCATCAACTACAAAATAACTCAATTTAAAAGCGTTGCCCTGGGCAATCCTGAGTGTTGCACCCCGCCCAGTACTGAGGCATGTACTGCATGTCTCTCCTTCGTGAAGACAGAGGGGGACAGCTCAGATTTCTCTGTATAACCGGCAGCCAGGCTGTTAGGGTAAATTAATGTTTCAGTGTTTCAGGTCATTGGGTCAGCCTTGACTCTCCAAATACTAGAACCCTGTCAATCATCTCCAGCAGTAACAGCCATGGTTTATCTCTTCCCCATTGCATGACATTGCGGTTGCAGTGTTTCATTCTCATATAAAATTCTGATGGATCAAGCTGTGAGCTGGTGTGTTTGTTTAATGACAAGAGGCACTGTGGAAGCTGACAGGAGTTGGTAGTTATCAGCTGACTTCCTACATACCTTCCACATCACTCATGTGTTAGCCACTCTGCACCAGGTCATTAATCAAATACAGACTGAGCTGTATTTGGGATTTTGAACGTCTACTGAACACTGCAAAACTTACAGCAGGTATATAGACCACATGCTGGAAGTGCTGACCTGATTCTTTGCTTAAAACGAATATTCTGCAAATCATCAACATTTGAACAGACTTCCCAATCGTATATAAATCGTATATACTTATGTATATTTGTTATTCTGTCATTGTATGGTTTTAACTCACTGTTATGTAAATATTTTCATCCATTTTACTTTACTTAGCCCACTTATTTGATAGTTGACAGAACAATCTCACCACAGGTCCACTTAATAGCAGCACTGGAGCTTTCGATCATGTCAAACGATCTTCCACTGTGGTGTGTGATATGATCAAATATCTATCTATCTATCTATACACTGATCAACACTAAAACCACTGAGATCTTCCAGATGAAGTCAAGATTGACTCATTTTCATGCCCACTCCTTTGCCAAAATGTTTAAATGGGTCTACCTGCAAAGACAAAGACTGGCTGGTGAGAGACATTCTTTCAGACTTAGTCAGGTCAAGGTGTAAGCTATGTCATGCTGTTTAAACTGTGGCTGACTTTGCAAACAGCCAAGCGTTGATAAGGCAACTGATGTGTTTAACAATGTGCTGAACATAGCCAAATTACTGACCTTTAGACTAAAGTTGACCTATCGTGAAAGTTGAGCTGAAGGAGGAGGGGTTGACACAAGTTTCACTTGGACATTATGAATCAACCATTTAAAAAAAACAACAACAAAAAAACTGGCATCTGGCCCATTCCTCTGATTCCCAGTAAGAACCAGTATCACAAGGACATTCCAATGGGACACAACCTGAAGTTACAGGGAAATGTTTGTACTGCCAATAAATATATGAAAAAATGAAATAGTTTAACTGCAGGGCCTTTCCTTATTCCTCGTCATTTCTCTGGAATAACCTTCCAGATGACATCAAAGCCAAACTTAAAACTCTATGATAATGGTCACTACCTGTCAACATAATCATTCCGGTGGGCCGGTCAGTGCTCAAATCTAAGGACAAAACTGAAAAAATAGCACCTGGGACACAAAGATACAACGTGAGGCAATTCTACCTCTCCTCTTGTGCTGTGTGCACGCAGTCAGTGGGTGTGGCGTCTGGGGCGCGTTTGATCTTCTCACTAACTCCTTCTCTCTGGATTAGGGCGTTCCCGTATCTTATAATATGTAAATTATTTGTTTGTCCTTAGCCCTCACTGTTTATCTCTGGATCTTTGAATTAGGGTTGTGCTATAGCTCATATGTAAATAGTTTGTTTGAGCTTGTAAATATGTAAATAGTTTGTATGACCTTCGCTGCTGCTTTCTAGAACTTTTTACTTCAAATATACGTCACTGTAATGAGTTTGTGATTATTTGGCTACATAAAAACGTTCAAAGTGTGTGTGTATGTACATTTCCACAGCAATCAAAAACAGGTTTGAATTAGCACTGCAGTCTGCAGTGATGCATTTATTAATTAGTTAGAAATAAACATGTAAAAAAGTTAATTTTGAGCCCTGGGGTCTGTCTCAGAGTCTCTATTAATCTATTAAGCCTAGCACTTACAGTCCGTCTTCAGCCTTCTGATAACTACTGTATCTCTCCAACTCTCTGTCCCACGAGCACAGGAGCCTCCAAGATGCATGCCTACATCTTGCTTTCTCTTTCATTTGCTTTCAAGGGTTGTCGAGAACAAACAAGTGTGCATTCCTTCTGCCCGAGAACTGGTTAGTCTCAGCAAACACCAGATCCTGTAAACTCATTTACAGATCCTGGCTATGTTTCTCAGTTTGTGGTGTCCATTTGTTTTCTATAATAAGTCAACCAGTAGGAAACACTGCTGGTAAGCTTAACTATATAAAGAAAAGCTGAGTGGTGTTTGACATTTTGAATACTGGTGCCAGTACAGTATCTTGTTAGGGTACCTGAGTTTCAGTACCAAAAAGACACTTTTTACTTAATCATGGATAGAACTCTATAAGCTTGGAGGTTTCATAGCCAGCTCTAAATAAACTCCTGCTCTTTAGATACCATGTCTGCTACGTGTGTGAAAACACATTCAAAGCAGCCTTACTAATCCATCCTGTAGCAGTGGCTGAGAGTCTCCTGACACTGCTGCTTTCAGTATGTACTAACATGAATAATTCAGCTCAGGAGACAGCCCTGCTGTCAATGAGTATCTTTTATCCATGGATCTGCTCTCACTCCCAGCACAATGGCAGTACTTTGTGTCGCCTAATTGACTTGAGTGTGTGTTATGTTAACAGTGAAAAGACATTGAAGGTACAAAATCTACACAAAATGTAGGCATCCTCAATCATCCAAAACAAAGCCCTGGTCACATGGGACTTAGGCAGATCACCTGACTTCCATTAAAGGGCACTTTGACACAAAGGAGGCCTTTTGTGTTTGCCGAGCACTGCCTATCGGGCTTCCCCTAGACTTCAGCCTCCATTAAAGTTCAATCAATAAGTGCTTAATTTTTTTACTTCTTATTTGTCAATGTTCATACAGCAATTACAACATACAGTGACTTATAATAGAGATCCAAAGGTTTATAAAAATAGCAACGATGCTGGGCTGAGCTTAACTTTACAGAAAGCGGTATCGTTACATTTGAACAATTAACACTTTCTATGACTGTCCTGCTTATTGTCTTAATCAATTAATTATCTGGTTACATCATCGCAATTTACAACAGACCCAGGTTAGGTATTCAAATGTCTTGTTTGTCCTACGACAGCCCGAACCCCAAAGACTAACAAAAAATCAATAGTTAGAATTATAGCTGAGATGGCAGACAGTTTATCGGCTATTGTTTATCAATTCATCTTTTCATCAACTTTCAAACAAAAATGCCACTCCGTCTCAGATGTCCTGTTTTTCTCTGTTTACTAGGGAGTAACGGATTATGTAACTGAGTAACATAATAAGGATACAAAAAAGTTAGTTATAAGATTACAGTTACATTTAGTAAGAAGTTATTTAGCAGGATTACAATTTTAACATACATCAGTTTCTTTAAAAACATTGTTGATGCTAAAAATCTTTTTCTCTTCAAAAGGTTAAATTCCTCTTTTGTCTTATATAATGTGATGAGGTCATTGGAAGTAACGTAAAGTAATCCCGTTAATTTAACATTCTGACACTAGGATTACATTACAGACTACAGATACGTGTCTTTCTAGTCTTCCGTTGTTGTGTAACGTTAGGTGTAACGCCGTCCATCTCCGGCACTGTGAACCGTTAGCGCAACTTCTGCTGTTTGAAGCTCACAGTCACTTTAGCCGTTTCAGGGAGTGGCGAAATGTCTCCTGGGGCTGTAACGCTGTACCGCTAATATAACATTAAGCTAACTAGCTGAAACTAGCGTGTACATACACAACGTTAACGTTACATATCTCCATTGTTATAAAACAGCCATTGGTGGTGGCTGAGAGTCAGTAAAACGGTCGTTAACTATTCACCGACATTAACCTGTGTCTGCTCGCTAGCACTTACCTAGCAAATACCCGGCGGATATGAAACCGTTAGCTAACGTTTAGTTAGCAAACCGAGCCAGCGTACTGCTGGTAGTATAGCTATTTAAGCACCATCACACGTTTACCTATCGCTACAAGTCCCAACAGACACCCAGCTGAGTTAACACTTATATCTAAAGTTAAGTAACGTTAGGTTTATCCAAAACCTGCTAACGGAAGGTAACGTTAGCTCACCCAGGATCTCTTTTCTCCTGTCGGCATGCGGCTGGTCCGTATACACCCATTCGTAGTCTTCACGGGCGACCCGGTTCCCCATCTTTTTTATTACTCTTTGAAACAACTTCCTGAGACAGGTAAGTATCCAAATATCACACGGTCGTTTTAAAAGAGAACTTCTGTGGTTCTCCTCTGTGGTTCTCCTCTCCTCAGTGAGTGTGTGTGACCTGCCCGAACATCAGTCGGCTCTGCCCGCTCTCCGCAGCTCCTCCCCCCGGCAGGCCTGTCACTATATAACATGTCCAATTACAATTACATAACAGCAGCTCATCCTCCTTTCATTGTTAGCCAGACTATTAACTATTGCAGCACTTTGTTGCTATAAAAAGCTTTATTGAACTTATGCCTTTAATAGCAATGGAACTGTTTATTATAGGCCTAATTACTTGAATCATGCCTATTAAAGCAATTTTTATAAAAATAACTTTTTGTCATATTTGCTGAAACTTTCCCTATATCCTGACAGTAGAACATGAGACAGATAATCTGTGAAACAATCAGGTTCCTCTGGCTTCTTCTGGTGCTCCTAATGATATCTGCAAGAATGAACCGGGCCTTTACAAAAACAACCAATCAGAGCGGAGGAAGATAGCTGAGTGTTGAGTCTCATCCCCTTGGTGCCATATAAAGACGCTTTGGGACTCTCTGGGAATGAGAGTCAGTGATCAACCATCTTAAAGCCCCTATCCCAAAGCGTCTTTGTATCTTTCTCTGCTCTGATTGGTTGTTTTTGTTCAGGCCCGGTGGATTCTAACAAATGCCATTAGGAGCACTAGGAGGAATCTGATTTTTTTCACAGATTATGTACTTGTGTCAGTGTGTAGTGAAAGTTTTGGTAAATATTACAAAAAGTTATTTTTATAAAAATGACCTACTGCAGCTCCAGAAACAATAGAGAGGACAACACCTCTGTGTACTCAATGGTAGCTACAGACCTGGGTGTCGAAATAGTTGACTGCTATGGCTGGGTAAACCCTTACTTACATCATTACTTACCTCTTCAGAAAATAAAGGATTTGAACAAATTCCCAGTGTAAACTTAACACACTTCAAATCTAAGATTAAGACAACAGAAGTTGTTTTATGAGTGTAGTCCGTACATGGCAGCTGCATCAGTGTCAGTCATCAGTCCCCACTGACCAGAGTGAGAGCGATATACAGCAGCCTGAGAATATTCCTCACCAACAACACCAGAGCTGTATGTGCAACAAAGGAGAATAGTGTCCCTTCACATAAAGCCCAGAGGGATCTCATCAGGCCTAACTGGGACAACTGGGAGAGTGTTATCATGTGGAAAGCAAAGACAATTACTGTTATTCTCCAGTCACTGTAATTCATAATCTTCACACCTCTTGAAGACACTCTGGCACACTGGCATGTGGTTTTAAAGGGGTCCCAGAAGGTGTTGGTTGGGTGTAGTCTGGCACATACCGTGTACGATTGATTCAAGATGGGGAACTTTGTTGCAAGACATCCCCCAACTTCGTTTATGGGTCAAAGGGGTCTTTAGATTATTGGAATTTTCTGGTGGATTTTTGTTTATTGTTTTTTTCTGATCTTTGAGTTGATTTGATACAATGGCAAGAATAGAATGCTTGCAGGTATCTGTATTAAAATGAATGAGCTCACCCTTATGTCAGATTTTAAACATGATCCCTGATGATGAAAATACAGAAAGATAGAAATGAATGGCAAAAATATCATACGGTCAATATTTTGAGAAGCCCCAAAATATTACAAATCATATTTTCAAGGGAGCTTGTGTCTTATTAAGAAGAGCCAAGCCTCCCTGGCTCCCCCGTAGTTTGCACCCTGTGTATGGAAAAGGATGAAATGATTGAATGATGTTAAACTAAAGCATAATGATGAAACATTTATATCTGCTATCTTAACATATTCTATTTTTTCTTACTTCTTAGACTCTCATTATTAACCTTTTATTTATTTAATGGAACCAGTAGAATCGGTTGGGAACTCTTCATTGACAAGAAATTTTAAATATATATATATTTTTTCTAATTATAACATTCCAGAAATGTAAATTGGCTGTGAAATAAATACTTTACAAATAAAGACGTAAATCATAAATGATAAACCGAGGGGGCTGAATCTTGGCAAATCTTTTATGGATACTGAGTGAAAGTGCTGACTTTGATATAAGAGATACTTAGAAGGAATTAAAGTATCTGTATGAATTGTTGTAGACTCACCTCTGGCCGTAATGCCGTTAAAAATTCAAGCTGTTCCTCTTCAGCTTATCTGAGTACAGGGCTGCTGCCGCTGTTGTAGAACATAAAGACAATGAAACATTTCCTGTTTTGTTCCAGAGGAAGCTGAGGGAGAGAGAAAATGATAGCATTACAATGAATATTCTGTTAACACCAACACCAAACACTGTGTTTAATCACACTGTTCCTGAATAACACTAATCATGTGGAACATTCTGCTACAGTATGTGACCTGTACTTGGAATGTTATAGCTAAATGTTACAGCTAGATAGGGCACATTTTTCACAGCCACACGCTTGGGAAGTGGTTTTCAATTGATTGCAATTTGCAACTTCACCACTAGTTGCCACTAAATCATACACACTGGTCATTTAAAACCATGTGAAAAGGACACTTAGAGCGGTTAGTATGGGTTACCATGACACAATCAAAAAATGTGTGGAGCGTGGGTGGAGCTGAATTAGGCTGAATGAAGCCTGGTTACTAAAAACAGCCGCCTGTGACAGCACCCACCTGTCACTCAAAATGGCAGCAAGGACTCAGCCTTGGTACATCGGGCACCAGCTCTACCAGGTGAGCCATCTGGGCACCCCCTAATTAGCTATAGAGACCAAAACAGTTTTGGCTGTAAATATGTTTATTTCTGCTGTAAAGTTGGGCATTTTAATATGGGGCCTTATGGAGATTGACTGACTGCTGGAGCCAGCCTCTAGTGGCCGTTAGAGGAACTGCAGTTTTTGGCACTTGTGTGTTGGCTTTATTTGCAGCCACTTAGGTTGCCACTTGCCAAATACCTGCAAAACTACAAACATTCACATAAGCCTCAGATGCATTTGAGCCAGTTGCTAATGCTAGAATGCTAATACATCAAGCTGGTGAACATGGTTAATATTATACCTGCTTTGCATCTGCATTTTAGCTCAGACTACCAGCAGCCTCAGTGAGACTAGCATGGGTGTAGACAGTTTTAAAGAGTGCATCAACTGTACAAAACTAAAATCACTGGAGTACCCATTTATATATAAATTATGACTGCTGTAACAGCTTGTAATGGGTGCAAACATACAGAGATGTGTGGATAAGTTAAGTTGAGCTTTAATAGGTTTGATTTGTACAGTTGTAACAGTAATGTGTGCAACAAAACCGTACAGTTAGCCCCAAGTTGGCTAACTCAAAAGATAGTTTTCTTGGTATACATACATGAAATAATTCACAATCTACACTTTAAAGTACATGAAGATTACAGTACAATTTTCTAAACTGAGACGCAGTCTCAAATTAAGCCACTAGATTACATCATCTTGTGTTTTTCTGCCCAGTGTCGTTATAATACACGCTAGTGTTCACCAAGACGTGAACTGCATTTCCAAAGTTTCTTTACCAAAAGTTCATGCCATGAGTGGTTCAGGTCATCCAAACAACAGAAAAGCTTCAAACGAAGAAAACAAACGTGCTGCCACAATATGGGCTCACAGCTAACCTAGCCTCACAAGGCGAGAGACGAGTTTGTACATGAGAGGGGAAGAGTACCGCTGCACAGGGGAGCTGGGGGACGCTTCTTAAACAACAGCCGGGGACACTAATCTTACTCTGAGCCATTCTGCTGAGCACCTCTCCACTGTCACTGCAAACCAGTCAGAAGTTCTGGTAATTCCCTTATACCACCTCCGACAGGCTGATTTCAGATTTAATTTTTAAGTTGCAACGTAGGAAAAAAAAAGTGGCACAATATATTCTCACTTCGCTCTGGTGGTGTATATCCATGCAGCTAAATTCCATTTGCTTGCCTTGTTAAAAGGTGGACAAAACAAAAACAATCGGCATGGCACTAGAGATGAAGTGAGATTTTGCATTTGCGTGAACATACCGTTTGAATGTCATTACATATATAGTGTACTTAAAAAAAAAAATGTAATTATACAACTTCTACTTTGACTTTTAAAAAGGACCATAAAAGTGTTTTTCTCAATTTCCATCCATTTGCTACAACTATTAGCCGGGGAAACACTGAGTGTTTGAGTGTAGCAGCAATCTGCAACATGATCATGTCAACTCTTTACATGATGATCTGACACAGTCTGACAAATTTCAACCGTAACCAGGCGTAAAAAAAATAGGGGCATAAGAAAATATCGATACAGTTGAGTATCGTGATATATTGTATTGATTTTCAAAAACACTATCAATTTGTGTTTAAACCTCCAACCACTAGCAGTGTTGTAAAGGACTATGATTTTGGATGTTACAGGGACTATGATAAATGCTAATGCAATAAATCACCTTGCTTACAGTACGATATATTGAATCGCAGCCCCTGTATCGTGATTCACATATCGCCAGATTCTTGCCAATTCACAGCCCTACTTGGAGCAGCTGAATGCTGTGAAGGAAAAAAAAAAGCTAGGAAGTGGATCTTGATTTGTGGAATTGGAAACAAAAAAAGGTCCACTTATTAGATGTGGTGGATGAGTTAATCTTTTTTCAGACTTTAGAACAGTGATTTCAATAAATTGTTGGTATAAAATGAAGCATGATTGTGCAGATGCAAGTTGTATTTTTCAGATTTTTGTAATAACAGAGAATAAAATATGTAAAAACACTGGTATGATCCTAAAAGGACAGATGCCAAACATTGTTTTGCCACTGGAGAGCAGGTAAAAGACAAGCAGAGCAACAGAGCCGTGTGTTCCCGTTACCACTGCTGAATGTCTTGGGATCAGAGGACAATGATATCTGTCAGTGGTTGCTGAGGCACAGTGGAAAGGAAAATCCCCTTGCAAACATCTACCTCCATTTTGTGCCCTTCAGGCAAGTGGGGAATGCCGCCCTTTTTACTTCCTTAAGACTCCATCCTTCCTTTTCATGGTGATTCAAGAACTTATCAGATTGAATGAACTGACCTGAGCAGCAATTTTGGATAGAGCAACCAAGCTACAGGCAAGGAATATAAATTACTTATTACTTTTTAGATGTTTTTTATTGCACTTAACCGAAGTTAGGAAGAAGCAACTGTGAATGAAATGAATGCTTGTGGATTTAGACGTTTTAGACCCGGGTGAAAATGGAAATGAGATCGCTGATTACTGATAACATGCGACTGTGTTTATGTTGTGATTTAAGGCCTGTCATGACTCCTGTATTTCTGAAATGATAAAACAGGAATTGCATTAATCACACAAACAATGTGACCTCTATTAAACAATTTCACCAACCGACTGATTTCCTGTTTATGTCAAACCAAATTTTTTGCAAATATGAGCCTCTTAGAAAAGCATCTACATTAAAAAGCTGTACAGTCATTTTAATGTAATCTTCAATAAATAGTCATCTTAGCTGCAAATGGCCGACCATCTGCCTATATTCGGATTTAGTTAGGTGGCTAAGAAGCCCTGTAAGGATAAGTCTGGTGATATTCTATATTGTTCTTCTTGTCAAGTCCCATGTACAGAGCAGAGAGAGAACACTGGTAAAGCAAAGCATACAGGGATACTCCTGACTCATCTCACAGGCAGTACGGGTGATGAGTGACGCGGGGGGATTGGGGATACGGTGTGATCAGTCAGACCAGAAACCAAAAACAAAACTTCAACTAAATGACACACTGAGTCTCTTATTTCTTGCTGCGCAGCCGTTTGGACTGTCGTGGAAGGTCTGAGCTCTTTCTGGTGCGTTTGAGTGACGACCCTCCCTCGCCCTCCGGCTCTCTGGGTAGGGAGGCTGCGGCCACGCTGCCACTTGCCAACGCGGTAGCAGACGTGCTGGCAACAGTGGAAGACACGGCAGTGGTGCTGGATGTGGAGGGGACGGCTGTGCCGGGCCTGGGTCCTCCCATGGCTGCGGCGCTACTGTCCATCAGTTCGCGGAGCTTGTGCTCCAGCTCTGCGAGGCGGGCATTCTGCTCGGCGATCACCTGGGTCTGTTCCAGCAGCTTCTGCTCCTGGTCCTGCAGCTGCTTCTGCTGCTCCAACTGCTTGACGCGAATTTCCTGCATCTCCCTCCGCAGCACTGTCATTGACGCCCCGTTCACTTTCACCTGCTGCTGCACCTTGGTCATCTCAGAGCGCGAGGGCGTGTTCTTGGCCAGCAGGGACATGGTGGTCAGGGATGTGGATGGACCTGCCACTGAGGGGGACAGGACAGAGGGTCAGAGGACTACAGGATTTTACTGCTGCACAGAAAACAAAAAAAGACAAGATCTTGCAGGGCAAAAGTAAAAATGTTATAAGACCTTTTATTTTGGCTTAAGTTATATCTGTTTGGAGGGACAAAGGGGACCCAGACCATGGCAACTGTACGCCCTAACTGCAGCTAAAAACTAATGATTGCTGTTTTAATAGCAGATCGTGGAGGTGTGTTGCCCAGTCAGACACCATAGCCTTTTCATCACTATTGACTCTACATATTTTTTTATTTAACTGGGAATCAGGCGCCCCTCCTACACACAGGCACTGGATTAGAGATGTGATGACACATTTAAAGCTTGAGAAGCTAAAGTACTCAACCAGGGGATCCACCCAAGGATTCTGGAAGGCACTTATAATTCCATGTTGGAGATACTGACACAGAACTACAATTAAACAGGTAACTGACTGATATTCTATGTCATATGTGTACTGTTTTCAATTCAATTCCAATTCAATTTTATTTGTATAGCGCCAATTCATAACAGAAGTTATCTCAGGACACTTTTCAAATAGAGCAGGTCTAGGTTTTTGTCATTGTTTTGTTGAAATTTTCTCTATAGCTTGTAAATATTGTTTGTGGGCTTCTCCATTGTATGTAGCGTATGTTTTGCATTTTAAAAAAAGCCAATACAAATGTTTGAATACCAATTGTTTTGTTTTTGATAAATCTGTCAATTAATTACTTGTTTATTAAATAAAATGCCCCAGAACCACTGGCAAGAGCCAAAGGTGACATCTTAAAATGACTGCTTTTGTCCAACCGATCAAAATCTAAAATATATTCAATGTAGCATGAGGTAAAACAAAGAAACAGAGGCAGAAGACAAAATGTTTGGCATTTCTGGTTCATAAATGAATAATTGATTGATTTCTTTCTTTGATAAACTAACCAATTTGTCAACTTATTTGGAAGCATCAGCATGCAGTTTCTCCACCCATAATTAGTCCAATGTGTGTCAATGATACACAAAGAGAACATGAACATGTCAAACAGTTAATGTCTGAACACTCTGTAACATCTTACAGAGAAGCTTTTGATCTTCAGCAGTTCCCAGCCTGGGGGTGGGGAGGCTTTCTTGATTTTAAGGTATGTAAGAATGGCCTATATCGCAGCATTTTGACAATTTCTGTGAAGATTCTGTAAGTTTAGATGGTATTTAAAAAAATAAAATTATCCACAATCAGGGAAACTCTTTTCTGATCAATATTCACAGGAAATAATTCATCCAAATCTCTGGTTTTACACAACCATCCTGCTGTGTTCACTGTTTGGGTTCATTGTACAGTTTACAGCTGTTCTTTACTGTTATTGTTATTATTGAATATAATATGAAATCTCCATAAAATGTGTGACTTGGTCAGTTTACTCACTGATAGAACAAGGCTCCCTGAAGGAGACAGGTTGGAACCACTGATCTATGTTCAACGATGTTCTGCCACAATAATTTATTTCTATTTAAATCATGATGCAGGACAAAAGAGGAGCCATTTTTTTACATGTTGTTATCGTCTTACTGAGAGGTTGTTGAGTGAATTTTTAACTAAATGAGCCAGGACCGTTACCTGGTGCAGAGCCAATGAGACGGCCAGACAGGTCGGCCCCCGGCAGCTTCTTCTTCAGGATGGGGACAATCTTCTCATCAAAGTACTCCATGGCCATGGAGGAGATATCCCTCAGCTCCTGCAGGACCTCGTGAGCCCGCTGTGGGGCTCGAGTGGAGTTCACATAGCGCAGAACGCGGTAAATCTCATCTATCACCTGACAAACACGTGACAGCACATAATCAGGACATCGCAAATAAGACAGAAATTCAGAAGATACACAACAGATATGACTCCCTGATGGCTTTATTACACCCATTGTACGCTCAGTGGGCCCTCTGCTGGCCAGGTCTGAGAACTGCATTCAGTATAACACACCTGACAGCTATCAGAATTCTTCACAGCCAGATCTGAAGAATTGAGCTTGCTACACACGAGTAGATTATCATTATGAAACAAATGTTGTAAACATGAAGGAAATGTTCATGGTGAGAGTATATAACTGCTAACACTCATTTTGCTATTGAAGAAATTTCAAGGAATTCAGATTCAGCTACTGACTGTTCACAGGAGGCAGGTTTATTCCTAATAAGAAGAGTTCATATTGTTGACTGTTGAATCCTGAATGGACCACCCTTCTTCTACAATTGAGTTTTTTAAGCATTCATTTTACCTCTGCTCACTATCTTACCATCACAGTTTAGATCCTAACTAAGGACGGATGTATGCGTGAGCTATGTGCACAAACATGACTATGTAGCAGGCTGATATTGAAACAAAATATTACAGGAAATGCAAAACTTACAAATTAAATTACATTTCAGGGATCTCATGGTTTATGTATTTTCATTTGGAATTCCGTTTCAGCTTTATAAAATGATTTGGTTGATATAGTATCTATTGTTTGAAGGTTGTTTTGTCTTATATAACGCTAGATTCCTGAGTCAACCCAATGTTAATGATGCTACTTTATTATTAGTAGTATTTGTATTACATTATTCAGATGTTTAACAAAGTGCTATGCTGTGGAATAGAAAGAGGTATCAAGTATCTGTTTTTAATACTAGTATTGTGACAACTGTATGTACCACTAGAGGGAGCTTGCGTACCACCAGTGGTGCACGTACCACAGTTTGAGAACCAGTGTTCTAAAGGATTTGTTGGTAAATCTGATTCCTTCCTCCTCCCTAACTAAGATGTCACATCATTAGTGCGAGCTTGCTGCTGTAATGAGGCATTACAGATGCTCCTGTCTGTAAGACTGCTGCTGTGGCCCAGAGGCAGATGAGCTGACCTTTCCGGGGATGAAGCAGCAGAGGTTGGAGTCGACATATTTCATGAAGGTCATGTTGAGCAGAGAGAGGCGGGTCTCCACAGCGGCCAGGATGTCAGCATGACGGGCCAGTGAGTGGTTTCTCCTCTCTGACTCTCGCCTGGAGACAATGACAGAACACAGTGGTGAAGACAGGTTTCATCACAACTTCATTGATGGCTTTAGTTTTGAGAAACAGAATCTTGTTCCTGAGAACAACAAACTATGCAGCTCTCTATGAGGTTTTGGGAGAGAAAAATGTTTTGATACATTGTGATTCTCTCTTTAATGATCCATACAACACTAGTCAGAATTAAGAGGCTGTCCCAAAACATGGCTGAGTAGCTGACCCTTCGTCCAATTACATTTACATTCTTCTGTTAAGTCTAATGAGTTTTTCTTGACAATACAGTACAGCCCTGGCTCAGAAACGGTGGTCAGCTATCATCATCATGGTCATCGTTTATGCTTGGCTGTTCTCACCACAGACGATTTTTCTGCATTCCGAATTGCCACCAGTTTTCCTCTAACCATACATTTCATATGGCCACAGCACACATTTTCCAGGAAAACAAAGATAATTTCCAGGATATTTAGTCACTTTAATCAATCAGGGTTCCAACACGTCCTGGAAAACCTGGAAATTTAGAGACTAGTTTTCTAGTCATGGAAACACCTGTAAGTTAGAGCCCTGAATCAAATCAACTGCTCAAAGACACTTCTGCCAGTTCAGTGATGTCAGAAAGGAGAACCACGGTTGGAGCTGAGGTGAAACTGAGGCTGAGGCAAGTATCAGACCCCTTGTGATGAACCTCAAGAGACACAGAGCCTGGTGATTACATCTGGAAAATAAACTAAAAACCGTCAGCCAGCAGTGGTTGTTCACTTCTGCCTTTCTCAGTGGGCTGTCACCTGTGTGTGTCTGGTGAACAGTGAACAGGTACAGGAGGTTCAGTTTAAAGCACTACAGTTGTTAACTAGGGATGGGAATTGAGAACCGGTTCCAAATTGTCCGATCCATCAGAATTGTATGCTTCAGAGCTCATTGATACCGGCATATTTTTCTGACACTAGCGTATTGCAAAACTATCCCCTTAATAGTCAACAGTTAGTTGCTGTGAACAGTCTTAGTCGACAGCACTTTGGTCAACTTTGGTTGTTTTTAAAGTGCTTAACAAATAAAGTTGGATTGGACCCACTTCTCATTAGTCGGACAATCACAAAATCAAATAAGAACAACATGAAATCCGTTCGGGAGCTGTGCCTTGTGACTGGGATGAAACTATCAGGGAACTGCTGACACACACACACACACTTTTCTCTTGTAACACAGGGAGTCAATTACCAGTGCTCTGTTGCATATGCTAACCGTACTAGCAGCCATTAGCTACTTAGCGCTCCTATTAGATGACTATACCCTTGACTGTGAAGCTCGAAGGACAGGGGGAGGTTTGTTTACACTACTGGCACAGGAGAGTTGGACTGCTGTTAGGAGGGGGGTTTCAGGCTGGGGGCAGGAGACCCTGCAGAGAATGCTACCAGGGAGCAGGGGAACCAGAACTTGATCCAGGCGAGCCGGTAATGGAAGCACAAATAATATCATAACCATGCAACAATTAGTCGACTCATGGCTTGAACTACTACTAGTACAACTAGTGGAAAATCTTAAGTCAGGGCACCTCATGTATGTATGCTGCTGGAAACCTGCAGCAAGAAGGAGTCGTGGCAGAGAGGAACAAAGCATGGCTTCATTTGATGAAGAAAGATGACAGCAGTGCTAGTGTCTGTAAAATCATACTTTTAAGTGAGGATGGAAACATTAACAATATGCTGAAACATCTTTCTAAGCAACATGGGTTTCTCCAGGAATACTATGTATTTGACATCCTATATTACAATAACACTGGTGCTGTGTAGGCCTACGTTAAGTTTTTTTCCACACAGGAAATTGACCAGGAATCAGTAAGGAAATCAATAAAAAATAAGCAGAATTCCCATCCCTAGTGTTAACACGGCCATACATCAGCTTGTCATTTACACACCTATCTGCAACCCAAAGAATTCTTTCAGGCTTCATGTCTATTTTCTTCTGACCATAGTCTGCGAGTGCACTGCAGTGCTGTGGTTGAACACATCTAGTGTAGAGAGGACTGAGGCTGCTGCTGTCACTACACGGCCAGCACAGATGAGTTGTAAGCTCAGAGTCAGGCTTGTTTTTTTTTTTTTTTTGCTTTCAGCCTTGTAAGAAATTCAAATTAGACACATTAAGTTCTTAAGTAATCAAATTAGGATCATTTCAATGGGAAAATAAATATATATTAGTATAATTCTCATTTTAATTTGAAAAAACATCTACATATAGTAGGGATACACGATAATTATGGGGACAGAAATTATTGGTCAATACTTGGAAATTTATATTATAAAAAATTAGTGGGATAATTAAATAACCAATAAAATACCAGTTGATATGAATAATAATTCATTTGGACTTTGTTTGTTTAGCTTAATAAACTTGTGAAGAGTCAGAACTGTTTGTTGATATGTTAATAATAGTGATGTCTGTTAAATTTGGTTAGACCAAAAACATGGAATATTATATAATCCATCGTTTCTCTCTACATCTTATCCTTTCTTACCCTCAACGGTGCATAAACGACATGTTATTAACTCCTTTTTAAAATAAAAAAATATTGGTTATCTTATCGGTATCAGCCATGAGAAGCAGGTAATTACTGGTTATCGTATCCATCCAAAAATCATATCTTGCATCTCTAACATCTACTTATTTATTTCTAAATGTTCCACCGACACCCTGCAAAACCATCGCTGACCACAAGGGGCACAAAGACCCAAACAGCTGATAAACAGTCTAAGACACTAACCACAATCCAGTCTACAAAATGTCCCTTCAGAACAGTATGTGCTAAAGCTCAGCAGCAGGGGGGTTTCCTGCAGTGGTCCTGGTGTGATACTGACCTGGGCAGCTGGGCTTTGACTTGCCTCTGGCACAGACTGTGGTAACGCTCCACCTTCAGGAAGCCCTGGTTCAGGACACGCTGGCAGATCATATCCATGCGCTTACACACCTGGAGAAGATGGACAGGAGAAAAGAGGTGAACAACGGGTGATCTGTTGAAGAACCTTTTCAAGGCCACTTCAGCAGGAAGACATTTGCCCATATAGGGATCATACTGCAGTATATCTGAATAGAGGACAGCACCTCTAGTCTCTAGTATCTGCATTTGTACAGCTGACACCCCAGCATTTATGATTACATTAGGAGGTGGCCGTTTTTACCAACTTTTTAGTATCCTCATCCAACCTCCCACTGTGCACTGAGCAGGAAGTTTACCCCAGTTCACAAGGAGCATGTGCATTCCTTGACCCACTCACTTACCATGTTTGTTTGGATCAAATACAGAGACGATCTGAGAAGTACTGGCTAAAACTAGTATACACCAGAGGAAATATTTTCTGCTTCAGGAGGATAAAAGTGGAGACACTGAGGGATTATGTGCATGTCTTCAAAACACACAGTAAGCTTTGTTCCCAGGAACATTTTTCTTCCTCTCTCAATTCTCGACTCACAAAAGTCTGAGCTGCAAAACCGCAGGCTTACTGGACCCAGGGGGCTAAACAGGTCAGGCCCTTAAGCAAGAGTCTCTGCCTGAAGTAACTTTAAAGGTTAAGAGGGGGGCTACTACTTGTGTGTACCCAGGGGCCATTTTCTCTTAATCTGCTCATGCAAGGATTACATGGAAGGCACAGAGTCAGGCTGCAATAACAGGCGGCAACAACTTGTATGACTTCTTGTCAAAACCTCCAAACAGTGCATGAAGAAATAAAGATCCCCTCCAGACATGTATTAGGACAAATATACAATTAGTTTGCATGGAACAATAATGTGTGTCTGATAGGCTCAGAGGCAGAGCGGGTCGTTCCTTAATCGGAAGGTTGTGGGTTCGATCCCCAGCTCCTGGTGCCACATGTCGAAGTATCCTTGAGCAAGATACTGAACCCCAAATTGCTCCCGATGCCGTGCATCAGTGTGTGAATGTGTGTGAAAGGGTGAATGTGGCTGTAGTGTAAAAGCGCTTTGAGTGGTCGGAAGACTAGAAAGGCGCTATACAAGTACAGGTCCATTTACCATATGTTTTTTCTACAAAAAAAGTATATTTTTTACGCACACCTTAACAAGGCAAAGTTCCAGAGTCTCTGAATATGCAAATGTTGTTGATTTCTAAAGTTTTCCTGCTGGACACAAGATGTCTCCTCCTTCACTGTAAAGTCCATTCTCAGTGGATGTGCACTGGTGGTTTCAAGTTTCTACATCACCCTGTACAAGTTGATACTGGACCAGGATGACTTCCTAACTATTGGTGATGTCACAGATCATGCTCATAGACCCCGCCCCTTAAAATCAGACATTCAAAGAGCACAGAGAAACTTTCCTCTTTCAGCAGATGAATGTGAAAACATCCTTCTAGTGTCAAACTCTGCACAGACAGCATTCAAACAGCACACTGTAGACACAGGAACCAACACTGGTTTCTGACTGGAGGGGGCTTTAAGTTAAAGGACCGGTGGAGGAGCTGCAGTGGAAAGCACAGTGCACACTGGCTAATGAGTGATTTCCAGCTAACCTCAACAAATTACAATGTCTACAACGCAGGAATATCTTTACGGGAGTAAAACACACCCACAGCCCTGATCTGATTTAGCCTTCCTCTTATAGACATTCATATTGAGGGGTTCGTGGTGTGTCGTGTAACGTTATTCCGGTCTGCTTAGCTAGGCTGCCCTGCTAATTAGATAACAGCACAATGAGCACTGCGGGCCACGGCTGCAATTAGACGGCTCCGCAGACATTAAACACCGGCTTTACACGGAAGCCACAATTACTATTCAACAAAACTACTATCCAAAGATAAGCAGTGCATGTGGCTAGCATTAGCTTTGTTCCCTTTCTAGTTGGCTTGTTTTTGTTCTCCTTACCGAGCGCAGCAGGCTGATTTCATCGTAAGACAGGAAATTGAGAATCGTCTCAATGGCCACAATGGGCAGCCCCAACAGCGGGTTGTTCTGGTGCGGCTGGTCCGGCGGAGGGGTCGACTGCCTCGGTGACACCGCGACTGAGTCCAACGACCCAACACATCCATCAACTCTGTCTACGACGGCCGCCATCTTGCTTTGCTAAGGAGGAGGCGGAAGTGACGTTACAAAGGGAAGCTAGATGTTTAAAAAAATTGTTTACAGAAGGAGACAGGAAAAACAGGTCAAGAGTCTAAATTCATGCTCACAATATTAGCTTGCGATGGAGGAAAAACAGTAAGAACTGATAGGAACGAGGGAACACAAAACTGAACTGATGGGAGCAAAAATATATTTGAGATTGTTCAATAAAAAGATGTTGATGTTAGTTTGTTTTTTAGAATTTGAGATTCTGAAACTACTGAAAAGATTTAGCATAGAAATAGAAGTTGCTCTTTTATCAGGTCTTTTTTCCAGCTTCTCTATATGAACAGGCAGTATTGAGTCCCATTACTTTTAAATGTAATGTAATGTCAGTCACTGATTACATATTGCATTGCTAGAGCCGGATCTAAATATTCATGGTGTGGGCAGAGGGTGGCATGGAGACTTTAAAGCTGCAGTAGATCATTTTTATAAAAATATATTTTTTCATATTTGCTAAATCCTTCACTATATCCTGACAGTAGTACACGAGACAGAACATCTGTGAAAAAACCGGGTTCCTCTGGCTCCTCCTAGTGCTCCTAAGAATCCACCGGGCCTGAACAAAAAGAACCAATTAGAGCAAAGAAAGATAGTTGATTGTTGAGTCTCATTCCCAGGGCGTCAAATACAGATGTTTTGGAACCCTAGGAATGGGATTCAACAATCAACGCTTCCAACCCAAAGTGTCTTTCTATCTTTTTAGCCTCTGATTGATTGTTTTTGTCCAGGCCCGGTGGATTCTTACAAATGCAATTAGGAGTGCTAGAACGAGCAAGGGGAACCAGATTTTTCCACAGATTATCTGTCTCACATACTACTACTGCAGCTTCAAGGGTTGGCAGAAATATCTGCTGATTTAATCACAAACAACCACATATATCAATATGTGCCTGGAACCCAAAAACATTACATCCTTGGGGGACATTAGTAAAGCAAGTGATATTAGAAATGAACACATTGTTTTATTTCTAAACCATCAAACATTTTCAAACAAATTCTGAAAATATTGCACCTTATACAAAAAAAGTAGATTTAGTCACAAATATTTGTGTTCCACAAATATTCTATTTTTCTCTCAAAACATTTTCAACGCAAATAAAACTCATTTAGCATATCCAGCATTTACAGCTGATGCCTTCTGAGATTATTGATCAATTTTTACATGTTAAAAACCATTGTTTACATGTAAGGAGAATCAGTTACTACCCAACAATGAACACAGGATATTAAGGATGGAAGAAACAGATATTATCATCTCCTGTCTTTTGAATCCCAAGTTAATCACTGATATTTTCGCACAAACTTAAGTAAATAGAGAAACTAAGAATTTACTTTGGGCCAGTGTTTGCTGTTCTTATTTGGATTTTCTCGGCCTCCAGTTGGCTCCTTCTGGCGCACTCTGACTTACCATACCACCTAATGAGCTCTCCAACAGTTTATCAGAAGAAAGCCGCCCATCTATGATACACTGCTGGATCAGCAGAAGGGAGATATTTTAATTTGTTGATTTTCACCAGAAAACAAAAAGAAGTCCACGATTTCAAAGCCAGTTTGGAGTTCACCCAAATTGAGTTTAATCATTTAAAAAAATTTCTCCAAAACACGGGCTGATCCCAGTAAGGATACACTGAATGATGTTGAAACAATCAGTGCCTTCTCCCACAATGACATGTAGGAACAGTAACTTATTAACGGTTATACATTTACTGATGGAAGTGAGAAACTATTTATTAATAACTCACTAACATTTAAATAGGCAAACAGGAAAAATGAAGGTTTGACTTTTTAGTTGCTAAAAAGCAATGTAGCAGCATCTTTATATATATGAAAGAAGCATGCACAGATAGAATTAACTGAACAAATTAAATATGGAAAGCTCAAATAATTTATTCTACCCTTTCATTTATAATAATTTCTGTGCTGCGGTTTCATGTTATCAGCACACCGATATATCTGTGATAAAGAAACATCGGCAGACGGCACACCAGCTGATATACCAAATGGGCTTTAATATAGTATAAATAGTATAATATCAAGTATAATGTTTTGTATGTTATAATGTATATATATATAGCATGTTTATATGTGTTGTGTCATGTTGCCATAAATAAGATGGATGATGGGAAAACATACAACCTATGGAATATTAGGATCAATGAGAGGGCTGTAATAGAGAAAGAGGCAGCCATGCAGGCATTATTGGTGACGTTTTCATTAAATTCAGCTTGTTTATTTAAGGAAGCTCCTTAACACAAAAGAACGGTATACAAAATACTAGAGACAGCAGTATATACATACTTACAAGCAAGTCTACCAACCATGACAAAATCTGCTTTTTGAAAAAAAAAATACAGCAAAGTTTAGGTTGACGGGCTGTTGCGTAGTTCAACATGAGATCCTACATGGTGTGTCTGAGCATGCTCAGTCATTATTTCACTTCATGTCAGTAGAGTCCAGTTCATTGAGAAACCTCTGACACTTGGCCATGAGGACTTTGATGGCCTCTGTGACCAGGACTTCTGGAGGCAGGATTCCAGTCGACTCCACAGTAACTGCATGAGAGAAGAGATCCATCAGTATAATTACAAACTGCTGTATGGACATGCATTAAGACAGTCCCATTTCACCACAACAGCTCAATCAAAAGAGTCACATAAAAACATTAATATTGATCATTTTCTTCTTATCTTGCTGACTGAGCAGGTGTAGAAATAGAAAACAAGTCCTTGTGGTTTTAGAAGCACCAGCTGTTATTTCACAACCAACAATAGTTAGGAGCAATGACCTCTTGGAGTCACTGGTTGCCTGGCAACATCATGGTGATGACAAGAATCCGGGAAGTCATTGCACCCAGCCAATAGTCCAGCACATAACCCTCCATGAAACCAACATCTTTTGTACACATTGGTCTTTGTATGGATTAAACTAACTAGATACAACAGATTTTGTTTTCTTCAGACAAGCTAACAAGGCGAGCAGCTTCTCCTGTGTCTCCTTGTATCTCCTGGCAGTAACTTCATATTTACTGTACAGGCATGAGAATTGTATTGATATTGTCATTACAAAGAAGGACATTAATTGACCCCTCTAAGCCCCTCCACTTTTTGCTCTGTGCTCCAATAACAGTTGAGTAAGCCTCGGTCAGAACTTCAGTCGACTTACCTCCTTTCCTGTACTTGGATATGCTACATGCTGGTCTAATCTATGTTGATAAGACAACCACACTTGAAGATGGTTCAAAAGCAACATATATATAGTCACATCTAAAGTTTGCAAAAGATTGGCTAAATAACCAGCTAACAATTGATGGAAATTAAATAGCTAGTTAGCTAGTATTTTTCTGCTTTTTGTCATCTGCAGAACCACTGTTTTCCTGTGGTATGGCGCAACTGCTGTGCACTCCTCTCTCACTTTCACTTTCCAGTTCAAATATTTTAAACTTTTCAGCACCACTCATCAATTTCACAATTGGGCCAGGCAGCCAAATTAAAATCAAGCAAGGGGCAGGCTTTAGTACTTTACCACCTTCTTCCTGTTGTAATTCTGTTTACTATGCCGGTAAATAGGGCTTTCCACTTTTTTCCTGTGATAATATCTGATTGGCCGGTTGCGAAGACACACACGTACAGATGAAATGGTCACGCAGCCTTCCAAGCTTCACCAAGTTCTTCAGGTCATCATGTCGGAGGACTTCTCTGCTGCATGTATCCAGGCGACTGTTCACTACTTTGGCAACCTTTTTCCCTGAAGTGGACAACACAAGAAGACCAATGATAGATAATATACAGATTGGAACTCACTGCAGACTGATAAAGAACTGAATTTCTGTGCCATCCTAACATCTTCCCAAAGTTGCTTGGCGCTGATGGACTGTATAAGACAGATAGCAGAAATCTATGTCATATCAATGATGAAATATTGAGAGTTTAGTCCAGTCCATGTATTTATCTTTTTCACCATGCCCTCTGTAAAGTTGCTTTCTATTTCCTGGTTTCTATTTGATTTCAGAATAGTCGGATGAGGTCTCTCTTACCATTAACATCTTCCAGGTCGATAACTCCTCGTGAGAAGCAGCGTTTTAAGCGTTCTGCCTTCTCTCCCTCCACAGGCTCCAGCAGGGTGATCTCTGGGAGGAGGCGGTAGCTGGCTGTGGCCACTGGAGAGAACTTAGCATGGTCCTTACCTGAACACAGAACAGAGAACACAATTCAATAAGAGGCAGGAAAAAATACTGACTAGAAAATATCAGGGTGTCTGGACTGATAACATGATCAAAGTACATGTAGTACGTAAGCACACAGTCTGTGAAAGTGAAAGGTTTCCCACTGAGATGAGTTGTATAGAAACATTATGGTCAATATATATATATATATATATATATATATATATATATATCAGGTTAATAATATTGATAATAATCTTTATATAGCGCTTACTGTATCTTAACAATGTCAATGTTAATGTCTTGTACAAGTGAAAATATAACATAGATAAAATGAAGTTAAAACACAAAAAGATATTTAAAAACATATAAAAGTAACACAACATCTGTTAGCCACAGTTGAAAACACCGTGAAAAAAACAATTGTATCCAAGCGAGATGCATAGATACATCAAGCTGCTGCTTAAAAATTGTTTTTTAAGAGAGATTTAAAAGTACTGAGCTAGTTAAACTGAGGTGCTAAAGCGTGGAAGGCAAAGGCCCGGTCACCCTTGGTTACCAATCTAGACTTTGGCACTACTAGGAGAGCCGGAGGACCTGAGGTTATGATCTGGCATTCAAGGGATTAGGAGTTCAGAAAGGTAGCTCGGAGCCAGACCATGAAGAGCTTTGAAAGTTAACAGTAAAATTGAATCTAAATTTGACTGGTAGCCAGCGAAGTGCAGCTAAAACCGGAGTGATGTGTTCAGATCTCAGAATCCCTTTATTGGCTAGGTATGTACGCATACAAGGAACAATATAAACAATTAAAAAAAAATCATGAACAGAACAAGTTCAACAACAAAATTAAAGCTGCAAGCAGTATTGGGCGGGACCTCGCCATCTCCCTAGGGAGGGGCCTGCACAGCATGTGCCCGCCGCAGCTGCGCCACACCACGTCGCCCCACGCCCAAGCCCTCATTGCCGGAAGCCGAGGGAAACCGTTCTACGTCGTCACGCATTTCAGACACCATGCAAAAGACTTCTGCGTTCATAGTGAGACTCTTCACTGCGAAACTTGGAAATTCAGCGCCACACCATGTAAAAATTTGATGCCGGAAATGCCATCACAGTTTGACATTCGATTCAACCTGGCCAACTTTGACGGCACGCCACAGACACACCCTTCAATGTACAGTCACAAATAGCACAACTTTTAATCAGCAATGTGTTTTGACTGTACTGACCAATTTTGAAGTAGATCCGATAAATTCCCTAGGAGGAGTTTGGTCAAATACAACACGAAAAATCACAGAAAATGACAAAACAATTCAAAATAGCTGACTTTGATGCCACACCACGGACACACCCTTCAATTTACATGCACAAATAGCACAACTTTTAATAAGCACCATTTTTTAACTGTACTGACCAATTTTGAAGTACATCCGATAAATTCCCTAGGAGGAGTTCGTTCAAATGCAAGGCAAGAATTCACCGAAAATGAGCACGGAATTCAAAATGGCCAACTTTGACGGAAAGCCATGGACACACCCTTCAACGTACAGTCACAAATAACACAACTTTTAATCAGCAATGTGTTTTGACTGTACTGACTAATTTTGAAGTAGATCCGATAAATTCCCTAGGAGGAGTTCGTTCAAATACAAGGCGAAAAACTCACCGAAAATGAGCACGGAATTCAAAATGGCCAACTTTGACAGCACGCCACAGACACGCCCTTCAACGTACATGCACAAATAGCACAACTTTTAATCAGCACCATACTTTAACTGTACAGACCAATTTTGAAACAGATCCAATTAATTCCCTAGGAGGAGTTGGTTCAAATACAAGGCGAAAAGTTTGCCGAAAGTGAAAATCAAAATCAAAATGGCCGACTTCCCGTGGGGTTTGGGTATGGGTCCAAGAGTTATCGGTGAAACTTGGCACCGGGGCTGCTTTTTTAAAATCCTTTAGGGGGCGCTACAAACATGGCAAACACGATTTTTGGTATGTAAGCTACAGGCACTAGTCTACACGTGCCCTGTGAATTTCATATTCATAACTATTACGGTCTCCGCACAGTGATTTACCATGCCACCAGAGCGCCACCTAGTGGCAGATTGTTGACACATTTATTAGTGAGCCTCAGGGAGCCATGGGGAAGCATCGTACCACGTTTCGTTTAAATCACATGTGCCGATGTGGAGATATAAACTTCTCAATTTTAAAGAGTGCCACCTTGTGGTGATGGCCTGAAATTGTGCACGATGCCTGAGGAAGACATGGGGAACTATGGACCCAAGCTTGGTGTCAATCGGATATACCAATGTGGAGAAATGGTCCACTTCCTTTTTTGACGAAAAATCTACAGGAAGTCTTAATTTTATAGTGTGCTTATTTTTTGAAATTTCAAAAATCTTCTAATTACTTTTTTGCCAGGGCATTCCTCAGATGCTACGTAAACAATTCCGTACGAACTGGACAAAGCACATAGGAGGAACACGAAAAAGTAGTTTATGAACATTTTACGCTCTAGCAAAAATAATTAAAGGCGGAAGTGGGCGTGACCTATATGGGAAGATTCGGCTCCATTCACCGAACGCATGGATATAAGGTTTTTGAATGTGCGAGAAAAGATGTGGGAGTTATTAAGTAACCAAAAAGTCAACGCACTTTTCTCAATAGTAGCGCCACATAGTGGCCAACCTGAAAGCGACGCATAGAATATAAAATTTTTCACCAGGCCTGAAAACTGAGTTTTCCTATATGTTCAGGGGGGCAAAAACACAGTCAAAGGCGCTAAAAATAATAGGTAAGGAGAAACATAACAAATACAATAGGGACCTCCAGCGGTCACTGGCTCTGTCCCTAAAAAGACATAGACATATGTACAGTTATACATGTTGGCTGACACAGGAGTAAAGGGTGTGGCAGTAGTCTAAACAAGATGAGACAAGGGCATTAACAAGTCTATTAAGATCATGTGTTAAAAAGGATGTTATTTTAGAGATGTTTCTCAGGTAATAGACGCAGTAATTGAACTACCCTCTTTACATGTGAATCAAAACAAAGTTTCACATTAGGGAGCCAAGACTGTCTTGTATGTGGGATCTGGAAGTAAGAGGAGGATCTCTGGTTTATCTGTGTTAAGATGAAAAAAAGAATGAACGACCATGAAATAAAAGCGGTCTTGTTCTTTCCCCCCCGCAGACTCTGCACTTAGCTACCTAACTCTGACACTCAAAAGCTCTTACCGAGTCCTTTGACGCAGTGCATGATGATGTCCAGCTCCTGTCCTGGTCGTAGCTGAGCTATCAGGATGTCATCATGTACCGGTCCGATGCCAGAGTCTGCAAACACGTCTGCCTGGTTCCCGATGGGGACCCACTTTATGTCCTTGGAATAAACTGAATGAAAAAGAGAGAAAAAAATAATCACGTTAATGTTTGATTTTCCCCCTTGATATAACCCCCTCCCCTAACTGATTATTTTCAACAATCATTCATTTGTTTGTACGCACTGTATCTGCAAACAATACCACTAATACTTTGTTCATTTTGAGACACCTGAAACCTACCCATGTGGTTCAGATACAGCTCTCGTGGGTCAGAGGAGTCTTTGCTGGCTCTGGGGTTCCTGCTGCATTTAATCTTCAGCTGTAGTTGAATTGTGTCGATTTCTGAACCTTCTTCCTCTGCAGCCTCTTCACCTGGAATAAACAAAGCATAACCGAACCTGTTAAACGAGGGTTATGGATGTAACCACGGTTCTATGAAAACTAAAATGGGAGCCCAGTGGTCCACTGTAATGTCTGAGTAGTTCACGGTCTTACCAGTGTTCCTGTACTCAAACAGACGAGGATCAGCTTTGATGGGGATGAGGCCTAATCTGTGGGCAAGGACTTCATCCTGGACGATGGATGTGTTGTTATAGATAAACGCCTTCTCTATAGCCATGGTAGGCACCTGCAAGCAAAAATAATGCAAAGCTCTAACAATGTACGTGTGGAATTAAAAACTTTCTCTGGCCTAGATGCATAAAATGTACAATTTCTTCCCATTAGCTATCATACAGTCACTTACAAAAAGTCAGAGCGGAGAAAGAGTTTTTGGTTGATAGCTTGAAGATAGTTGAGTCTCATTCCCAGGGTCCCACGGTGACTGTATTTGACAAACTGGGAATGAGACTCAACACTCAACTATCTTTCTTGGCTCCGACTGGTTGTTTTTGTTCAGGCCCAGTGGATTCTTACAGTACCATTAGGAGCACTAGGAGGAGCCAGAGGAACCTGATTGTTTCACAGATTATCTGTCGCATGTTCTAGTGTCAGGATATAGTGAAAGTTTCAGCAAATATGACAAAAAGTAATTTTTATAAAAATCCCCTACTGCAGCTTTAAGATGTTGACATGGTGACATTAGGTGACCTTAGGTAAACATTATGTAGTTGTATAGATATGAGGCACTAATGACACATGACAAAGCCTGACTGAATGGGTATCCCACCTCTGCTAGTAAGATCCTTCTGAAGGCGTTGGCAATGGCTGCATCTATCCCCACCATGTCAAACTCCATAGTGTTCTCGTCTAGATGCACCACGTCAATTCTGAAGTTCTGCAAACAGAGATGTTTTTAATATGAGTGTAATCATACACATTATATACATATCAGTTAGAGTGCTCATTGGTTGAAAACCAAACTAAGTTTGACTGAAAATAAACTCAAAGTAGTAGTCTTTTTGGGCATAAAATGTGAAATTTTTCACTTTGATAATTCTTAGTTTCTTATACATACCTATTAGAATCTAAGAATGATTTTATGATTTTATAAATCTGCATATACATTTCTTACAGCTTAAGGCTAAAACACACCGCTGCCAATCAGCAAAACAGCCACCCCAATTATTCAGACAATGATTTAGCATAATGATGAGTAAGACAATATAGAAAGAAGTCTGTGTCAGTCCTTCTTCTCCAGTTTGTATAGATTTCTGTTAAAAAAAAAAAAAAAAGACTCTTCAATCACTGAATAAGTCAGCTGGTATTTCAACCAGATCCTAGTTTCATAAAAATGGTCTGAAGAACAAATAATCTTATTTCAGAATGTCCACATGAAGATAAAGAACAGATGTTTGAACTTTGTTGGACTAACTAACATTCTCCAAACAACTTAGTTGGCTGGAATCATTTGAGGTTTAGAAATCAGTCTGTTTGGCCATCCCAACTAAGGCATAAATACGTAATTTCTAAAAGTGCATAGGAGGTAAGAGTGGTGGCTTCCATAAAAAAATATATTTTATAAATTTTTAAATATATACTTTCCATTTTAAAAGCATGTACTACACTGCTAGGAAGTAGCTGGGTCCCAATTTGGGACAAAAAAATTATGCGGTATCAGATCAGTGCCCAGACACACGCATTTGATGCAGTATCAGAGGAATTTCTGATACTCGTATCGGTATAACTCCCAGGGTTTCGCACTGCTCAGCCTCCTCTGGAAAACTTATTCCAGGGCATGAGATTCCTCCGCAGGCTGGCTGGGCTCACCCTTAAAAATGGGTTGGCTTGGACATCTGGTGTAGAGCTGCTGCTCCTTCAGGTTGAAAGGTTCCAGTTGAGGTGGTTAGGATCTGGATGCCTCCTGGGCCATTGGAGGTTTTCCAGGCATGTTCAACTGCTAGGAGACCCCGAGGTCGACCCAGAACACACTGGAGAGATTATATATCTCATCTGGTTTGGGAACACCTTGGGATCCCCCAGGAGGAACTGGAAAACGCTGCTAAGACACCCCTCTCGGGTGTCTTAACTCCATTGTTAAGCCTGCTGCCTGTTATTCAGAACCCAATAAGCAGCAGAGACTCTGAGACAGTGTAATCCAATGTGAAACACTTGATTTATAGACAGATCGAACAATCTCTACCGATCACCAGCAGCAGCTTTGAGGTCTAAATTGACAGAAATGTACCTTCTGAAATTTCTGCATATCCCACACATCATCATAGCCCGGGTAGTTTCCAGGGTAATCTGTCGTATGTACCTAAAAACAACAAATAATGAATCAATTAGTAAGCAAACTAAGGTTACTGCAAACATTCTGATCTTATCAAGGTTACTTTAGCGGTTACTCTAAATGCATGTATGCACTGGTATAATATCTGTCACACCCCCACTTAGCTTCTTTTTTTCAAACCATAAATAAAAATGTACAGTTTTATACTGATTTAAAAACACTCTCTTGGTGCACTGCAAGCCTTAGCACTTGAATTGAATGAAAGATATGATTTTTTTGGATGTTTCCATTATGTTTTTAAATGTGGACCATATCAGATTCCAGTGTGAATAGGTCACCGTCCTGAAGTGATCCACATGACAAATACACATCTAAAGTGACATAAAAGTTGCATGAATTCTAATATGTTTCTACATTACACGGTCGAAGTTGCATACTGGACCAAGACTGACTTCGAAACATCGTTCTAGTGTCTAGTGTAGCAGTGGCACCATTACTGCAGTGGTAATTGGTAGTGACTCATGCTGCCTGCTGAGAGACAACAGCATGGTTAGTTGGACTGACAACGTTAGGCTGTGGTACTCAGTTACTGATGAAGGTATCTCTTCTTCTCTGCCACATTTCAAGTGATGTGCTGTGTAATTCTACTGTACTAGCTAGCTAGCATAACCAACCAAGAGTTGCATTTAATCATCAAAGAACAGTTATACATGACATATGACATATGGAGAGGAACAATATCCTCTGCACAGCAAGGGGAATCAATGTAAAGTGTATGGTCTCAGACAGGGCCACTCTTCATGAAGTAAAGGCTTGTGTGTTTCACATTCAGTCTTTTTCTAACGTAGAAGTTTGCCACTACTGTTGGATCAGCTGATAACTGCACAGCGTCTTCCCCATTTCCTAGACATCGTTGTAAAACTAACATTACAAAGAAAGTAAAGACAAAGGTGGAAAAGTGGATAGCTTGCATTCAAATGTACTTAAATGTGAAAGGCCCTATCTAGAGCCAGTGTCTGGTTTGTCCGTTCTGGGCTACTGTAGAAACAAGACCCATTCCCTCTGTAGATAAAAAGCAGCTCTTTCTAAGGTAACAAACACACAACAATTTTTATTTCCAGGTTATTATACACAAATGAAAACATCACTATGAATATAATATTCCATTTCTGCCAATAGATCCTCCTGAATGTTACACACTGGACCTTTAACATCTGATTTTTAATCAGCACAGAGAAACTTTCCACTTGATGTGAAAACTTCCTTCTAGTGTCCAACTCTGCACCGACAGCATTCAGACAGCACGCTGAAGGAACTAAAAAGGGGAGCTTTAAGTTACTATATTAATATTTTGAATATAAGTGATATTAGGAATGACATATTAGAATGTGGTGCTTTAAGTAGTACAGCTCATTGTGATGTTCTGACATATGATAGGAATATTAGAGAGATATTACATATGAGTTAAAACAATGTACTGTGTACTAGTGTAGGCACACTATAGACATTTCAATACAATGTTTGAAGCAATATGACTTTTTCTATTCTTCAGTGACTGACTGATGAGAGCCTACAGTTGGCCTGCCCAGCTCCTGCCCCGAGTGTATTAGAATGACGCTATAACTGCTTATATTTTCATATTCATTGAGTATTTATTCGTAAATATATACATCTATATAAACCTGTTCATATCAAACAGTCCAACACCGGTACAGCGCAGCGGTATCAAACACACGAGGTAACAGTCACGTGCGGGTCGGTCCAGCAGCTCGAGGGACCCTGACCGTTGCAGCTAGCGGATGATGATGCTGTCATAAAAACATTTTTATAAAACAGACTTACATTTTTCACATCAAATTCCCCCAGTATCACTCTATTTCGAATTTCTTCCACGTTCTTCATGGTCGCCGCCATTTTGTCACGTAGTCTGCTTTACTCCGCCCACACTTCCGTTACGTCACAATTTACAGTTTAACGCAGCGTCACAGTTAGTGTTTATACTTAACACATCCTTCTATTCATACTGCATTATCACAGTGTATGTGTGTTCATATTGAGTACTGCTTAATGTATTCACTGTGTTTATACTGACTGCTGCATTATCACAGAGCATTTACTGGGTTGAAGACAAATATTTTGTCTTTCTGTACTATAATGTTTTTCTATACTTTCCACTATTTGTTAGAACTCTTCAAGAGGTTTATTATCATATGTACAGTAAGAAACACAAGGTTTGTACGTACAATGAAAGTCTTGGTTAATGTCAAATGACAGATTTAGGAGAATAGAACAGCTGAAATTGTTTCTATTGCAGTTTGTGCAGGGTCATGTCGCATAATGCCAGTATGAATAGTAATCATCAAATTTCACCAACAATTCCCTTTTCCAGTTATCTTGTGGGAATTTCGCATTTGAGAATCTTTGCAGCCTAACATCCACTGACACAAAATGACCACAGAGTTTCTGTAATTTTATTGCTGGCATCAAGATTTGGGCACCTTCCTCTTGGAAACACAGTTTAAACAATATTTTAATAAGACATTCAGCTCTCAAACTCATAAAGTTTATATTTGGCATTCATTCTGAAAATGTACACAAAATGCGACTTAATCAGCATAATATTGTGTTGTCCACTGTAATGGTAAGTTTTGTTATTTTTACAGTCAGAGACAGAGACACTGTCAGATAAGAATATAAATATCAGTTTGATCTCTGTATGTCCTGTAAACATGTAGGTACACCAACAATGGTTTTATTTAGACAACTGCTACCCTATTAAAGGATATTGTTTCTCTTTTGATGGAGCTAAGCTAGCTTCCACCTTTGTGCTTACTGTAGACCTATCTATAAAGAGACGGAACTGATATCAGTCAGATTCATCTGACTCTGGGTAAGATGGCAAAATAATTCCCAAAAGCTCAAAAGAATTATTACAATGTCACTCTGTCAGCGCGCTCAGTTTCCAATAGCCTTACTCTGAACTTCATTTGACTTCACACAAGATGAAACATACAGAAAGGAAATAAAAATAATGGAGGTGAGAATTACAAAAGACAACAGGAATTCAGTGTCAGTTTCACAATCTGTCTTTTCACTAATCAGAAAAGTTGAGAATCATTTACAGTAGAACAATAAAGTCTCAATGTGCAGAGTTTTTCAGCCAGTAAGAAACAATCTGCTCTCTTATTCTCCATTAAATCATCAGCTTGTGTTTCACAGTGGGAATATGATATTGTAGATGCTTAAAGGTAAAGTGTGTAGGATTTAGTGGCATCTAGCGGTGTAGTTGCAGATTGCAACTCCCTCGCTTCACTCTCTCCTTACAAATGCGAAGGAGAAATTACAGTGATGTAGCCAGTGTTTGGTTTGTTCCTTCTAGGCTACTGTAGAAACATGGCAGTTCAACGTGGCGGATTACATTAAAGGCAATCCAAGACGTCTGTAGATAAAAACAACTCATTCTAAGGTGAAGTAAACACAACAATTCCTATTTTCAGGTTATTAAACGCTAATGAAAACATACCTTATTATATTCCATTTCTGCCAATAGAGCCTCCTAAATGTTACACACTGGATCTTTAATGAACAACATGATACTAATGAATCCCACAGGGCTTTACTGTGTGGCTTTGGTCAGGATCTTTATTGTTTTTGCAGCAATGTGTTCAAAGCGTTCCAAAAACGTTACTCTTTTTATACCACCCAAATGATGTGTCTGGCATTACTTGTCTTTCTGATACTATATACCAAACAACATATAAACAGGTATACAAATGTGACAATAAAGTGGGTAGTGGAGTCGATTCATGACTGCATATGTTTTATGTTTTTATTTGAAGCATGGAATAATACTATTATTTGGTGTACTATGTCATCTATAGATTAAGCATAAATAGCACTTTGTTATTTTATTATTATTATTATTATTATTATTATTATTATATCCAGCTCAACACACCAAACTCAGATCAAACTGTTAAACTAGACAGTGCTGATCAAGTATGAATCCATATCATGTTACTGCATTGATTATTTCTCACCTAAAATCGTTACACAAACAATATCATATTTAATATTTTAATGTACTGTTTAGCCGTAATATGAGATTGTGTGTGTCCAGGCGAGCTGCCATTGTTTCCTGCTAAGGATGAGTTGAAACTGTACAGCCAATGAGAGCAGCTGAACTCGCAGTACGTCACCTCCACTGGCTCCGACAAACTGTCATGGCGACAACCATAATGCCGAACTGGAGGCTTTAAAACGGTACTCCACAAACCAATGGGTAACATCATGATAGGTTCACATTTTTTTGTGTTTCACTTCTAGATTTTTACACAATGGGTTTATTTTACAATACAATTATTAGCATTAAAAAGTATGAAGGGACAGCTATTAGTTTAGCTAGGTTGTTAGCTAGTCTTTGGGGTTGGTTGTCATGTTAAAAATGAGTGAGTGACTGACAGAAGAATGACTTGAGTGTTATTGATATTTGTGTGGTTCTTATATAAGGATACAAATGCACTTATAGGAATGATTTTTCCTGTTTATGTTCTCTCGATGCAAGTGATGTTTTAAGTTGTTGCATTTTAATCTAATTCATCTTTTTCAATTAATTTTGAAGACTGAACCCATTTTTGATTTTTCCCCATTAAATAATATATAAATAAAATAACATAAGGACAACCAACCCCATGATAGGGGTGGTTGTCACAAGTGTACAGGATGTGTTTGATAGTCCATATATTTGGAACAAAATAGGATTAAGGAGAGTAAGGTTACTCCATTCCTACATACGACACTTTTGGATTCCATTACACAATGAAATACAATGAAGTTAGTCTATTAAGAATAAATTTTTTGAGGAATAAAAATTAAAGTAAAAGTATGACAACCAACCCCATACTACCCTATGTCATTGCTGTGGTAACACAGGCAATGACCTTTTGACATAAAGCCTACTGACCCTGGTGGTCATAACGTTATGCAAGCTAACAAGCTAACAAGCGAGCTAACAATTCTCTTTCCATTAAACTGAAGTTTCAGTTGTGTTAAGTTTTGTATTTGAACCTGACTTTAAGAGCCCTCCAGTGTTTGAAAGCCTTTCTTAACCCCATATAGAACCTTTCTCTTAGTTATTATGAAGTCTTAAAAATGACAAATGTCACTCATGTGTTTTTAGATAAGACAAAGATAAAATCATACATATATATTATGAGTAGAAAATCAGATTGAATATCATTTATATTGACATACAAGCAACAAGGAAAGTTGGGAATGCTGCATGTGCAATTTTCGTTGCAGAGAAATATGAATGTGGAGTGTGGAGGTAAAAAACAAGAAGTAAAAAATGTGTAAAAAATAAATTATTTTTATTTTATATTAAATGGCAAGAGAAACATAAGCTAATCTTTAAAAAAAATCAATTGAAACGATGTATCGCCTGTATTATTTATTTCTATATAATAAAAAAATGTATTCATGTGATCATTAGCTTAGCCCTAAGACTCATGCCGTCTAGCTCACTGAAAACAGTCACCCATGCAACAGTTTAACCGTGTTGTTCTTTTCTTGTTCTTTTTGTAATTTTGGTAAACTGACCTTTGTGTTAGTTTTTACTAAGAATACTGGACCACAGAAACTATCTGACCAAAGTATTTCTTATTTTCAAAGAAGGTGATCCTGAAATGTTTACCTATGTTAAGACTGTACTCAATTTTTCACATATTTGAATGAACAGAAATCAATTTTAATTTCCAGGAATATACAATTGGATTTTAGTCCTTTTCTTGATTTCTTTTTAGTAGACAACATCCAATAGCCAAAAATATTTTGAAGTTGAATTGAGTACACATTAAATAACTTACATACAACTCAAACACCAACATAGCCAATATTACCCTACCCTGAGCCTAATCCCATAAGTTAGTCAAAGTTAAATAAAACAAAATATAAAAAGACAAGAGAGAATTCGCTATGGGACACTTTGGGGTACCTAATAAAGCTTATTGTGGTTTGTCAGTTGTGTAACTGACACTTGGTTTCTTTTTATTATACGAAATGTCATCTTTTTGCCATGGCGTTCCACTGGGATCTGTTCATGGACCATTTATTGTTGTTGTTGTTGTTTATTGCAATAAGTAAGTATGTTCTATCCCCACAAGAATCCAGGCATTATACAGAAAGTTTGTGAATTAGAAAGTTAGATACAGTCTTAAAATGGTTTAAAATGTTCTAATGTTGGTCTAATGTTCTGTATATTTCGTAAAAATAGTGTGAAGATTGATCATGTCCCTTTATGTTCATACAGTCAAGAAGAAAATATATCCAGGAAGTCTCATTTTAATCACATCCAAATTGCAAAAAATCCCCAGCAAAACAAAATCCCAAAACCCAATAAAACTCATGATAAATATGTGGAAAAGGAATATATACTGAACCCAAAAGCTTGAACCATATTTATGAAAATACAGGTTAGCTAAACAAATCACATCACATGGAAGTACCTACATGTGTCTATTACTTATTCAATAAAAGACTATCATCTTGTTTCCATAGTCTGAATTCCCCAAACACATACAATATGTACAGTATTAATTTATTTTGGAGGCCACAAGCTATGGAACTCCCTTCCAAAGGACATGATCAATCTATCTCAGAGTTTATTTATCCGCTACTTTTACTTTTCTTACAGTATTATTATGATACTCATTTTCTTTTTTAGTGTATGTGCACGAGTGTGCTAACAATGTTAAGTTTTTGTTGTGACTGTGTAAGAGAGATGTTGATTCGACTATATGGTCATTTTTGAAGTTGTAGACTGGGCCCTGAGGGATAAGGATGAGGGTTAGGTAAAGTGGCTCACTCTGCCAGGCGTCCATTGACATATGTGCAGATCACTGCCCAGTCAGCCAGGAGGAGGGACACCAAAACCACAAATGCTGGTTTTCCACCAAATTAGCTTGGTTCGTTCAAGAGTCTTGGAACCTAGGTGCTATCTAGTTTCCATCAGTTTTGAGTGGAAACACTGTGACTGGACGCATCAATCGATGCACAATGCGCAACGACCTGTAGAATATGACACACCCACTTTGGTTCCCCAGGGAAACCTGCTGTTCATTGATTCACTAGATAGCACCAAGGTTCCAGGCATGAAGGAACTGGTTCAAGAACCAGAGCTAATTTGGTGGAAATAAATAAGTGTCAGGGGGTAGAGGGAGGAGAAGGAGAAAGCAAAGGGGGGTTAACCCTAAACGAGTAAGTGGTAAATGGTAAATGGACCTGTACTTGTATAGCGCCTTTCTAGTCTTCTGACCTCAGTGATGGAAAAGTCCATCGAACAGAAACTAACGCATTTATACACATTCACACACCGAACGCACGGAGCAATTCGGGGGTTCAGTATCTTCCTCAAGGATACTTCGACATGTGGCACCAGGAGCCGTGGATCGAACCAACAACCTTCCGATAAGGGGACGCCACAGCCGCAAGTATTAGGGTCTGGTTAGGGTTATGGTTATGTTGGGTTAGGGTTAGGTTGAGGTGCCTCTGTATTGAATTACATTTTATTCCCGACTACACACATTCACTATGAGCTTTACTAGTATTTATTGCAGGACTGTATCAGATGACTTTACACTATACAGGTTGTTTGATTGTGTCTATGTCCTGTAGTTTATTATGAAGGCAGACACACCTGTATGGCCCTCTGAACACACTGGCAGTGCACAGCTGCAGGAATCATCTTCACACTAGTTGAAATATTGAAACATAGACAACAAATAATGAAATATAAATCTGTTGTTAGTTCTTCATAAGTCTCCTTTACAACACTTTTTTATTTTGATTTCCCTTTTTTCATAATGAGAAAACATGTCATCACTAGTCATCATTTCATGTGAACTTTTCACTGATTCTGGTATGCAGGCATACTACCCCTTCTGGTAGTATGCAGATTATTCTATGTTCCGTAGACCTTCTGATCAGATGGTCATTTGAGGCTGAGGCTATGAGTAGCCATACTGGCTACTGAACACAGTGTTCAGGTTCTGTCCTGTCCATCACTCAGAGGGCCAGTTAGTCAACAGCTGTAGTGGTGCGAGCGCAACAGGCCGGGGTTCGGATGGAGCCCATCATCCTGCTCTTCTTCCTCTGACTGCCGGTGTTCCTGCTTTGCCGGGAGGTGCTGGTGTTCTGGCGTGACAGCTTGGCCGCATGGATTGCTGTCTCCTTGATCTGCAGCTCCAGGTGTCTCTGGATGGCCAGACCCAGCTCCTCAGGGTCCACAGAGGCCCCATACACCTCCCATGTCATCCCTTCTGCATCCCACTTCACCTCTTTCACTGGGGACTTGGGAGCACCACTCAATTTCTTGCCTCCATCGCTGTCCGTGTTCAGGGTTTGGTTGCAGGTAGTGTCACTCCTGCTCTCCGCTGCCAGACAGACCTGGGGGAACACGTGAGGTGTGACAGTCTGCTCTGTCTGCACCCCAACATCCCTCAGTACTTTGTGGGCTGTCATAGTCCCCATGTTGCGGGTCATTGTTCTGACGTGGCCAACGGGACTGCTGCAGCACTCCTCTAAACCAAAGGACTTTTGAGATTGTGGCCCAGCACCAGGAGGCAGCGAGCTGATCCAAGAGCAGTTGAGGTTGCAGCACCGCAGCAGGTGTTTGGCATCCAGGCCTGTCTCACTGACAGAGGAGATGAGGCGAGGCAGGGTGAGGTGGTTCATTGGTGAAGGAGGCGCAGCTGCACGCTGGATGTTGCAGCTTGGCTCTATTTGGCGTGGCAGCAGCTGGGAGTGTGCTGGGATGGGCTGGGGATGGCAGTAGGCTGCAAATGTATCCTCAAAGTTGGCATGATGGAAATAAGAGCCGTAGCAGAGTGCCTTGTCACAGTTAGGGGGAAGATTGACCTTTTTTTCAACACCATCCACTTTGGCTGCTGCTATGGGGGACGAGACACAGACACACCGGGTCTGAGGCTGCTGTACGCCACCTTCTACACTGCTGGCCCCTCTGCAGATAGTGGTGATAATGTTGCACTGCTGCAGCTCCATGGGCTGCTTGCAGGCTAACATGGAGTGACTCTCAGCCTTATCTCCACCATGGTAAGCAGGTCCATGAGTCTCACTGTCTTGAGCCGGGCGGGGCCACTCCCTGTGTAACCAGAGGTAAATCCCCTGAGGGAATCCTGTGAACAGGCAGGGAGGCTGGCTTTATGCTCTGCACTGTTCTGCCAGCCTGAGGGTCTCATTGATTGCATTCATGACTATCTCGTGGTGAGGTGAGGGTGTCTCTGCCAGACTATGGGGGTGGCTTGAAGCCCTGGAGGGCACACAGCTTTCAGATGGGCTTTGTTTTTGTTCACCAGGCTCTCCACCAACCACTAGACTACTGTGATTACTTTCTCTGGCAGGAGTTGCCGAATGTTCTTTACAGATCTCACTGACGGCCTGACGGCATGATTCCAAGGAAACAGCTCCCCCCAGTGGGTACAGCTCCGTCACAGGACGCCCAGCCGCTGCCATGGTTCACCTTTAAGAACAAATAAAGCACACAGTGGATGTCTTAAACTTGATCAGCAACACAACACACACAGAGCACAGAAAATGCCATAATCGATCAGTTTCGTAGCAGTTTTGTATGAATAATTTAAGAATAACTATTGCTTACTGTATTGCGTCATTGATATTGGGTTAATTTGTTCCTAATGTAATGTAAAGAAAAACTTTTAAACATAATTAGGCCTATTTTAGACAAGATTAAATTCTTATAGTTTTATTTTATCTGGATTATTGTGACCCATTCAAAATGTGGCAGCTTGATTCCTGAATAAGACTTAAATTAGACTAAAAAACCCTGTCTAATACTTATCCTTATAAAGTACCCCGACTGCTCATCTGGGCATCCATAGATCTGATTTGCAATCAATATTACTAACACATAAAGTTTTGCATTGTTATTTATCTGGCCACCAATCATAATTTATATAAATCATCATAGCACCCCACTCATAGAAAAGTGCTTTTCTATAGAGTTAGCATTTTTGCAGTGGCTAAAATGTAATATATTATTCATGGGAAGGTTTTCATTACTGTGTAATCACCTTTTTGTTACCTTGGAATGTGTGGCATGATCATTTTCACAAATGAACTCCACATTTAAAATGTTAGGCTATGAAATTAACTACAACACGGTCGCATAACTTCAACATCACCGCCAGCAAACTTCCTAGTTGAGTTAATTAAATCTTGCAATTCAAATCTACAAGTTGAAAAGTTTTAGTTAGAATAGTTTGCAAGATGTTGTGATAAATAAGTTTGCAATCACTTCAATCATTTATTATATAATGAATATGTGCACCTTTCAGAGATTAAATTCAGAGGAAGATTAGTAATGAAGCCTTTATGAGAATTGAGATCCTGCTATTTACTAGGCTGTCCTGCCAACATCTGTTTTATTTCATGAAAAGCAAAATCTCCCTCTCCAAACCACATTAATATTACAGCAGCTAGTGGGTAAAGCTTGTGTTAATAGACAGCAGATAATATGTCAGATAATAATGACGTTATACAAAATCTGTCAAAAATAACATTAAATAAATAAATAAATTCAACAAATGGCTTGATGAGATATCCGATGTGAAAGCCAAAAGCAACGTTAGACAGGAGAGCATCACCCTATTGCCCTATTACTGCAACAGAACTACATACATACACATATATATTCTAATAGCTTACATGTAAAGATTTGTGGCAGTGGTTAACTTTGTGTTGTGTATTACCCCGACCGTTAGATAGCAGTGTTGTAAACTGAGGGCAATGATGTTGGATGTTACAGGGACTGTGAGAAATACAAATGCAGATCCCACTGTTCTGCTTGCATAAGAAGACTTGGTGGTGTGTTCTTTATATTATGACAGTTGTCCCTTAAATTAGATTTTAAAAAATTGCAACATATACAATACATTGAATCACAACCCCTATATCGTGATATGCATCATATCGCCAGATTCTTGCCAATACACAGCCCTATTTCGATAAGATTTAAGGGTAACGTTTTTTTTTTCTGTGGTTAGCCTAGCTTAGCATAAAGACTGGAAACAAGGGTAAACAGCTAGCTGCTAGCTGGCTGTGTCCAAAGTTAAAAAATACAATAAAAAACACCTCAAAAGCTCACTTATTTAAATGGTGTATTTCATTTATCTGAACTGTACATAGCAAGATGGAAAAACTTTGGAACTCTCTCTTACGTGCAGCCTCGCTGGCTATAGCGTGGGTTGCTCTGTACAGGCACAAACCTGGAAACCTCACAGCCACGACAAAACTTTAGGAAGCTAAACACAGTAGTTGCACCAACTGTTGTTCATCAAGCAATAATTCCAGCGTCACTTTTACTTCTCTCTTTTTGTACAGATTTCAGTACAACAAGTTAGAAAACCAAGCTTTAACTAGGTAAGCCATTGTAAGCAATACCAGTTGATGCTGTATTTTGCTCATACAAACATATCCACAGAGGTGGACAGAGCAGCTAGTTGTACTCGCCTTTATGCTAAGCTAGGCTAACCAAGTCCTGACTCCAGCTCTGTAGGCCTATCTAGAGCCAGTGCTTGGTTTGTTCATTCTGTAGAAACATGGTGATTGTAACAGAGGACACACTACCTCTGTAGGTAAACAGCTCATTCTAAGGTAACAAAAACAACAATTCCTATATTCAGCTGTTTATACACTAATGAAAACATACCTATGAATATTATATTCCATTTCTGACAATAGATCCTCCTAAATGTTACACACTGGACCTTTAATACAGATGACATGAGACTAAAAGAAGGGATTGAGTAAGAATGTTGAGCAGTTATTTAAAAAATAGTGACAGGGTGATTGTGATTAAGTGAATGAATGACTGGATCCACATTACGTCACAAATATGTGTGGTGTTTTAAAGCGTCATGAAGCAAGTCGCAGGATCCAGACGGCAACAAGTCGGTGCTTGCTAACAGTGCCAGGTCTGAAGCAGTGGCAGTATATATACAGTATATATTTTAAGGTGTATTGAATCCCTCAATGTAGTGTGTCAGAGACATTTGAGAACTTAATTGAAAAGATGTCGGGCCATCATAATTGAAACTTATATTTAAATTATTGAAACATTTTACTATTTTTTTTTTTTTTTTTTTTACTAGATTCAACTTAAATTAAACAAAACCTGACGTTATTTTTTTAAATATTGAAATGCAAATTTACATTGACCAAACTGTGGCACACATGGATAACAGGCATGAGAAATTTTCATGTACTGACTCATTCAAGGAAACAACACGTTTCGGAGGGCTAAAATCTTCTGTACACAATCAGGCTCACACCCATTAACACAAAACAGGCTCATATGCCTGTACAAACAGATGCAATAAGAACTGAACACACGCTCACATATAAAATAGTGTATGTATAATGTATTCCTCAGGAGAAGAGCTTTTAAACATTTTCATCCACCATCTTACCTTTCACAGTGAAACACTTGCTGCTGAGGCTCTATCCTCCCCTCTTTCCTGTCCCTTTCGGATGTGTCGGGTGATGGGTGCAGTTCCTTAGAAAGCCTTCAACCTCCCTCTCCTCCTCCTCCTCCTCACATCCACAGGTGACCTCTCCCTCTCTCCCCTCTCTCTCTCTCTCTCTCTCTCTCTCTCTCTCTCTCTCTCACTCTCACTCTCTCTCTATCTTTAACTCCACTCCATTCACATAGCTCCCACTCTGCTCTCCTCCACAGCCTCCTCTCCTCTCTCCCTTCCTTTGTCTTGGCAGCCCCCGGCTGTGCAAGATGGAGGAGACCTTGAGATAATCCTCTCTTACATCTGATTACGAATGTGAGAACGCAATCTTCAAATCCCTGCTCCGTAAGAGAGAGTCGAGCGGGTTAGTGGTTGGCTTATCCGGCTGTAGTGGAAGATGGATGGAGGGGGTGGGGGAATGATAATGAGAGGAGATAGTCAGGCATCCAGCGTCACTGAGCCTCCACCTGGGGAGAGGGGAGCAGGACTGATGCATCAATGAATGTGTGCACTAGAGAGAAAATAATGAAAACACCTCCTGTTTCTCTCTCTTTGTTTCCATTCTCCGCTCCTTCCTCCTCTTTATCTTCATGCAGGTTTAGTTTCACACTCTTTCCCCACAACCCTCTTACCAACACCAACCCACTCTCTACCACTATCCCTGTTTCTATGGAAACTGCAATACTCAATGGGCCTGTGTGTGTCTGTTTTTTCTAGTCAGGCAGCAATGAGACAACAGATAGTCAAAACAAATCAGCTGGGAGCTGCTCATGTTTATGGTGGACTCAGCCACAGCCTGTTTCACACATCAACTCTTTTTGTCTCCATATATGTCAGAAAACATGGAGGAGACAAATGATGGCTAGTGACGGCTGTGACAGATGGTGACAAACGCTAACTGGAGAGAATATGGACGTAGTTCCTGTGATGTCACCCACAGGTTTGTGTTGGGGTGTTATGAAGCTTGGCTTTACCACCATCTGCTTCACTGGAGCAGGAAAATCCAAATTTGGTCAACTGCTAGGAAGCCTGGGTGGAGCTGATATTTAGATCATGGCTGACTGTGATTGGTTGCGATACCTGTCAATCAGATGTTAGTGATGTGTTTGTGAACCACTCCTTTAAAAAGCTCCAGTGTGTAAGAAGGATCTAATGGCAGAAATGGAATATAATATTCATGGGTATATTTATGTTCAAACGTAGTGTATAATCATCTAAATATAGGAATTGTTGTGTTACAGACAATGCAGGCCACCTTCCATGGAGTCTGCCATGTTTGTACAGTAGCCCAGAAAGGACAAACCCAGCACTTGCTGTAAATAGGAATTTAGGTTTCTCTTTGGCGCTTGGAAGGGGAGGAGTTGCAATCTGCAATTATGCCATTAGATGTAACTAAGTCCTTCACACTGGACCTTTAAGTGAACAATGGGAGCCAATTTATTTATTTTTTCTTAATTTTTATAAATTAATACAAGACTAAATAGTGATGGGTGATCCCGTAATGTAAGCTATTAAATATGAAATAAAATGTGATACCAAAATGTCTTACATAGGACTCAAGCATGGTAAGACTTTTGTATGTTGTGCAAGTAGCCAACGTACAAAACATAGTCCAATATAAATAAAATGTTCAAAACATTATTTAAAGGTCCAGTGTGTAACATTTAGGAGGATCTATTGGCAGAATGGAAAATTATATCCATAGGTATGTTTTCATTAGTGAATATATGAACCATTGAGTTTTTGTTACCTTAGAATGAGCTGTTTCTATCTACAGAGGGAGCGGGTCCTCTTCTACAGAGTCTGCCATGTTGAACCGCCATGTTTCTACAATAGCCCAGAATTTCCCCCTGGGATTAGTAAAGTATTTCTGACTCTGATTCTGAAGGGACAAACCAAACAGTGGCTCCAGATAGGGGTGTTTTGCGGCCACCGTAGTTTCTCCTTTGCACTTGGAAGGTGAGGGCGAGGCGAGGGTTTTGTAATCTGCACTTTCAGTGCCAAATGCCACTAAATACTACGGACCTTTAATGGAACAATGGGAGCCAATTTATATATTTTGTAATAATTTTGATAGAAATGAATACAAGACAGAATAATATTATGATCCTGTAATGTAGGCTATTAAATATGTTTTTGTTACCTTAGAATGAGCTGTTTTTATCTACAGATGACACAGGCCACGTTGAGGTACACAGCCCGTTCTCATTCTCAGGTTGTCAAATACAGATGCAAGCAGTGTTCAGTTAGTGGCAATCTGCAACTTCACCACTAGATGCCACTAAATCCTACACACTGGTGTATAGTATAACATAAACTGAGAAATCACAAGAAAATGCTACAGAGCCTATTACCACAATTGTAGACTGAATGATCTGGCGCTGGATGTCTGTAGCTGATACACTGAGCTGATGAGCAGATGCAGGACAGGTGAGTCTGCCAGGAGTGCTGATTCCAAACAGGTGTGCAGGGAGCTGTGCAGCGAACCGATTTTAGTTTTGAAAAAAAAAAAAAAACTACTACCATTTATAAATAGAGGAACACAAAACAGAGAATGGGTTGTTTTTTGATTTTATGTTTTTATTTTAAAAACAAATATGCAAAATGGGTTATTTTCTGTTTGTTTGGTAACAGCAAACAGCTCATTTTCTGATTTTGGCAATTTGGAACCACAGGGAAACAGAGAATGGGTCATTTTTGTTTTCAGCTTTTAATTTTTCAAAACAATAAAATGAAAAACTACCCATTTTTTGTTCCCATATTTGAAACAATAGGGGAACAAAAACAGAGAACGGGCATTTTTGGTTTTACTGCTTGCTTCCATCCATTATATCAGATGTTAAAGTAAAGGGTCACCTGCTAAAATGAAGGGTTGCACACCAGCTAGGAGATCAGTGAGGAGAGATGGTTATAAGATGATCCAGACATAACAAGCGGCCTAAAAGAAACCCTAAAGAAACCCGGTTATCCAGGTTTCTTATCATGCGAGGCAGTGCTGGTGGGTCTCTCTTCTGTACTGACTGAGTTACAGCAACATGGTAGAGAATGATCTGGACCTGGAGAAGGAGTTGACGTACCACAGTATCGAGTTGACATATGTGGGCAGTGTTCGACAAATATTCAAGGGGGGGCACAAGGCTTACAGCAGGAGTGCACTAGATTACTGCCAAATTGCATCGTAGTGGTTTAACATGCATTGGAAGATCTGGAGCTCATAAAAGTCTACTAAAAGTACTATTTGATTCTGATTGAGCATCAAATTGGCATTAAAGGAACCGCACTAAGCTGATTTAGGTCATATATATCAGATCGTTCTCAGTTTGTACACGTTAACGATGAATCTTCCATAAATACTACAGTTAGTCATGGAGTTCCACAAGGTTCTGTCATTGTTATGCAGATGATACGCAGTTATATCTATCGATCAAGCCCGATGAAATGAACCAATTATCTAAATCACAAACATGTCTTAAGGACAAAAAACCTGAATGAGCTGCAATTTTCTGATGTTAAACTCAGAAAAAAACGAAATTCTTGTACTTGGCCCCAAAAACCTCAGAGACTCACTGTCTCAAGATATAGTTACTCTAGATGGTATTACCTTGGCCTCTAGCACCACTGTCAGGAATCTTGGAGTTATCTTTGATCAGGACATGTAATTTAATTCCCACATAAAGCAGACCTCTAGGTCTGCCTTTTTTCATTTACATAATATTACAAAAATCCGACACATGCAGTCACAGACAGATGCAGAAGAACTAATCCATGCATTTGTTACTTCTAGGCTGGATTACTGCAATTCCTTATTATCAGGTTGCCCCAATAGTCCATTAAGACACTCCAATTAATTCAGAACGCTGCAGCACGAGTACTGACAAGAACTAGGAAAAGATGTTGGGTCCCAACATGTGCCCTCTGCCCAACTCCAGCGACTCTCAAACACATCTTGACCGGTTGTAAGACCAGCCTCACACAAGGTCGCTACACCTGGAGGCACAACCAGGTCCTCAAGAGTCTGGCAGAAGCTCTTGAGAGCAAGAGGAATACCACCAACTCCTTGCCCCTGAGAGAAACCAGTTCCATCACGGCCACAACCTTCATCCGAGCGAGACAGGAAAAGCCCAACCATCCCCCTACCAAACCAGAAGCTGGACACCTAGCCATGGCCCCGGACTGGAAGATGCTAGTCGATATTGGCCAGCAACTAATCTTTCCACCTGAGATTGCAGCCACCACCCTTAGGCCAGACTTGGTACTCGGTCCCCTTCACTGAAGTCTGTTTACATCACAGAGCTCACAGTCCCATGGGAGAGTTTAACAGAAGAGGCCTATGAGCGCAAGAAACTGCGCTACACAGAACTGGGAGCAGATGCTCAACAACGAGGATGGAACGCGAAAGTCTATCCGGTTGAAGTGGGATGCAGAGGTTTTGTGGCTTCTTCCACCATCAGGCTGCTGAAAGACCTTGGCATCCATGGACAGGCTCTGCGACAGACAATTAGATCAGTCTCTGAAGCGGCTGAAAGAAGCAGCCAGTGGATATGGATCAAGCGGAAGGACCATTGCTGGGCTCAAAGAGCATCAACAGAACCCGCTTACTAAGCCCCCCCACTTGAGAACCCAGGTCACAACCCTCCAGGAGGAGGGCGAACAAGGTATGCGGTCAGCTCTAGGCTTGACTCAGGAAAAGGACGCCCCTGCCTTGCATAGTCCCGTGGGCTGTGCCATTTAAACAGCCAGGCAAGTCTCATGATTGGGCATGGGACACAAGCTCAGGTTTGATCACGCTGTAGCTGGCTGCCTTTGATGAGAGTGTATAGTGTTGAAAGGCCGAAACACCCCCTGATTCTAAGGTACACTACTGATGATGTGTCCTGAAATTTATATCTGTCCCACGTCTGAGATACAGCTCTCACGCCACTCTCAACATTAAGGCAAACCTCATGTGCATACCATCTATTGGCACAATGGACAGTTTACCATCATGTCCCATGTTTCATGATTCTAAAATCCTCCTACTCACCTACAAAGCTCTTCATGGTCAGGCCCCTTCATATCTTAAAGAGCCCATAGTACCCTATTACCCCCCTAGAACACTACGTTCTCTGAATGCTGGGCTACTTGTGGTTCCTATAGTCTCTAAAAGTAGAACAGGAGCCAGAGCCTTCAGTTACCAAGCTCCTCTCTTGTGGAACCAGCTTCCAGTTGTGGTTCATGAGGCAGACACCCTCTCCACATTCAAGAGTAAGCTTAAGACGTTTCTCTTTGATAAAGCTTATAGTTAGGGCTGGATCAGGTGAGTCCTGAACCATCCCTTAGTTATGCTGCTATAGGCCAAGACTATCGGGGGTTTCCCATGATGCACTGAGCTCCTCTCTCCCTCTCCCTCTCTTTCTGCATTCATTCATGTCCCATTAATGCATGTTACTAACTTCACTTCTTCCCCGGAGTTCTTGTGCTTTCTCGGCTCACAGGTTCTCATGGTTCCTGGTGGAGCCTCCTCTCATGGTCCTGCTTGACTGCCATTGCTAATATCACTGATATTATTGTTATTATTATTATTACTAGTATTATTGCTACAGTTACTATTATTACTATAATCACTGCTCATTGTCCCCCATCATTGTTGTCATCGCCATCATCTTTTTCATGTTCATCATCATCAGTCACTACTATTAGTGTAGTTGTTGCTACTGTTGTTGCTGTGCACCTCTGTCTGTCTGTCTGTCTGTCTGTCTGTCTCTCCCCAACTGGTCGAGGCAGACGACCACCCACCTAGAGCTGGGGTCTGTCTGAGGTTCCTGCCTCTTAAAAGGCAGTTTTTCCTTGCCGCCGTCGCCAAGTGCTTGAGATATCTTCTGTTATGAATTGGTGCTATACAAATAAAATTTAATTGAATTGAATTGAGTAACACCAATTCTTCCCATCCCATAGCAACAAACTGTGATGCACTATGAATGTGCACTATAGACCTTTTTTACAGCAGCCATTTTGACATTAAACAGTAGGGTAAACAAAGGTGTTACTAATGATACTAATTAAGGCTCCTTTCCATTCAGGAATTCAGGCTCTGCTACACTAAATGGAACAGAACTTTCTTAGTATAATTGCTAACACCTGTGTTTAACCAATTATTTCATGTCAAAATGGATGCTGTGAAAAAGGTGTATTGCTACTGTTGCTCCTCCGATCAGTCATCCAACCTCTTTGCCTGAGACAGAGCCAGCTGGGCAGCTGGAGGAGACAGGAGTTACATCCAAGTAGCATTCCTCTCCTCAGATACCACAGAGCGCTGGCAAAAGTTCTACCCCAAACTGGGAAGTTAGCTTTTACTCCCCCTCCACCTACAGCCCCTACACACTTACAGATCTCTTTGTTTGAGCATCCTATTCCAGCTCTGGGCTGTGACTCATTTTGCTTTAAGGGCCTTTTTAACCACCAAACACCCACACCGCTTGCACCTCATATTCAGCAGCCTCAGCTTTTACATTTTCACTTGGACTGGCTGATTTTCAGCTCTTTGGCATTGTCTCTCTGTTCTTCTATGTTATCTAAGCTGGTCTCTCCTGTTAATGTGAAACATGGCTGGAAATGTTTTCTTACTTTATAACCAGTACCTACAGACCTCTGAGTCGCCGGATACATCAGATTTGTTAAGTGATTTACATTAAATGAAGTGAAAACAATTCAGGCGATTCAGTCTGATGATCAGATGACATGGAACAATATTGACTTCTGCCTATAAATCTTACACATTACTGGGGCTGTGTATTGGCAAGAATCTGGCGATATTGAAACGTATCATGTACATTACCTTACTTACCTACATTACCTATGATTCAATATATTGTGACCTGATATATATTGCGGTTTCAAAACTGTTTTTTAGGAAAAAAATGCACCACAGCGTGGATAAAAACAGAGGGAAAAAAAGTCTTTACATTTGTATTTATCACAGTCTGTAACATCCAACACCATAGCGCTCAGGTTACGTTTACAACACTGCTTTCTAGAGGTTGGGGTTTTGAATCGATACAATATCACAAAATAAAATATTGTGATACAATATTTATTTATTTATTTATGTTAGTTTTTAACATCCCAATACATTACTAGTGCTTTTTACATCTCTTAGACACATACTAGACCTTCATCTCTCAGAATGCTGCTTTTATGTCTAGGCCAATATAGAATTTATACAGGGTTCCCACTCTTTTGTAATATTATGTTTCAAGCGCTTTTCTAGGACAAATTATTCCAAAATTAGTCCCATTAATATTAATGTATAGCAGTCTAACCCAGTACTAGAAACACTGGAATGGTTTTCCTTAATATAGATGGCAGGAGAAATTTAAATGTACAAACCTATAACAAAAGATGAAGTTTGATGATGTGGTGAAGTGGCATGGGATCATGGGAGCCTTCACCACCTCTGCTGAAACCATTGTTTCTATTTGTTGCAAACATTTGGGATATTGTAAGTACACAACGGAACTACATGTAGAACATAGGCCTAGTGTCAATAGACATTTTAATGGAGAATTGTTACTTTTAAACCACCAGCTACAATTTGTTACCATTTTGAAGACTTTCCAATGCTGATCACTCCAATGTATGAATGATTGGCTGTGGTACCCCAGTGACCCTAGTGGAGAATTAGGGTTTTCTGGGACCTCAAGTATATGTGTGTGTGCTTGTGTAGGGATATAAAGAATTCATCTTATTGTGTGTGTGTGTGTGTGTGTGTGTGTGTGTGTGTGTGTGTGTGTGTGTGTGTGTGTGTGTGTGTGTGTGTTGGGTGGGTGGTGGCTGACAGCTGTGCACAGATTAAGGCTAAGATTTTCTCGGAGCAGCTCTGTGTGCGTGTTTCTGTATAGTGTTATTTGCTGGCAATTCATGTGTGTTTAAAGTATTAAAGTATATTTCTGTGTTTGGAGCAGTAATCCTCACATTCTTTCATTACGTCCCAATCTCCACAACGCTGTGATTGCTGCTCTCTGCGCTCCTGATACCAGCGTCAGCGTCAGAGTTCAGGCTCTGCCCTCTTCAGGCTTTACAGTGCAGTCTGCACCCTGCACCCTGCACCCTGCACCAGCCAATCAACCCCACTATACATAGAGATGGTGAGACCATCATTCTGCTCTCCTTTCAATGCAAAGAATCTCCTGGAACTGACCCTCACAATATCACAAACCCACATTCACATTTAGCAGGCTGCAGACTGTCCACAAGGGGAAGCTCTTTAGCCACTGTCAGACCAGTTTTTTCAGCAGCAACCTGCAGATGAAGAACAAACTCACTGCGTAACCTCGACTTCTCTACAGCAGTGCTTTTCAAACTAGTGTCCGGGGACCAACAGGGGTAATTGAGTAGGTTGTACGGGTCCCCAGCAAATTTGAGCTTTTATTAGATTTCATGGAAGTTGAAAAAACAGGGGAAGAAACAGGGTTGGTCCTTTTAATTGATTGTAATTTAGAGTGATCCCAGTTTGATTATTGATTGACTATAAAAGTTTTTATTATCATCCTTCAGTGTGTACCAATACCCACATTCAGGGTCTAAACACTTCTACAGTTACCTGTAGAGCTATTTATCCAACTAGATGGTTTTGGTGTGAGTTGCTGAACCAGATGGCACTGGGCACGTGGAGCTCAAAGCACCAAATAAATCCATTTAAAAAACTCAACATCAGTGTCTCTTTCCAGAAACCATGACCTGGTTATTCAAGCTAATCCATAGACCTTGTTGTGAGCAGTTTCAGTCATCTCAGTGATGCTAGGTGAGCTAGCTAACGTTATAGCTCAGCCGAGGAGGACGCTGTTAATGTTTACATCCTGTATGCACTCTTCCTTCAGTGCGATGATACGTGGAAAGAAAATAGTTCCTACAAATGTTTCAAATGTACCATAAGCCCAGTGCCATCTGGTTTCATTATATTGGACAGAAGGCAGACATCTCCACGGCCGATATGTCCAAAACTCAGTCAATCAGCACAAATAACACTACAGGTAAGAGGAAGAATATGTATTTCAGATTTTGGGGTGAACTGTCCCTTTAAAGCTACAGTAATGAATTGGCTTCCCCTGGTGGCTTCTAGTGCTTGGCTCCGATTAGTTGTTTTCATTCAGGCCTAGTGAACTCTGGCAAATCCCATTAGGAGCACTAGGAGGAGCCAGAGGAACCGGATTGTTTCACACATTATCTGTCTCATGTTCTACTGTCAGGATATAGTGAAAGCTTCAGCAAAAGGTTATTTCTATAAGTTACCTACTGCAGCTCTATGTGTGTTTACATGCTACTGCATAGGAAGAGTGTACCAAAGACAAATGCAGGATGCAACATGCAGGAATGATATGGACTGGAATTTATGTTGTTTACCTGAAAATAAAACCTTTTTATCATCACTTTTTCATTATTAGTTTCTGCTGACTGTACTGGGTGTAAATACTGACAGGAACCTGGGTTTCCTCTTCCTGCAAGTGGTTTTATTGCACTATTGGCTCTCATACGTAACATGAAGGTGAGTGAGGTAATAAAGAGGCAGGAGCCATCATTTCCAACCTCCCTGTGTTTATTAGAGATGATACAGTGTTGGCCTTTTTGACATTTATACAAAACAAACAGAAAACAAGACAGCAGCTTCTGATTCATCTCCATACTGGCTCCGACGGCTGTCCTCTCGTCCAATGACATTCGTGGTGTCTGTCCTCAGATGGAGACAAGTGACTGTGTGTGTGTGTGTGTGTGTGTGTAGCACTCTGTGTTGGTTTTCAGAAGATATTTGACATGTGATAGGCTTTAAATGTTTCTGTGTAGCACTTATTCACTGAGGTGCTTATTCCCCTTTTCACAGTCAAACACAACCCACACTAGGTTTAAATAGCTCTGGTCCAGGACTGTACTGCATGCTCACATCCTGTCAGGATCACTGTAAAAGACTGCTTAACTGTTCATCACAGTCAAGAACACTTTTCGATTGATGATAAAGTAAATAAAAAGCACATTTTCGACCAAATACTTAACTTGCTGGTCGTGGTTGGTCTTGTGTCTGTAACCATTTGTATGTCTTCTGTGGTTCTGGAGGAGCTTTGTCAAGTCTGAGAAAGTAACCCTGATGGTCTTATCTCAGCTTGGAGGTTATAAACAGATAGCAGGAGTCACCAGCTTGAGACGTGAAGTTTGAAATGTACCAGGCAGAAAGTCATTTTTAAAAATCTGTCTCTTCAGTCGCCCAACCTTACACAAGTTTAGGGGTAACATTTGTCTCTGTAGACAAACTGCAAATTTACAATGGACCATTTTCATTCAATAATAATATTCCTTTCATCACTAAAAACACTTTATTTCTTGGAAAATTAGTTGGCTAAAGGTACTGACTGGTCCACAGGATCAGTCATTTCCACGCTTCCCATTCACTGTCTATGTAAGAAGCTGTGCAGTGCATTCTGGTATTGCATTTCAAGAGACGGAGCGTCACGTTGGCTGCTCCTCATTTGCATAAAATAGAGGTCTAGGTCTACTTCATACAAATCAGGTGAAATTCACAAAAACGTTTTAATTGACCGTTGTTGATCTTAAAAAAAAAAACAACAAAAAAAAAAAACAGACTTACGCCTCAAATCTTTTCAGACACACATTTCAGTGAGCTGCTTTCATAATACTAGAGCCATTTCGGCCTGGTTTAAAATCCTGGAGCAGAAAGGGTTTGTCCAATCATGTGCAGCCAGGAAGTGTTTGCACAGTTGGAGGTTTTTGGACAGTTATACATATTTCAGCTTTGTTTCTCACTAGTCTTGCCCCTCAGCTTGGTATGTATAACTACACTTAAAGGACCAGTGTATAGGATTTAGTGGCATCTAGCCACTAACTGAACACCACTCGCGTCTGTATTTGACGACCTGGGAGGGAGAACGGGCTGTGAAGTGTGTAGGAGAAACTATGGTGGCTGTGAAACTGGCGAAAAAGCAAAAGGCTCTATCTAGAGCCAGTGGTTGGTTTGTCCATTCTGGGCTACTGTAGAAACATGGCGAACTCCATGGAAGACGACCCGCTCCCTCTGTAGATAAAAATGTTAGTGTATAATAAGGTGATTATACACTAATGAAAACATAGCTATGAATATTATATTCCATTTCTGACAACAGATCCTCTGAAAGGTTGGACCTTTAATACATACACAAATAACTAAAACTCCAGTCCTACATCAAGCTTTGCTCCGCAGTGCTGTGTGCTTCACTCCAGTATTGAAACATGGAAGCTATGCAGGTTAAGAGCAAGAATATAAAGCAATTTAAAATAAAAACTGGAGAAATTTGCCAATGTGGAGTATAGTCCATTATCATTCAAAAACCATCTTCACCTCAGTGAAAAAACAGCTTCCCTGACAGGATGTTGCGAGGCAGAGCCTGGACCACATGTACCAAATCTGAACACATGATATTTACATTGAGCTGTCATCATGTTAGACAAATCCATTTTAAAATGTCTGCCACGACATTAAACAGACTGGAAAACTGAGGATAAAAGGCAGCACCCCGACTGTTGGCTAGACCTGCAGGTAAATGTGTGTGTGTGTGTAGCAGAGAAACCTGGACCAGGATATGGACCGTCTGTCTGTCTGTACTGTCTGTACTGTCTGCTTCAGGCTGATGGCCATTTTGCTCTCCCTCACACCTAACATATACAACTGCTTTTGAAAATTGACTGCTTTACAATCATTCTTGTGGAGAGATGAGGCGTGTGTGTGTGTGTGTGTGTGTGTGTGTGTGTGTGTGTGTGTGTGTGTGTGTGTGTGTGTGTATGTTAGTCCTGTATCCAGTCATACACTCACATCCACACGCGCTCGCCCTGTGACTTTCTCTCCTCGTGTTAAGGCTGTCGGACCTGGTCTTTATGCCTCAAACCTGCTGGTCACCCAGTCCCTCTGGATCCACAGCAAACTGATGTCACCCCGGTCCAACACACACACACACACTGAGGTTGAGGGCTGTCCAGTGCTCGCGGGAGGTTGGCAACAAATCAGGAGTTGGAGGGAGAGTCCACTTCTCCAACGGTGCCCAATGTTTAAAGAAAGACCTCATGTTGTCTTCTTCTTGCCAGGAGCACCGGTAACATCGGCTCAAACCTTGTAGCTCATTCAGTGTGTGCTGCTGTTGATTCCAGATCAGGTAGTCCAGTCTAATCCAGAGCCAAGCGGTTGGCTCATCCACAGACTCCAGTCCCGGCTTTTCTGTCCTGTGTCTGTCTGTCTGTGTGTGTGAGAGCATGTGGCCTCAGCTCCAGCTCGTGCTCTGGAGTTCTTGGCGGAGCCAGGACGGCAGCGGTTGGCCCAACCGATTCAGCAGATGCAGCAGCTCCATGTTGTGCTCACGGTAGTACTCTGCCAGGAAGGCACGCGACTGTCGGGAAAGATCAGAAGAATTAGGGAAAAAAATCATTTATACAACATACAGAAGTTAAAGTGCAGTAACAGTCTACTGCCTCTTTGCACTAAATAATGATAGTATTTTTTTAAGGGATAACTGTGTTAACCAATATTGTTAAAGGTTATAATATATTATATAATTTCCTAAACGGCATTCCATAATATATGTGTGTGTGTGTGTGTGTGTGTGTGTGACATTTCAAACATTAATACAGCAGCAAACAGCTATTCTCTATGTAAAGATATAGTGGAGACTAATGGTGTAATAATGGTGTCACATTATCACAGCCTCTCTGTGGTTTGTTTCCACAGCCGGTCTGCTCCGTGTGCAGCTGAGTAGAGCGACTGAAACTGCTGTTTTTATCATCTACGTCTGAATTAAGGATTTATTTCCATCAAACCAGAGTTGGTGATTGTTGGAACAGTGGGAAGACGAACAAAGACTTATGTTGTTCGTCCACTTTGTGAATGTGATGTGATGCTACAGTGATATATATGCAAGGTAAAATTGTTTTGCCTATTACGTCTGGTGCAGGGTTCCCCATTTCCAGGAAATTTCCAGGATTTTTTCTTGACAATACAGAACAGCACTGTGGGGCGGCTGTGGCTCAGAGGCAGAGCGGGTCGTTCCTAAATCGGAAGGTTGTGGGTTCGATCCCCAGCCCCTGGTGCCACATGTCAAAGTATCCTTGAGCAAGATACTGAACCCCAAATCGCTCCCGATGTCGTGCATCGGTGTGTGAATGTGTATGAATGTTAGATGGACTTTGCCATCACTGAGTGAATGTGTGTGAAAGGGTGAATGTGGCACGTAGTGTAAAAGCGCTTTGAGTGTTGGAAGACTAGAAAGGCGCTATACAAGTACAGGTCCGTTTACCACTTGTTCACAGTCAGTCATATAATTTCCCGGTAGGCCTAGTATTGACTCCTTTTAATGATGCAGGGTTCACGATGAATATTGTACACTCCACGTTAGCTCACTTTCGTAGCGCCCTTTGCTGTTCTCACCCCAGCCAAAGCATTGATAACAATTAACATCACTGTGCATGTATTTAACAGCCACAACAACAAATGTGATCATCATTAACAGGTTGTATGCATTTAGATATGAACATTTACAGTGTTTCCACTGGGTTCTCTGAGAATTCTGCTTGAGTAGACTGGGGGCTGAAAAGATTACTGCAAGTCCTGTTTCACTTCACGACTTTCACCTTCACGTTTTTCCACTCCGCATTTGGAAAACAAGTTTTGTGTGAGACTGCACAGCTTCTTCTACAAACAGCTTCAAACTAAATATGCTTCTAGTTTAATGTAGGCAATCTAGGCGAGGAGCTAAAATACTACCAAAAAAATTCCAGGATGAAACTATTTTCAGGATTTGTGGTAATTTGAATCAAATTCAAGGTGTTTCCATGACTGGAAAACTAGTCTGTAAATTTCCAGGTTTTCCATGTTTTCCAGGATGCGAGGAAACCCTGTGGTGGTGAGCGATAGTAATATTATGGCTGTTTCTGGTTAAACAAAAAGGTCCATATCTGTAGGAATATTTTCTACAATGTTGTCAGACACTGACCATAACAATCTGAGCCTGTCAGTGGCAACAACAATCAGTGGACACCATCACTGGGGAATGTTGGAAAGACTGTGGTAAGAATAACAAAAACAGTTTTGGTGAGTTTTACTTTACTTCTGTCCCATTGTTTTGGTTTTAGATGTTGGTGCTCTAGTGTGACATCATTGGCAAGAGGATTTTGAATACATGACTTTTAACTAAGCCTCAGTAATTTCATTAAACTGCTAGACATTCATTTTAACTAAAATGCTTAAACAGGAGCAAATAGTGCATTTGTTGGGGACTATTTTCAGCAGTGGATTGATTCAATCATTTCCATGTAGGCACAGCTGACCGCTGCCAGTGTTGTCATAGTGACACATTAGCAGTGACAGCGTCAGAGCCACTCACATAGAGCTCAAAGATCTGATCAGAGCTCACAGTGAGAGCTACAGCTTTTGTCTGCCTGTGGAACATTTATCAATGACACTCAGTGGTTTCCCACTGTGCTGCTCATCCCAGCATCCTATCTGTTTATACATGAAAAACAAGACAAAGAATCACCTGTCTGGTGAGTCAGACCTGTGGGTTCAGCTCTCTTCAGTCTTTCTCTGCATCAAGACACCATACACACAACAGCAGGCTCACAAATTCCATTTAAATGTCTTTCAACCCATCATCATACAGCTAAAATGTGAGCAAATTTTACTTTTGAAGAGAATGAACGAAATACTTAAAAAAGGTCATATATGTGAAATATATGTCAATATGTCGCACTAGAGCACCAGCATCTCAGACCAAAATGCTGGCCACTATGGCCAACCAGAATCCATTGACAAAAGCAGTAATTTTACCAAGCAGATAATCATAAAACACACTGGACAGAAACAAAATAAAACTCACCAAAACTGTCTCTGTTAGTCTTTCCAACAATCACCAACTCTGGTTTGGTTCAAATAAACCCCTAATTCACTGAGTTAGATGAGAAAATAGCTATGTGCAATGTTAGCTAATCCTTGGAGTGTGCTACTATTACTATTAGTTTGCCATCAATTTTATGTGGTCAAATTGTTGTGTTCATTTTTATACTCTCTCTAACTCATCATTTTAACTTGAGTGGAGGATTTAAATAAGCCCCAGTTTTCTGCGGCTGCCTCTCCCAGCACTGTATATTATCGTTATCTTTGTCATTTTTTTTATTTTTTAAAGTCTGAAAAAAAAAAAAAACTAAACTAGTATTAGGCTCTGATACAGACACAATACTTAGTAGAATTAACTCATTGTCATTAAGTCATCCCCATTTGCTCACTATATCTTAGCCTTTCTTGCAATCAAGTGTGTAAAAATAACACGTTAACTTTTTTAAATACAAAATGTGAAATTATTATTATTATATCTTATATTCTCTTATAATTATCTCATCGGTATCAGCCATGAGAAGCAGGTAATTATCGGTTATCGTATTAGTTGAAAAAAATCCATATTGTGCATCCCTAATAAGATCGATGTTTTAATAAACTAAAATCATCCTTTAAATGTTACTACTTGCCAAGGTTATTTTAGTTCCCTAAAACTAAAACTAGGTGTGAAAAAACAAGTTGCTAGAATAAAATAAAATAAAAAATATACAGAAACTGTATTTAGTCAATTTAATCATATTTGTAAACATAACAAGGAGGCACTGGTGCATATGTTTATTGAGACAGACATGACTGAGTCAGTGTTTGTATTGTAATACCTATTGTGAACTTGTTCAATCTTGCCCATGACAAATAACCCCAACATTAGGATTAACACTACTACAACTAATCCTGAAACCTTTTTAAACATAAATAAATAAACTGAAATGAGCAAACTCACTCTGGAAGCTAAACTGAATTAAAAAATAAAAATAAAAACTAATGAAAAACACAAAACTATAATAACTGCTGCTTGCACATTCCAGTCAATGTGTGATGTGAGGTGATGGCAGTGTGAGGTGTATATGTACCTCAGAACTCATCTCAGGGTACTTCCTGCCTTTACTCTTCCCCAGACATTTTGCTCGACCTCCTTCCACCCGCTGACACCAGAAACCTTTGCTGTCATCGTACCTGCAGGAACACAGCGTGTTATTTCACAGTACACTTTTTATACACAATCTCTAGAATAACAGTGTGTGTATGTGTGGCAGTATGTGTGTGTTACAAACATTAGAGCCTGGGTGTAGTTGAAGATGGGAGTGACACCAAGGAATCTCTGGATCCCCTCCATGACCAGTGCTGGATTGGAGCGCAGCAGGGCGCCGTCCACGATGTGCAACTGCACCATCCCACAGGAACATATGGGATATGTGAGTAACAGCTGACCACTGGCATCATATTTGTTTGATTGCATCCATTTGTACCACAGATGAAGAGTATGATATAGTAACAGATGGCAGATACACATGATAATAAACAGTGCTTTCAGTGGGTGATCATCTGGTACAGCCTGTTTACACCTGGTATTAAGATGCATCTTGGGTAATAGGATCTCAAGCTCTAAATACAATTGTAAACATCCAAAGAGCCACATTGTGATCCGATCACTTACTGAGGTGGTCTGGTATACGTTTAACAACATATCTTTTGTAGTGTAAACCCTAATGCGTACTGGCCCACATTGAACGACCGCCTACTCTACAGACATCCTGTAAGTACACACAAACCATGCTGTCTGAGATTGGACTCGCCATAATAAATAGATGTGATTTCACTAGTGAACTAGTAAATGCAATGTCCCCAGACTCCCCTTAAAAATCGCACAATTTTGAGTTTGACAAGAAACTTTATACATTTTGTTAAGCGCTTTCTATGACAAATTCTTAATTATTATAATGGCTACTACTAGGGGGCTGCATTTGGAAACGATGTATGTTTATTTGCATACAGAGTGGGGAAGTGAGATCTCATCCCATGTGGTCACTCATGATGCATTCTAACGCCCAGTGTGAACTTATAAATGTATGAACAGGGCCTGAGAGTCTTCTCTGTGGCAACATTCAGAGAAAGCAACTGCATCATAGAGACTCCCGACTCATTTTACTGATGCACGTAATGCAGGTCCTCGTACCTTATGACACTGTACTGAATGTAAAGAGCTTTGGCAGACACCCATCTAGTTATCTAGTATCTAACATTAGCTAGGACGACATCTGCAAGTTTAATTCTGAGACATGCTTTGAGTCCATTTAACTTTAAAATATCCTTAATGGCATAAGATATTACAAGTTACTGTGTAGAATGGTATCTATGGCAACAAAAATAATCAGGCTCCTCAGCAAAGCAGCTTAATATTCTGTTCATACAATGTTATATGTAGAGTGTTATATCTATAACTGGACAGCAGGGGGCGAAAGAGTCAAGTATATGTTATACTGAGGACTGGTAACTGCTATTGTTTTGATGTCTGTTATATATGTTATGTGCGTCTGTGTATCTGTCTGGTGATGGTGCAACTCCTCCAACATTTAGAAGCATTAATAATAATAAACCATCTCCTTGTAAGAACACCTGCATGGAAAGCAGCTGCTGACTGACAGTGAAGTAGACTGGACCATACTAATAGCCACCTGTCCCAGTGTGTGTCTGTTACCTGACTGGGCTGGTAGTGTTGCAGCCAGCGCTCCAGGTGAGTAGCATAGGCCCCGGGATGAAGGCAGCGTCTCTGGAGGGCCTGCAGGTCCCTGGGGGCTGAGAGGCCAGCAGTCACCACTGCATGGAAAGTGTTATTGAGGGCTGCAGGGTCCTGGTGGGCTCTCTGGTGCTGTGGTCATTAACACACACAGAGACACAGTGAGTAACTGTGTTTCTTTGAGGGAACTGTACGGTCTGACACAGTCTGGATGATGGTTCTCACCTGGTACCAGGAGTAAGCTCTGTCAGACGGGTTGATGAGCACAGCCAGGATTTTGGCTCTGGGAAGCAGGGCAGCAGCTCTCTTAGGAGCTACCTCTGTGTCAAAGTAGTTGGCACTCTTTTCAAACATGAAATCTGTGCTGACATTGGAAGGGAATGGGAAGAAGTCCATGTACCTGAAGAGAACACCAATAAAAAAACAAGTACCAGTTAGCTACTGACTAAAAAGTATTCACATCCCCAGGCCACTTCAGTTGGGTTCTACGGCATTAACAGTTGAATTACTATAATTTGCATCGGTGAACAGAGGACTCTTTGATGTCAAACAGCTCGCCAAAAACCGATTAAAACTACTGTACTAAGTACAAATATTAAACAAATATTATATTATAAGTATTCACACTCTCAAGTCAGTATGTAGTAGAGACACATTTGGCAGCAGTTAGAGCTCATTCTTCTTTACTGAACTGCTCAGCCAACAGCAGTTTGACACAGATTGTGGATTGGATAGAGGTGCTGGACCCTGACTGGTCAATCCAGGACATTAACAGTTGTTTTGAAGCTTTGGCTGTAAGTTTGGAGTTGCTTCTCTTTTTGGTTAATCAATATTTAAATTAATCTTTAGTGGGTATATTTGTCTTGGCAATCGCAGGTAGATTTAGTGTCCTCACAACAAACCAGCTTGCCATATCCCTCCACTGCAGTTCAGCTAACACTAATTTAAATTAAATCACCTAACTTTGGATTTTGTCCCCCAATATTTTACAGTGTAGCCATGTTAGAAAGATCTCTTTACAACTAGTATGGAGAGGAAGAATGACTTCCCAGAGTACCTTCAACATTTTCAATGTACATATGTAATATTTGTACAGTCTTAAGACAGACTTGATATTCAACTTTTACCCCTATAATATCAGCCATCCTTTAAGACCTGCAAGCACCAGTCCAGCAAAACGGAACCTTAGAAAATAAGAAATCTTAAGAAAGATGTCTTTACCAGTCAATCCCATTGTCATAGTTTGCTCCACTGAAAAACTGGATCTCCTCAAAGGTGGTGGGGCTGGGGAAGGAGCTGGTGATTGCCGGGTGGAGGCTCAGGAATGAATGAAGCGCTGTAGTGCCTTTGAGTGAACACATTTATAATAATGAAGAAAGAGATACGTAGACAAAGATAAAGAATGAAAACGGAGATGGAGAGAGCGTGGTACCGGTTTTCTGTGGTCCAATGACGAGGAACTTGGGGAGTCGGTCACAGGTCTTTTCTTTGGACCAGATATCTTTGTGTCTCTTGTCATGACAAGGGTTCTGAAAAATAATGTGGTTGGTTTTCACTTTTTAAATCACATCTGGAAGCAAATACATTTGACACTATGCTTCAATACCAGTGTTCATGCTACATATGTTTATTTAAATTCTGTAAAATAGTCACATGACTGAGTTTGAAGAAAGTTTTTTTACAGACCTTTCAATAAAGGACTTAGTTAAGGTAGAAAAGACCTTCTTTAATGTAAAGGAAATCTTATTTAGTGTACAGCTGTGGCTTTTACTTTCACCAGGACAAACAACATTTTAGCTTTGCTTGATTAAACCATTGACTTCAATGACTTCATCATTTAAAGGTTGTGCATATGAGATTTGAAACATTAATACAGCAGTAAACAACTATTTGCTATGTAACAAAATAGTGGAGTCATGGTGTCCTGACCAGATAAGGACATTGCAGCCTCTCTGTGGTTTGTTTACAAAGCCAGTCTGGCCGGGAGTCCATGTTAGTGCATGCGAATCCCTCCATGCGAGTAGAGCAACTGAAACTGCTGTTTTTATCATCTACGTCTGTGAATTAAGGATTTATTTTGTTGTTGGAACAGTGTAAAGACTAACAAAGACTGTTTTGGTGAGTTTCATTTAGTTTCTGTCCACTTTGAATGAAGTTAGGATGTTACAATGATATGCGAGGTAAAATTACTGGTGAGCAATATTACAGCAGTTTCTGGTTGAACATTAAGGTCTATCTCAGTAGGGAACACATAGAATAACAATCTGAGCCTGTTATTATATATATATATATGTCTGAGTTTTATTTTGCTTCTGTCCAGTTTGAAGTGTGTTTTACAATTATCTGCTAGGTAAAATGACTGTTTTTGTCAATGGAGTCTGGTCAGCTGCAGTGCCCATTGTATTGGTCTAAGATGCTGGTGCTCTAGTGTGACATCTCATGTCAATGAATGTCGTTTATATAACCTTTAATGACTGGCTATGATCTAACTTAAGAATGAAACCATCCAGAGGATTTAGACATAGCTATTCAAAAATACATTTCAAAATACTAAAATGTCCAACTCTAATCTTTTATTCTCCAAAGTTACTGACCTGCCAGAGGGGGTCTCTCTCCTCAGGGAAGATCTGAAAGTATTTCTCAGCGAGCTGGACAGGGGGCAACGTCTGCAGCCTGAGGTTGGTCCAACACTGGACAAACTTCACCAGAGACTCGAAGGTGTACAGACCCAGCCGATCATTGCCATAGTTAGACAGGTGGGTCATGAAGATACTGATCTGGATTGAGAGGGTACAATGTAATTTGCAAGTTAGTTTAAAATTGTACCTGGAGATGTTGTCAGGGCAACAAGTCCTTAGGCTCAAACCAGCAGATGTGCAGGCTGAGCTAAAATTAGCTACATAATGAGCAACAGCTGTTAAGTTTACTCAGATTATCAACTCAACAGAAGTATTCGTTTTCACATACAAACACGTTGGCTACACCGAAAAATTATCAAGATCAGTCTCACAAATTTTACAGAATAATGATCATAATTGAATTCACTAAAAACAAAAGGACATTTTTAAAGATTCAGAAAAATACAACAAAGCATATTTATTATTTGAACAAACCAGTCCCAATAAGATTGCATACATATGATTGTGTGTGTGTGTGTGTGTGTGTGTGTGTGTGTGTGTGTGTGTGTGTGTGTGTGTGTGTGTGTGTGTGTGTGTGTGTGTGTGCGCTAGAGCTGTTTTTAAATCTTTTGAACAAGTCAAGTTTCAAGTCTTTAATGGGCAACTTCAGTCCAGTCTCAAGTCTTTGAGATGTGACTTGCAAGTCAAAGGCAGCTTCAGTGCTGAGGATGAAAATTACAAATTGGCCTAAATCGAATTAAACACTTGGAACAGGGCATTTAAAGTCCAGTTTCAAGTCGTGAATCTAAGTATCTGTATGCGTCAAATAGTTAATTGAGAACTCTCAAAATGAAGGTGCAACAGTGCAAAAAGCCCCATGATGAGTTTCAGTCCAACTGGAACATTGTAAGTGTTTCTGTACATCTCTGCTCCTGGTTTTGATACCGCTTTGCCACATTAAAACCAGGATCAGTCCTGAATAAGACTATGCTCCATACTCCATAACTTAAGCTTTTCAGTTAACGCCGTGAAAAAGCTGTACAAGTGATTCAACAAGTGAAGCATAACTAGCAGCTCTTCAACTGTTGACACTGACAGCAAATTTTGATTTAGTTTAAGTCATCTGAATTGTTTAAGTTTTAGTTGACTAAATATCAGGAGATTTTTAGTCAACTAGATATACAATAAATTTAGTCAAGTAAAATGGGTTTAGTTAAAGTCTAATGCATTATTCAAATGTTTCTCTAGAATTTCCAACTATTCTGGGAAAAGAGGAAACCTCGATATTAATAAGACTAATTTAAGATTAGCAACTCTGGGTTATTCACTTCCCTCATCAGTACAGGGCTCACACAGAGAATCAGTCCTGTTTTTATCAGTTATCAGTAGATTGTGTCATAGTTTTTGTCATCATAAATTAGTTTTTATGTAGTTATTTTCAGTGAAAAAGAATTCTTTGAGAAAAACTATGATGAAAATTGAGCTCGTTTGTATAACGAAGCAGTTGTTGACTGAATTTAATTTCAAGTTTGTCTTTTTATACCTCACTTTTCGCGTTAACTCTCTGTTTAACATTATAGCTAATAAACCCATTTTACAGACTATTTAGTACTAATCAAGCAGGTATTCAAGTCTCAAGTCAAGTCTCCCAGCAAAAAAACCCAAGTGGAGTCACAAGTGTCAAGTCTACAGCTCCTGTGTGTGCACGGTGTGGTTTTCGTACAGGGTTTAGGAGGACAGTGAGGAAGAGTTCTCCTCCTCTGATGCTCTTGTCCAGCTCCTTTGAGCCTCCTGGGTATTCATTGTAGAAGATTGTATGGGTAAACAGACCACAGGTCTGCCTGGGCAACACCTAAAACACACAAGGAGGTCATTAGTTGTTTGTGACTTCCCTGTCACTACTATTTTACATCAGAACTTTGAGGTTGAGGGTAAGGCAGGAATGAGTAATTAGTCAGGGTTAAACCAGGAGACTCCTAGACCAGAGATGTCCTGAACTGATCTTCAGGATCATAATTTATATAGCATTATTAATTTTAATGCAGGGTTACTTTGAGTAATTTAGCTTTGTGCTCACTTTGCAGCTGTACTACATCTAAAAAATACATATCAAATCAGACCTGTTAACAAATTGCCCTTTACTTTATACGGGTAGTCCCTTCTCCAGACAAAATCTAATTTGGTCTCTTTTCACAAATAAAAGTACAGGTTTATGACTAGCAGTGAAGAACTGAGCTGCGATCCATTGAGTTAAGACTGGATTTTTGTTTTACCTCTGCAGTGTAACACAAAGGCAAGTGAAATCCAATCTGACCCTGCTCACTACCTGCTCCATTTCCATCCTGGCACGTGCTACAGAGGTCTTTGTCCAACAGAACATCCTCTTTAAGGACAGTTTTTTTCCTTCTGCAGAAAGCACTGAACTCACCTAACTCTGTTATACTGTACCCCTTCATCTCTACACCATGCTCCTGAATTAGCACGTTTCTTTGACTACCTAGTGTAAGTAGGAATTTTGGTTTTTATTCTTTATGTGATATGTGATACTGATGTCAATGTGACAATAGTGTTGATGCCGTGCCATTTTAATAAATAATATCACTATTACTCAGGTTAACTGCTTCACTGTTTCCACACAGCACCACAGAAAAGGACATCCCAGCTGTGCAGAGCTGCTATGTTTCATTATCACTTCAAAATCTAACCTCATTTCTGACAGAAAACCTTACCCACAGGAACATTATTGCAATTATTGATCAAGGACTGCAGACTGACCTGGATCCCATTATGAATGAAGCCGCGACGGTATCGAGCTGGCCTCAGATGGGGGTATTCCTCAGTGCTGGTCACCTTGATGCCCCACACAGACTTCCAGGCCTCATAGAGCTGGCTGTGAACTGGGTAAACCCCAGAGTGGTGCGGAGCCACTGCGTAGCCCATATCTGTCGGAATGCCATGCTCCTAGAGAAAGGGAGGTGTGGGAGACAGGACAGGAAAGAATGTAAGCATATGCAGGTGTGTATTTACATTTTCAATTCTGCATTGTATCAGCGCTGCTAACCTGAGCAAAGATCTTGTTGAGCCTCATCTGCTCAGCCAAGACACTGACGTTGTGAAAAAGGTGAGGCTGCATGTGGCTCCACATGTGAGGAAACCACCAGAAGTCCATCCTGTGCTGCAACAGCATGTCATCTCCCCGATCCTCCTCGTCAGTACCTGAAATCATGCACAAGCACAGAGTTTCGGCATAAGTAATGTGGCACATAAAATAGGGATTTTAAATCTGTGAAAAAGACTGCACTGCTGTCAGACTGGTACATGGTACTGGCAGATACCCTGAGATGAATTGTGCCAGAATCAATTGGCCCTTCTTAAGTTCCGCCCCAACAGTGGATCAAGCATCAGTCAGAACCTCTGTTTAACTTCCTCCTTTCCTGTACTTCGATATGCTATGTGGAAGGCTCGTCTATGTTGAAAATATGGTTAAGAGATAAAAGCTAACATTAGTGAGCTAACTAGCAATGCAACACTATCGAGCTAATCTACATCAACTGTTAGATTGTTAGAAAGAGTTTTGCCCCATAGCAAAATCTACGTCAGTCGTTAACTAGCTAGTTACATCTCAAAGCTAATGTTAGCAAAACTTTAACTAACTAATTGACATTAATCATTACTTAGCTAGCATTTTGCTAGGCTTTCAAAAATTGCTACAGAGCAAAAACTCTGCCAACATTAGTGACTTGTAAGTGTCCATATAAACCTACATATACTGTCAATGATATAGACCGCTGATGTTAGCATGTTGCTTATACCTTTTAACTATTTTTAAAATGTGGTTGTCTGAAGTTGCTCAGGTTTTGACTGAGGCTTGCTCAACTGTTACTGGAGCACAGAGCAAGAAGGGGCGGCTTTGGGACTTTGGGTCATGTTGACAATGACCTCGATGTTGTTACTGTAATGTTATTATTTTTTAAACTGCCCTCTTTACAAATATACAAAGCTGTATTATAAGAGAATGTTTCAAACAGAAAGCTGTGTTGATGCAGTAATGTCACATGTTCCATACCTGTATGATAGAACTTTCCAGAGAATCCCAAATTGAAGGTGAAATTAGGGACCAGTGCTCGCAGCTTGTTTTGAGTGTTGAGCAACGCCTGTAAATAAATAAAAATAAAAATACAGCCAAAGTTCACACCCACTCAAAAACATTAATTTATTTTATGCTATTCAAGAAAATGTCAAACCGTTTTTGCTTAACCTCTGTGATTCAAAAAGGCCTTAGTCATATGTAGTAACAACTGATGTTTTTTTACAGCGCTGGTTGAAAATAAACCAACACACTGAAACTTATATCACTAGTATTGATACTGGTACCTTTATGCTGATTTGTTTTAATGTCTTAATTTTCCATTATATAATCATTCTAGAGTTCATTATGGAGCCTCCCTCACAAAACCCAACATATATAAGTGTTAATATAATAATAATTAATAATAAACTGTGGCAAAACCATAAAAAAAAAATGTATATATATATATATATATATATATATATATATATATATAGTATTTTCTTCTTTCATTACTCTTTGCACTACATTCCACTCTGCTGCTCTGCCAAATTTGAATTTCCCCTACAGGGGATCAATAAAGGAATATCTTATTTTATGAAACAGTCCATGAATTGTTATAGACATGGCCTCTCCATGGTCCACCACCACCAAAGGTCTCAAGAAGAAAGACTGAAATGAGCATGCAGTGGGTGAAAGGCAGCAGGGTACATCCTGTTCAGATCTATCACAGAACAATCATTTACATTTACAATTTAGTTAAATTAATCTCTTTTGACAATAGAAGCAGTTCTGACTGCCTAGAAGAAATCCACACAACCACAACAGAAGAACATCAAAACACACAGAGGACGAGGGGAGAGATTTAAACCAGGACCTTACTCCACAACACATTCCAATTTACTAAGCTACGGTGCTACCTGCAAACCACTGTACAGGTCTATGCTATGCTATGCAAGGATTCTGTTGGAAATAAAATGCATCTATTATTTTTATAAAACCAAGTAGGGGTGGGCGGTATGGGCAAAAAATAATCTCGTTATTTATGGGCAAAAAATAATCTCATTATTTTTTGGGATTTTGGCGATAACGATAATCAGTCGATATCCTATAAAATGTGATTGGAATTGTCTGAGTTAGGGCTTGCGTCCACCAAACGCGTTTTTAGCGCTGAGAGCGCTTAAAAACTCATTTTCCGAGCGCCCAGCAGTGTTAAAAGTTGAACAGATTTCAACTTGAAGCGCTCTGAGCGCTGCGCTCAAAAACCGTCTCCGCTCGTTTCGAAACCAAATCATTTCCATGCCAGAGAGGTAGACCCACGTCTCGGCACTAAATCATCTGAAGTACCGGTAGCTTCAGGGACTGGAGGTGTTTGCATTTTCTCTCTACCATCACAACGTGCTGCTAAACTGTTGCAAGGAGGAAGCTAGCGAGAGGTCATGGGATCACGTAGGCCCACTGATCGTGTGACTGAATCCTGCCATGCTGTAGAGAGCGTTGCTGCACCGTGTATTAAGTGGATGTGAGGAGTTTCCGCATGTTTAAATTTTTTTTGGCGAAGTAATTTAAATACTCGATAATGGAAAAACAACAATGACGATATTATCGCAAACGATATGTATCGCCCACCTCTAAAACCAAACCAAAGACAGGCTAAACCACGTGTGTCAAACTCAAAGGCACAGTTTGAAATCATTTGTATTTTTCTATTAATAGCCTACAGGCTGGGGCCCGCTTCCATAATGTCCACAACACACTGTGCTACACTGCATTCACCAGCAACAGTCTGTTGTAACCTAGTGTCCTTTTGAAAATGTAACAGTGTCACAAAACAGCAGAATAAGATGCAAGCCGTCACCATGGTTACTCATTTAAAAGAACATGGTGTTCTGACAAGTCAACGATTCACAAAAACAGCAGTCAGGAGGAGGGCAGACTGGTGAAAATACACACTTAAACTAGACATAACTAGACATTAGCATTTAAAAGGTTATTAAAATGTGTGTGTATATATATATATATATATATATATATATATATATATATACATATACATAAATAGCATGCCCCCAGACCTCCTCCTACTTTTTCTAGGTTGTCTCTAACCACACAACAGTTTGTCACAGAAATAGTAACATCAGAAGGGATGTGTACCTTTATATCTAACATTGATCTAACCTGGTCACCCAGTGGGAAAGCTGGCTATGCTCCTGCTTATCTAGACTGGCAATTCCTTTTTACGAATGGCTTCCTTCAGTGATTAAGTTTGAAAAGTTCAGCTTGTAATAAACGTAATTATACCTCCTTTACCATTAGCAGCTTAGAGGAGGAACTTGATTAGCCCAGCCATACCCAGCTGCTGTTGAAGACTTGTTACACTCTGGTTTTCTGTGCTCTGTGTTGGTGAAGCCTTTTAATGTGGGCGGGGTGGTGACAATTTGTCAGATCCGAAGCAATTAACAATATGAAAGACTACAAGAGTGCCATTAGTATATGTCACTATAAATGCTAATGCTAGCTTTTTATTTCAACAGACAGCTGACGCAAGCCTAATCAAAATTCCTCACAACTTATAGCATGAGTCATTGATCCTCACCCTACTCTCCACATGCACACTTAAAGGGCCACATCAGTGATTTTAAACAATCCAGGTCCAATGCAGTCCAATAAAAACCTTGTGTTTAAAACTTGCATAAGTCTGTGTGAAAGAGCGTCTGCATCCCGGACATCGAGCTTGTCGCCGTCGGACTTCGTCCTATTATCTGCCACGGGAACTTTCCAGTGTTATCGCCATCACTGTCTATATTCCTCACAGTGGTCTTCATCATCACCATCACTGTTTACATTTATGATGTCTTATTTATTCTCCTGTACAGCACTTTGGTCAACTTTGGTTGTTTTTAAAGTGCTTAACAAATAAAGTTGGATTGGATTGGATACATCTGCTCTGGTTTTAATTTAGAGTTTTAATGGACTAATCACAACTCGGTGATCTGTGAATCCGTCCTGGTGTTGCCGAACTTCACAATTCTGTTGCCACATAGCATTGCACTTTTAAGCAGCAATGTTTGGAAACTCAACAGGGAATACAAATAAATATTAGACATGCATTTCATAAAACCTTGTCCCAACTTTGACAGGCACTTTTGGGTCTATACTTTTTCTGATTTAATTGATAATTGTTGCTACATGACAGCCATACCTCCAACCTCCTCTGATTAAGATTGTTTTAACTTAACCTGTTTTTCACAACCTGCACATGTACAGTTTAGCTAACACTGTTTAAATATGTTTGCACATCTCCTACTTGCATACTGCACATCGTGTACATTTATTTAATTATAGTCTTTATATTTCTATTGTCCATTACATCTTTATAATACTTAGTATTCTTTTTACACTCATTTTCCCCTATGCTGCTGTGTCAGATTTGAATTTCTCCCACATGGGATCAATAAAAGGAACTTATCTTATCATAAATATAGGGGGGTACAGAGAGAGGGGATGACACGCAGCAGGTTGGATTCAAACCCTGGGCCGCTGCAGCAAGGACTCAGCCTCAGTACATGGGTCACCAGCTCTACCCACTGAGCTAACCGTGACGCTTTTACATGCAAATGTCAGACGGTCAGTATGATGATGAGGGGCAGAGACGAAAAAACAATTACACTTTCTATAGAGAGACGCCAAGTGAGCAGTGAGAGTAAACCAAAACAGTCAAATTGCAAACCTGACTATCTAGCTAAACAATGGGCTAAACAATGGGATATTGATATTGATTTAGGGATGGGTAGCTAGCTAGTCCTGTTTGTCAACAGTATGCAGTGTTATTGACTTTCAATCTTGCTAGTATAAAGTTAGCTTTTTGGCTTGTAGCTGAGCAAATGACCATGTTAAAAGCAGGATAATGTTCTTTGAGGTGTCCATTAACAGGAATTAATGGACTCCCCGTCGTCCTTTAATTCCTGATAATGGACACCTCTGAGAGCATTATCCCTTACATACGTCACAGTAATTGTTCAACGTTACTCATGGCACATTGGCATCAAAACATGTACAAAAAATGTGAACCGATCCTTTAACTGCTCTTTCAGTGTGAGACAAGAACTTCCTTGGCATACAATCCGAAGCCCTCTTAACAGTATGAGTATGAATGTATCCTAACATCTCTTAATCAACCACTAGGAAATGTCAGAGGCAACTAAAGTTATTAATTAAAGTTATAGTTAATATCTGATCACTTTTTATCTCTTGTGTGGCTCACCCACCTCCACATCCGACACCTTCATACGGGTTCCCTCCTTGCCAACGAATATATCATCCACGTCCACCAGGATGTGGCGGTCCAAGGACAAACACAGTCTCTTCCCTGTCAGGTAGGCAATGGCATCTACAAACACTAGCTTGTGAAGCCAATAATTGAGATTGTTCCCAAAAAGAACTCTTTGAATGCCATCGTGGAGTCCCAAGTCCTGGACCACCGTGGCGTGGAGGGCCCGGAGAGGGCTGGGTCCAAGATGTGCCAGCACCTCAGAGGACTTGGTGCTAGCCAGAAGCACTGGTTCATAGGTAGAGTGGTTGGACTGGAAAATGGTCCAGTCATCCCCTGGTAAAGGGCCCTGCTCAACCTGGTTGGGTTTGGTGATATAGAGTAGAGGTGCATTGGGGTTGATACGGTAGTCCCTGAGTCCCAGGTGTGAGTGTAGAAAGAGGGGGAAACCTTTGAGCTGTGCGCTAAGAAGAGAGTTTTCATTAGCTTTAAAGAAGCCAATGACTCCTACTCCATACTCAGCACAGTACTTGTCCAGCAAGTCACGGTTCCACGCATCCAGGTTGACATATTTCAACACATTTTCATAGATGATCAGTGTGTAGCGTCCACGATTATGCTCTGTCAATGTGGGCATGTCACCTTTACCGGGAGCAATCTCTGTCCGGTAGTGAAAGCGGCTAGACTCTAATATGGCTACAATCTCCTGGCCCAGCTGGGAGTAGATGCTCTCCACAAACACCAGAACAACAGGCTGCGTCCTGGAATTGTCAACCGCCTTCACCTGTCGTAATCGTCCCTGGCGTGAAGGAAGGAAAAGCGGTGCCCTCTGGACACCTGCTCCTCCTCCAGCTGCCCCAGTACTCGCTCCGGGTGACATTCCCCCTCCTCCGCCACAGTCACTGAAGGGTAAAGGTGGAGCCTCCTTGATTTTGGGGCTGTTTGAGACGTAGTAAGCTAGGAAGGCCATGGACAGTAAGCAGAAGATGATAAGTGCCAGGATGAGGCGGTGAAGCTCCAGCTGGCGGACACCTCTCATTAGCTTCCACACACCCAAGCCTGCACCTACCATGGTGTTGGAGGGGGGAGGCAGGACTGGGCAGCAAGCAGCAGCAGTGAACAGTGAAGGAGAGCTGAGAGGTGGAGTAGGGGTGAGAGGAGGAGGGAGTGGAGGCGGAAGATCGAGCAGTAGACACCGGCACTGAGCTGTGCTGAGGAATAGCCATTTACACTAGGTCAACATGGCCAACATCATGCATTACCTATTCTCCACTTCTAGTTCTGCAGTGCAAAAACTCAGATGACTGAATGCAAAGAGGAACAGAGGGAAGGATAGATGATTATTTGATGGATGGAATGTCAAATATTTGGGAGAAAGGTCAGTCGGCTAAATAAAAGATGGCAACGACACAGGTGATCTCCTGAATATCAGGTCCAAAGTTCAGTCTGAGCTGTTGGCTGCTTGGTCAGTTCTTTCTTTCAAGCAGCAGTGCAGGTGTCTTTACATTTGGATGTGTCCGTCTGTAGATGCTTGTGTAGTCTCTCAGCAATGGGAGTGTCTGTGCTGGTGGCCTGCGCTTCGGGGCTGAACCCCCTCAGGCCACCCTGCCTGGACATCCCAGAAAAAGACACCTAGAGGATTAGGACAGAGAAGGGTGGGAAGAAGAAAGAAGGAAAAAGGACAAAGTGAAGAAGTACGTTTTTAATCAACATTTAGTTCTTATAGCTGTCCCTTCATTCCAGTTGCAACGCGGCTGATGGAGCTGATTGCAGTCGTTCTAGACAATGCTTGTGATTCCACCAGAAGTGTGTTTAAAAAGTGTCCCAGAAGCAGCTCTTCATTTGGATGGATGCTGCATGTCGAAGTGTCCTTGAGCAAGACACTGAACCCAAAATTGCTCCCGATGGTCTGTGGATAACTGTGTGTGAATGCTTAGTTTCCGTTCTGGTGAGCAGTTGGCACCTTGCATGGCAGCCACTGCCATCAGTGTATGAATGTGTGTGAATGGGATGAGTGTGGTACGTAGTGTACAGCGCATTGAGGGGTCGACTAGAAAGGCGCTATATAAGTACAGTCCATTTACCATTTACCATTTACAAAAACAGCATTGCAGATGATCACCACAGAGCCATGTCCAGTGGCTTAAGTCCCGGCCCTTTTTGCCCTGTACAGTCGAGTAAACCTCGGTCAAAACCTTGGTCAAAACCTTGGTCAACTTTCTCCATTCTCTTCCTTAGATATGCTATGTGCTAGGCTCGTCTATATAGAAAAGACAACCAAACTCTGAAGATGGTTAAAAAAAATAAAGGGATATATATATATATATAAAGTCACATCTTAAGTTAACTAGCTAATATTAGCAAAACACTAGCTATCATCACTTGTTAGTTAGCTAGTTAGTTAACATTAGTTAACTTCAGATGTGCCTATATGCTAGACGAGCCTGGCAAGTACAGGAAAGGAGAAAGTTGACCATAGTCAACTGTTATTATAGGAGAGAACAAAAAGGGGCAGGACAAAGGGTCAATTCTGACATCTATGCAGCACTCCAAATGGCAGTAAGAGTATTTTGCTGAAGAATTGCCCAAAGAAAACTAATTGATGAATAAGAATTATTGGACAACATCTGTTCTAGATTGAAAAAGGTCTGTAATTCTCACCTGGAAAACACTGCAGATCTGAAAACCTTCTGCTCCAAATCTGGAAGAGCCCTGCAGGTGAGAGATAGAGAGAAATGGAGAGAGGAGAAGAAAAAGGGGAAAAAAACTTTAAAACTTTATTCCTTTATAAGAAAAACAAGTCCCAGCTCTGTTTATTTTAGATAAAAATCCAAGAAGCTTCATAGGTCAAAAGGTCCAAACCCAGACTTTCAACATGAAATGAAGACAAGCAAGGCCTTGTTATTTGGGGCAGCCTGAAGAAAAAGTCACATCATTTTCCACATAGATACTGTGGCTGACAGACAGTTGGAGCTCTTCAAGGCTTAGGTTGATCCTGGTTGAATAATCAGCACAAAAGATCAACAATTCCATGAGAAAATAACTGGTGCTTTGATTAAAAAAAAGTTAAAAAAAATGAAGTAAGTGGAATGTCCAAAGTGTATTACAGTAAGAAACATCCAATCATCAAGCTTGAAACTCTGTTGTGTGCTCTGCTAACAACAAACAGAAGCTTAAGATTACACTTTGTAGGACTCTGATAAAGCATTCAGCAGTTTAAATGGGTTAACTTTCAGGTTCATGCCTTCTTCTCCATAGCAACTGTGGCCGTGGCTTGTGAGTATCATATTTAGTGCCAGCTGCCATACCAAATAAAAAAAACCAGTGCATTTAAAATAATTTAAACTGATGGCCATAACATCTTAAAAAAATAACTCAAAAATCTTACCAACCTAAGTTGTTAAATGAAATACACAAAAAAGTCAGTATCCCATTTATCTTTGGAATATCCAATGGAAACACTATAAAAAGCATTTGTACCAATGCAAAGAATGTGATCCAACATTCCTTGTGAGTCCAAAGAGAACATCAATACAGAAGCTCAAAATGACTAAAGAATGATCTATTAATGAATATCCTCATCTCTTTGCTTACAGAATCATTATCCAGAGTTTAGGATAAAAAAGCTGCATACTAACAAACATGCTATTTATTAATTAATCAAAGTTTCAGGCAAACATAGTTTCCTTCATTATGACCCAGAGAGAATACCCTGTATATAACTGTGTGTGGTCCTTCATCAACCACTCTCATTCTGGTATGAGTAGAGCAACTATACATGTGTGGACGCGTGCCCATGCAGGCCTCAATTCTTTTGGCTAGCAGTGCTAATTAAAGGAGCCTCCCGCAGCAACTGGAAGCAATGAGTACTGCGAGCAATCACACACACACACAGACACACAGACACAGTCTACTGAAGACCCATGCAGTGAATCAGCTACTGTTTGGGCTTCAATTCATGCTCTGTGATGGCCTTAGAACTCACTGTGTGTGCACGAGTGTATGTGAACAGACAGTGGAATGAATGGAAATGTTTGCAAAAGGCCGAGGTGATGGATAAAACTTAATTGGATGGAATTGAGGCAGACACACAAATGACAGCTGGACACTGATGCACTCTGTCAATGTTCAGGATAAAGAGGCAGTCAAGCAAACCATTGAAAAAGACATCTCTTTAAAACACACCTTTGTTATGAACAGGGGCGCTGATGTTAGTGCTCATAAAAAAAAGAAAAATCCCATGCTTCTGAATAAACCCGAATTGTGTGAGAATAAACTTAAACATGCCTGGGACGGCTAGTCTATTATCTAACTGTTTTGTAAAGAGGGAATTCCCTCAAGATTATTTCAACATCTTGTGAATTTTGTTACTTGTTTTACAGAAGTTACTGTTAGGCAGCAGACTCTGTATCTATTTGTAAAATAATTCAATTCAGACAAAATTAAAACTTGTTTTAGTGGCCCTAAGAAGCTACTATGTATATTATTCCCCATATTAGGTCAGTGTTTGACAGAAAGAACGACATACCGATACTGTGTCCAAGGAAAAGGCCAGAGGGTCATCAATATCCCCAGACATGTATACCATATTTCTTATGAGCAATGTTATTAAGGTGCAACAGTCTATATTTTAGACTTTGTTTGCTTCGAGTCCTGACAGTTAATCAAGTAATAGTACACGAATAATTTGAAATATGAGAACAAGAACCTTTTTTTAAATATTGAAGTATTCTAATGTTGGGAGAGAGAGATGGGGAACAAGGGTCCCCAGCCAGACTCAAACAAGGAACACTATAGTTCATGATCTGAACCTGAAACCCCTAGGCCACGAGAGCTCCACCCGAGACTCTTTAAAATGAACAATTATTGGGCTTCTTGTACAAAAACATAGAACAATAATATCAATTACTATTTTTCAGTAGTAAAAGTAAGAAAGCCTCCATCATAAACCATAAGAAATCCCCTATAAGAAAGTGCTTCATTCCTTCTCTAACAATTTCCCTTTTGCAAAGGACTGGCGACATCCCTGTTGGTAGTAGCCTGTTTGGGGTTTTTCTTTTCCTAAGGACACTTAAAAGAATGGTGACCAAAATATGTAGTGAACAGCACATTTCACGCTTGATAAAATAAACTTGCTTTCCGACTTAAGCAGGGATTAACTGTGAGTCAGAAAAAAAGCATAATAACTTGATTTTGCCTTGTGTGAAAGGAGGCAGCAAGAGTGAGGGATGATTTTGTTTCACAGACAGCCCTGTTGGACTGCTGGGAATGGTTTTATCTCTCCTCTATCCTTTCCCCAACAATTACTATTCAAACCTGTTACTGACTGCTCAAGACATCTGTTACACTCGGACCTCTCGGTCATCATGATATTGTCTCATATTGATGGCAGTCCCCTGAACTGAAGCAAAATTGTATTGTGGCAGACTTATATCATATTGTTGTCCAAAGAATCAATATACTATTGTATCATTATATAATAGCGACCATGCTCAGTTCACCTTGTGTTCACTCTGTGTTTTCATTTTCTGATTGAGCGGGACAATGAGAATTTGTTTTGTTTTTCTGCTCAACTTTCTTTTGAAATCGACTTTTGTAGGCCAAAAACCCAAAGAGACACTGTCTGAATTGTTAGTACATGAGTCATAAACAATGGAAAGCTGCATGACGCTTTAAAAGACCCTCAGAACATCAATACGTGGCATTCTAGGCTGTGTGAGATTTGCTTCACATAGGTAGCAATTACTGCCGAGCTGTAACAAAAGACTGTTCTGATTTTGTCCACGCATAGCATCTAAACTCTATCAAGAGTACTGAGTAGTAGATTTGAATACACACTCAGCCACTCCCTGTCTGAGGCCTACGAGCAGTGCATAATGAAATGCCAGACAGACACAGACAGATAGGTTGAAGGTGAGGAAGATGAGGGGGAGGAATAGATAATAAATGGAGTGCTGGAGGAGCAGTGTGGGGAGACTGTGGTCATAATGAGCATCTGCTGTTTAATGGATTACTGAGTAGAGCTGAACACTCCTCTGGGATCAGACCAGACACCAGCAACAAGACTGAGGAACCAGCACAAAACCAGCAGTATGGAGGATGTGAATGTCTAGAGTTTCATGGCGACATGGCCATTAGTTATAGCAGGTATTAAGTTGGTAATGTAGTGCTGGGCCTTCAGGTTTTGATATTTTTTGTGTAATGGTAAAACGTTTGGCCTAAAGGCAGAATTATACTTTTATGCTCTACGCCGAGCATAACACTAGTTGGTGGTTGGGTTTCTAAGCCACTGTCTTGAGTTTCTTCATGTACTTTACAACAACGGCGACTGAAACTGAAACCCTCCCTCGTCTCTCTCCTCAATATGTCTTGTGTTTTCCTCTTTTCCTTTTTTCCTCCACAACGCCTGTCAAAAGAAAGGACGAAGAAAAACAAGGCGACAGACAAGAGCATGTCATACAGTGAGGCAGCATGCCACTTGTGCTTAACACACTTGTCTGAGAATGTGTGTGTGTGTGTGTGTTTAAAGAGGGACTCTCAAACTGCATTATTAACTCATCTGGGTTTTCCATGAGTTGGATCCCATTTTCAGACATGCACATACACACATACACCAAGTGAACCAATCACAGTTGTTGCAGTCTGCATCGCTGCCATGTGTCATTACATTTCTAGGGAGGCACAGGCTACAGATTAGGGGATGGAGGTTTGTCGCAGAAGTATAAATCAGGCATAGGAGTGCGAATGAGTTCCAATACATTTGATTCTTTCAATTCTGCCATTACATGTCACAGAACATGTGGGGCTGTAATGAACACTGAGGTAGGGAGGAGTAAATCACGTGTACTCCTGACAGGATAAATAAACTAGCACCTGAAATAATAAAATCCAAGTGGAGAAATCCCTCAAGTATGAAATATTCACTTAGCAATTGAGTATTGAGCTTCAAGGTCCTACAGATTAAGCATTTATATGGAGGAGTGTAGTACAGCGCTACTGAACTGTGTTTACAGGTTTCACTTCAAGAACGGTGGTGTTAGTGGTCATAATGTGCTGTGAAGGAGCACACGGCTCAGGCAAGTAAGTGGCTGTATAATAACTGAATTATTCCTACATGCTGGCTCAAACATTCAGAGGAACAGGAGAAACTCAGTAAAAGTAACCTTTAACCAACTCTGTATCTGATACAGAAAAGCCTTTCATTCAAAGGTCATTCTAAATAGAGCCAATGAGTAATAGGCTCACAGAAATTTGGATGTGTAAGAAGAAAATGGCATCTGTTGAGACAAAGCTCACTGATGCTGTCACACCTATTAGCTACCTTTGGAGCATAATCATCAAAGTTATAAAAGACACAATTTGTGAGGTCAAATTTGACCTTCTGCTTATGTGAACTGTGCCACTTATCTGTTAGCATGAAATGTAATAAAGTTCTTTGTATTGGAAAGCAGCATTTTGAGTATCAGTGCAAAATCCACATAGAAAAAGTTAACTCGCTATTAGTCGCCATATTGGTAATCTAAATTTTCCTCACTACAATCGGTATCAGAATCAAATTTCCCATATCAGGCTGCATACATATAAACACAGAGGTGTCAGATCAAGTAACCATAGCTCATGAAATTCCAGTAACACTGTCTGTGTTCTTTGTTATAATATACTTACATATCACTACGAAGTCACTACTGAAAGCTAAAATGTATTATGTGTACTGACTTGCTTGGCCTGTCTTTTCCTCCACTGCCACGACACCTTCAACTCAACATTGCTGGGAACATCTGAAAAAGCAAAAAGGACAGAGAAAGAGGCTGCGATTAAGGCAAATAGTGGACACACTGTGCAGGAGAGAACAGCATTCAAAATACAGAAATGAACCCCCTAAGAATTTTTGAGGATAAGTCTTAATGACTTTGGTGAACCCACGACCTTTCCTCCAAAATCCATTTAAAATGTCCCCTTGAACAACACCTTGAAAGGCCAACTCGATAACTAATGGTCAGGTTTCTTTTGATTTTTGACAGAACATAATAATTGTAATTTTACTGTGCAGTATAGTACCTGAAACGCATTGAGCTTAGAAAATGGACAGAACGCCATTTTCTAAGCTGAATGAAAATCTATCATGTTTCAGATTTTCATAAAGGGTAATGAAAGAAACCTGGTATGAAAAGACCCACTGAGCAGGCCTGTGGAACAGAGACTAGCTGGGAAATCTATAATCTATTTCAACCAAGGACTTGAGACTTCAACCAGGTTTGGAAAATAATAGTTCATTTGTTTGTTTGTTTGTTTGTGTGTGTAACAGAAGGAACACTTGTGATGGTATAGTTTGTTATTGTAGCAATCCAATGAACACCAAAATCAACAGTGCACTATTCCATCTCTTATCCCTCTCTGACTTCCCTCACGTCTGTGTCACTGGGCTGAGTGAAGATCGCTGGTTCCTTCTGAAAACATAAATCTTTAAAGCCTCATAAATATATAGTTTCATGGTTAAAATAGGCTCAGTAATTTCTTAGAACAGCTGGTCACTGTAGTTTTTAGAAAACATAACTCAAACAGGAGGAAATGATGGGTTTGTTGGAGAGTATTTTCAGTGGCAGATTAATCCACATTTGGTGCTCTAGTGAGTATTTGGTGGGAATGTACAGAAGTATCACAGTTAAATCACAATACAAATATGTAAATATTCAAATTGGTGAGATAATAAATGAAGCCTGATATCAATTGTGGTATCAAGGCACAAAGACTTCAATTTCACTTTTACAGAGAAAGAAAAGAAAAGAAATATGCAGTGCTCCGACCTTAGAAATAAAAAAAAAAGGATTATATATATTATATATATTCATATATTGCTGGCTGTCCCTAGTGGTCACTCACAAACTACTTTATTCACCTTGATGCTCTTTGGGTAATGACTAAGATATGCATGTATGTAAAATGGAGTATTCAAAACTGTGACCGTATCCAAAGGACTCAGTATACTTCAAAGAAAGTACTTGTTTGTTTGATTGTCTAAAGGCCCTAACACAACAAACCAACGGCAAAGAACCAGCGGCGACAAAAGCCGACTGTTGCATTGCATCACGTTGACTAGGTCTTGGCAAAAAAGTAGAACACACAGCACCAACTACAGCGAATGGCCAACTAGGATGTACGTTATGCACCTGCTTGAGTGGTAATGACTGACAGGTGGCGGTAGGCTGCATTTTTTGTGGAAAAAACTCCAAAAACTAGGACTAGAGATGCTCACAGACAGCCCGCATTGGCGGTATGTCAGAGCCTTAACAGCGTCACCTTTCCAACAATTTCTGTAACTTTCCAATCTTCCCGACAACAACATCCCCTTTACACAGCAATTGTGTGACCAGATGTGTGACGGTGTGAAATTAGGCACTGTCAGAGTGTGCAAAGCATTTAGGTAGCAACATCTCATTTTTAGCCAGTGCTGATGTCACAATGTGCCGGTTAAAGCGACAAACGTCGGCAGGAGGCCACATCACCTGTCGCTAATTAGTGATAAATCTTTGAGTAACTGGATGGCAGGCCCATGTAAAGCTTCGCTGCTGTCAGGTTTGTGTGCTCCCGGCAAGCTGGTGTCTGTACTCACCAAAGATTGTTTAAGCAGCACTCTATAAGACAACACACAACCTCTAGTCTCAGCTCCAACAGAGTGAGATGTCTTCTCTCTAGTGGATCACGTCATGTCGACCTTCTTTCAGTTAAACATCCATTCATATCATATCAATAATTGCACTTAGTATTGTCAGATGCCCAATATTAAATATATTAAAGGATTCCAGTTTTCATCCTTGTACTGCAGTTATGCATTCAGAGCAGTCACCTCTGAGTTTTGGGACTGGGATGTGGCATTGTGTGAAAATGTGACGTCAATGAATACCCTCTTGTTTTTTTTTTTTTTGGTCCCCATCTCTCTTCTCACTTTGATGTCTCAGTTTGAGCAAAGAGAATCCTGCAGTTCATCAGCCTGCAGGGAAACACATCCCCTCAGCTGCTCTCCTCCAGCTCAACACTGATTAACACTCATCTACACACTGCACGCGCTCCATAAGCAAACCACTTCACTGCAGCCTGTGTGACAGGGACAGCCACATGGTGCTTATAATAACTATTTGCTCTTCAGTCCCACTTTGTAGTTGAGTGATTCTCTATCAGCAGTATTCACTGCAGTGCTGGTGGAAGAAAGGCGACACTGTTTCATAATCCAAGACAACTGAGGGAAGGACTCGGCCAGTCCTGACTGATGCTCTCTCTACTTCTGTTAGCAAAGGGAGCACAGAGGGACAGCTTGACCGTGGCGAGGTCCCTATTTGTGGTATAGCTTGTCTATCCAGCACTACCAGACTATTTGGCTTAAATACACACAGCACCTATTCTTCTAAATAACACAATCAGTCAGTTTACACAGACAGGCCAATGAGAGGACATGTCATCTTACTGCCAAAAACGCATGCCAGTTTGTCACTTAACAGAAAACATGCTTTTGTTTCTAGATATGCCACGAGCTGATCCAAAGCGTCCCTATCAGGGGGAGAGAAGAGGGGCAGGGAGGGCGGGATAAGAGCGAAGCTAACCCAGCTTGGACCTGGATAATGTCCAGACTCAGGAAAATAAAATGGATGAAAGCTAACCCAGCAACAGGAAATCAGAGACCGTTGTTCCCACTTCAGAGATGTGGCTCAATCCATTCATTTATTATTCTGTCACTTTAATTAAATTTTTAATGAAAATGAGATATATATCCCATTTAACAACATTTTTGGGGGCTTTTATTGCCTTTTATGATAGTGACAGCTGCAGATAAGCAGGAGGGGGGGGCCTAGAGAGGGGATGACACGCAGCAAGGGGCCACAGGTCGGATTCGAACCGCGGGCCACTGCAGCAACGACTCGGTACATGGGTCGCCAGCTCTACCCACTGAGCTAACCGGGCGCCCCATTTATCACCATTTAAACAACTCAACAATCACCACACAGAATTGACAGATTATGCATTTATAAACACATGGGAAGAAAAGATGACCAGACCATGTGGCCACTTTTCATACCAACAACCCAGTAACCCTGTTTGACCTCCTTGTTGCTACTTGCTTTTCCCAGTAACCATAGCTGCCGCTGGTTGATGAGCGCTTTTATCAGTATTACTCGCTGGTCCTGTGTATGGATGTTTCTGCCGACTAATTAAATGAAAATCTAACTTTAGACGAGTTGACTAGTCTAAAAGTAATTCAAGGTTCAGAAAACAGTCAAAATAGATCCCACTGTAAAGACTAAGTACACGAAGCGCGCACACACACAGGCTTCACAAGTTCCTCTGTTATATTTCTCAGTATATCCTGTTAAACAGACCTGACGCGGTGGCAGATTGTTACATTATCACATTTACATGTCAGGAACCCCATTGGGATATTACTGTAATTGGCAACAGATGGAATAACCTATAACAGGACAACGCTGTGAATGATTAGAAATAAAATGAAGAAGCTGTTTGTGTTATTAGACGGAGAAAGAGATCACTCTCCTGGCTGCTTGTTGTGGGATAACCGGATCCACCACATTTTTACCACCACTGGCTAGATTCACTTCGTTAATGACAAAACGTAGATGACGCCATCGGTGATGATGTGACGTTGCAGAGGAACATGTTACAGCTTTCAGGGAGTGGGTAGGCTAACGCTGCGTTAGCTAACTGTCAGTAAGCATATACAGCGAGGCTGACAGCTGCTTTATCATGTGATTGCTAATTTGTAAGTGATCAACATCATCCTAACTTACCATACTCTGGGTATTTTCTTTTCAATCCCAGTTCCACCATCCTCTTTCCCCTGATAGGTCCATCTCTAACAGACAGCTGTGTGAGGTTAGATGGCAGAGACTGAAACCAGCTGCTAGAATCCCAAAGCAGCCCGCAGTAACCAAATGTCAGGACTACAAGTGGGACAAAGAGGACTCTTAAAACCAGTGGGGGCATTTAGTGCAGGGACGAGGGGCTGCCGCCTGCTGGGGCAAAGACGACATTAACCAATGTTGTACATTAATAAAAAATGATAATTAGTTTAACCGACTAATATTTCTGGTGTCGACTAGCAAGATTAGTAACCGACTACTCGACAAATTGCAAACATTCTTAGTCTTGTGGCACTCACCCCAATTCTGACGAACAGACATAGAGAACAACATGCCAGCCCGGACCCTCACCAGTTCGCATTCAGAACCAACAAATCCACAGAGGATGCCATCTCCGCTGCCCTCCACTCAGTCTTCACACACCTTTAGAAAAACAACCCCTACGTCAGTATGCTGTTTATTGGTTTCAGCTCAGCATTCAACACAATCTCTCCTGTCAAACCGATTGGTAAACTCAGCAGTCAGGGCCTGAATACCACACTCTGCAACTGGATATTGGACTTCCTCACAAACAGACCCCAGACAGTTTGGACTGGTGGTTACACCTCCTCCACTAGAGCTCAACACTGAAGCCCCTTCCTGGTCATGCTGTACACCCATGACTGCATCCCCCGTCATGGAGACAACACTGTTGTGAAGTCTGACACACCATCATCAAACTACAATCAGACTTCATATCTGGCTTGTCCTGTGTGGGGATGTTCCTGGACACTAATTTTGCAGTAGAAAAAGCTGCCGGTCCCATTTACAGTAAAATAGACCATATAGCAGGGTATGCTTTAGGGCTTTGACTCCGAACTTCGTTATTCGAATATAATTTGAATATTTATAAAAATAAAGATATTCTAACGAATATTAGGCAGCCCTTAATATTCGAACCTGTTACAGGCATTATTTTTGTAAATGTGTTTGCTTGTAAATGTTGTTTTCAATTCAGATTCCAAGGCTTTTTGTCAATCGCGAGCTCATTAGCAAGGCTATTATTGGTCATCTGGGCTCCTGTAGGTGACGTTAGCGTCCTGGTTAGCACCTATTTTGTATACCACAACAATGGCCGCGCCAACGCCTACAACAACTATGCCTGAGGAGTTCGAAATCTACACTCCAGACCACCTGAAAAGCAACGTGTGGCGCTATTTTGGGTTCCCAAAGGAACAGGGAAAATCACGACTAAGGACAAAGTGATATGTAAAATATGTAGGACCAAACTCACATACCACGCAACGACCAGCAACTTGAGAGCCCACCTGTCAACACTACATCCCGGCAAGCAGGAAGAGGAGGGGGGGAGGGGGAGGGATCGGGGGCGAGGCAGGCCAGAATCGACTTTTTATTTATTTTTGATAAGAACAGTGGATAAAACCCAGGTCTGACTTTTAATAAAAATTAAAAAAACATGAGTGTGTTTTTCTTCTGAAAACATTATTGCCTGCCTATTGACATTGACTGATACATATATACAAGTTTGATACCAATATAGGTCTTACTGAAGGCATTTAATGGTCAAAATATTATTAAAAAATATTCAAATATATTCGAATATTAATAAACAAACAAACTTCGAATATGATTTTTGGCCAAAAGTCAAAGCCCTAGAAGGCTTTAGGGTGTAGGGTAGTAACTGAGCAGCCAATGAGAGCAGCTCAACGTCACCTCCACTGGCTCCGTCAAACTGTCATGGCGACGACCATACTGCCAAACTGGAGGCCTCAAAGCGGTACTTCACAAACCAATGGGTGACGTCATGATAGGTTCACACTTGGCTGGAAGGGAAGCTTTGGTACTTTTGCTTGAAAAATTAACAATTACTTAATAGGTGTTAATTAATAAGGCACAGCCCTGAAAATTCATTATTTGAAAGCCTTGATTAAATGGTTTTACAAGAGGATTTCTCTAACAAGAATAGTAATTTAAAAAAATACGAGTAGAAATTGCATGTATGTGTATCCTGCTGCTTGAGCTGCTGAAATGGTGATTCACTGTGCTTAATTGGGCACATTCGTGATATTCTCTGTTAATTAACTGAGTACAAAACAAAGATTGCTGTCATTTATATTCAACTTCTTATAACAACAGTATTCTCTAAAACCATTCTAAGAAATCACTTCATAATTTTAAACACGGTTTGAGCTGCAAACATATACTTAAACACAACTTCACAACCACAAGCACCAGTTCCATGAAATGAAAGTGTGAAAACATTCTTCCAAACATTGAAAAAGACAAAAAAAGAACAAGGTATTAAAGTGTAACACCTTCCCAAAGAAAGACCAAGCACTGAGCAGAACTCCCCAGACAGTCATAGTGAGAGCACAGGGAGGGGGAGCGGGCTGAGCTTCCTGCACAAACTATTCCTTACAGCCTTCCCCTCGTGTCTTAACATGTTCTAACACACCTTCCCACTTCACCCTCTAGGCACACACTTTCCACAGAAACCCCCAATAATGCCCTGAAACCACTGTTTCTTTAGAAACACACACCCTCAACAGCCTACATGTTACTGCTGACGGACTAGTGTTCAGATTCACTCAGCTCATTAGTGAGCACAGGGCGTTCAATAAGATCTAACCAAATCATCAGGCTAAACACTTAGCCTCATTGCGTCTATAATCCACACTGCATCTTTATTTGTGTACTCAGCTATAGCAGTGAATCAAAAATAGGATTTGTAGGCAATTAGAGACCTCTGCTGTGATGAATGCGGTTTTAAAATTGAGTCACTGAACTAAAGAGAATATTTTCCATGATTTCTGTCATTGCCAATCTGTAGGTTCAAGGTCAGTAGAGCTCAAGTCTGCACATTGCGCCTCAATAAATGTCAAATGTCTCTTTAGAACAGTTTGACTTTGCTGCATGCATAAAAAAAAAAAGTGCATCTGGTTTTATGAGCTGATGAACTCCACTGCTGACAGGGAGGAAGCCTGGGATATTCTCTCCATCACTGACAACACACACCAACACACCCCACAGCTGGGAAGACTTGTTCTTCTATCCTCCGGGGACAACCTCATTTACAATATTTACCCCATTAGCTAAAACACTCAACCACAAGCAGATAATGTCCACACTAATGCAGATACATTAAAAAAAACATCTTTGTCTCTTGGATTACACTTCCAGCCACAACAACTCTGTGTCTTACATCTCTGAAAACAGTTATTCCCAGATAGGGAACTTATTATTAGCTGTGTTTTAGGGCTGCATAATATAGTAAAAACATCATATTGGGATTATTTTGACAGATATTGCAATATGATTCCATGTAGTAGGAATGATCATCTTTGCATCACAAATGAAATTTCTTACTGAAAAACCAATAAAATCATGCTGATGTGACATTTGTTGGGGTCTGTACCAAACAAACCTGTTTTCTTACATGTAGATTTGCAGACCATGGCATCTCTGTATAACTGACTAGTTCATTATAATGCTATTTTATCACACATTTTAACTTACATTTTAACATAATACCCTTGGCCATATCGCAATTACAATATAATGTGATTAATTGTGCAGCTCTACCTTTTTTGCAGCCAAATGTTTCCATCCACTGCCGCTATGCCATTATCAGGAGTAACTTCATCAAAATAAGCAGTAGGTGGGCGAATTCTCCAGTCAGTTTGTTTCATGTATTAATGTGAGGAAGGTTCCATCAGATCTGTGTCCAGGGATCATGTACATATTATAGAGTCATGGGAGCAATGAGAAGACTGTTGGAGCCAAACAGCTCATCAGTTGTGAGTTTAATATTCACATCAGACCTTGTTTGGAAAAGGTGTCTCCAGCTCCCAATAAGAGCAATAACTCTTTGAAAATGGCAAAAACCACCTCAAGTTAAAGTAAAAATTGAGGGAGTCTTGCTGTTTCCATCAACAATTAACAATAACAATCTATCCATCTATATTGTGAGACAACTGTAATGTCTGTACAGCCAGTAACTATTGCTTTGTAATTTAGCAATAGTTACTGGCTGTACAGACATTACAGTTGCAGGGGGATGGACAGAACGGTTAACACAAAGAATAAAATACTACCTATTACTGTCTAACAACAATTGTGGCCTCCAAAATGAGCAGAATTGACTGAACACCTGGCCTCAACACAAATTGAACATTAAAAGGTTTATGAAGGCAAACCTACTGCAGGCCTGATGTGTTTGGTTACATGATACTGTCCAGGTGCTCATGTTTGCTCATGCTCATGTGTGCAGAGTATACTGTAGACATACAGCAAATATACAGACACGTAGAGCACATATACAGCAGATAGAAGGGGCTTTAGTTTTAATGGCAAGACTAGTGCCAGCTGCTCTACAACATGTTGCTATTTTCCTGACCTTCAAATGTGCCTCATCTGTCACTTTCATGTATTGTTAGAAATATTATTATATATATTATATATTGTGGTTTATGATTTAACCGTTTCATCCCTACATCAATCCTGGCAAATATTGAGACATGCTTCCACTGACAACACACCCATGACACCGAACGGTAGAAACATTCTCAGTGCTTAAATGATGGAACACCTTCTATTTCATCTCAGTGCCAAAATATTGAAGCGTGCCCTTCAGTGTCAACACAGAGCAAAGATGTGTGTGCCTCCATTATAGCTAAACCTTTAATACTATAGTTCTACTCACAATTGAGAATTTAGAGGAATTTGTGGGAGCAGTTTAGTATTTAGGGCTAAGTATTGAGCTGACTATCCCTCCTGAAGACCCATATTAAAGTTATTTAAAAGCATGGACAGCCCTTGTAGCCTGCTGAATTCTGATGCAAATGAAAGAAATAACTCAGGGGTAAAACCTTGTCTCAGAAGATCACCTGTTCTGGATGATCAACATTAAAGCAGTTTAGTAGGTGATCCAACACTAACCTCTTCACTTGGCATACAGAGCCTATTTGATACACAATCATGCTGTTGACATCATGCATGGTGTTGGAAGGGATTAGTCAATGTGAGGTCAAACTGCTATTTCTAAGCTATAAGTGATAAGCAGAGTCTTCATCAAACTACTTAAACAAGCAGCGCTGCTTTGGTTGTTTGATAAATTGCTGAAGAGCACCCCTTTACCAGAGCACTCTGGGAACTGATCAAACGCCATGTATCCAAGAAAACTTCAACTGGACTCATGTTGTATCAGACAGACTTTTGTAAAATTAGTCACGGAAAATGAGAACCTTGCAAGTTTTCCTTTTGTATCAAGCAGCAAAAAAAGCTGTAGCATGATGCGTTTGAGTGCGATGTTGAACCAAAAATGGTGCACCTCTAATTTGGAGTAATAAATATGTACTTTTTCCTGGTCATTTTAACCAAAAACGTTTTTTTGTGCTTTGAAACATTAACTTCATGAAACATACTTTTAAGTGTTGACTGTTAATACTATGAGAGTTAGTGTGTGCACTAAACGTAAATCATTTTTATCATTTTCAACATGTATTAATTTGTCCTCAGTTTCTGACTACTGATTTGCTAAGTTTGCAATGATGCAAATCAATGAGCATTTATTAAACGTCATCATTGGCCTACCTTTATTTGTTAAGTTCTTCACTGAATTGTTTGACCATCGAATTCCCAGAAAATGCACTACTTACTGTTCACTACATATATATATATATATATATTTAATAGGTATATATATTAAGCATCAGCACCAACCATTGGACAGGCACCAGTTTGATGAGAATGTAAAGGACATGATCTTTTGTTATGTCTGAATATTTTACAAGTAGCTTTCAAAAAGTGGGCAATCCTGTGTCTTTGACTTTTGACAAACCCACTTTTTACAATTATGCCACACAGTGTCCATGTTTGTGTAGCTGGCAGGTTTCAGTCCACACACAGTTTAAAATCCATAAAATGTAATAATGTTACCAGAGAAATCAAGAAGCTCCACTTACCACAGGGAAGGGTTTTAATAGCCTCGCCCTGGCACACAAACACTATCTCCCTGTGAAAACCCACCCTGGGGTCTTCCTCTTAATTATCCAGTGTTATCTCAGACATCAGTGATATGCTCAGGACAGAAGTGGGCCTGGGCCTACAGCTCAGCACTAATTGGGTCTCCACTCAGGAGCAGAAAGAACAAGTCAGTCATCAAACGGGAATGTCACAAAGGGAAATCAGCTTTTTATAGCCACCATTCTCAATGTGCCATTTCAGAGCCTCGCTCATCATTTAAAGTCTACCAGGAAACAAATTACTAGGATGGAATAAAGGTGAATCATAATATATTACTCAGGAAATGCACTCGGCCCAACAGATTGACTGCTTTTAGCTTAAACAGAAAGACAGGTGATGATCTACATGAGTGCTCATTGTTATGTCATGGTGGTTCGGCGATCAATCCAGGACAATGTTTCCTAAACATGGAATCACAGGCCTCCTCTCTGATGACTGATTCTTCCTGCAACAACACTGGCTGATGTAAATCAGATATGCAAACTGGTTAGGGGTGGGAAAAGTAGGAAGGATGCATGAGCAGAGTAAATTCAGGCCCACTAAAGGCTAATTGCTGATGACGTTTAGTCGAGTCTACTCCAGTGCTAGTTACAGGCTGACAGAAGTACGAAATTGAGCAAAATAAAGTATAATGCGCTTATTTATTAAATCAAAATGAAAAGCGTGTCCATCTTACCCTGTTCTCCCCTACAGTATAATTAATAAGAATGCATAAGTCCATTGGCCCATGCCATCTACTTCACATGCAACAGTCTTGTCAATTAGGTAGCTGGTTGGCTAACATTACCTGTCTTCATTCTGGCTTTTACCACACAGTAGGACACTGCACATGAACAGAGTAGGTTTACGACACTTTCATCCAGTCTGAAGTCACATTGTTACCATCCACTGTTTAGATCTTGGTGCTTTTTAACTCTAGATTTGAACTGGATGAAGGATTTTAGTCATCAGACGTCTGGATCTTAAGTTATCAGAGAAACAAGCTGAGCTAACGTTAGCAGCAGTCTGTCCAACAGTGTGGGCGAAGCAGTAATTTTTAAGGTGGAACTGCTTTATTCTGTGTTTTTATTTGAGTATCCAGAATGCTGACCCCTTTTGGATTCAAAACGGCAAATTTCACCAAAAGGTGACAATTTGCATGCCTGTTTAAACGTGTTTTCCCCCTGCTCATGTTGGGGTTCTATGGATGGCAAAGTCAGTCTGTCAGACTTTGGTTAAGAGCAACAATTATTGGCCAGATATAGTCCTAACATTTTGTCATAGAGTTGTGTTCCCCAGTATATTATTCCCAGTGATTTTGGAGAACCTGATGACGTTTTCCAGTGCCTTCATCAGGTAAAATATTCCCATGCCCAACACATTGGTCCATGATAAAGGATCTGAAGGGCACACTGGCATCAAACTCACAAATAACGTGAAGGGCAATTTACAGTTTTTGCTTTTCTTTATTACTGGGCCGGTTCCAAGATACATGTTTACGAGTTCTCTGGATAATTAAAAAAAACCAGAGCCCCTCAAATCTGGTGTATAAACAGATGTGAGAAGACCTTTTCCAGGCACTGAGACCAAAAACAGCAATGCATTAAAAAACATGAAATGAAATGAAATAGACTACAACCTTGAAGTCCAATTAAATTAACAAACACTGAAAACCCTTCACAGTGCTTTATATTCACTGTGAAAAACATGTGTTGCCAGGTATACTGTAGAATTATGTTAAAAGTTATCTACCATGACTTCTACCCAACTATGACTAAAGGACTGGATATGTCAATTGTAACTGCAGCAGTCAGGAGCTTTTTATGCATGCTGGCATTTGCAAGTATGTTAAAGGGGAAAACCTCAACATGCATATACCAAATCCAGAACAAACACAACAGTGTCAGCATAGTGGCCACTGCAGCAGTAGGTCCACAAAGTGTATTATTTCTATAGCTTTCATATAGATGTGCATATGACATGGGTCTGCTCAGCGTGGGAAATTAGCAACTGCCAAATGCTGGTAAAACATGAAACGTGAATCATAACAATTTCCCATCCTGGAATGCGTGTTCAACCCACAATGAACCCATTCATCAGACTGCTGTCACAGGTTGTTGTGTGGTTGTCACTGTTTCATAAATAAATGTTCCTCTTTCAGTTTAACTTCTTGACATCCAAATCTGCTGCGCTCTCTCTCTCTCTCTCTTGCCCACACTCTGTTTCTCTTCCTCTTTCTCTGGTTAGTTCAATGACTTTCAAGTCTCGCAATCAACAAATTAAGCTTCCATCCCTTCACCAATTCAACAGAGCCAGGCAGCATCCGGATGGAATTCGACCCTGTTTGTAAAAGGTAAAGACAATCCTTGTCCAAGGACAGGAAAATGTTTACGGGAATACAATGGGTCTAAATTCAGATGGCTCAAATATTGAGGTTGGCCACCCAAACCTAAGACCTCATTTAGTACTGTTAATTCATTTTATAACATCAGTATCAGCGAATAAGGTGGCATTCACCTTATCAGTGGTTGACGTTTATCTGTTGTGTTGCACCAATTTTGTGCCAGCTAAAGGTTGCGTTTGTTATTTCCAACTCGGATATTGTAGAAATAATCACCTCCGTTTTCCAGTACTGGCACATACTGCACACAAATACAGATGTGCTCCATGCAGCAGCTGAGTGGCTGTCCAGCTCTGCATCTCACATCATGGGTGAGAGGAGAAATGACTGAGCTGCAACAAGGAAGAGGTGATTATCTTTATATATGTATTTGTTATCTGGCACAACAGGGGAATAAATAACAAGAAAAAATAGGTAATGGCCAAATTGTTATTGTAACATCGGTTTTGGACCAGAATTTCCCAATCGGTGCATCCCTACTTCTGATATTCATTATGGGAGAACAAAATGAGTTTCCTTGCATCGGTAATAAAACTGGAACTTGGGGTTAGGGACACCTTTTTCCAAGCCCCATTCAACAAGTCACATTTTCTATATTTCACAATAATTCACTAAACCACATGGAAGCTCACAACATCAATAGATGGCTTCATTCATTGCTCGCATTCTGCACTAATGAGCGGCATTGAATTGTAAACAGAAGCCAGACAGTCAAGCTCGATGAGATTTCAGCTTCATCCCTTATAGTCTCACGGATAACCTGCAAACAGAGGGGGTGTGTAGTACCAGTAGCTGTGACTCTAGCGGGCAGACAGGGGCCAGAACATCCAGCCTGGATCCCGGCAGCTCTGACACAGCTCCGGATCTCAGTAACGTCAGACACCAAAACACAACCTCAGATTTCCCATTACCGTTACACTGAGGAAAAGACGATGCTCCACAATAAGTAGTTCTGCATATTGAAAGCACACACACATCTCGGTGTCCGCATACAAAGCGGCCTTGCATGAAGAATAAGAAAAGCAGCATAAAATAATTACGGGAAAACTTTATTTCTACAGCCAGCAGCGTCGTAGATCCCCAGCTAGCATGCTAACAGCTAGCTCCGTAAAGCAACAGTCGTTAATGTTAGCATAGCAAACGCTAACGTTCAGGGGCTCAGGGTAATAAACCTGAACCTCCTCTCTCTCATGGTCTGTTCCCTTTATAGCGCTGGTATATTCATGTGTTTTCCATGTGGAATAAAGATTCCAAGTACAAACCCCAGTCCCGCAACCACTGGGATAACTGGAATAACGTTACAGCTAGCTGCTGAGGCTACGACAGCTACTCTCAGAACTCCGCACAGAACACAGGCTTCAGCTTTGACACAGCGGCACAGAACATGAGACCTGGCAGTGATTTCGGACTCACCGGTATTCGTTCACGACAAACAGCAGCTCGACGAGAGAGAGGGAGGAGAACAAGCTTCAGCGTTTAGAGTTAAAAGTGAACTTCTGCACGGCGCTGCTCAGTCCGCCATCTTGGATCTGCTGGAACCCTGGGCTCAACCAAATCTGGCAAACAGGGGAGGGTTTAAAATTTAACCCTCAAAATTATTCCTGTAATGTTTGTTTTCACAAACCGAAGTCCAAAGGAAGACTGGGTATTCTTTTTTCTCTTCGCTATCTGGGAAAGACTGAAGGTCTGTCAGTGGTATTGTTGTCATATCTTACCTCATATTACTCACGGATAACCCCTAAAGCCACAGTGGCCACAGGGCAGCTTTTTTCTTTTTTTCTTTTTTACAGATGTGCAATGCAAAAAAGTTCCAAACACCTCTGAATGATTTGTGAGATGAAGATAGGAATTGACATGTACAAGTACAGACAGCACATTATCAGTCCTATCCTTACAAACATGTATTATCACAAAACAAACTGTTACTAATGTGAACATTATACATTTTTAGAGCCATTAAAATGATGAATATGCACACAGTGGCCACTTGCCAGTTTATTAGGTCCACCTAGCTATAACTGGTACAGTATAATAGAGTGGTTCTCAACCTTCTTCCCTCTGAGAGCTCTTTTCTATCACTGAGTAAACTGAGTCAGTGACATATTTAATGGATATTTCATATTATATTCAACAGTAACAGAGAACAACAGATAAACTGTACAGTGAACACAATAACTGCTGGAAGTTTGTGTAACATCTGGATGAATTTTGAGCAGATTATTTCCTGTGAATATTGATCAGAGATTTTCATTACAGTTTTGGGAATTTCTATTCAATGCTCTGTCTATATTGTGTATTTATTTATTTTACAATCACATATTTTATTTTTGAGAAATTCCGCATTTTATTGTCATTGTTCTATTAGCTCTTTGGTTGTTATAACTGTATACTTTTCTAATGCAGGACGAGGCTGTTTATCAGAGTGAAGGCTCTGTGAATATAGTTTGTGTTCAGGTCTTAAACATTTGTATCTTGAATATTAATAAAAACTTAAAAAATACAATTTCATTTAGTTTTCTTTACAGAAAATAATGAAATATTACTATTATATATGCTATGCCAGTGTATTCGTACACCCTTTAAAATCAAAAAAGGCTTGTGGTCTACATGCACTACAGGATGGCACAATAAAATGCAGTTGTTGCCCTCTCCATGCTTCACACACAGAAAATGTATAAACAGATTTTCAAATATATAAATAGAATAGAAAATGAAAAATAATATAGGCAATAGATAAATAGAGCAAACTATATAAAAGTTACACTAAAGGAAGAGATACAAATGAAAACTAAACAGGAAACTAGATTACAGTGACATATCAGAACTGTCTGGGGTCTGTTTGTGAGGAAGTCCAATATCCAGTTGCAGAGTGTGGTATTCAGGCCCTGACTGCTGAGTTTACCAATCGGTTTCACAGGAGAGATTGTGTTGAATGCTGAGCTGAAACCAATAAACAGCATACTGACGTAGGGGTTGTTTTTCTAAAGGTGTGTGAAGACTGAGTGGAGGGCAGCGGAGATGGCATCCTCTGTGGATTTGTTGGTTCTGAATGTGAACTGGTGAGGGTCTGGTCTGGCATGTTGTTCTCTATGTGGTGGAGAACCAGTTTCTCAAAGTGTTTCGTCAGTATTGGGGTGAGTGCCACAGTGGTAGCGGTTTAGAATAGACACTGCAGACCTTTTAGGTACAGGGATGATGGTGGCTGTTTTAAAGCAGGCGGGAACACTCTCTTGTGACAGCGATATGTTAAACATTTTAATAATGGCATCAACTAGCTGATCGGCACATGTGTTTAGTACGTGGCCAGGGATGTTATCAGGCCCAGCAGCTTTAGTCATATTCACTCTCAGCAGGATTTTTCTCACATCCGCCGTGGATACTGACAGTGGTGGATCCTCTGGAGGCAGAGTCCACTTTACAGCTGACTCTTTGTTGAGGAGATCAAAGCGAGCATAAAATGCATTTAGCTCACCTGGTAGCAGGAATGGTCTTTGTGATCGCCACATCATCAACACATTTGCTGATGTATGATGTCATATGATGATGATATATGCATTTTCTCAACATTGATGAGGTTCTCCTGGGTTGCAGCATCTCTGAACATGTGCCAGTGTCAGTCCTGTAGAGCTGCTGTTGCTTCATCTGTCCTCACTTTAACTGTTCTTTCTGATGGCTTGACCCTTTTTATCAGCTTTGTGTAAGTTGGCAGGAGAAGCAGAGTCTGATAGTCCAAAGGGGGGGCAGGGGAGGGCATTGTCGCTACAAGGAATGTTTGTGTAAACATGCTCCTAGGTATTGTAACCCCTGGTGGTGGTGTAGACATGCTGATGGAATTTATATAAAACAGTTCTGAGGTCTGTTTGATTAAGTTACAATGAAATACTGTCGAAACTGGGGGGGGATGATGACAACTAACAACTAAGTAACATTTGGATATTTCACACTGTGGTCATTTGTCCACAGACATAATTAGTCAGATCAGATATGGAACTGACTCCCCCCCCCCAAAGATAAAAAACAAACAAAAAAAGCCCCAAAAACATGCGAACTAGCTGATTGGCACGTGTTTAGTACGTGGCCAGGGATGTTATCAGTGCCAGCAGCTTTAGTTATATTATTTGTTCATGTTGGCCCAGGATGGCCCCTTGAACACACTGCAACCCCCCCTCCCTATCCTCACTGTCAGACATTGCTTTGTGTAAGAGAGTTCTTATCTCTGATCCTTTATATGTTTAAGTGGTGTCCAAGTGAAGGTATTAGTGTGTGTGAGTAGGTGATAGAAAGGCCGCTGAGGTGCATTATGAGAGATGTTTTTGGACCTGGATCCATACTACAGTAGGGACTAAAAAGGAGGGTATGCAGCAAAGGGCCTCAGGTTGTAATCAAACCCGGCCCGCTGTGGTAAGGTAAGCTAAGTCTACTAAATTGCCCCTTTAAGGAACAGTTTATCAGTTGCTCACCATCACAACTCAGCTTTATTGGGGTACTAGTTTATTCTTGGCTCTAATCACCCTGTTTAATCCCCCAGCATGCTTTAGCTCACACAGGAGAAGACTTGATGATGGAGAAGCTTTTAAATCTAAAGATAATGCGTGAACTTCATGCCATGTACAGCCAAAGTTTATAGTTGATCTTGGCCTGTGGGAAGTAATAATAACTATTACTACAGGGGTAGTACTAAATTACTATAGGATTACAGCTGTATATGTTAATCATTATTATTATTATTATTATTAGTATGTTTGCTTCTTCTCCGTCCTCTCCAGCCAACTCATGTTTTGAATCCTGCAACAAGAGACTGCTGAGCTTCCCTACTTTTTATGTTCTTTATATAAGACATCTTAGCCTCTCGAACTTAGTTAAGTGGATCAGGCAGTCAACTAGTTAATTGTGTCTGTAGAGACCAAAATGCTGAGGCAGCAGTGTCTGCTGAGTCCTCAGTGAAGTCCTTGATCTTCCTGTAGCAGCTGTCTGCGAGGTGAATGGCTCTTGAATCCCACTTGCTTTCACGGTGGCCACTGATGTGATTTGACTTTATCACAGGTCCCGACAGGAGGAACAGAATCAAACTGCCTCCTGCTCAGATAAACCCGACAGGTTCTCACAGCATGGGTGAAAGAATCCATCAGCTGCACAGATAGAGATAGAAAACCCTGCTGTGTGACACGCTAACTGAGAAAGCACTGCAGAGGTCATGCAGGTGTGTGAGAGCAGATTTGGTGATGTTAAATGTGTCTCTCCACCCCAAAATACAACTGTAGGGAGGTGAAGAGAGTCTGTAAGCATAATGTAAGAAAAGAACAATTAGTGTGAACCACAAAGTGAGAATGGACAGAAATGATATAATGGATATACTGGATTATTTACAAAATATTATCATATGTGTATAATTAAAGCTGTAGTAGGTCATTTTTGAATAAGATAAATGAAATGAAAACAACCAGTCAGAGCAGAGAAAGATAGAAAGTTTTGACGCTTTCAGTTGGAAGCTTGGTTTATTGTTGAGTCTCATTCCCAGGTTGTCAAATACAAAGCATCTTTCCATCTCTTTCAGATCTGATTGGTTGTTTTGGTTCAGGCCCGGTGGATTCTTGCTAATACCATTAGGAGCACTCGGAGGAGCCAGAGGAACCTGATTGTTTGAAAGATTATCTGTCTCATGTTCTACTGTCAGGATATAGTGAAAGTTTCACCTACTGTAGCTTTAACATGATGTCAATATTTATATATTATTATCATTATTACTATTATTATTCATCATCCCCCATCATTATGGCTATTGTCGTCATCATCGTCATCTTCTTCATGTCTGTCTCGGTCTTCTGTCTTTACCCCTCTAAGCCCTGCCCCAACTGGTCGAGACAGACGACCACCCACCTAGAGCCGAAGGATCTGTCCTAGGTTTCTGCCTTTTAACAGGCAGTTTTTCCTTGCCCTTGTCTCCAAGGTCTTGCTCATGGTGGTACTGTTGGGTCTCTGTAAATAATGTTATAAAGAGTTCGGTCTAGACCTGCTCTATTTGAAAAGTGTCCTGACATAACTTCTGTTATGAATTGGCGCTATACAAATAAAATTGAATTGAATTGAATATTTCATGTTTTAAATATCATGGGAATGTGAATGGGCTGTAAAGTGTGTAGGAGAAACTATGGTGGCTGCAAAACTATGCTAACGCTAACGCCTTTACGTATGTAGAGCCAGTGTTGGGTTTGTCCATTCTGGGCTGCTGTAGAAACATGGTGGTTAAAAATGGCGGACTTTTCCCTATAAAAACATCTCATTCTAAGGTAACAAAAGCACAATTCACGACTCTTATATTCAGGTGATTATACACTAATGAAAACATACCTATGCATATTATATTCCATTACTGACAACAGATCCTCCTAAATGTCCTCCTTTAAACACTTTCTGCATTACAATCTGCTGAAATCAACCATATAATTTATCTTTGGCATTTTCACACAGCTGACTTGTGAGGTATTACAATTTTTTTGTACAGTTGAATTTGAAATATCACAATATGAATTCATTTTAAATCCTGAACAAAACCAATAAAGCTCTGCTGTCGATATATTGATGATATGATCTGTTTTTGATCAGGAGATGAAAGGTCGTTTTGTCTTTTCAAGAACTGTTGAAATAAAAATAAAACATCTGACATTTACCATGGAGCGTCTTTAAAGAATGGTCTTCCCATTAGTCTATTCCACAGGGTAAGACTGATCTTAAGAGGACATTTAGGTCCTGATTGATCTGATAAATGATCCTACTGCACCCTCTTATGGCCACTGCAGCCTCAGCAGCCCACCGGTTTGACCTCTGCAGGGAAAATGACTGAGAACTCCCACTGAAGGCCACACATCACTCACAGCACAGTTAGTGTTTTGAATTATCTTTATTAAGTAAACTCTACACTTTTAGTATTGCTTTTATTTTATTTTTTTATTCTTTTCACTCTAAATTAGAACCTTTTGCAATCAGCACATATAGAACTTTTCAATCAAGCTACACTTTTTGAGGAATACAAAAATATCACAGTACATTTTCTACTAAGTCACCTTCACCTGTGAGGTCCAGAGCCAATCAGAGAGGCGGGTTCAGAACCACAGCAGCTGCCTAGACAGAGATGGAACGTCGACATGTCTTAAAGTAACAGCACCATGGTCTATGAGCTAACCACACTGAAGAAAGGGGCACACTGTGAATTGTGGGATACTGAAGACGTCAAGAGGCCTCCAAATTCGAACAGAAGGCGGCCGAACAATGTGACACAGCCACTGTCTCAGCCGTGTGCGGGACCATCGTATCCACTGTGTGACATGCTTCCCACTGAAAACACACATCAGCCAAACCACCGGCTTCATTCTCAACCATCTTTACTCTCGCAAAACCAAAACACACTCTGTGAAAACACTCCTGATAAAGCAAAAATCACATCTTCTAGTGGCTTGTTCCAAGTTTGTTTTCGAGTAGTGATTCACCGATGTATCAGCCGATATTCGCCTTGTTGACAGGCCAAATAAGATATAACAAATAAATTTAGATATATCGCAAGACAGTTAAATCGCAATATATCTTGTTACTTTTACAAAGAAAGGGAAATATGCATTGTTTTGCACAAGAAAATATAAGAAAAAAGATATTTTGTAAATTTCTTTCTGGGAAATAAGGGAATCTTTTCCAGTCATAATTTGTTTCCAATCTCATTTTGTTGGATAAACCATAAGAAATTTGTATCGTGAACTGTATCCAATCATGAGTTGAGTGCATCGTCACATCATTGGCCGTTGTTTACCTGTTGTCAATTTTGCGCTGGCTAAATGTTGTGTTGGTTATTTCCAACTCAGACGTTGGAGAAATAATCCCCTCTGTTTTCCAGCACTGGGACAAACTGCACGCCGACACCGGACAGACAGTGAGCGGCTGTTCAGCTCTGCGCCTCACATCTTGGATGAGAAGAGAAATAGACTAAGCTGCAACAAGGCACAGATGCTTATCCATCTTATCTTATTACCCAGTTTCCCTGCGACAAACAGGCCATTAAATAACAACAAACATATCAGCATCAGCTGGATTTCCCATTCGGTGCATCCCTGTTTTCAAGTGTGGCACAACAAGCAGTTGTACTTGTAACTATGGAGACAGTAAGTCACTCCTCTTAAACTGGAAGGAGGTGAATGCCTACAAATGTACGTGGACAACCTACACATAGACAAGTTTTAGTGTTTTATCAGCAGTGTTTTCAAACTGTATGTTTTGTTTTGGATGAGGACTGACTGACTAGTTTGGCAACCACGTCCAGTAAAGAGCGTTTCAGTGGGAGCCACCTGGGACCATCTGTGTGTTCGAACTAGTCAGTGATTAGGATGTTGAAAAGAAAGGCTGGGTATGGTACTCAGGAGCATGTAAACTCACTCTTTGATCACTTCATGTAAATTTTTGATTTTCTTTTTTCCGAACTGTATTTAAAGTTTAGCTGAGATTCTGCCTACAGCGTAACGGAGGGAATTTGACAAGTTTGTCTTATTCTGTTAGATGACTAGAAATCTTTTGTAGAAAAACATATTTATATTTAGCAAAAAAAACCACGATACTCTAATGCAGTTGTTCCTTCAGGGGGGGTTGCGAGGCCTTTTTGATTTTAAGGGGTGTAAAAAAAAAAAAGAAAACATAAAAAATATACTCAGTAGGCCTATATCTCAGCATCTGGTTCACTTCGGTGAAGAAATGTAAAATAAATTGTCCAATAGAACAATGGCCAAGTGTCAGGGACAAGAAAACACTGTCAAAAATGTGTCAAAAAGAAGCCTATTAAGTCTGTATGATTGTTAAAAATGATAAAAAAAAATACATAATACAGACAGAATTGTATAAAAAGTTCCTCAAAAAAGGAAATAACCTGCTCAAAATTCATCTAAATCACTCGTTTGACACAAACTTCTTGCAGTTATTGGGTTAGGTTAGGTTAGTTTTGAATATAATATGCAATACCTCAAAAATGTGTCACTTCAGGTCAGTCAGGGGTTGCAAGTTTACTAACTGATAGAAAAGGGGTCCCTTAAGGAAAAAGTTGGGAACCAGTGCTTCAATGGGATATGAGCAAAAAGCTGTTTTCCATAACCACACTGTAAGATTGTGGCGAGCACCAGAATCTACTTAGAAAAGAAAAGAAAACATACGGAGGTCTGAATCAAAGCCCAATGAAACCCAGCCCTTATTGACAAGTTCTAACAGACTGACAGGCCCAGCAGTGGTTAGGGGGCCTCTGGTTTGGGTCTGGAGCCGTGTTCATGTCACTCCTCAGGCAGGCTGAAATGTAAATATGGATCCCACACAACAATAACAGCACCTATAACACTCTCTCTCTTCCCATCCCTCTCTGCATACGTGTCATATTCTATACAAAGTATCAAAAAAGATTAAACAAAATACTGAAAAATCCTCACCCGTACTCACAATATAATCTCTCATATTAAACCTTTTTTTTTTCTTTTCTTGCAAATCTTCCTTTTCTCCCACTCTGCAAAGATTCAGATCCACAGCTTTTGGTGAATGAGGCCTCACAGCACCTACCGCTCTGGACAGGAATGTTGCAGCATGAAAAATGACCCACGCTCAGTGGTTTTACTCAAGAAAAACCCACCGGAAATGAAGTGAGGATGGAGGGTGAGAGATCCCCGTCAATGTCTCAAGTTTAGGGGGGGAAATGGAAGAGACGAGTTAGATGAAGAAAGGAAGGAGTACACTTTTAATTCCACAGTTACACAAACATGAACCATGATAAAACGAGAGTGAGGAGTCTGTCGCGAGCGGAGGAGAGCGGGGAGGCTTCTCCTCGGAGCTCGGCGTGGACGAACACACATAAAAAAAAAGGAAGTCTCTGTGGGGCGTGGGGGTACGGGAGCTGATTGTACTGCCTGTGTGCTGTATGTTTGTGAGTCCACGCAACAGGGCGCAGGGTCCCCGGCAGAACCAGACAGCATGGATGTGGCCCGCTCAGTGCAATGGCAGTAGCAATGCTGGAGGCTGAGTTGATGCTGGGTGGGACTTCTCTGAGCCCGAGCCCAGCACACACTCCTGCTGAGCGGCGCACTCAGGGGGAGAAGGTCGCCATCTCCAGGGAGATGCGCTGCCACAGCTCCTTGGTCTGCTTGCCTCGCTTCAGGTTCTGCAGCACGTCATTGAACTGCATCATGCCCACGGGCGTCAGGCAGAAAGCACCTCGAGCGCTGCGGATGATGTTGACAAAGTCGTCATAGTCCGCGGGCGTCAGGTGGATGAGCCGGTGGTGGATGTACTGCAGACAGAGAGAGAGAGAGAGAGAGAGAGAGAGAGAGAGAGAGAGAGAGGCAGGATGGATCAAAGAGCACAGATATACTGTAGGGCTGCTAAAATTCATCAATTGGTTGTGAAATATTAAGTAAATCAACAACTACTTTGATAATCGATCGTTTTAGTCTCTAAATACTCTGATTTCAGCCTTTCATATGTGAATATTTTCTGGTTTCTTTAGTCCTCTTTGGCAGTAAACTGAATATCTTTGGGTTGTGGACGAAACAAGACATTTGAGGACGTCAACTTGGGCTGACATTTTTCATCATTTTCTGACATTTTCTGGACCACACAACTAAGGTTGGGAACCACTGGGTTAGAGCAAAATACTTAGTTGGGATTTGTGACAAAATTGTGGACTTACAAATGTTGCCAGATCTTAACTCACAACAGCTCTACAATGCCTTTCCTATCTGATAGCTTCTCCCTGATTAAAGGACGTATCTAGCTCATTGACAACCTGGGCTGGCAGACAACTGTGCACTGTTGCTGTATTCAGTTTGACTCAATACCTATTCAGTCCAACCACAAGACTCAACAGTTGGGACGTTTAATAAACCAGGAAGATCTCTTTACATTACTCTGACATTTGTGGGCTGATTCTTCTGTTCATTCATCTAACCCCTGTATGAGTGCAGCGGGGGCGGCAGTGCGTGCAGACGTGTCGTACCTGCAGGTAGGCCTGTTGGCAGCGCTGGACGAGCTGGTGGAAAGCAGGTGTTCGGAGGTGGGCGTGGATGTGGGCGGGGTTAAGCCTCTGCAGGGCCTCCATGATGATCTCCTGCAGGACAAACGGGCTGAGGACGCCTTTTGCTGCTCCAACACAGAACTGGTACACATAGTTGACTCCTGACAGGATAGACAGGCAGAGAGAGAGTCAGTTGAGGTTTAAATTAAACTTTAGACAATATTATACATAGCTTGAGTTCTCCTTTGGTTTATTCTAGTTTGCTTTAGTAGTGGACTTTTTAGCCGTGCTGATGCTGTGTGCTTAAATTGTTAAGACTAGCTTAACAACAATCCATATCCCAGTCATCTAAATAATAAATAATGAATTTCCGGGGTCGGCTGCTCAAATCGTCCCTCTGTTACAGTCCATTCATTGACGTGTAGTCTCACCTAGTCTTGCGGCCAGTCCCAGCAGCCATTTGACGTCCTCAGTGTAAGGTGGGCTCCTGGAGAAGTTGTTGGGGTGGTCGTTGTGAGCTCTTCTGCCCAGCATCTCTAATGCCAGCATGCCTTCACACAAAAGAACAACAGAGATCACATTTATTCAGTTAAAGGCTCTATATGTAACTGTTAGAATACTGTTGTTAACAGCCGTTAAGTTAACGGCAGTGAGTGTCCTGTTGCTTGCACTCCGTACACAGTCACTAGACATCGACCAAAGGTAACAAAAACACAAAACTGGAAAATAAATGATAGATTTATTGAGAATAACGTGACTATCTGCAATGTTCCTATATTTTATTTGGACCATTGACTCCATGTATTTACTAGCTCGCCTTACAAATCACCCAATGAAGCAACCAACGCCAGACCCACAGCGCACAGCCAAGACAGACAGCTGGACGACCCCAGTTTAGTTTAGGCTACAGTTAGCTAGTTGGATGCCCCTGCATGGTAGAAATGAACTGTTTGCTTTGTTCCATTCTATCATTGACTGTTGGCTTAAATCAAAAGTGTTTTTCCTAGTACAGTTAGTATCATGGATCATGTTAGCTGAGGAAGGGATTTTGAAAGCTAACATTTGCCAAATATATCTATATATCTATATCTAATATATATAACATTCGCCAAATATATTTGGCGTATATCTAAATCATCCTAACATATATATATATATTGCCAAATATATATATTTCTGATGTTGTTTAGTCTTCCTGCTACATTCCATGATCTAACTAAATACTATCTATGGATATATATATATATAGATATATCTATATATCTAGATATATCTATATAGATTATATATATATATAGATATATCTATATATCTAGATATATCTATATAGATTATATATCTATATATAGATATATCTATATATCTAGATATATCTATATAGATCTATATATATCTAGATATATATAGATTATCTATATCTAGATATATCTATATCTTTATCTATATATCTAGATATATCTATATAGATCTATATATCTATATATATATATATATATATATATATCTATATAGATATATCTAGTATATATATAGATATAATATCTATAATCTATATATATATATATAGATATAGATAGATATATATAGATATATAGATATATCTATATATATATAGATATATATCTAGATATATATATATCTATATAGCTATATATAGATTATATAGCTATATATCTATATCTATATATATATATATATATCTATATAGATATATCTAGATATATAGTATCCACTCAGATAGTATTTAACTAACAAAAAAACATTAGCTAGCAAGCTAAGGTTAGCCAGCCAGCTGCCACCCAGCCGGGGAGCCTGGATGAATTAACTGATTATCCTCTCTTTGTCTTTCAACGACAGCCAGCTAAAACCACAATATCAAAATATATTTCACATGCTTTGCATTAATGTTAGCTTTGACTTTAGACCTGGTGGTTTACAGACATTAGCTGACTCCATTTATAAGCTAACGTTAGCTAGTGCTGCACACTGTTCACACTGTAGGGAAGCAAAGAGAGAAGGCACTCAGGAAGCATGCGTCACATCCTTTGGATTTTCACGTAAAATCCATCCAGAAACCTTTACACAGAAATCAGTCCACCAGCAACCGAAAAAGTCAGTACAAATTTGCAATTAAATGTGATTAATACATAAGAATAATGGGTAAAATGCTTCAGAATCTTATATATGGCACATTTAACCCAATGTACTATATGCAAATTGGTTAGTTAAATATAATCATCAACACAAACTTCTCACCAACTCTGTAGGCAGAATGCAGGTAGTGCAGGCCCTGTTGGCTGATTGGCTGGCTGTGCTGTTCGTCCTCTGCTGGAAAAGGTGTGCTGACCAGTGAGCCGGGCTGGGAGGAGAGGGAGGGCAGAGATGCTCCCTGTATGGCCTGGATGGTGGGGCCCGAGTGGACGCTGCCTACTGTAAAATATGACACACATCATACTATTCAGCACACATACATTAACTCAACCCATTTACTAACATACAATAACTAATGTAGCCTAAATTTAGAAGAACACTTATAATTGCTGGGTTAAAACACACACACACACACACACACACACACACACACACACACACACGAGTGTGTCGTCCTGACCTGCTACAGTGGTGCTGAGGGGCAGGCCAGTCTCAGTGTGGTAGGGATGGACGGCGATCTGAGTCATGGACGGTACGGGGACACCAGGGAACGTCACAGCAGTGGCTGCCATAGGTGGCTGGGGGCCAGCAGCCACTGAGAATGGGTACTGGGCACCGATAAAGGCTGGGTGCATTCCCTGAGGATGTACAAACACATTCACAATTAGAGTGCCCTGCACTAAAAAGTGTGAGAATATTTGTGTAGACATGAACAATATTTATTTCACAACAGCAACAGTAAAGTCTTGATGTGAAGACTGTGAAAACTGTACTTTCAGTACTACTTAGCTATTTCAGAAAAAATTGAAAATTTCAAAAAAAGCCCACTCACTGTATGAAAACTGACCTGTGGATATGCAGCCCCAGACACAGGGAAGACGGTGGGTCGGGGGACGTGCTGCAGAGGGTGTCCCAGGTACTGCGGGGTGCAGACCGTGGGGAGATGGGCCTGGATTGTGGTATAAGGGTGTAGGCCCTGGCTGTGGGGGTGAGCCATGGCCTGTCCAGGCATGGCATGGGACTGGTAGATTGTGGAGCCCACGGATATGACGGGTACAACGGCCGCTGCAGTGACTGAGGCCGTGACTGTTGCCATTCCTGCAGACTCCATGTTGGCTCCACCGTCGAGGACGACGCAGCTGGACTCTGGGGGCCTCCTGCCCGAACCCCCGTTGGCCCCACAGCGCCCGGAGGTCTCCCGCTGCTGGCCTGACCCACCACCCACTGACTGCTCATATAGCCAGTACCACTGGTGAGCCACCTCAAAGAGGACCTCAGGGTACACACCTCCACCCTTGGCTGCTTCCTCTACTGCCATGCAGGCCTTCTCCAGCATCACATTGTCCTGGAAAGAGACGGACAAGGGAGTTGGTGGGACGAGAATGTGTGAAAAGTAAATGATTCTAAGACCACTTTAAGAAAAAAATGTTTGCTACTGATGAAAACTTCAGTTACCTAATGAATCTAATACTTACTTAGTTACAAATGCATTTAAGAAAAAGCGATCTTGCCATGTTGGGATCAAACACATTCAGCAGCATGTGATGTGCTCAGCAGCAGGTTGATCAATGAACTGTAAACCCTCCCCCACTGTACCTGCTCTTTGCACTGCACCAGGGCTCTCTGGATCTCATTGGGGTTGAGGGCGTGAGCGTGAGGCAGGCAGCTCAGGGCGAGCTCTGCCGCCGCTCGAACCATGTTGGGATCCCTGGCCCGTGACGCTCGGTCGGCCAAGGAAGCCACCTCTGGGGGAGTGAGATGACCGTCCCAACACTCCACCAAAATGTTGAGGGCGGCGCTGCCGATCTCCATGGCCTGGCCTGAGAGAGGGAAAGAGGATGAGAGTGAGAGGGCGGAAGCAGGAAAGCAATTTTTTTTCTTCTCTTACACACACTCACCAGTGATCCAGGACACGTGGGAGGAGTAGGTCCTGGACAGCCAGTTGGGTGACACAAAGTTGTGGAGGCCGAGAGCATACAGGCCAATCTCAAAGGCACACAGGTGCAGGTTTCTGTGGGGCCCCTGGTGGCCCCCACTGGCTGAGGGCTGGGTGAAAATGGAGGTGGAGGAGTTTCCTCCGGCTTTGATCAGCACCGTCTTGGCTAGCTCAAAATAAAAATGGGCTGCAGCTTCTGATGGCTGGTTGGGCACGTGGGGGGCATGGCACTCGGGACGTCGCCCTTTGTACCTGAACACAGGGAAATGTACAATAAGTTGATTAGAATCCATCTTCGTTAGAATAAAGGCACAAATAGAGACAGTTTTCAAGAAAACCTGCTCAACAAAGTAGGCAGGTCTGGTTCAATTTAGACTAGTTTGCTAATTGAGCTTTAGCTCATCTCTACTCCACATTTTTGTTGTTAAACTGTACAGTTCCCTAAGGCTTACAATATGCTGCCCCCTTGTTTGTTATGTTGTCTGTCAATTTTGATGACTAAAAAGTAGTAATTTTATAATTTGTAAATGGACATCAATTCAATAATTTACTGAGAGCATAAGAGCAGCAGACAACCAATCGGAAGGGTATTTAAAATTATTTCCATCATATGGCATTATGTAACTTCCCAGATGACAAGATTGCTGAGATTTTAGACTTAAATATAATATATTTTATGGTCTCTTTGGTCCTCTTCCCTTTGGCTTTAGGAAACCCTGATCAACATTTTTCATGATTTAAATGGATCAAAAAACCAATTGATTAATCAAATGATTGGCTGATTAAAGCTGCAGTAGGTAACTTATATCTGCTGAAACTTTCACTATATCCTGACAGATAATCTGTGAAACAATCAGGTTCCTCTGGCTCCTCCTAGTGTTCCTAATGACATCTGACTGCAAGAATCCACTGTGGCTGAACAAAAACAACCAATTACTGCAAAGAAAGGTAGTTGATTGTTGAGTCTCATTCCCAGGTCATCCAATACTGGTGCATTGGGCTGGTGGCTTGAAGACAGTTGATCGTTGTGTCAACTGGTAATGAGTCTCAACAATCAACTATCTTTCTTGGCTCTGATTGGTTGTTTTCGTCCAGGTGTCCTGGTGGATTCTTGCAATTGTCATTAGGAGCACTAGGAGGAGCCAGAGGAACCTGATTGTTTCACAGATATTGTCTCATGTTCTACTGTCAAGATATAGTGAAGGTTGTTTTTTGTCAAAGTTACCTACTGCAACTCTAATCGACAATAAAAATAATTTTCATTTGCATTATGGGGTTCATCGTTTGTCCCTGCTTGCACCTCAGCACATCATTACATTGTCAGTTTCTTATGATATATGTCTTTGCCATTGTGAACTGATGTGATCAATAGTTGACATCTGATGTCTGTGTTTCAGAATTTTGAACATGTTCATTGGTTATCTTGACTTTTGAATTAGCATTCTGGAATGGTTTAATCACATAAGTTTTGTAGTTTCAAGTCAGCCTTTAAGCAATGACCACCACTTTCCTCACGTAGGTACGCCGTGGCTAACGTGCGCCTACACATTGGGGCTACAACAGCTGCTGATAGAGCTGTGACTGGTCAACTAGGGTGTTGAGGTGTACAAGTTTCTGATGCTGGAGTTTGTTGAGAGTGAAAACACAGACTACATTTACATGCACACTACCATGTACATATGCACTGTATTATAATTGAGTTATTTAATTATAACAATGCATTTGATAAGGGTTATGTAAAAAGTTTATTCTGTTTGGATATTCCTAATTAAGGCTTATTCCAAATGGATCACTTTTATATTATTCAGGTTTAAGGAGCATGCTTTGGACATGTATACAGCACATTTGGAATATGTCTCATTTGGGGTTTTTACTGCAGTTTGCGACACACTGCCTACCTGATGCACAAAACAAAAGCCCACATTTCTGGTCTGAGGGACAAACACACCTACTGTTAAACATTATGACTTGGATATCAACAGGTTTTTAGAAACCCGCAAACATCGCAACGCCAACCTTTTCCAAGAAGGTGAGAACCTTGACATAAAGAGGCAAAATGCCTCAAACGGCTCCAGTTGTTCCACTTATACCATGGGAGCAGCATGACTGCAGTTTGAAAAGGAGGGAAATTCCCCTGAAGGACGTCCAGTACGTCATTAACAGTTAGGTCAATCAGAGTAAGCTGCATGTAAAGAGGAATATTAGTGGAATATTCATTTTCATTAGCCATATAAACAGCTTACTGGGAATACTGTCTATTTCATAATAAAGGGACAAAAAAAGGGAATATTTTTGTGCATGTAAACGTAGTCAGTGTTAACAAGGTTGAAGAAAGGCTCAGTAATATTTTCTTTTTAAGTAACACACATCTAGCAAATACATTTTCACCGCGAGCCTTCGTTTCACTGCGACCCCCCGCTGTCTATCAAAGTGAATGAAAGAAGTAATGAGACAAGGAGAAATGGAAGTTACCTGGATACGACTCCAGTTCTATATGTATGTTCATAGACCACCATCGCTCTGTATCACAAAGTCAATGAAAGAATGTAAACACAGTTACTGCGGGGAATATGATTAAAAACAGGATATGGCCTGATCATGTACGATACATCTGTCTGCTGTTGTGGTGTCAACATCAATAGGTCAAATAAGATGCTAAACTATAAACAAAAACCTCCACTTAACCCCTTGTCAAGCATAAACCCTCCATTATAAAATACCTTGCTGGTGAGCAAAGGTTGCTGGGAGTTGACTGCCAGCGAGTCAGCAGCAGTCATAATTACACTTCTGTTAACAGACAGCATTAGTTTTAAATGTTTTTAATTCAAACTATTATTAACCCAGATATGAGGAAGAGTTTGCGTTTACCTGCTGGTATCGGTGCTCTTGGCCCTGGCTCCGCCCCCTGCCCTGCGAGAGCCGCTGGAGGAGGAGGAGCCCAGTGAATCAGATGATGAGCTGCTGATGCTGTCGCTGTCCTGGCCCCGCCCCCAAGACGTTGCTGCCCAGCCGCCCCGGATCGGGCGCCGGCTGAGAGTGGGGGAACTGTCTGAGGTCGTCTCCGGAGCACTGCTGTCGATGCTCGCCATGCCTGTCCAATTAACAGGCACATCGCATTCACATCACTATAATGTGTTGGTTCATTTTTGATGTGAGGCTGTTTTCTACATTTTCACGTTACATTTCTGGATAAACACTGTATGTGCCCAGTCAGAAATACCATACATATGACTCGCCACTGCCTGTCTGACAATGTCGATATAAGTTACATTGATTCTCTGAAACAGTGGAGATAATCTGCCCCTCAGTCCTGGCTCAACAAGCAAGCAAGAGAGAGAGGGCGCAGTTGTAGTTGAGCAAGATAGAGAGTGAATGAAGAGAGGGAGTGGCGCTAGAGAGAACCAAGCCATGAATCAGAGAAATAAAACATTATTTTCTGACACGACGGTTATGTTCTCAAGCACAAATAAAAATGACCACACCTCGGCACAACCCTGCGGGAAAAAGCCACATTGCTGGATTTTGTGTGACTGCAAGCTGTGGGTTCTGAGTCCCTACCTCATACCCTGTGCACTGCCCAGAGTTTGATGCCCAGAAACACAAAACACAGACAAATATGAAAATACAGGTAGAGGGTTCCAAATGATGATAGTGTCAGTCTGAGTTCTGTGTAAAAAATGTGTTTACCGGTGTGTTTCTTCTTCTGCCGGACAGGTGAGCCCCAGCAGCGTTGGCTGTATCCACAGCGTGCCCCCAGTGCCAGCCGACTGGGCACTGTGGCCTCCAGCTTAAATGGAGCCGTTTCATTCTGCTGGTCACTTGATGAAGGAGGCCCATCTGATACTGCGAGGAAAGGATCAAAGAAAACTCAGTACAATAGAGTGATTACCTAATGCATAGCATTTCTAGGTTTCAGAACTGTAAACTAAGTAAAGAACTTGAATTTCTCACTGACTACTGCTAGAACACAGCAATCTTGGCTACTTTTAATGCACTGCATGTTCTGACTTCCAGCTATATTGCTGCTGCTGTTCCTCAAAGAGCCAGAGTGAAGCCTCAGATCCTTAGGCAGAACTCCTTTGACTGCTCCTGAATCCTGCATCAAGACTAAAGTATGTTTAATCTGTTTTATTGGTTTATTTCACCCTCTAGCCCTTTTTATCTTGTTGTATTGTTGGATATTTCATTCTATTTTTTACTGTTGGCTCCCAGAGTGGGGGCAGGGGCTCTCACCATGCTCCCTGGTCTCAGCAGTACTCTCCCCTGCTGAACTATTCTGCACTGGGTTCAGTTCAGCCTGATGAGCCACCTCTTCGCCAGCCAGCGCTACAGCAGAGGAAGAGCTGGTAGAAGAGGCTGCCACAGTGGTTGCAGATGAAGATGAGGGCACGTGTTTGGAGACACCACCAGTGGCCCCGCTCACCCCACCGTGGCTGGCGGCAGTGTGTTTGGACGGGCTGCGCTGGCTGCCAGCTGCCGGCTTGCTGGAGTAGAAGGAGCTCAGGGTTTGGGGCTTGTGGGTCTGACTCTCCCTGTCCAACAACTTGTCCAGGATCTGAGGATCAGAGGAGGGGTAGAGAGACTGTTTTTAGGAAACCGAATATAACATCTAGATTGTTGAACCACTTGGTGTGGCTTCTTTAAGCTTCTTCCTGGTAAACCCAGGAACCCAGGAAGGTAGGTTTCCAATCCCGAACAACAATGTTTAGAGTAAGACAACCATTCAGACTAAACACTGTATGTGTGGGATGACTGTGTTTATATGTTGTTGTCAAGAACAGCGTACACACTATTTTGGTAGTAAAAGTATTTTTTTGGGCTTTTATTGCCTTTATGATAGAGATAGCTGGAGATAGACAGGAAAGGGGGGCAGAGACAGGGGATGACATGCAGCAAAGGGCTGCAGGTCGGATTCGAACCCTGGGCCGCTCTACCCACTGAGCTAACAGGGCGCCCCATAGGTGCATCTTCTGTTGAATGTTTTTACCTCCCAGTATGTGGGAGATTATTTCATTTCTCTATTGATAAAGTCTAGGGAGGGCGTTTAAAGTAATTTTCATATTCGAGTACCTGCATTATATTCTAAGGTAAGAATAGGCTCTGAAATGAACACCTACGCGAAAGTGCGGGTATCCTACCTTCCTGCGCAGCACCGACTGTAGAGATTAGCCGAAATGAAGAGAAACAATGAGTAATGCAAAGATGAGGAATGTGTGACTGAAGACACAGATCTAACATTTTTGTTAGAAAAATGCAAGTAGTCTATACATGTGGGATTTGTATATGTATATTTGTTTTTTTTATGCACCAACGCACCAAGTCACATTCCTCGTAGGTGTAAAAATCCACCTGGCAATAAACAATTCTGATTCTGATTCTGACATTATATCCTACACAAAAAATACAAATCAAGTACTGGAGTACTCATGTCCATTCCCTCTCATGACCATGAGGACGGCACATATCAACCAACATTTCTGTAAATATGCCACCGTTTGCCTGTCAGCCAACTCTCAACTGCAGTCCTTTAGCAAGATGTTCAAAAAGCTGGATTATTTACAGGATATTATCATATGTGTATTATTCAGCCTTCAGGTGCCTAACATTAATACAGAATTATGAAGATCTGCTTTCTGTTACTGTGCCACTGATACTTAGAATTTGCTTCTAAAACATTTTAACATTCCAAGATCTAATTGCTAAACATACTGATTGGAATTGTTATTAATATTTTTATTGTTTTATTGCACTGCAAAATAAAGTATAAAAGCCTTGTTTCTGGGTCTTATTTTTTGGCTTAAAAGAATAATTATCTTGTCAAGCACGTTTTGCTGTAGAAAAGTAATCCGGTTTTAAGAAAGTCTATCTAACTTTGTCTTAATAAGATATTACAGCTAATATTGAGCTCGATTTAACAAGTTCCAACAATGGTTTGCATAATATCCCAGCAGAGGAACAAGATTATTTTCCTTATTTTAAGAGGAAGACCACTTGCACAAGAGAAAGTAGTCTCCAGTGTTGGAAATGAAGCAGCTGTTTAGTTTTTCATTGTTTTAATAAAAATGCTAAAAAAATAGGAATGCTTCTGCTGCCTTCATTTAAGACAAAGTCACCTATTTTATTATGCTGTTTGAATAAATTGTGTCTTATAGGAAGATTTATTTTTGCTAATTATTAGATTTAGATTAAACATACTTTTACATTCTTCAATTCATCTCAACAAAGTGACCAAAATACTTATTTTAAACAACTGCTGTTTTATTGTCTGTAATAAGCACAAATTGCTTACATATTTGGCATTTTTTTCTAGTTTTAAGACCCATAACAGTCTTTCAGTGGCTAGGTTTTTAATGGTAGTTTTATGAATTGAAGCTAAATTGTCTTACCCCAGCCCACAAACTGTTATTTTGTTTATGAGTTTTAATGGTTTGTGAGTAGTGCAAGTACTAAACGCACAGTTCTCCAGGCACAGCCTCGCTCATATCCTACTTCTAAAGCCACTGGGCTTCTCTACGACAGCATGAAAATATCTCTGCCTGGTACACTGGAAGAACCCGTCTCACATTTATCAGTCAGAATGAATGGTCAGAGTAGTGACGTCTACCTTCTTGAGCTTGCTCTGGTCATCCTTATAGGTGATCATAAGAGCCAGAGCCAGGTCACCTTTCACCCGTCTCGTTCCTTCACACAGCAGAGGATGCTCCGCTTCACTAACTGTGGTCTTCATACCTGCACACACACACAGAGGGTGGACACGAGGAGAGATTACAGCAGGAATGATGTGCAGTAGACAGTACAAAGACAGGGGATGTGAAAAGTGGTGAGGAGAGAAAAGGATACTGAGAAACAGATCCAGACAGAAATGAAGGAGCGGGGTGAGAATAAATGTACCAAGTGCAGCAACAGCAGCCTCGAAGCCCAGCTCCTCATCACCGGGCATCTCGTTGTTACGGTTGCGGCTTGGTGGACGGGAACCCGTTGGGGACACAACTGCACAAACAATATGGAAAAAAGTGAAAGAGATGTTAATTATTGTAGTTCCCATTTAAAAAGGTCTTAATTTGGTCTTAAAAACAAATTTCTTCCGTCACTCTGAGCTGCCACTTGTCCAAAAGGCAGTATACTCAAAAAGAGTATTTGGTTAGGTATTGCACTGCAAAAATAAGCTATTTAAGAAAGTTATCTTGTTTGGGATGATAGTGGTTAAAACACATACTATATAACTGCAACGTCACTGGTTTAATTTCAGCTGGGGACCTCTGTTGAATGTCTCTGCCCCTACATTTCTTGTCTGTATCCCAACTGTCAAATAAAGGCAGGAATGCTAAAACAATTTTACAATATTATAAAACTTGGTCTTGATTTGTCTGTGAAAATAACTGCAAGGTTGTCATTGATATCCCCAACATCTACGGAGAAAACTATCTTCCAAACTATCTGAACTCCAAATGTTAAATCCCACTGATCAAACAACAATTGGTGCTTACCTGGGGTACACAGCACATCAAAGATAAAGCTGGCTAGCATGAGAGGCAGCACAGGTCTGTAATCACAGAAGTTCCCGTCTCTGAGCTGTTCTGCTCTCTCTCTGATGGCCGACATCTCCACCAGGCCCAGAGGGATCTTCTTCAACAGAGCCACCACCTCCGACTCCTGGTAGGCAAGCTTCACCTGGTCAACACAAACACACATACACAGCAGTCAGTATGTGTGGCACACGTTCATGTGTCCACATTCTATAAGCATATACACTAGACATGCATGGAGTGTCTGTAGGAGGAACTCTGTATTGATCTATATTTATAGGATTTGGCGGTAAAACAACAAAGTGCATAATCAATTGAAAACCTGTTCGGTACTTTTGCCTTGCAATCTGTTTGTATCGCTGTTTCTTTTTTTGTTTACTTGTTATTATTCATTTGTTTCTGTGCCAGCAGCCAGCTCTGAGCATGTTTATTACAGATATGGGTCAATGGGCCAGGTATATATTGCCTTTGGGAAGTGCACTTGAAATATCAGACTCTCTCTGTAAACTGAAGGACAGGAAACACCTGGAAGTGTGCTTGAATACATGACTAGAAAGTTGGTACAAATTCATCAGACTAAAACAGTATTAATGGCCTGGAAAGGTTAAAAAAGAAAAAAATGGCATGAAATTAGGCGTGAAGCGATTAATTGAAGTCCCTACAAGGAACTCTCCTTTTGTGTTGATTCTGGCGGCCCATGTGGACAAAAGTGGTAGTGTGTCTACCGCCTCATTTTATTAATTTCAATGGGAATCCGACTGAATCAGAATTCAAACTACAGTGTTTTATAGTGTAATAAATAAATGGAACTCTACAACCATTCAATGCTACTAACCCTTATATTTTCAAGTAAGTACCTGTGCATACAGTATGTGTGTGTATTTATGTGAGAGTGAGAGACCTCCAGAGCTTTGGTAGACGCCGGCGGTCTCTGGAGTTCCAGGGAGAACATGCCGGTGCTGAAGGCCAGGTTGTGGAGCTCCAGTCGTTCACTGAGAACAGTGAGGAGGAAGGCGGCTTTGGACAGCGTGTTGGTGGCTACCTGCGTCTGACGGCTGGTTGACACCTTGCTCTTCTTACCCTAAAACCAGAGAAATAATAATGACGTCAGAACATTAAACAAAACTTTACTTTTGACGAGCAGATTCACACTTTGAATTTCTTAATTTCAGTGAAGCTTATATTTGTTGCTCATTTACAAATTGGCACAGTAATGATGCCAATATAGAACAGATATTAGAAGAATCTGATGTCTTTCCTTCATGAAGAAAGGCTCAATATCCCACTACATAGTTCAAGATGCTGACTGATGAGTTTGGAAGATTGAGACTGTACAACAGAAGGAGAGAAGAGAAGTCAAAGGACATAGGAGAATGTGTTCCAGTGGGGGGTGGGACTTGTGGCCGTAGCTACCTTTGTCTGTGGCTGCTCCACTTTCAGGTCGGGTGGATTGGCCAGCAGGTCCCTGGCCAGCTCAACGGCCAGCCGGCACGCCTCGTTACTGTAGCCATGAGCATAGAGGGCCTCGGCACACGCAAACAGCACCTGCACACACACAGCAACAGAATTCAGTTCAGTGAGACGAAGAGCACTGGGCCACTGAGTCTGGAAGCAATATTGTGAAATGGCATTAGATCCAGTCAGGTGTGGAATTTAAGTAAGAGGAAAAGGAGTAGATTTTTAATATGGAAATTACATTTCTTTGCAGAAAAAACATATCACCTAAAGACTATTTGTATATATGTATTAAAACATGTCTGGAGGTGATCTTTAAAGTAACAGTTTATTCACAAGCTTTGCTGTAAAGACAGTTGGACACTAACACAACTGAAGGCAAGCAACATGCGATCACTTATCCAAACCACTTATTTGAAGAGATTTCAAAGATAATTAAGGAAGCTGTATGCAGCACTCCAACTCCAAACTGCCATGTTCTTACTGTTTGTCTTGTTCACTGTCCCGCATTGTGGCCTTACCTGCAAATGTTTTACAATGTCATGCGATTAGTTGTTCTTGTGCATGGGCTTTGGGGCCGTGGCAGTAATCTGCCAACATGAGCTGTGTCTCTTTCATGGGTCGAGATGTGGTGATGGCAGGTGTCAAAACTCTTAGATTACCTACTGGTAATTGGGACCTTACCTGTTTGCTGCTCTGTGCAGAATCATGGAGTAATGGCTGTGTGACAGCTAAGATTTTCTATTTTTAGTGCCCACCCAAACAGACATTGCACCAATCAAATTACAGTACTGACACTGTCAGCTCCGGCTGTGAACACCAGCACAAACCTTACCTCCATGCGCCCCTCCTGCTCCAGCGGTTTCATCCCTGCGAAGATGTCTGGCTCCTCCTCCTGGTGGTTGTCCACCAGCTGTCTGTCTGCTCCCTCCTCTGAGGCAACATTCAGGTAGTATGCCTGATAGTCATCCTCACCCACAGCTTCTCCTGCCACTTCTGCTCCTTGGTTAGCTAGTCCTCCTGCGGCTGCTGCACCAGCAGGTGCTGCCTCTCTGCGGCCCTGTGGCGGCTTGGCGGACGTTTCCGTGGTACCTGATCTTGCTGTAGTGCTGGAGGTGGAAGGCTGGTTACTGCCGGCTGAGTCTACGTCTTCATCCCTGTTCTGGACAGGTTCCACCTCCAGCTCTGCTTCCTTCTCTACAGCGTTGGGCATGTCCATAACAACCACCACTGTCTCTTTGGCAGGGAAGCAAGGTGGAGCAGGCTCTGCAGCAGTAAGTGTAGCCGAGGCATGGCTGACACGCTTTGCTTCAAACATCTTGCTCCCCCCGCTGCTGCTGCTGTACTTGCGTGAGTCTCGAAGCAGGGGGCTCGGGGAGGGCAGCATCTCTGGCGGTGGGGGGAGAAACTCAAAAGTGTTGCTGGCCTCAGCCCCCAGAGCTAGACTGCAGCCATCGTCCAGGCTGAGCTCAGCCAGGTCCGGCTCCAGGGAACTGTCCTCACTGCTGGTTCTCCGCTTGGCACTGGCATGCTTACCTCCTAACCCTCCACTACCTCCAGGACCTCCTACAGATGCCCCCTTCCCACCTCCCTGCGTCAGTTTCAGCTTCCCTCCAGAGGAGGAGCCTGGCCCTTTGTACATGCACTTCCCTCCTCCGTCTTCCAGGGACAGAGATACACTCCCTCCAAGACGGACCAGCATCCCTCCCCCTCCACTTACAGACAGGCCCTTCCTCTTGGTCAGTATGGTCTCCTTGGGTCGCACTGCCACCTCCTGTTGGGACGAGTGACCACCACCTCTACCTTTGTAATCTCCCCCAGCTCCACCTTCGACTCTCACCCCTCCCCCTGGTTCAGACGGTTCTCCACCCGCTGCTGCAGCAGCTTTGGCTCCTCTTTGGAGCTGCACTGCCCTGGACCAGCAGAATGTGGCACTCTTCTTATCAGCGCTGCAGTAGGTGATGCCGTCCAGTGGGTAGGCCACCTCCCAGTTGAAATAGCAGGACTCCACAGCGGGCTTGAAGCCCTGAAACAATTTATCCAGGGACTTGCGATGTTGTCCCCGCTTCACTATCTCTATAACTTTCAGATGCCACTGCTTCAGCTGACCTGCCAGTTCCAGGCGCCTGGAATAGAGCATACACATCTTTATTTTTGCCACAGTGTCTATTTAATATACTTCCATCTAAATATGCTGTGTAATGCAATCATTAAGTGATAAATGTGCTGATATTACATAAATTTCCAATGGGAATTATCATACTTCATGACCAAATTTTGTGATAATTGAAGAAACATTCTTCATTAATAGTGTGTAGGCTGAGGCCAGTGGTCTGACCTGCAGGGGCTCATAGTGGGGTCGAGCACTGCCAGCCTCCATAGAACCACCATCTCGTCACACATGCTGGCACAGGCGTGAGCCGCAACCTCTGATTGGCCGTTGCTGCGCCCGGTGTGGCCACTGGCACTGCTGTGGGATGCTGAAGTCCTAACACTGTACCACCAGCTGATTATCTGAACACACATCAGACAAGTGAGGTGTGCATGTCTCAAAGAACGTACAGTTTGGCATGTGTATTTAAAAGGTTGTATATGAGATTTAAAACATTAATATAGCAGTGAACAACAACGATGTATGCACCTTGTGACTTATGTCTGTGAAAAGTGCTACATAGATACATTTTACATATTTAGTATCATCTCTAAATTTAAGTCAGTGGTTTTATATTCAGCATCTGGAGCTCGTGTCACTTTGAGGACATACCTGTTCATAGGTGAGGCACTGCTCAGTAAGGATCTCAAGCAGCGGGGCAGCGTTGCTGTCTCGTCTCTTGAACATCTCCCTGACTATAGACAGAAGGTTCCAAATGCCTTCTGGCTCTCGGCCCCTCAGAGGTCGCAGCAGACACGCCCACTCAGCGGCGGCCGGCGGCTCGGTGGATGACAGGTACATGGAGTTAACATCACTGTGGATAACACTGGATTAGATGCATTCAACTTTAACTCTGAAGTTAAGATAAAGCCTTTAAGAAATGTGTCAAGGACTGTTATGTGAGAACAGGAGTGTGTACCTGAAGACGACAGGTGAAGGCCCACAGAACTTGTGCAGAGTCTTTTTGATGTTGTCGCTGAGGGTCGACTCATCCAAATACCAGGTGCTCTGGTCAGATGCTGAAGGGCCTGCTGTGGGGTCTACACACACAGACACAGACACAGACACAGACACACACACAGATCATACAGTGTTACTTTAGCTTTCTCTGGGCAAAGCATCCAGAGAAAATCCCGTCGTGCATAATAAAGTCTAGAAATTGTTATTTTTCTAGTTTTATTTGCATTTGCAAGTGAACCAAACAGTGTATGTGGTTTAAAATAAACACTCTCTTCACTCCACATTTAGTAGATGGGCAATCGTTTTGAGAGGATTCCTGTCATAACAATAACTCCTCTCTCCATGGATGCTGTTCACTAGCCGTGTAGGCTGCAAAGTCAGTGGTACTGCAAATGGTTGGATTAATGGTTTTGTAATTTACAATATAGTTATTTTTATATGTAAATGCGCTTCTTCCATACAGCATGATGTTAATTTAGTAATTGATGGTCCCATTTAGAGTAAAATAGACCATAAAGCAGGGTATGCTTTAGGGCGTGGCTACCTTGTGATTGACAGGTCATTCTCAGTGAGTCCGTCCAGCTCAACACACCAAACTAAAATCAAACTGTCAAACTAGAGACTGTGATCAGATATGGATCCAGATTCTGTTACTGCGTTGACTATTTATCTCCTAAAATCGTTTCACAAACATATTTTAGAGATTGCGTGTGACCAGGCGAGCCGCCGTTGTTTCCTGCTACAGGCGAGTCAAAATTGCGCAGCCAAGAGAGCAGCTCAACTCGCAGTACGTCACCTCCAATGGCTCTGACAAATGGTCATGGCAACGACGCAAACTGAAGGCTTCAAAACGGTACTCCACAAACCAATGGGTGACGTCACAATAGGTTCACACTACACAACACTGTGTTGTAAACACACTCTCCTATTCACAATACCAGAGGAATACCATACAGGAAATATTCCTCTCCCTGTGCTTCAGGTAACATCACTGCCATCTGGCTGCAGAAGTAGGCAATAATGAACTCCTGCACTTTTCAGAAAAAAGGCTGAATGAAATGATGAAAAGCTCTCCTCTGATTGTAGTAGTTGTAATACCAGACAGCAAATATCAGAACAGCTTGTTCTCTCGCTGTACGTTAGGAATCTCTGTTTTCATTAGTGCTACTGTACCTGGAGCTCCACACACGGTGTTGATGGCAGTAGACTGAGAGGACAACAGCTCATCCAGCAGCCGTTGAGCTGTGGGTAAGATCTGGACACACAAAACTCAATGAATACCAAACTTGCTTTGTCAGACATAAAATGTACAGACAGATATAGTTCAGTTTGTTCAGTAGATCTATAGAGAGAACGAGCGGTTTGGGACATAGATGTTACCTGCTGAGGCAGCTCACTGATGAGGTACTGGGCAAACTTTTGGAGCTGGTCCCTCTGGAGCCTGGACAAAGACTCGGAAACTGGAGCCCTCAGACACACTGCTGATGCCTATACACACAGACACAGACACACAGACACACAGACACACACACACACACACACACACACACACACACACACACACACACACACACACACACACACACACACACACAGTGTTAACAATCAACTATGTAGCACTCACAAAATCTTAAGCTGAAAATGCACCTTATTGAAAACTACAACAGACTGACCACACATTTCCACCAGAATATAATTTTTTTTTAAACATTTCTCAATATATAAAACTTTAAAACAACCGAGTAAGTACAGGAACAACACGGTACACCGCTAGGCTATAGAGTCACACTGCTTATCAAGCATCCCTTCTCCCTTTGTATCGTTTTGGTAAAAATTCTAGCTTTTCGGTCAACTGATCATACATCCTTTCTGGTGAGATAAGGGTGTACTTACCCCGTGTGTACCCAGTGACGTGCACATTTTTTAACATAAAGGACAAGTTTCACTCCCAAGCATAAATATTATACTCGCTGTATCTTCAGTACTAGTTTCATTGGCCATTATCATATTGATTATTTTTTTCAAATAACTTGTTGAGGCAACTTTCACACTGTGAAAGACACCAAGTTTTATTATTTATAATACATTATAATACATAATTGTGTCAGATCTATTTTTATAGAGGTCTACTTTTTTTTTTTTTATCTATTCTGTACTATATACTTATTAGCTTATTTTCTTGTTGTCCTGTGACTTTTTGACTTTATCAACTTATTTTTGCTCTTGTTGTTTAAGATGTGACACCATAATTTCCCCACAGGGATCAATAAAGTATCTCTCTACCAATCTAAATACATTACATCACATTATTCGTTGCTGTCTTTAAATGTGAGCCCCTATTGAAAGCATTAAAGCATTGAATTACGTTGCAGCTGCCAGCTGTTTTTACTGAGCTTGGAAAACACAGTTTTTCTCATTGTCAACCTGCAAGCTGGAATAACATGCAACAACAATCAACAACAATCCAAAGCTTGCCTCAATTCCATCCTTTGCGTAATTTTAATTTGATATCTCATCTTATTTCACTTCCAGTTGTTTTTGTTTGAGTTGATTCTTTAAGTTTAAATTGCTTTACTTTAAGGTTTTATTATTTTGTTTTTTACAATATCATAGATCAGGTCTACACTTCAATGTATTTCCGAGTTAAAATAAAGGTTGAATAAATGAATGAATGAATGAATGAATTAATTAATATATAATTCATATTTGGTTTAAAACAAATAAAAGGGCCATTTAGGAAACCGTAGTAGATTTTTGGTATTTTCCCCTGGAAAATAAATAAGTGTGGTTGTCAATCAATGTTCTGTTGCGACTGATCACTAAGACTGGACTAATCGTTTTGCTAATAACCCACTCGGATTTGGTGAAAATGTCACACAGATTGATAGGATTGCTTTGTGTAGACACAAACTCACATTGTGGATCCTGAAAAGGCAGAGAGCCACCACATGGGCACACCATTTTGCCCCGGCACCACAAGTGCAACTGCAGGAAGTGATGCGGCAGCGATCAAACATGACTGCCACGTTGTAGGCTCCTTTAGACTGACCGGCCTGACTAGACACCACTGTAGCGCTGAGATGGAAGCCTGACAGAAAGGGGCAGTTATAGAAAAAGGGAATAAGAGAATTGTGCCATATATATATATGATAAAATAAATAAATAATGAATAAAAGAAGGACAACCCACCAATCTGCAGGGGGTCTTTCACAGCTCTGATCCTGTAGAGCTGCTCTCCACGTTGGAATTCATCTGGACTCCCATTAGCCAGGCAGGAATATAACCTGCAGCAGGAGGAGGACAGAGACAGACGGAGAGGTGAAGGGACGATAAATAAATTAGTAAGCAAATCACAAAACTGAGTACATCTACACTGGTGAGTTCTGTTTATCCATCTCTATTTTGTAAGGCTTTTCAGGGTTTGCGGTGGGTTGGGGCCTATCCCATCCCTTCCATCCAAACTGGCCTAAAGGTCGAAGTTTCCTATGTCTTCTTTCTGGACACTTGTACTATCTAAAAAAGTCAACTTCCCACACAGAAATGCCACCTGTTGCTTTCTGAAAAATCTGATTTCTAAGCATCGCAAATCTAGAGAAACTGTGGACAATCATTTTTCTTCACACTACGTGATTTTAGCCCTGATTTTGAAATTGGCAACTATTTTGGGAGCCTGTAGACAAATGCCCCCAGATCAGAGTGAAATCACTGCTGGCCCAGGTAAGGAAGATTGCGTTGTGTGCAGTGTTCAACGACAGAGCTTGCCGATGCCAGAAAAATATCTTGCAGGCTAAATATATGGTTGGGGTGGAGACAAGCGAGGGAGCCATGCAACATGCTACAGCCAGTGAGAGCAGGAAGCAGTGAACTGGTAGTTACTTTGGTTATGGATTAAAAAATTCCTCAGATACCGACACACACTAGATAGACAGTGAAGTAACAGTGTTGTGAGTCAGCGTATGACGATGTGCTTGTTAATAATGCTGTTATTAATGACTCCTGATCAAATGATGTGACCAGACAGACTGGTTGTGAAAGATCTGATAGTGTGTGACCCCCTGTTGCTGATCAGTCACGTAGTGTGAAAACCCCAACAACTTCAAGGTCTCCTGGTTACAACACAGAAAACTGTGTAGTATGAACTTTGAAAAGTCAAAGACCAAGGCTTTAAGTGTAATGAAACTGAGAGCAGTCAGTGTTTAAAAAAAAACAACATGTTTTCTGATCAGGTGCTTCACCATATTGCTTACGGGGTTTGCTGGTGTTAACCTCAACAATCACATGAGTCAACTGCAACTGTAACAAGATACACTTTTTCTTATTCTGAATTATTCCTTGAAAATACAGCAAAAACAGTGAAATCGACACAGACTGACTACAGAGCAGTCTGTATACTGCCTGCTGCTGAAGTGACAACAAAGTCAATAATTTTTGTTTTTAAAAATCTGACATCATGATGTATTTTCTGGGACAAATTAAACATAAACTTATGAAAGGGAAGCTTTTGTCAGCAGACATGTTGTATAGCACACAGAAGCAGCTCTGGCTGATTAAAATCACCATTATCATGATGTTCAGTCAATATTCTAGTTGCAAAATTACCCAGAGTGACTGTGATTTGGACGTATTATGCAAAAGTGTCAAACTGCACTACACACACTTTAAGAAATGAGTTTTGGATTACCACATGAAACTCAATAGAAAGAGGTTAAAAATAAACATAACATATAGATGCATGAACATTGGACAGCATAGTTGAAAATAGTCAAACCTGCACACAGACTCAAACCACATTTTGTTGTTTGATATCAGCTTTTTCTTTTCATTGATTATCACAAGAAGCTCTCTTCTCTTAGTAAACATCTCATAGCTGGCAGGCTATCGGAAAATTGTTTTCTCTTCCACTATATAATAGTGGCACATCCCTAATGAGAGGTTATCAGTGTTCTCACCTGATGTCCTCCTCATTCTCGGGGAAGCTCCAGTAGGCGATGCGGAGCTGGAGCTGTTCTGGGACAGGGGGGTAGACCTTCTCCACCACTTCAAATGGGATGTGGAACGCTACCTGCTTCGCTGACAGCTCCACCAGTGGAATCACCTGGCCATCTGGGGAAGAGCACAGAAAAGAGGAAGATCAGCTCAGATAGTCAGGTGCATTTATGCATTTATCCTTCACTCTAGTAGGGCAAACAATTAGTCAAAATAGTATTGAAATTGCAATATAGCCAAGTGCAATTTCCAAATCATAGAAGCTGCAGTTTTTTGATAAAGGTAAAATGTTTGATAAAACAGCATAAAATGAAGTACTGTATTTCTATAGAGATGCCCTGGCCTATAAAGCTTCTCCAGATTGATGTTTGTTTGGTACAGACCCCATGAAATGACACATTATCATGATTGTAATAGGGTTCTCTCCAGCTAAAATTAAAATTGTGATTGAAAAATTAATCATGAAGCAATTCCATCAAAATAATCGCAATAGGATTTTGTTTACCATATTGTGCAGCCCTACACTCTAGTATCACATTATTGAAGGCTGTAGGTTGGATGGCAAAAAGTATTAAAGAGTAACTTAACAACAGGCTAAACAGCAGTGTCTTCGCCCTCTTGGGTCGAATGTTTCAGTCTGTTTCCCCTCTGGAACAGGTCATCAGAAGTGTGCTCTGCTATATTTCCTTCGGTGATATAGCATTGATTCTCAAAAACTCTATTCATTTTTGTGTTTAAACACCCAATCGCCAGACAGCAGTGTTGTAAACGTAAACTGGGACTATGATAATGGACACTACAAGGACTGTAGCAAGGAACTTTTTAAAGTCAGGTTTTATGCATACTGCAGTGTGTTCTTTATACTAATACAGTTTTCCTAAGATCACAATATATGACTTATCGCATCGCTAGATTCTTACCAATACACAGCCCTACCCAACAGTGATGTCACTGTGTCCTGACACACCTGGTGTACACTCTACATTACTGCATCAAGGTGAGAAGTTAAACCACAAGCAGAGCAAAAACAAGACTAGCTGCTGTTGCTTTTTAAAGCTATTTTTAAATATACTGCAGAATCTTATAACATTTTGTGAGTACTTTTACAATTTAAAAAGGATGAACTCTTTCCCTTTTAGACAACACCAAGATTTCTCCCTCTGAAAAACAGTTTGCCATGTATTTTTTTCCTCCTCCTCAAGAAGAACTGGAGGCGGGTCCAACCCACAACCTGAGTCAGGTCCATATTATTAAACTAATTGGGTTTGCAAAAAGGTCCCTTGTATTGTATATCAGGTCTGTGTATCAATATGTCTAATACCCAAATTAATCTAAGTGGACTCTTAACAGCTCTGATCTTTTCGTGCATCGGCATTATCACAGGAGGAAATGTATTTTTTGTGGCAGAGAGTGTTTACAACACTGCTGTCTAGTGGTTTAATCCATACAGCGTTTTTGAGAATCAATTTAATATCTCAAAACAAAATATTGTGATATATTATTTTTGGACATTTTCTTACAGTCCTAAGCATCATAGTGCTTACATCTGCACCAGCCTTGGGACACAAAATTCTGGGTTAAATGTGAGCGGAAACACTGAAATGGCAAATCAAGTTTCAATGTTTTTAAATTTCTACACATTGGGGGGATCCAAAGTAGAAACTGCAACAAAACAAGGATGACAGTGATAATTTTCATTCTATCATAATGACACCTGGCTCTGACAAACCATACTGACCCATACTGAGGCCCTAAGAACAGCTACATCATCAGTATGTTCTTTCGATCCTAAACTTCACTATGGTGGGGTGTCATGAACTTAGCAGCCTGTGGGGGCCACGAGAAGAGCTACAGACTTTTGTTAAGGTATAAAATATTAATGACACAAAGCTGTGACCAATGAAGAAATCAAATCTAACAGTGTGTGTGTGCCTACAGAAGAAAGGGCAGCATAAGCACAATGACAGGAGTCTTATTGAGAGCGCAGTGGTCTGCCACTGAGAGGAGAAAAAGTAATGGGTCTCAGATTACAGACCTCATTTCCAAGCCACTACTTGTGCTTCTGTTTACCATATATGGAGGAAAGCACTCTGTTCATATAATGCCATCCTTGGTGTAAAGGCTCAGGGGCTCATGATTACAGGCCATAAGAAACCCATCAAGACAAGCAGACTAGCATCATGCATATGTTATGCGGGTGTAAATCAGTGAGCTAAGCCACAGTGTGACAAAAAACATACAAAAGTTTTAAACCAGGTGAGGTAAATCAGAATCAGTCTTATTGGCCAATCAGAATCAGTCTTATTGGCCAAGTATGTGCACACATACAAGGAATTTGACTTGTTTTGATGCTCTCAATGTTCTTACACAGGAACAGACAGCTAAGAACAAGGACAACAATGCTGAACAACAGTACAAATGAAGCCTTCAATGTTACAGACTTGGCAAATTCATTTATTACAGAATACAAAAAGTAGCTAAAGCAGAAATCTGCCTTGTAACAATATTGTAGCATTTGCTGCAGAATATGTCCTGTGTGAACTCAAAACCATTGTGAGTGTATCCATTTTCCTTTCATCACACTACAGAGACTGAACTCATTAAAGTTTTAAAATTTGTCTAGAAACTAATTCTGGCATCATCTCAGTCCTAATCCTACTGAATTTAAGTACTGCCTTACTAGACATAACTACTATCGAGTGGAAAACAGGGTTGGACTCTCAGACACAGTTCTACAGTGGATCAGGTCTTATCTCTAGACAGAAGCTATTATGTCTCACTTGGCAGCGCAACTTGCAAGATCAGAATCAGGCGAGAATCCATCTTGGTGTTACAGAGGAACATGTTACAGCTTTCAGGGAGTGGGTAGGTTAACGCTGCATTAGCTAGTAAGCATATACAGCGAGGCTGACAGCTGCTTTATCATGTGATTGCTAATTTGTAAGTGATCAACGTCATCCTAACTTACCATACTCTGGGTGTTTTCTTTTCAACCCCAGTTCCACCATCCTCTTTCCCCTGATAGGTCCATCTCTAACAGATTAGCTGTGTGAGGTTAGATGGCAGAGACTGAAACCAGCTGCTAGAATCCCAAAGCAGCCCGCAGTAACCAAATGTCAGGACTACAACTTTTAAAGCTGGACAAAGAGGGATGAGGGGCATAGATGCTGCTAGCATCAGTTCTATCAGAACTGGATAGTATTTCTTTATTGAAATAAGAGCAAAGAACAGCATCGGAGGATTTTCTCAATGGAAAAGATGTTTTCTCTCTTCTCCCAACTGGCTTCAGTAAGAGTTTTACTAGGTACAAACTAACAGATTAACATGACGTGTGGAGTTCACCATGGCCTAATTTTTGGGCCCTGAGTATTAATTGCTCCCATTTGGCAAAATCATATAAAAATAAGCATGAAATATTGTAATTTAAATTGCCTTCTTATAATAGTTGTGAACTGTTTTTCACTGTGTTAAAACTGCTACATAACAACATAATGCTTCCCGTTATTCACCCAAGCAGCCTTAATTGGCAAGTATACTTCATTAGAAGTGCTTGTCAGATGGCTTTAGAAACCCCCTCCCTGGACACCTTTCCCTACCATTTCTGTAATTTTCTAAAACCAACCATGCAACATTCACACCCACGTCACACCGTGATTGTCCAAGTGTGCAGCATTTTTTTTATTTCTTACACACTATTTGTGGCGATTTTTGTGTGTACAATAGAGCACACATGACACTATGAAGGCCTTCCTGGAGAGACTGTGACAAATGTGCAACCTTATCGCCATTTTTAAATGATATTGTTCCTCCCCCTCTCTGTGACAGCCAGCTTTTCACTCAACGGTTGAGTGCGTTCGTTCGTTACAACTATAAACACTTTCAGTGGTGGTTAAAATGCCAAGTAATGAAAGTAATAAACAACCAAGGACAAAGTGAAGTCTGAGCATGGTCTTCCATAAGGAGAAGACGGAGAGAGCTTAGTCTGACAGAGAGTCCTGAGTGGACATCAGCTGATATACTCTTTCCAAGAGCCTTAGGAGGACAACCTTCATAGAGCCACAAGCCAAACTGATAGCTTGCCTTTCACCAGAACATTTATCTTGAAACACTACTAAACAAGTGAATGTGTTCTTATTTAAGCCTTTCACTTTCTGCTGATAAAATGAACCCATTAGAAAGTTTTTACTCACAGTTCATTTGTGTTTTTCACAGTTAAATTCACAGTTAACAACATTTTAATATATATATATGTGCTACAGTCTTGTATTTCTAAAGTAGGTATAGTTTAAGTGATTCTAGAAATAAATGCCAGCAACAATTATGAACTTTCATGCAAAATAGTCATAGTACATATTTTTTCAAGCCTACAACTACCACTGACTTCTTCTCCTTCTGCTGTCACTAACAATACTACTACTGTTGCATTGCTATGAACTTCTCTTTTTCCTCTCAAAAAGAAAAAAACTGCAGCCTGACTGATCCCCTTGACGCCATAATTCAATTCCTGCAAAATCGTCCATTTAAAATGAGTTTAAAATGACAGAGTGTGCCATCAACATGTGAATACTGTTTATTACATCACAGCACTAGTATGTAGTAGAAACTGGGACAGTGCGACTCTCTAACAGTACAGAGCTAAACCCTGAAGAGAGAGAGAGGTGGCTGGGTAGTAACAGAGTTCATGTTGCCAGCCTATGATTGGCTGTGGCAGGTGAATGACAGCAAGCTGTCTGCCAATCCGCTGCCAGCACAGGGGGAAGCCACTTCAACAGCTGTTCGTTAGGAGCTAGCTGGTGAAGAGCTTAGGACACATTCACTCTTTTCACTGGGTCACTTGTTGTCTCACTGCCGTCCTCATTTCCCCCCTCTGTGTATTTCTCTCCACAGGGTGCACTTCATTAGTACGCTGACATACACCTATAGTGTGCCGGGTGGGATATTCTGCTCACTATTTAAAAACACCAGATCCTCAGCTCTGTTTAAGTAGCCACTTAGCCAATACAAAAAAACCCAAACATGTTAGGTATTGGTACCACTCTATAAAGCCATCCTCAGTTGATTAATACTTATTGATTGATCTTTATTTTGGTCTGTAAGTTCTTGAAATAAATGGATGAATAAAGTCGGATTATACTGCCACAAGCAGCTCAATGAATGGCTAGTTATACTGACTGTGCCATGCTGTCTTTATGTCCGTCCTCTCACCGGTAAAGGTTTCCTCCTCCATTTCATACCTCTGCCTTGGTGGGAGGAAATAGAGTTAACCCATTCTTTTCAAGGGAAGAGATTGGTTAGAAACTATACTTCCATGGTAAATTTCAGACATAATTTTTAGTAACTTTGCTATCTCAGACACAGTTTACTCTAGACTTTTTTTAATTGACCATATACGGGCATATATGGTTTAAATAGCCATATAATAGCCTACAATTAAGCGGCGATATTGCTACAACTTAAATACACAGCTGCGACGTAACGGGGAAGGATGAAAAACAGAGACGATGGAAACGGAGGACAGTGCAACGCAGAACAACTGTTTCTGACTCTGGTGCTCTCAGCTCTGGTGTGTTACAGTAAATGCCTCTACGTTGGCTAAACTCCTGTTTAAACTCCTGCTCTACATCTTCTGCTCCATCGTGCTGCGCGATCGACCCTTCAGCTGACAGGGCTGTCAGCAGCTGGCAGGAGAGACACACCGTGCTGCACTGGAAGCCCGGCATTCACTTATTTAAAGTTTATTGACACTGAATGTGGCGCATGTCCAAATTGCACCAAATACAACACTGCACTTCCTTGAGTCCCCAGAAATAATACCCGCCAAGTGAGAAGTCGATCGGATAAAGGGTCATTATGAAGGGTCATTTATTTCAACCTTTCTGTCAATATGCACTGAATTTTACCTGATGAAACCCATAGCATATACCTGCCCATACCATACTCATTCCCCTCCCCCTAGAGTTTTTTCAGCTGCTCAGCTGGCAGATGGTCAAAGGGCTTTTCACACACCTGTCCCCATTATGTTGTATGTTGTACTGCATATCCTTTATAAGAACTAGAAACATTGGATGTGATAGGACTACAATTCTCTCCTCGTCTTTTTTCCTCTGTGCTGTAGAGTTCCATTTGGCAAGGGCAGGCTGTGTGTCCTGACTGCTGCTCACTGAGAGGAAATACAGAGAAACACTTACAATAGGGTGCTGTAGGTATGTTTTCATTAGTGTAGAATGAGCTCTATCTCACCACTACATGCCACTAAATCTACACTGGACCTTTAAATCCTTGTTAAGTTATTGCTTTGATTGTATAGTACAGTCTCTGTGCTGTCATCAAACCCATTTCCAGCAGCATTAGGCAACTGTAGCTCTAATAAAACCATTATACACTACCTGATCAGCACTAGACAACGTTAGCTACGAGTGAAGTAAAAGATCCACATATTTTTCACACCAGTTGGTGGGACGAAACCAGAGCTAAAATGAGGGTGTGGACACATACACCCCTCTGGGAATATAAAATTGATATGTGCTTGGTGGGTGTGTAAGTAGGCAACTGTTTGCTAATGCGTTAAACTTTGGTCAAACTACTTGATTTTCAAAGTCGTCAGATCTCTGTACTGTTGTTGTGATTTTCCCACTGCTTGACTGATCAGCAACCGGGGTCACACACTACAAGATCTTTCACAACCAGTCTGTCTGCTCTTCAAACTACGTTTCATCAGGAGTCATTAATAGCACCATAAGAACAATCACGTCATGTTTAATCTAATAGGTAAATAGTTTAAAAAAGGGCAACCATTTACAGCACACTGCTGTTAGAAACTGAGTATTTAGACTGATTTGCCAGCGTCAGTAATTAATACACACATTATTAAACCACTGATCAAACTAATAATTAACAGCAGTCCACATCAGACAACGTTATCATACTTAAACAGTTACCTCGTGTTTCTGTAGTGGTGACAAAATGTTAAAAATGATACATAACGGCAAACAATGGCTCCCTAAGTCATCCCTGACATGACCAGATATTTAGCCTGCTAGATATTTTTCAGGTGTCTTTGTCAGGTGTCTTAATCAGCCCTCCATCTGGTATTAAGAGGATTAGTATCTGGATACGTTATCTGCATAATGACCAGAACTAGCAGATCTGTCAGCAAATACAGTACAAATAAGGTCAACGGAGGTGAGCCGTGACACTCTTTGCGACATAGAAAGTGAAAAGGCTTCCATAGGCTACTTTCCAGAAGCCTTGCTAACTAGTCTAAGGCCATAGCCGCGTTCCAATTGCAAAGCATGCGGGGTGCATTTATACCTGCATTAACATGTTTTTCCTGATGCAGATCAGATATTAATAGAAAGATCACGTGGTGTGTGTCCATGTTTTCAAACCCACCACATTTACACAGCTTAAAAACAGAGAAAATATAAAGTGGCTTTCATCTTTATCTATCACAGTTAGTAACTAACAGATAAGTCCTTGGTGTACACAGCAACATACAGACACTTTCTGCATTTCTCTGTCAGTTTTAAATATTGCAGGGAGGGAGGTTAAAACAAGAAGCAGCCACAGTGAGCTGTTAGATAAGGTGCAAGAATTTTGATGCAGTGGGCACAGTGAGAACCGCAGGTGACGTGACACCCAGGAACTTTTTACCACACACATTCATTACAAAATCAGCTGTAAACCTACAAAAATTTACAGAGTGGGCATGCAAACATTTTTTTAATCTTTTGACCCACTTGGGTCCAATATACTGTTAAAAGCCAGCAACAGTTCCGTCAAAGACTAAACCCTGCTCTTGACCAAGAGCAACACCTCTGACAAAGTCAGAGCTGCTTTGGGCACTTGGCACTATTGTTGTTGGAGTACAGTTGTGTCTTCTGCTAAAGAAACTCTTTCATTACTCTTTGCTATGAAATGACTGCAGGTGAGTTATTTGTGGCACACGTTGGATTTGGAACAGCATGCATCACTAGCTACGGTTGTGAAAAGTATCAATACTTCAGTACTTTTTTAAAACCATGTGTGACATAATACTATAATTCAGTAGTATGGAAAGAACCAAAACTATTTAAAAAAACAGATCTACAGTCAGATCACAGTCAGGAAGGAAATCAACAACTCATCATGTGTGTTCAGTGACTTTCAGCAGTGTGTGTGTAAGTTGTTAATTAAAGAAAAATATTCCTTTTTGTGTGTCTACGACTTTTTCTTTTTGCCACGTTATCAAAACAGGTATCGAGTATAATTTTATTGTACTAGTATTGTATCAAAGTTAAAAAATCTGGTATTGTGACAACCTCATTACTAGCTCTAGTTGCTAGCACAGGGCTTTCTGCTTGTTGATGGGTTAAGTAAACAAGAACATGGAGCAGTCTCTGGAGAACAACCCTAGAGAAGAGCCTAAAGATGCTGTGAGGCATCTGTTGCCAGGATACTACAACAACATTAAAAGCAATTTATTGATCAAAATACACACATTTCCAAAAGGCTGGAGTAGTAGTTTGTTGGCTAACTTGTGAAAAACCACTATGCTTTAGCTTAAGTCCAAAAAAGTTAATAATATTTTGGTTCTGCTTTGAAATAGAGCCCAACAGATCTTGGCATATATATTATCCGATATGAAAACTGTATTTCTTCAGTACAAATGCTTTATATTTAATATAATATATTGTCACTACAAAGTTTCTCCAGCAGAGTGCACAGTGATTTACAATACTGTAGCGAGCAGCAAAGAGTAAGAGAGAAGAAGCTGCTCTTTGCAATTTCAGCTAGAATTGGTTGACAGTGTATATGTTCAATTATTTAACATGTTAAAGAATATTTAACTTAAATATTTTTGTAATAAGATATTTGTTCAAGAAAGCAGCCTCCTGAGTACCTTTGCAGAGTCTTATTACACAATCCCCATAGAAAAGGTCCTTTTTCAATCCATTAGGGATACACCGATATATTGGCTGATATTCACCTTGTTGACTGGCATTCACCGGTGTCAGTGACCGATGGTTATTTGTCGTGTTGCATCAATTTTGCGCTGGCTAAATGTTATGTTGGTTATTTCCCACTCAGATTGTCCAGTGGGCAGCCTTTCAGCTTTGTGTAAAAGTATCTGTCTTACAAATCCCATATCAGTTGGGCTCTACTTTGAAAAATGTGCAGAGCGATAAACTGACAAAGCTAAGAGGAGCAGATGGTGTGCTGGACTTTTTTTTCTTCATTTTTTACTAAGCTGCAGTAATATCAGTGTTTAGAATATTACCAAACTAACAAGTAAGTATGGGCCGACGTGCAATGTAGGGCTACACAATTTGGTAAAAAAAAAGTTGTATTGCCATTATTTTGCTTTGGGTTGGAGAATGAAGATAGTTGATTGCTGAATCTCATTCACAAACACCCTGGGAATGAAACTCAACAATCAACTATCTTTCTTGACTCTGATTGGTTGTTTTCGTTCAGCCACAGTGGATTCTTGCAAATGTCATTAGGAGCACTAGGAGGAGCCAGAGGAACCTGATTGTTTCACACATTATCTGTCTCATGTTCTACTGTCAGGATATAGTGAAAGTTTCAGCTAATGTAACAAGTTATTTGTATAAAAGTTACCTACTGCAGCTTTAACTTCAGTAAAGCCTTTCACACTCACTTTAAGTATTCAGAGTGAATGAACATGTATGTGTAAGTGTGTCCTTCTCCAACCTTTAATCTTGACAGTGGGTGAGTTGGGTCCAGCGGACTGCTTCCTCCACCCCCTCCAGTTTTGACAGAGGCTCTCGGCCTCTGAGATGAAGGAGCACAGAGAGTCTTCCTCGAACCGGTCCGAGTCTTCGAAGGAGAACCTCTCCCCATCCTCCCACTCGGCGAACATCAGTTCCATTACATCCACTTCTTAACTGCTTCGGAGTCCAGAGGACTGCGACGTGAGGCCACGGCCTTTTTCTTCACGCTAAAAAAAAAAAAAAATCAAGGGGAAACCCGGCGAACAGTGTCCAACACTCGGGGAGAATCAAGAGCCTCCAGAAGACTGGGGGGAGGGGAGGCCACTAGCAACCAAAACACAGCTGAGAGGCTTACCGCTGGGCCCTCAAACACAGCTACATAATACAAACTCTGACATGGCGGTGGTCTCCTTTAAATAGTGTGGAAGAATATGCAGACAAGAAAACTACAATTAAAAAGTGTTTACACGCAACTTCTCATATGTTTTACCGGTGTTTTCTCCTACTATATTCAACCCAAACTACTAGTCATTTAGGTCTATTTATCAGTCCACTCCATGTCGCCTGGCTGAGCTGTGGCTCCCCTTACAGCCTATTACTGTGAACAGAAGGTCCGGTCGCCTGTTTGACTGTACTACTGCCGACTGCTGCCGCTGAGAGGACAAACCAACCAAACACACCAGCTAAGAGTAGTTCATAAACACACAGCGACTCAAACCTGAAAAATTACACCCACCATACAGCCAAATGTAACCACACAGCCGTGCGACAACGCTGGCTAGGGGCAGCGATGCGATTAAATCTTTAAGAAGTCATTAAGTTGTTTCCCTTCACCCCGACGTCCTACTCCTTTCAGCCAATCAACTGGACCACACTGGGTGTCTAAACTAGCATTAATGTAACGTTACCAATCCACGAAGAGTTTAATATGTCACAGCAGAATATTTCACACGACGTCAAACACACACGTACTACTGCCAAATATCGTCTTTGTTCTACATTTAGTGTGCTAGTTTGATGTTATTGTGCTGGGCTGCTAGTGCGAATAACATTTAGCCGACGTTAGCTTGAGAGGCTAAATATGCTAATAAATGCATACTGAGACGATACAGGCAGCTGTCATCGGCTACAGACGACTATACTGAGGTTAAATTTGGTTTTGAACACGACGACAGGCTTGTTCAGTTGGGTTTACCTTCGTTCGGGCACAGCTACCGTACGTTAGCTGTGTGCACTAGCGGTGGAGAGCTAACCCCCAATCGGCTAACTTCAACTAGCTTGAATAGCTGTTTGTTTACATTTACCGGTGATGCTATACACCTGCCGCACTGGAACGACTACATGCTGATTTATACCGCATATCTTCTGGACTTTAGCTGTTTCCTAGGTTACATACGGTTCATATTTCGATATTAATCCCCGCTCTTAGCTCACTGTTTTCCGTTCTTTGTATTAGAGCCTTCTGCCTGGCGTTAAAAGATTCCTCAGTCAGCTCTGGTGCAGAAATTCCGATCAGTCCTTCAGATATCTTTCCTCCCGACTGACACCGGTTGCCCCGGCGTCTTACAATCGTCTCTGCCACCAAATGACACCGGGATCCCCAGAATGTTTCCCGTATCCCTCTCGTCCAGGCTCTATCAGAGTGTATCAGTCTGCCGGGGGAAGATGGCTCACCTCTCCTACAGCACCTCCTCCTCCATCAGCTGATCACAGCTTCCGGCTGCCAGCTTTCACACAGGCAGCGGCTCAGATCAGCCCTGCTGGAGAAGAATGCAGCCAGGCAGGATGGCAACAGACCCAGTGTCTATGGAAGCCAATTTCGGCCAATGTAGCGAAAAAACAAGAAACAAAGATTCTGTAAGTCATTATAATTAGAAACTTTCTCAAAATATCGGAGTATGTCAATATATATATATAAATAAATATTGAGAAACGTTCTCATTATTTAGTTTCTAACCTTTTTCCTTAAGGGACCCTTTTTCTATCACTGAGTAAATTTGATGGACATTTAATATTATATTTAATGCATACAAATGAAAATATGGAACAACTAATAAACTGTACAATCAACCAAAATACTGAAAGAAGTTTGTCTAAAAGGTGAATATTGAATCAGAAATTACTTTTCTTGATTATTTTTGGGAGGTTTTTATACAGTTCTCTGTTTGTATTATGTATATATTTTTTAACAATCATACATACTTAATCGGCTTCTTTCTTTCAAATTCTGTGTTTTTTCTTCTTTCTGACGCATGGACATTTTTCTATTAGCGGTTTGGTTTTAACTGCAAACTTTTTTAATGTACCTCTTAAAATCAAGAAGGCCTCATAACCCCCCGTGAAGCTTTGGCGACCCCTAGTGGGGGCCCCCGACCTGCAGGTTGGGAACCAGTGCACTCAAGCATAATGGCGCGACTGCTTAAACTATAGACTCTACATAAATCTTTATATAAGTCTATGGTTCAAACCGATGGCCGATCAACCTACATTTCTTACTTGTGAATTAACCAAAATTCTCCTAGTGAGTTTATGGGCCATAGTTATCTGTGAGCAGCAGTGTTGGGCTAGTTACTTCTAAAAAAAAATGAATGTATCTCTCATTACTCTTTTGACAAATGTTTAATTATTACCTTGCTTATTACTCCCTGCAACAGTAATTAGTGACACTAGTTATAGTACTTTTCTGGTACTCCCCAGGTAATTGTGCCCCTTAACATGGCCAAACAAACCTATGGCTGGATGTTACCTTCCAGAGCTTGTATTTGACTATTTGACTACATGCATTAGTATTGCATTAGTTTATTCTTATTATGGATGTATTCAAATGTAAGCAGCATTGGACGTGGAGCTAATTCTAACTATTTTATCAACAGGGTAGTTAAAGGACATTTTCTCACTCTGCTTTTTGTTTTATTAAACACCATTTTTATTCTTAGTACATAGGAGAAAAACAGGTTAAAGGTCCAGTGTGTAGAATTTAGATAAGATAAAGAAAAAGTCTTTTTATTGTCATTTTCACAGTATATACAGCATTTACATACATGAAATGAAACTTGTCCTATGCATTTGACCCATCCTATATACATTACTATATACATTAGGAGCAGTGGGCAGCTGTAGCTGTTCTGCCCAGGGAGCAGTTAGGGGTTAGGTGCCTTGCTCAAGGGCAGTACACAGGTGATTAAAGTGGCACCTCTCCAGCTACCAGTCCACTCTCTATACTGTGGTCTGTGGGGCTTGAACCAGAAACCCTCCAGTTCCCAAGCCAAGTTCACACACACTGAGCTACTACCGCCTTCATCTAGTGGTGAAGTTGCACATTACAACTAAGTGAACACCGCTTGTGTCTGTATTTGATGACTTTGGATTGAGAATGGGCAGTGAAGTGTTTAGGAGAAACTACATTGGCCGCAAAATGTCAAAGAGCCATGTTTTGTCAAACTGGTCCCATTATATACAACTTTTAAACTGTTCCTTACCAAGAGGGCTTCCTCTTCCCCTTTTGCTGCAGATTAATTCTCCACAACATTAGGAGGATCCTCACCTGGGCGCAGATTCTGGTTCTTCAAGACACTGGTACCTGCTTGCTGTGCTGCAAATGGCTCAGACAAATCTTTCTGACCGAAGTTAATTGTGTTTTGCATGACCCTTTTTTATTCTAGACATGTTTATATTCATTAAAGCAACCATATTATTTTCAAAACCAAGACGTATAAATTGTAGTCGTAGAAAACCTTATTGTATTGAACCAGAAAGCAACACACAAGCCAAGAGGCCACAGTTATATTTCTGTAGAGGACCTGGGAAGTTTGTTGATAAATGTTTTCTGTCTCTGTGACAAAGAAAGCATTATAAGTAAAGGGCAGAGTTTATTTTCTTAAAAGCATGTTTATCCTTGTCTGTATCCAAAGACGTAGGAAGGCTACAGAAAGGCAGGTGTCCTCTGTGGTAGATGGTTGAAGAGATGCTGCTTTTTTCTTCTTCTTTTTTTTCAAGTTTCCTTGTGTAGTGGTGGAATTAATTAGATAAAAGTGTAAAGGCATACGGCCAATTGACTAGTCCATACCAAATTAAGAATGTCCTATCCCTCTGGGTGGAACTATTTTGCGAAAGTAAAATGGAGAATTTAAAAGTTTGTGCCGTTACTGTTATTATCTTGATTCATTCATTCATACCCTTCATATTTCATATTTGTATGTACTTCTCTGCAGTCCGAAGATTAAAACTATGTATGAAGTAGAAGTTTCATTAAGAGTTATTGACGGCTGACCAAAGGAAAAAAGAAACAACAGTACATCCAGGACACACAGCCTGTCCACCACGCTCTGCATCTTTCCTGCTCAGCATATGTCTTTTTTAAAACGTAACTTCATTAGTTCTTGCCCAACTGCTTTTTTATGTTTCATGCTTTGTGTAGGACCCACTTCCAAGGCTGCCATGAGCTGCAGACCAACGAATCCTCCTATGTTGCACAAGCATGAACATACAGACATTTATACACCAGCATGAGTTAGTTGAGTACCTGGCTTCTCCTCCGCAACTTCTGACTCAAGAATGCCACTGGCCTCTGCTCCCCATCCACTTCCTGCAGCAGCACAGCTCCCAGGCCTACTCCTGATGTGTCTGTGTGCAGGGTAAATGGCTTGGAGAAGTCAGGGCTATGCAGGACTGTAATCAATCGCCTATACCAACCCCAAGAAAGATAACCATATTCTTAGTTGTGGGCACAAGTAATTCCTGCATGACCTGCACCTTCCCCACTTGTGTCTAATGACTCCACTTCCAAACCTTAACTGGTAATGATAGTAAGACCTGCTGCTTTGATGAGCTGGAGAACCTGACGGGATTGATCTGTGGCCCTTTGCTGCATGTCATCACCTTTTCTGTCTTTTCAGCTGTCATTATCAATTAAAGGCAATAAAAGCAAAAACCTGTACAAATGTCAACTTTTAACACAATGAATTTATTTCATCCACAACAAGAAAGTAAGATCTTCAGGAACATAAATTAATATTTAACAGCTGAAAAAGTGTCCTACTCCTCTTTTGGTTTTCATTGTTTGCAATGCAATGCAGTGTTATTCAATACTTTATATGTCCAAATTTGACACAGATCGGTGAGTTAGTCTCCTTTAGTTAGTAGCCAGAGGTCATATGGTCATAAGTACTCAACTCAGATAACTACAGTAGAATTGGTAAATGCAAACATGTCACTCTTGTAAAATGAAATAAATCAATACGAAACACTGTAGGGTTACACTGTGTTTGGCAATGCAAAAAAAATTATATGTGGGATGAGGTGGGAAATTATTCCAAAAAACCTTCCAATTTTAAGGTTTTATCCAGATAAATATATATTTTTTTATTAAAATGGATGAATACTGATAGATCTAGGATTTCTGCATCCTATGACTGATCAAGGTTTGCTTTGTTTGTGTTTTTGTGTATATGAGGCAAAGAATAATAAATATATTGTTGAAAAAAACTGTATTCTGTTATGCTAATTTGCCGTTTGTTGTAAATGCAAGCTTCATACTTCTTCAATCGGTTTAACATTAAAAGCCTTCCAGCAGTTTAGGCAGTAATCCCTTCCCTGTAAGGCTTTTCAAACATTTGCAGGAATCGCAGAAGAGCAACTTAACATCAGAAAATCATCAGAATAAATTAACCACAGAGACCTGTTTTTGTTAAAAAGAGAAAGTGAGGGGAAGGTGCTGTGGAAATGTACTTTTTTTTTTACTGAAATCAACACATGAGCCAATGTAGGACAGTTTTTTTCCCCATCTTTATACAGCATGGGTCATAAAGTAGGCCTATATGGGAATCTGTGAGATTGTGGTTAATGTAATAATTTGTTTTGAGACTTTTATCTGAATGATATCTGCATAATGAAAAAGGCCAGTGAGACTAGCCAGCTAGTCTCTGTTAAGTGTCTTAGGGTTGAATACTGGTGTCCTGTGGCTTAGACGCATTATCTGAAATGTCCCAGCAGCATCGTTTCTTTCAGCAGTTAGTAGTGGAATGTGACCATGTTCAAATCAACACTGCTTCAATAAATACAGCTCAACAAAGTCAACATTGATGTTTTTTTTCAAAATAAATTAACACAATACAAAAATGAAAATTGCATTGACCTATACATAACAGAACATAGTATATCTTCTTGTATACACTACAGTTGTACACACAAATTGTGTGCAGTATTCCAAAAATAAATACAACTTCTTTTTGGATTATCTACCGTGTAATCACTTTATCAGCTGAAATGATGATGGTTTTAAATCTATTTTTCAAAACAGGGCCCCAAGACAGCGCCTCAAGATCAGACGCCAGGGGACTTATTACAGAAACGTTCTATCTTAAAGCTGCAGTAGGTAACTTTTATAACAATAACTTTTTGTTATATTTGCTGAAACTTTCACTATATCCTGACAGTAGAACATGAGGCAGATAATCTGTGAAACAATCAGGTTCCTCTGGCTCCTCCTAGTGTTCCTTTAATGACATTTGCAAGAATCCACTGCGGCTGAACGAAAACAACCAATCAGAGTCAAGAAATATAGTTGATTGTTGAGTTTCATTCCCAGGGTGTTTGGGAATGAGATTCAGCAATCAACTATCTTCAATCTCCAACCCAAAGCATCCTTATATCTTTCTTGGCTCTGATTGGTTGTTTTTGTTCAGGCCCGGTGGATTCTTGCGAATACCATTAGGAGAACTAGGAGAAGCCAGAGGAACGTGATTTTCTCACCGATTATCTGTCTCATGTTCTACTGTCAGAACACATTGGAAATATCAGCAATAATGTCAAAAAGTTATTTTTATAACTTACTTACTGCAGCTTTAAGATAGGATCTGCAAGTTAGAGTTTCTGTAATACAGCCCCACGACCCTAATGATGTCAGTTGATAATATACATACTCCCATATCCCCAAAAACACAGTTACAGTTAATCATTACCACAAACCAATTATCATAAACAGTAAACCTGAGGCTTTTGCAGGTTCCTGGGCCCCAGGGCAGTTGCCTATTTTGCCAGATTGATAATTCTGGCTATAGGCCTCTGTGTAGACAGCCTGTCAATAGACATGCACTTTTCTGTATGATAGTTGAGAATAAATGTTATTTTTTAGGCCTGTAATTAGTTACATTTCAGCAGATATATGGCAACAATGATTAATGATGAATAACAATGAATAATGGTTTGACCTGTGGTTTTGCTTCAGAGATGGAATGTCAATAAAACAAATAAAATGTCTGCATTAACAAATTCAGTGTCATAGGACAGCCTACATGAGATTCTCATTTACAGGTGACCCCAGTGTGATTATCAGCCATGCATTTTAGTGCAATGTCATTCATTGTGTACCCAGTAGAGGTCTTCATGAGTCCCCTTGTTTCCTTGTAGCCGAATCAAAATTTGATTGCACAGGTCTCAGGTGTGTCAGTATGTTTCTCTATTCCAGTCTGTTTGGATAGGTACTACTCTCCAGCCAGAGCAGTACTCATCAATAAATCAAAATGTATTCATGCACAGTGGGTACTGGTAGGTTTTTCCCCTGACTTGTATTTTCTAGCCATGATCATACACATTTCCCTTTCCACGCACTCACAGCAGGAGATGGCTGCTTGGGAGCATGGCCAGACCACAAAACAATGTCTACCTTCAAGCTGCTGCTGCTTCACATTAACAGCTTTCCACAGGCAAGCCACTGGCAAAGCCCTGCTAAGTCCTTGTATAATAAAAATGTATTTACATTGCAAGATATGGAAATTTTTCTTAGTGTTTCTGTGTTCAGTTTTAAATACTCTGTTGTGAGTGTGGAATGAAAGAAGATGCAGCCATTGAACTGTTTAGATGAAGACGTGCAAGATACAGGCACGTATTGCAGCAAATTATTAAAGTAAGCTATCTTTACTGCTGGCTGTGCGCTCATCACTGGCTCTCATCAAAGTATGCCACAACACAGGTGTCCCCTACTGTATGGACATTTGGCATCAGTTTACACCGTGAGAATATTATACATGTATATATAATGTCCTTTACATGCTCATTGAAGTGATGTGGGAAATGATTTTAAGAGCTGAGTGTAGAAGGCCAGGAGGCACAACACATAAGCAATGGCCTGGAGGCTCCTACGAACACACACTTCCTGTCAGAAGCCCTGAATAACACTGGTTATCCAGTGTTACTAAGTGCTCTCCGTCATTAGTTCTTGTAGGGTTTGTTGATGACCTTGTCGATCCATCGCAGGAACCTGCTCACACGTGTGTACACCCCAGGGAAAGAGGGGTTACCGCAACCATGGCCCCAAGAGATTACTCCTGTCAGCACCCAACGGCCCTCCTCGCCCTGGCAAACCAGTGGACCCCCACTGTCACCCTGGCAACTGTCCACACGGTGGTGCTCTGACAGGCTCCCGGCACACAGCATGCGGCTGGTGAAACGATCACCGTATCGCTTCTTACACTTCCAGGCTGGAAGCAAGGGGACCCAGGCCTGGAGCAGAGTGCGGGAGTACTCTGAGTCTGACAGCGGGGGAAAAAACAGGTCTTATTTATTCTTATTTACATGTGAGTACAGTATTAAAGCATTAAAGGACCAGTGTGTAAAAATAATAACATTTCATTATTAAAAAAAGGAGTAGTCCATGTCTAACCCACTCTGCTTACCCTGACATTCTTACCCTAACCAATCTCACTCCTCATGCCTAAACCTAACCTGCCAAACCAATGAGGGCAACGAGTACCAGTACAATCAGAGCCAGTAAGGCATGTCATGACTTCGCCACTGTGATGTACGCACTATGTACAGTAGAAGTCAGGGTACAGTGACATGAGCATTGCACTCTAAAAACTGGACGTATAGTACAAGGAACATGTATGCTACTAAAGATATATGTGTGCTGATTTTATAGCATTTTTAACAATCATACACACGTAATAGGCTTCTTTTTTGACAGATTCAGTGTTTTCTAGTCCTTGATGCTTGGCCATTGTTGTATTAGACAATGTACTTAACAATTAACAATTTACCACTGCAATAAAATATAACTGAGGTGAACGCAGTTTTGGTGTGACTTTGCTATGAGCGCCACAGCTATGTGACATTTAAACAATTCATCAGCACTTACAAACAGTGTCCTTGTAAGTCTGGATAATTAATACACCTTATTGTGAAGAGATTTTATTAGAACTACTTTATACTGAAGAGGTAATCCCTGTGATAGCTGCTGACAGTCACTCCAGAACAGAGGTTTTTGATCTGTGAGGCGTCAGGGGCCTTGGAAGAGTTGAAGGGGGAAAGACGTGAGACACTGTGAATGGGAAGTTAATTAATGTTTGTCTGCTGATCAGGCTCACTTATCAACAGCCTCAGCAGTTGCAGCATCAGTGGTTGTGACATTCAGTGGATGCCAATGGGGGCAATTTGAGCTGGGTTTCATTTGGACTGGCTCAAGTGACTCATCGTGGACCCATTGTGTGATTTGTATAGACGTGCTAACTAAAGATAGCAAGTGACCTGTAGCACAAAAGTCTGAGTTAACCCAGGTTGAGTTGCACCATTATGGAAACCTTCACATTGCCATTTATGAGGTTAGGTTAAGACATAGTAAAGATGGCAACAATACAGTTATAGGTAGGGGATTGGGGGAAGTCTTGATTTTGTCTGAGTGTGTCCAGAGTAATGATGACACCAAGGAATGTGCTGACATTTTGAGAAATGCCTGTTTGCCAAGAGTTCAATGAAAAGATCATCTACTACAGGGATAGGTCTGGATTGTGTTCAGCCTAGTTTCGTAGACTCCTAAAAGCAAGAGGAAACTATAGCTCTGTAAGAGGTGGTAAAAATACCTTCCAGCAAATTGTTAGTGATCCTGTGACTACAAGCAGTGTCTTAAAAGTCCTGTCTTGACTTTGACACCAGAAACCGGGGTCCTACATGTTTTTAGGTTTAGGCAAGTAAAACATTTAAGTTAGGAAAAGATGTAACCTTGTTATGTTCTTGTGTCCAGCCACAGTGGTTCTGACCAATCAGCATCCTATGAGGAACAACTGGCAGCTACAGCGTGAGCTACAGGCAGGGTTTAACGCCAGTGTGTGATGATGCGTGTGATGAGTGACTGTTTGCTTGAAAACAACAATAGCCGCTGCTTAAAGAGGTTAGTGTAGATGCTGCTAGCATCAGTTCTATAAGAACTGGAGAGTATTTCTTCTTTGAAAGAAGAGCAAACAACGACACTGAAGGTTTTTCTCCATGGAAAATATGTTTTCCCTTTCCTCACGAGTTTGACTACATTATATGGTTCGTTGATCTTGTGAAGTTCACCTGTGATAGATGGTGATAAAACAAATGGTTCATCCAGTCACCTGCCGAGTCATTTTTGAAAGTGGCTGCTCTTGGAGCTGAGAGCCACAGACAGGGTAGGGAAGTCAGCAAGTAGTGAGAGACGGATGAACACATTGTGGCATTTTGTTGTAAGGCAGGATGTGTTGTTGATAAATGGTAATATACTATGTGATTTAGGCTGATCATGTGTCTTTCTGTATGACAGGAATGCACTGTTAGCCTTGGGAAGGCCGCAGACAGACATAAGTAGGGATGCACAGATTGGGAAATTCTGGGCAGATACCCATGTTTCTAATAACTATTTGGCCGATAGTGATGTTTTTTTGTTACTATTTATTTGCTCTTTTGTGCCAGTTTTCAATGACGACTTTCTGCATGGTTCTGTGTAACAAACCATCTGGTTTAGTCAGGTTAGGACAGATGGTGGTCGGTTAAATATTGAGAATTTTGTTGACTTATGTTTCTGTATCTATATAGTGGACGTACAGAAATGAAGCTGTTATCTGTTCATCTGACAAAAAGATGCAATGCTCATTTAAGTGGTTGCCTTATTGTCATCACTAAGCCACCATGCTGGATTAAGATACTAATGGTAAAATATTTTTGTCACATTGTAATGATAGCCTAATGAAACACAAACAGAAATAATTTTCTCCCGTTGAGAATGGGGCTCAACATGCGACAGTCTGAGCGGTGAAGTTACCTGTGATGCCCCAGCCAGTGATCACACAGGCAGCAGGCCTCTTCTCCCACTTGTTACCTGGCTCTGGCAGACACACTGCACCAGTGTGAGGGTTGAATGCCACACAGTTGCCCTCTGTGCCTTTGAGCCGCAGCAGGGCGATGTCGTACTCCCAGCCCTGACTATGGTACTTTCTGTGGATAACAATGCGTTCGGGGGACAAAGTGCGTTCAAAGTCATCCTGCTCTTCAGTGTGGTAGTCACCCAGGCGCAACACATAGCGGGTTGGGTCTCTGCCAAATCTGAAGGGAGCAAAGAGAGACAGTATATATGACATGCATAACCCACAAAGTAGTGCTACTGCAGCTCAGGAGGATTTGCTTTATTTTATTTTTTCAAAATATTTGTTCTTGCTTCATATCAATTCAAACTACACCTTCATATGCAGTTAAGACAATCTGCGTTTGCGACCTGTTAGTTAAGGTAAAAACAACCAAAATAAAAACATTAAATGTAAGTTAAGTGAGTAGATTGGATTTCTAATCACGCATGCATTTTTGAGTGACCCACTGAATGATACTTGAACTTTATATTTGGTTGTGTGTGTGAAATTTGCCAGTTTAAAAAAAAAGTTTAAAAAAAAGAAAAGGTACAGGTTAAGCAATGCAACTAAAGAAGTTGACCAGATTCACATATTCTGCCAAAATGTGTGTCCATTGTGGTCACATTATGTGGTAACAATTAAAAACATAAATGTTACATTAATATTAATACATGAATAATTAATCACAGCTGGAAAAGGACTATGTGACATCAATGTGTATTTTTGAGCTGTGTACGGTTTCTAATGACAATAGGCGACCATTAGAGGGAGCTGTCTCCTACCTCTTGAAGCAGTGGGCAGCAGTCACAACCCAGCAGGGGTTGATGAGTGAGGCTCCACACAGAGGATGGTTGCCTTTAGACTGAGACCTGAGCCACAGAGACACCTGCCAGGGCCACTCACCCCTGAAATCACACGCAGACACACAGGTCAGAGTTAAGCTTTCAGGAGGCTGCTGCTGCTGCTGCTGAAACAACTGCACAGTTTCACATGTCTCGACAACTGCACACACAGAAATTACACTGTATAACTACTGTAACAGCACCTCTGTTGGGTGGAGATCCATGGCTGTACAGGGGCTTAAAGACACAGTAAATCAAACTCAGCTCTGCTTTTTGTAAGTGTGTGTGAATATACATACATTCCACTGGATTCCAAGTGTTGTGTGCGCATACTAACCTCAGTGACTTATCTCCTCCTATGATCCTGCGTCGACGACGCTGGTTATTGAGTCTCAGGCCACAGGTCTGCATTGCTATGGCGCCATCTCCCATAGGATCCAGAGTGTAATCACAGATGACACCTGCATCCTCACTGTGGCGGCAATCATGGCTGTCTTGGCCCACAGCTGGACACTGGCCTAGGGACGTCTCAGTGCCTGAGCATCGAACATTGTCAAGATGGATGGGACCCCGACCCTCGCCAAAGTACGCCATGGATCGGGCTTTAGCCACACCGCTGGGAAGACAGCACACAAAGTCACAGCATCATTAATTCTGTTCCTTTTTGAAGAAAAGTTAAGGGATCACCAAAGTTGTTATAATTCAACCTGTGTGTACCAAATTTGATGGCAAGCCATCCAATATTTGTCATTTCATGCACAACCAAAAATGTCACCTTGCTTCTAGTACTTAACGAAGAGGATCATCAAAGTGTTCGGGATCCATCCTCTGGGGATCATGAATGTCTGTACAAAATTTCACGGCAATCAATATAGCAGTTGTTGAGATAATTTAGTCTGGATCAAAGTGGTCAACCAACAATGGATTTCCTAGAAGGATAAACCCTTTCCATTTTAGACACACTAGCTTTCTTAGGCCAAAATATCAGAGAAGGTGTAATAATACTAACATGAACCCCAGCTGTCTGCAAACCACAGCTGCATTGACATCATTCCAGCCATCATCACACACACTTCCCCACTGGCCGTTAATAAAGACCTCCACTCTACCCTCCTTCCTGGTCTCTCCAGCAACCAAACGCACCAGAGGGCCTGCAAACACACAAGAGAAAACATGGGATTACTGTGTAGTTGATGAGAATTATTCATGCCCTGAGGTTTTCAGATGCTAGCAAGTTTTGACATATCCTGAGGTATGTTGGCCTTTACAACGATAATTCACACTAATCTCATAAGCAGGTCTTCTTTAGCCACTAATGTGTGTGCTTACCAATACGAAGCATTAGGCCTGGTATCTCATTGGCATCACCCCCTCTCTGACAGCGGACACCTACATCCTCACTGTGAGAGCAGTCATGTTGGCCCCACTTAGAGTGGGTGCATTCCAGTAAAGTGGCTTCTGTTCCCTGACACTGCACCTCGTCCAGCAGGATTAGTCCATGAACTTCTTCATACACCCTGTCAGGAGCCACCTCTGCTCGGCCCCTGCAGACAGAAACAACCACAGAACATCTATAGCTGTATGGTCATTTTGACAACATCACCAAAACTCTGGTGAATGAGAGGAAGACTTCTGTACAAAGGCTTGCTAAATCTTAATTTAATTTGCAGAATGACCCATCTGTAACTACAGAAACAGTATAATTTCCTGTAAGGATTTTCTCTAGAATTTGAAGGTTGTAAATAAAGTTTTCTATGGACAAACATCATGCATACTGGTTGTTCTCAGTGTTCTGAAATTTGGTGGAAAAACCTTTATCATTATTTATTAACTGATATAAGTGTATGAGTATCTAATAATATAGTCTTATATTAATTTGATCAGAGACATGGAACCATGTGCCACTGCAAGTTATGTGTCAGCATGTTTTCATTCAAACCAATCTTGGATTTGAGTTTGGTGGAATTATCCGATTGAAGGGACCTATCAGTAAATCAGATGGTAAACTGGTAAAAAGATATGTAATCATAAAACCAGTCAAATTTTTGATTGTGATCTTACACAGTTGGTCTCTAACACTTTGGCTTCAGTTCTGTGCCACCACAACAATGATGGTAGCACCATGTTGCACAGCCATGTTTCTACAGTAGCCCAGAATGGGCAAACCAAATGCTGGCTCTAGATAGAGCCTTTCATGTTTTTTTGTGGCCATCATAGTTTCTCGGAAACGCTTGGGAATGGGAGGGTGAGTTGAGGGGTTTTTAATTTGCAACCGTGCTTGATGCCACTAAAATGACCCAAAGAATAAGATCATGAATTCAAATGAACAAAATTTGATCCTCTTGGAGGGCTTCTTATGGTTAGGTAAGGAGCTCAGACATCCCAAAGGACCTTAGAAGGAGTAGGTAGGTAGGAAGGAAGCAGACAGGAATAGAATCCCTGCTCCACTGCATTGAAAGAAACCAGTTGAGGTAGTTTGGGCATTTGTTCTGGATCCATCTCTGAGGAGGTATTCCAGGCACATCTAACTCTGAAGAGACCCCTGCGGAAGCCTCGATGGTAATTTATACTAAATCCTAGGGAATGCCTTGGGACCAAACAGAGTAAGGGGAGAAGGGCATCTGGACTACCTTGCCTAGCCGGCCACTATGACAGGAACCCATATACAATGCAGAAAAATGGATAGATGGATAATCATAAGGCTCTAAGACTAGAAAAAAATGCCAGTATGTTGTTCAATCTTTGTGGGTTTCTTTTCTTTTTGCTTGAGCAGGGAAAAGAAACCTTTAGTGCTTAGTAAGAATGATCATCTGCACACATGATGGCACATGGTTGTTTATCCCTATTTTAGATTGATATAAAATCACAGGTTGGTACACAAGCTCCTAAGGCACAGAGGTGTTCAATTTCAATTTCAATTTTCAATTTTATTTGTATAGCGCCAATTCATAACAGAAGTTATCTCAGGACACTTTTCAAATAGAGCAGGTCTAGACCGAACTCTTTAAAACATTATTCCATAGTGACTCAGATGTAGCAATGCACTGACCTGAAGCCCAGCTGTCTACACACTACCTGAGCATTGAGCTCAGTCCAGTTGTCGTCACACACAGTGCCCCATTCTCCCTGGTGGTAAATCTCCACGCGACCCTCCCAGTGACTGTCTGCTCCCACCAGACGAACTGCACCATCTGCAGCCACACAGGAAAATAAATACTGTATTAGATCTCATACTCAGGGGAGTGCATGACATACATTATCTTGTCTGGTTTAGTGTTGGTGTTAGTGGTCTCTTTTAGCTCACACTGTGTGGAAGGATTCTCAGTCATCCAAGTTATGGGATAGTACATGCAGTACATTCTTGAAAATGTTTTGCCCCTCATCCAAGAGGCTTCTCCATTTCTGATTGACCAGTGGGGAGTCCCAGACAAATAATCTCTGTGGGATTGTTAACCTACAGTAAGGAATACACTGACCTATAGTAGGGCCACAAAACACCCACTGAACAACTGCATGGCCAAACACAGGAGGGCCAATCCTTGGGTCAAGATGCAGTAGTCCTACCTGCATCTAAAGGACATCTCTGAGAATAACAATGTATACAGTTTGGACAGAGAAGACAGATGATTTGAATGAGGAGTGAAGAGGGCCATATATGTCAAACTGGAACAACCATCACAGGTGTCTGCGACACCACTTACCAGCCATGTTCAGACCAAAAAGACTAGGGGTTAAAGCAGGTATGGCAACATAATGCTAACATTCTGTTATATAGCAGCTATAATATTTACCATGTTCGGCAACTTATTTTAACATGTTAACATGGTAACATTTGCTAACTAGCACTAAACACAAAGTAAAGCTGAGGCTGATGGAAATGTCATTAGTTTGCAGGTATTTGGTTCTATACCAATGTATTGGACAACTTCCCCCCTGGTAGTGGTGCTAGATAAAAAGTTAAACGATAACCAAAGTTATTACAATTAATCCTCAGAGGAGCATAAATGCCTGTTCCAAATTTGATGGAAATCCTGCCTAATGTTGGGAGATTTCATGCAAAATCAAAAATGCGAAACTTTGTGGTTGTGTTAAAGAAAAAAGTTGAGTGATCACAATTATCTGTCAAAATAAATCTTTGTTTTTTACACAGTTTCATGGCAATCCATCTGTTCTTGAAATATTATATATAGATATATATTAGTGAACTAACCAGCTGACCTGACCGACTGACAGACAGATGTGTACTGAACCTCCAAATAACATCCATGGGTCTTGCAGCAAGACACAAGACTCAAAAGTCACTCAGCAGTGCAACCTGGGGAAGTTGAGAAAGATTAAACAGAAATTTTCTCTGTTGCACAAAAGCAACAACCTGGAGAGCTGTTTTCCCTTTCACTTCTTTATGTTAAAGAAGTCAGTCAGAACAGAAGGACCCTTTTCGGATGAGAGGCCAAATGTCTTTGACTTTAGATATTGCAGTGATATCTGTTATAATGGGGTTCCACAGGAATGATTACAGTGTTGTCTAATATGAACGTGTGAGTAAGTGTTTCCTTCCTTGGCTCTGACCTGTGTATGGATTGCAGGACACGCCTGCGTCTTCCATGTGGTCACAGTTGTGCTGCTCCCACATGTTATGAGGACACTCCTCCAGAGAGAGTTCGTTGCCTGTACACTGAACCCCATCCAGCCAGATGGGACCAAAACCCTGGCCAAAGTGGGCCCATGTCCACGCCTTGGCTACGCCCCTGTTGGTAAAAGGGCAAACAAACTACACCTTTAATCTGTAGTATAAGGTCAATTACACCCAAGAAATGTCCATGTTGTATTTATGTTTTGGTGGGGTGCTATATTGGCATCATCGATTTATATGAGTTTAAATTTTTTTAAACTGTATGTTGATGCACCTGGTGTTTCTAGTGGTGCACCCAGTAGAAAGGGTGTTTTTCTTACCCCAGGTTCAACTGTCGGCACACAACCTCAGCATCAGTGTCATCCCACTGGTCATCACAAATGGTACCCCACCTGCCGTCACGGTACACCTCGACACGGCCCTCAAAGTCCTCCAGGCCTCCCACTAGCCTCAAAGGGATGCCCCTGCCTGAGAAACAAAGGGTAAAGGAATAAGTGAGCTGATTATACACATATCACCAAAATATGGTGTTACTTTTGGGAAGATTTTCAGACCCTGGATCTGGAGCCATGTAGCCCCGGACGTCATAACAATCGTCTCTATCTTCACAGGCGCCATAGAGTCTCATTTTCTGGTTCATTTTGCTGCCTCATTACCTATGTGTGTGTATATTTGTGTATTGGGCTGCATGCAAAGCTTTTGAATATGCAACAGAAATGTGACTTGATGAACCACTGGGCAAAACCAACATCTTAAAAATCTTTTCAACGTAGACAAGAACTTAGGTTTTCTAATTACAGGAGACAGTTGACTGAGGCTTGCTCAACTGTTAGTGGAGCACAGAGCAAAAAAGGGCGGGACTTTGGAAGGGTCAGTTGGTCAGTCTTGAATCTATTCTAAACATTGCCAACAAGACAAGATCCTATCTCTACATATGATTGTATATGGCCAGCAGTGCAATTGTGTACCATGTGACATGTTTCCAGCATTATGTGTGGTTATAATGCTTCCACAATACATTTGTTATTATTTATTAGTTATGTATTTGTTTATCTGAGGCGACACTCTGATCTCACCTTCTGGTTCAGCACAAATCACCCCAGCTTCGTTGCCATGGCTGCAGTCGCCGGTGAGAAACTTCCTGTTTCGGCACTCCAGTAGGGAATTCTCATTACCACGGCAACCCAGACGCTCATAGTGGAATACGGAACCTGGGCCGAAGTAGGAATGCTGCAGGGCTGTACCAATCTCACTGCATGAACAGAAGATGCACACAGAGGCAAGGGCAATGGAAATGTCACATTAAAAAAGACTTCAAAGTGTAAATGACAATTCTGATGGAAGCTACTCTGTCCAGTCATGCTAAGCTAAATGCAAATTCCAAAGTTTATAAGCTACAACCTCAATGGTGTAAAAACTTTCACTTTAGTTTTTAAGCCTGGGTTGGGGTAGGTCAATGAGCCTTACTGTGTTGCCCTAAGTGACCTTCTAGTGCCTGAAGCCTGCTTCATAGTTGAAACAATGCGTGATGGAGTTGCCTCTGTTTTGATTCATCGTACAGTGTCAGATTCCATCCACTGATAGCAGCATCACAACACTAGAGGGATGTTTGTATGTGATCAGGGTGCATCATGCTTTTAATTATATTGTCCATAACAACTGTGTTTGCATGTGGAGCTGTGTCACTCTTTCTGAACAGAGTTGGTTTGTAGACCAGGGTCAGATCAGTCACAAGTAGTAATATTTAGCACTAGATCAAAAGTTGTGTGTAACCTTCCACAACAGTGCGAAAGACACTCTGTCTGTCCAAAAACACAACTATAATGCAAAGTAAGTAGAGGCGGCCATTCAAAATAAAACTGCAACAAAACTGAAAAAGGTCAGTATGGTTATAGCTTTGTCTGCAGTGAAATCATTGCTGTTCATTGTCATTTATGCAGGGTTGTATAATGAAATGTTGTCATAGTTCCTTCTATGCCAGTGGTCCCAACCTTTTTCTTTAAGGGACTCCTTTTCCATTATTTAGTAAACTGATGACATATTTTAGGGATATTTCATATTATACAAACAGAACAACTTATAAACAGTACAAATTATAAATGCTGCATTAGAAATGTGTTTTTCTGGTATTTTCAGGATTTCTTTATAAATACTTTTATATTTAACATACTTTATAGGCTTCTTTTTTGACAGATTCAGTGTTTTCTTCTCCCTGATACTTGGCCATTGTTCTAATGCAGGATGAGGCTGTTCACCAGTGAGTAAAGGATCTGTTAATATAGCTTGTGTTCAGATCATGTTTTTTTTAAAGCTTAAATTATTATCTAAAATGAAAAAAAAAAAAAATTAATAACAATTCTTTTTTTTTTTGTATGATGAATTGTTGTCTCCCAGCCTGAGGGAAGAAGCTGTCTCTCAGTCTGGTGGTACGGCAGCGGATACTTCAGTACCTCTTCCCAGAATGCAGCAGGGTGAACAGGCTGTGGCTAGGGTGGCTAATCACAAACAAGGTTTTGACCAGTCATCTCTATATGTGTATTATCGTTAGAAACATGTCTGGCTCTGCGCTCTCACCCCAGTCCCAGCTGTCTGCATATGACACTGGCATCGCGATCGGTCCAGTGTGTGTCACATACTGCCCCCCACTGGCCATTCAGATAGACCTCCAGACGCCCACTGTTGCCTGATGTCCCCCCCACCAATCTGGCTGCGCCTGCAAATCACACAGGGAGAATTCCCACAGGTAAACAACACATGGAAAAATGTGTATATAATATTTATACAATATTTAGACAAAGTTCAATCAGGAGCAGGTATCAACAAAGGTATATTGAAACATAATTAGCTGAAAAGTATGTGTACACATAGGCTGTTCCACCTGGCCCCGAAAACAAGCCCTATCCCACCATCAGAGATGACACTCCGCACCTATAATTGGTATTTGGCCCCACCACCTGCAACAATCACAAAGCCCAGCCCCCATCACCTGCAACAAGCCCACATTGTTGTAATGGCAATAATTAGCACATCACACTTAAGACATAGAGATAGATAGATAGATAGATAGATAGATAGATAGATAGATAGATAGATAGATAGATAGATAGATAGATAGATAGATAGATAGATAGATAGATAGATAGATAATTAGATTAACAAGCAGGGAAAGTGTGAAACTACACTAGGAGCTCAAAGCACCAGAAGACCTGAAAACTTTGAAAAACAGCCTCACTGTGTCCAAGTTTGTGAATTTAACTGAACATTTTGTTACAAATTAATTAATTTGCATTATTGAAGCACAATGTTAGCTGACATGATAAGAGCTTTAGGGGGTCTGTCTTGAAGAGGTTTCCTGTATCAAAGTCAAGCTGAAAGTTCTTAATTATTTGTATATATGCTGCATATTCCTAAATTAAGGTGTTATAATAATCAAATATATGAATCACAGCAAATCTGAAGCCAGGTAAATTTCTAACATTGAAAACCTGTACACACGGTACAGAGTGGGACGACCAGGGGGTTAACAGGGGCCCAGCAGTTCCTGTTTGCTGTGGGGGCCCCTAGCAGGTTGATATGGCCATTACTGAATAGAGAAATAATTGGTGACATCTACCCATCCATCCATTCATCCATACTTCCATTCCCCTTTCTTTTCATCCATCCATTTATTCATCCGTCCATCCATATGTCCATTCCCCCTGTCCATCCATCCATCCATTCATCTTCCATCCATCCATCCATCCATCCATCCATCCATCCATCTATTCCCTTATCTGTCCATCCATCTATTCACCCATTCTTCCACCCATCCATCCATTCAGCCTGTCCATCTATCCATCCATCCAGCCATCCATCCTCACATATCAGCTCACCCTGATGGCAGTCGCAGTAGGCCCAGCTGATGGCACCGGAGCTCTGCCTGAAGAAGCACCAGGGGTTGGCCTCTTGGTCTGGGTTTCGGCAGAAGCTGTGCTCCCCCAGGCCTCGGCCTGGATACTGCTGCATGTAATCTGGGAAGTCTGTCCACTTCAGGCAGGGGGAGCCTGACTCCGTGCGGGAAACCGAGCCATTATAGTATCCCAGTTCTGTAAAGCCTTCAGAACAGGAGAGCGGAGCTGCAGAAACAGGACGTCACTCAGTCAGCTATACAGCCTCTACTGCACATGATTTTACTTTGAAACATTCTGGTCATAATACTTCGACTCAGGAGCAATTTGGTAAATGGACCTGTACCACAGCCGCCCCATATTTGGGGTTCAATAGCTTGCTCAAGGACACTTCGACATGTACTACAAGGAGTTTTTAAGTGGTTATGAAACAGTCTCAATGTAATACTGATGCCTCTATATGACCTGCATAAACAAACAAGACCATCAGCGCCTACAAGGAACATTCATTTTATGTTGATTCTGGCGCCCCATGTGGACAAAAGTGGTAGTGTTTCTACTGCCTGGTTTTATTGAATTCAAGGGGAATCCAACCTGGTGGCAGACAGTAAGAATAACTGTATAGAAATATCCAGTCTTATCTCTGATGGTCTTGTTTGTTTCTGTATGTCATATAGAGGCATCAGTAAATTGAGACTGTTTCATAACCATGTAAAAACTTCTTGTAGTACATTTAGTTAAAAAAACAAAACAATACTTTTACTTGTAACAGAGTAGTTTTCCATTGTAGTATTGTCACTTTTACTTGAGTAAAGGATCTGAGTGCCTCTGTGTGATGCTGCAATGGGCATGTGGTTGGTCTGAGGTGATCTTCAAAACCTCCCTTATCAACAAACTTGGATTTTTTACAACACTGGAGACACATTCAGAACAGGGTTGATCACTGTTGACAGCCCCATAAATAAGCCAAGAGCCTACATGATCCTCAAAATGCTTAGCTGCTCTCTGTTAGGATCTTTATTTATTTCTACGTTAGGATCCTCATTAGCCGGCTGATCACCAGTGGTGTCTGAAGCAGCTTCAGAGCTCTTCCTTGGGTTATGGGCTCCCGTAGTGATTGCTAAGAACAAGCTCTATGAAGCTGGAGTGCATGTCAAACAGGAAACATTCATCTGGTGGGCAGATGGTAGTTTAACAAGACAATGCTGTGGCTGAAGACGCTTAAGAGCAGCCAGAAGCACTGCCAACTGTAAAACTTATCTATAAAACTGCTTCCTGGGGAGACGCTATGTGACTGGTTCACAAACAACACACACACACACACACACACACACACACACACACACACACACACACACACACCTTGGTTTCACCTTACTGGTCGGATCTCACCAAAGCCCTGCAGTTGAAACAGATCCAGCTGGCTAACACTGGCAGATTTACAGAATTGTTGATTAATGTCCCTATAAATAAATAAAGAAAGAAAGAAATAAAGAAACAAGAACAACTCTGATTTACCCAGAATCCCACAGTCAATTACTCAACATTTGTACGTGCAGACTCTTGCAGACACAGCTGCCAGCTCATATATTTTCCAGAGGGAGTATGAGACAGGTATGAAGTCAGTCGGGCTTTGCTCCCATTAGAGGTAAACCCTCGTTGCCATATGGGCTCAAGCATGAAAATCAGGAAATGTACAGGCACTTTAACTGTGGCTATGAGCTATATGCACAGGGTGCTGCTGCTGGTAGTGGGGGTAAAACAGTAAACCACACTATACACAGACATGCTGTGACTGGAGGGGACAGGGCAGGGAGCTGAGGTGATGAGACAGAGGGCTGGAAAGAACAACGGACAGAAGGAGCATAAAGGCTGATACTGTGAGTGTCTGCTTTTGGTGGATGATGTTGGTTATTATGACAAGACTGTGGGAGGCAACAGAAACAGAGGTTAGAAATTAGAGGCACAGGTTTGTACGCTACCAATGAAGTGATTCACACCCTCAAGCATATTTTTTTCCACGGCATTCAATCACTGTGGATATTACTATTGGACACTGACTACACTGTGTTCCAAATGTTTTTGTTCTATTTTAGTTTTAGATAGTCAATATGATTTTTTATTTCTCAACAATTATATCGTAATCTGGATTTTATTAAACAAAATTACCAATAATAACAATGGCATTTTTTGCAAAATAAAAGTGTTCCAAATTATTATGCAAAACAGAGTTTCAAAACACTTAACAGTTTCTAAAGGACTGAAAACAGAAATCTGTTGTGAATTTTACCATTAGGGGGTAATTCTTCTCAAATCAAAGCTATTCCAATCAAAAACATCTTTACAGATCGAGCTACATATTACCATAGGAGCCCTTCTTTGATATCACCTTAACAACTCTCTCATCCATTGACCTTTTAAGTCCATGTACAGTTTCTGCCTGTATTTCCTTTGAGGATGCCAGAATTGCCTCCCAGAGCTGCTGTTTTAAGGTAAACTGCCACCCACCCTCATAGAGCTTCCTTTTAAGGATGCTCCACAGGTTCTCAGTAGGGTTGAGGTCAGGAGATGATGGTGGCTACACCATGATTCTTTCTCCCTTAATGGCCATTGCAGCCTAGGCCACAATGGTATTTGTTGCAGCATGGGATGGTGTGTTGTCTTCCATGAAAATGATTGTACTCCGAAAGGCACGGTTCTTCTTTTTATACCATGGCCGGAAATGGGCAGTTAGGAACTTCATATATTTTGCGGAGGTCATTTTGACACCTTCAGACACCTTAAAGGGGCCTACCGACTCACTTCCCATGATTCCAACCCAAAACATCACTCCACCACCTCCTTGCTGACGTCACAGCCTTGTTGGGACATGGTGGCCATCCATCAACCATCCAGAACTCCATCCATCTGGACCATCCAGTGTAGCACGGCATTCATCAATTAATAAAACTGTTAAATAATTAGTCTTCATGTATTTCTGAGCCCACTGCAATCATGTCTCCTTGTGGGCATTGTTTAGGGGTGGCTGAAATACAGCTTTATGCACATCAGCAAGCCTCTGGAGGCTCCTGCATCGAGAGGCTCTTGGGACTCCAGAGGCACCAGCAGCTTCAAATACCTGTTTGCTACTCATCAGTGGCTTTTTCACAGCTGCTCTCTTAATACGATGAATTTGCCTTACAGAAACTTTCCTTAACACGCCTTTATCTGAACGAACCCGTCTGTGCTCTGAATCAGACAAATGTTTTCACAGATAGATAGATAGATAGATAGATAGATAGATAGATAGATAGATAGATAGATAGATAGATAGATAGATAGATAGATAGATAGATAGATACTTTATTTATCCCAGGGGAAATTCACAGGAAGATGATCTCTCTTAATATTTCGTGAAATATCCAGTGTTTTCATACCTTTTGCAAGATACTGCACTATTTCACGCTTTTCATCTGCAGAAAGATCTTTTTTTCCACTATATTACATGAAACCTGTGACATTCTTAATAATGTGGAACAACATCCGTAGGTAGTTTCCTGTTAATTAGGCTCACCTGGCAAACTAATAAAGACAAACCTGTCTGAGATTGATGTCAGTGATTTAAACAGACATGGGAAGCAGCACAATTGAAAGCTTTCATTGAAAAACAAAAAATCGAATGTTTGTTTAATTGAAATCGTATTTGCATAATAATTTGGAACACAGTGTAAAGGACCAGAAGGACCAGTGTGTAGGTTTTAGTAGCATCTAGTGGTGTAGCTGCAGATCGCAACTCCCTCGCTTCATCATCCCCTTCCAAGCATGTAGAAACTACGGTGGCCGCGAAACACAAAATGCTCAAACACCCCTATCTAGAGACAGTGTTTGGTTTGTCCCTTTTGAGCTACTGTAGAAACATGGTGGTTTAACATGGCGGACTCCTTGGAAGAGGACCTGCCTCCTCTGTAGATAGACACGGCTCATTCTAAGGTAAATTCAATCATTCAATCACAAATATAAAATACTTAAAGACTGCATTAGATATAAAGCCCTGATGTTGAATCAGCCAGAGTTGGTGCTCCAGCTCATCCTAAAGGTGTTAGATAGTTCTTACACAGCATAGTGGGAAACCATTTCTTTATGGAGCTGGTTTTGTGGTATTGTATGCTGCTGTATTAAGAGTTCCTTCCTTCATTGGAAGTAAAGGGCCCAGACCAGGAAAAACAGACCGAAAGTAGTTATGTGAACAGGGGGGTCCACATACTGCATGAAAAGAATTGTGCAGTATGTGGTTTTACTGTTGTTTTAAAGCCATCCCTGTAAAGCTTTGGTTTTCTGTTTGGGGCTTGTTGTCTTGCTGCCTTCCCCAGGCTCATGCTGGGGTGGAGTCTAGAGCCGGACTGAGATATTGGTGACTAAGATATCATCAGCAGATATTGGTCAATCGCAGACATATCAGTATAGTATATATATGAAAAAAATTCAATATATTTTCTGGTATATAATGCACAAAGAAATGTGTATTGGTGTCACTGCAAAGTTTCTCTAGCAGAGCGTGCTGTGATTTGCAATACCGTGGTGAGCAGCACAGAGTAAGAGAGAAGAAGGAGCTCTCAGCAACTACAATTGGTTGACAGTGTATATTTTCAATTATTGAATATTTAATTTAAATATAAAGTTATTTGTTGAAGAAAGCAGCCTCCTGAGAACATTTGCAGCATCATATCAGTGCACAATCCCCATAGAAAAAAGGTCTGTTTTCATTCCAGCTCAAACATTCACTATATTGGCCGCCATATCGGTAATGAATTTCTGTGTTTGGGTCACATTTTTGGTGTGAAATTTTCTCCTCTAAAATTAGTATCAAAAATCTAAAATCCTATATGGAGTCTTTCTGCTGTTGTGTTTAGTTTGGCTTACACCAAACATAGTGTTAAGTGTGATGGTGTTAGTTTTGGCCTACTCAGACCTTTGTTTCAGAATCTCTCACATGCCTTCTGACAAACACTAGCCCCTGATGTCATATGCCATTTGCTATTAAAGCAGCTGGACTATTGACGATTGTAAATAAAAAGCAGTCTAGATAAGGCCGTTTGGGTTTTTCACCCATTTTTAATAGTTTCTCCTTTAGACTTGGAAGGGAAGGGTGAAGCAAGGGAGTTGTGATCTGCAACTAAACCACTAGATGCCGCTAAATCCTGCACACTGGTACTTTTTTTGTTGTTGTTGTTGTTGTTGTTGTTACCCCAGTTGCTGTCATTGTTTGTGTTACCTTGTCATGTCTCATATGTCTTCCTGTCTTAACTATCATGTTAACGTTGCACTGATAAAAAAAAACCCAACACATTGGACCTTAAACTAAATTAATTTAACACTCACTGAATCTTCCTCTCTGAAAGCACTCATCACAATAGGAATATAGAAAGATTGAAACTGAAACCACATATCATAAAGAATGGGCCATATAAATGATGCAACCACTCATTCAGACAATGGAGGTTATCAAACTGTGTCAATCAGAATTAATTATTACAATGACTGGACTACAGAGGGTTGTCAACCCAAACAACAAATGTTGGATGCAAACCAAATCTTGACTACAATATCTGATCTAGGGGAGTCACTACATACTACCTGTCTTGCTCGTAAATACTGTTGTTTTACTGTCAAGCAATGACTTCACACTAGTTCCGAGACCACATATTTCAGTAAGGTCCATGCAACAGAATTACGTTTTTAAGATTACCCTTACCTGCACTCTGCACAGTATTCGAGTATCCACCTTCACTGACCTGTGGAGGAAATAAGACATCATGGAACAAACAATGATTTACAAGCAGAATGCAGAGGACTAAAGCAACGAACACATGGTGTATATTATACTGCAAGGCTTTTATACAGTTTTCATGCCAGAGACCCAACTTTCAACTACTGTTGAAGTAATAAGTAAATAAAGTTGTAGTGTTTTAGAGATCTTAAATTTGTGCAGTGTTTTGATATAATGATATAATTCCAGTTGGTTCCATTGACTCATTTTCTTGACTTTATACAATTACAAAAATGTAAGCCTCAGTGTGCTATACTGCTAAGGATTTTTCCATCTTTGTTTTTATTTCAGTTTATCGTATGTCCAATTCTTAATGTCAGCTGTTTTGGGGAATGTAATGTAGAAAATAGAAAATTTATAAGGGGAATTTTTAAAAAAAAGAGGAATTAATCCTTTTTTTTTTTTTTTAATAAAATTATAAAAAAATTTTTTTTTATTTAATAAAAAAAAAAAAAAAAATATTTAAAAAAAAAAAAAAAAAAAAAAAAAAAAACATGTTAATATGGTTTCTTTTACATAATTATGTTTATTTGATCAGTGTTTGGGGGTTTAAAATCACTAAAAACCCTCTAAAAGACTCGGACCGTACCTGAAAGAGTTGTTAAACTGTGGTGTTTCACTGTCACACTTATCTGCAGTGATATAAATAAAAATGAGCACAGACTTTGACCTGCTGATAATATGAAGCAAACAGATCAACCGCCAATGGAGGAATGAATGAATAAACACACTGCGTTTCCTCCTGCGGCACAGTGGATCTGAGACTATGACTCAGCTTGGATTTAAGGCTGTTTGAGTGCATTCTGGGTGAACGGTGCAAGAATTACAGCCCTGTCACTGTCCTCCAACACTGTGGGACTGTGTATAAAAGGGCTAAATGTCCTACACTGTTCACCCAGTGTACTGTAGATGTGACAACTTTAAAGCTGTCAGTCAACCTTTCAAAACACAGTCAGGTCATCTGATGCAAGACAACTCAGTCAGATATCTTAGCCCAGCACAGGTTGTTCAAAAACAAAACTATAAGATAAAAATCCTGTTTGAAAACCGATCTGAGCCTGGCCTTAAAGCTGTAACATGTAACATTTCTGCATTTCTTCAACACTCGAGCTATGTTCTATATGTAGTTGAGTTGTGTACTTCCATTATCTCAAATGTTTGCAACAATGTTCAAACTCAGAGAAATCTGTCATTTTATTCAGGTACCACTGTGTTTTACTGGTCGCATGTCAATGGCGTCATATCCCCTTTGTGCCTGCGTCAGCGTTGTGGTTGTCTGCCAGAAGCTGTCATACATTTATTGTTTATCCAGTCTGAAGCCACATTGTTACCATCCACTGTTTAGGGCTTGGTGCTTTTTAACTCTAGATTTGAACCGGATGAAGGATTTTAGTCATCGGACGTCTGGATCTTAAGTTATCAGAGAAACAAGCTGAGCTAACGTTAGCAGCAGCTCGGCTCGCCGCCCCTCTGGGTCGTCCTTTGTCTGTCCAACAGCGTGGGAGAAACAGTGATTTTTAAAGTGGAACTGCTTTATTCAGTGTTTTTAGCGGTTTTAATCAGCAGGTCTGTTTGTGTTGGAGCGGAGGAGACCTCTGTGGATAACTGGGCTCCCGGTAGAAACCTCCTGAACCATGAACACTGAAGGAATCCTAACCAGGAGAAGCAGACTGCAATGATGACAATGGTGGAGAAGACAACAACTCCGAAATTTGTAAAAAAAAACAACAACCGTAACTTAGCAAAGAGATATGGGTAATGGTTTGTGTTACATACATTCCCACTGCTTACAGCTCTCTCTTATTCCTGCTGAGAGCTGCTGCTTTTTGGTTGTATCAGCGCCCGCCTCTGATTTCCACAAGGGATTATACAAGTGTACTCTTATCTGAGACTGTGACAGCATTGTCATACTCTAACTATTCATCTTGAAAAAAAGAAAAACAACGTACAAGATGCTCTGGATGTGCACTATGAGATATAAGAACTGCCACTGTTTTTTAAATGTTTTATTCATTTTCAGGGACAGGACACATTGTTCAACATCACAGTAACTGTGCCAGTGTTAGCCAAAAGGTTCATTTTCAACTGTTATCCCATGGCCAGTTATTTTAGCCATTTGTGTTTTACAAAGTCTGTGTTATGGGTCTTATAGTTTTCTAGAAATTAAGCTATCTGATATGTCAGTAAATTCCTCTAAAGGTTCATGGAGGGGACAGTGTATTTAATTCCATGTAATAACACAACCTACAGGGGTGTCGGATTCTTAATATCAAGAAGTATCTTCTGAAAACACAGTCACAATTCATGAATCATCCATTTAGAAAAACAGATAATAAACAGCATGAGAGGAAAAACAATATCTCAGTCATTCCACAGTCAGTCGGTCTACTGTCATTCCATTTTTCAGATCACTGTTCATCTACAAAGGTACGTATTTAGTATTTTGGACAGATCACTAATAGCAATGCCTCTTATTAAAAACTGAAATGAATGACTTCCAGCAGTTCTCACACTTTTGCAAAGTCATCCCTTTGGCAGGTCAGTTTTTGCCTGCGTGCCGTAGGCTTGACACCCCAGACCTGATTTCATTTTAGCAGGTCAGCTGAACTTAAGCACAGTGTCGGATTTTTTCTGTAATTTCCTTATTAATCGCTGGGCAGTAACTCGTTACTAGTAATAATATTACAGTAATAATATTACTTTCCACAGTAACTAGTAGTGTAACCAATTACTAAAACATTTCAGTCATAATATTACAGTATCCCTAAAATAGAATTAATTACAACCTTATTTTTGTTGTCACCCCCTAATTTGAAATCCAACAATCCAATCACATCCTTCATTCATTCATTTCTGTACTCGTGGAGGAAACTAGTTTGGAAGATGGAAAAAATATTCCATTACTTTAATTTTAACAAACAAAACTGGATTTCGGGGACACAATGACCACCACAGTTTTGTGTAGCACAAAAGTAATATAACTAGTAGTGAAACTAATTGTTGGCAGGGTGTTATGAGTAAAGTAATGATGTTACTTTTTAAAAGAGTATAGTATCGTTGTTGTTTTTATTCATCTACATATTGTAGCTATTGTATATTTATGAAGTGTATTCTTAACGGACTGTTTTCTTAATGAATTGTATTTATTTTCATCTTTTTAGAATCTTGTTTATTGTTTGTTGTTTTGAAATATTAACACTGCAATAATTGTTTCTAACATCCATGCCATTAAAAGCATATTAAATTGAAAATTGAAAAAAATTAGTAATGACTAATACATAAATAAATAAATAATAATAATAATAATAATAATAATAATAACAATAATAATAATAATGAAGAAATTATTTCCAGGAAACTTCCTAGATGTTTTTATGACAGATCCACAGAATAGGGTGTTTTGTATCTATGGAGATAAATCAGACGTGTTCCGTTACAGAATACCGTGACAAAGGCCGGTCCGGGCTAATGACAACCCGTAAACATCAGCTTTATATAGGCTGCTTAAACTTACCTCTGCGGAGACACACAGGGCCAGTAGCAGACAGCAGGGGACGAACCCGGGCACGACTTTCCTCCGGTCCATCCTGCCGGGAGGAAGGAACCATCTCCCCCACACCTTCCACACACACCTTCACCAACCCACCGACCCACCGCCTGCTGATAATCTGTCCCCTCCGAGCGATAACAAAGTGCCGGGAAAACACCCTCAAACAGCCCGGCTGGTCCGCCCTGAACTCAACTCCAGACACACAACCTGCTGCCGAGCTAAAAATGACTGTCTGTTGGTGAGGAAACTCTCTCTCTCTCTCTCTCTCTCTCGCTCTCTCTCTCTCTCACTCACTCTCTCTCACACACACACACACACACACACACACACACACACACACACACACAGCGCGCCGAACAAAGTCTTTTCAAGCAGTTTCCCTTTTAAATCAAGGGTGTGAAAGCCTCATGCTTACCCTTTAATATCAATGACTGACATTTGAGCCTCTTCATCTTTACACTTAAATAGTCTCATAATAGTCCGCGTATAGCAGTCTATGTGAAGGTGCCACATATACAATATATAGATATAGATAATATGACGCAGCCGGCGCTAGAGTACAGAAAAGCCCTGAGGTCCTTGAAGACCTCATGGAGAGCATCAGAGCAGAGCTGTCAACAACAGCAAGAGGGAAAGGAGCTCATGTTGTGGCTATGGAAGCCCATTTCTGCCACTGTAATTATAAAAAAAACATTCTGTAAACTTTCACTTAGTATCTCAACGATGCTGACGTTGTGATATTAGTCATTATTTTGACAAGGTTTCTCATTATAATGACTTACAGGATCTTTTTGTCACATTGGCGGAAATGGGCTTCCGTAGTACCCAGCACCCCTGGAAAGCAGTACTGATACTGAATGTATCACCATGGTGAATATATATATCTGACATGGGATTTACTTTGCATTGTGTCCAGTCTAAAATCCTATAATCTGATTATTCTGACAGGTGTGTTAAATTGATTAATGAAAGTCGCATTTTTCCGTCTGTTTTAGACATCTTTTTAGGGAAAATATTTCATTTTCAGTAGTAAGGCAGGTGTTTATGTCTGTGTTTATGACACAATAGTCAAGAAACTGTACAGGTGTGCAGTTCAGATCATAATAAAGGCAGAGTTCCAAGATGAGTGTGGTTCAAGCCATGACTACTGAGGCGGCACTGTCGCCTTACAGGTCCGGGGTTTGATTCCCGGCATGTTCTCCCCGTGTCCGCATGGGTTTCCTCCAGGTGCTCCGGTTTCCCACCATCAAAACATGTATGTTAGGTTAATTTCTCCAGTCAGTGCAGGCACTGGCTCGGATCCAGATGTTGTGGAGAATTAATCTGCAGGGGCGGGTTGTTGCAATGATGTTGGCAGCGAAGGACAGCTGGTCATTCAGTGTCACACCCAGGATCCTGGCAGTCTGAGCCGGGGACACCACAGGGCTCTCAAAGCTTTACCCACTACACCGAAAACTGACTGCTTGTATGTTACAAATTCAACAGCAACATTACCTTGAACCAAAGAATGAATAAAGAACTTAAGTTGCTTAAGACCTAGGTATCTTATCGATTAGGGTGTGGTCATAATTTGATAATATTTTGTCTGGAGGGTTCAACCTGAAGTTAAACTTACTGATAGCGACATTCTGACACCTGGGGAACAATGGAGGCTCTGCAAACAACAGCAGTGGAAGTCAACATCCTGTCACTGTAAGACTAACCAAAGAACTCAGAAGATCAGACGGAGATAAGCAGGGCATGGCCATGATTTATCTCAATAATAAAGCCTGATAGGCTGGGTTTCAATGGCCGACTTTCGAGGCACTGATTGTTGATCTTGGCCACTTCTCACAAACACAGATGACTGTAAAGCTTTATCCTGATCGTATCATCAAAACAGCGCCCCTCTCGGGGCAGAGGTGTGTCTTGCCTCATTAGATGGATGTCAAAGATAGCAACATTTTCAAAGATCCCACTGAACTACTCTGCAACAGTTGAGGATTTAATGTGGATAAATCCAAACAAGGCATCGACAGGGGGCCCAACAAAAACCAAAAGCCGCTTGAGGCTTTGAGATGGTTTTCAAAGGCAGTCACTGAGGAGCTTTATGTCTTGTTCTCATCATTTTGAGAAGGGTCTGTATCAAGTAAATAAACTTGTAACGATCAACAAGTTTATAGACCACAGAATGGATCTTAGTACACTATCAGTACTGAGTTGTAGCTACGTAGATTCAGGTGTAGTATTATTAGGTATTGGTTGATTATCTGATGCCACTCCGTAGGTAGGGATAGGTATCATTAAGATTTTAACAGTACCACTACTTTTACCGATACTGCTTATCAATATGATACTTTACCGATACTCTCATTGGTTCTTTTTATTCATTTTTAAGAGACAAAACTAAACAAATTTAAAACAGATGTAAGTGAACTTTAGCTTCATTTTCTTGTACTGTATATATATTAACTATTTTTAATGCATAAACTCGTCATAGGCAAGTAACTTAGCAAATGTTATTGATAGCCTGTAACGTTAGCTAACAATCGGACGTAACCTCTCCATTGTGTCAAGAGGATGCTCTGAGCATACTGAAACAGTGTTTGGATGATGCTCTCACCATTTTTCACCAATTCATTGATGTAGTCGTGTCAGGGAACAAGTTTGACTAGCCAACAAACCAACCGAAAGTCAACAAAGTGTGTATGATTTAGTGGCATGTTGTTGTGCAGTTGTAGATTGCCACTCTCTCGCTTCACCCTCCCCTTCCGGGTGTGAAGGAGAAACTATGGTGGCTACAAAAAAATGTGAACGCCCCTATGAAGAGCCAGTGTTGGGTTTGTCTGTTCCGGGCTACTGTAGAAACATGGTGGACTCCATAGAAGAGGACCCACTCCCTCTGTAGATAAAAACAGCTACAACGATTCTAATATTCAGGTGGTTATACACTAATGAAAACATACCTATGAATAATATATTGTAATTCTGCCAATGGATCCTCCTGAAAGGTTACTCACTGGACCTTTGATACTTGTTTGCTTGTAATATTTTACACTTTTCACAAACCCACAATACAATAATCCTTCAATATAAACAACTCTGGAGACGCCCATCCCCTCACCTCTTTCCATTTTTTTATTAAAATATATATATATATGCAACACCAACCTGAGAATATGACAAATATGACATATTTTGCCCTAATAGTAAATGAATAACAATTAAGGATAGCAAAGCTGTCTCTCACATTCCATCCAATTATTTTGTTGGCTGGTGTGTAAAGAGCATCTCAAAGGGCTGCTAATGAAGCCTTGTAGTTTTGTGTGAGGTGATGTTTGGCCCCTTCCTGTTAGCTGTACAGTCTCTTGAAGTAATCCTCGTGCATAAGAAGCCTGAAGATGTGTGTGCACCAGTGGGTAAGTAATTGCTGCGGGCTGTGGAGGAAGTTACTCGGCAGTCGAGATGTTTGGGAGGAAGTGATAAGCAGGGCGGGGAAATGGTTCTGTATAATGACGGGCAGATAAACGGACGCAGCAAAAATACCACATTTTGACAATGGTGGGTGCAAACATACCACACAATCCTTCCTGTCCCTCAGACAAAACATGAAACCAAATCCACACTTAGAGCATCATTAACAAAATGTCAATATTTCTGCCACAATAAACTGGAAGAGGACGTCAGGAGAAATCAGGAAACATGGGAAATAATTGGGACAGTCATTAAAAAAAGGGATGTAGCATCAGAAACAGTCCAACCTTAAACATGCGTGCTGTTCCAGTCAGATGAGAGGAGTGATATGAATTATGTGTATGTTACTTGCATCCAGTAAATATATTGCAGCCTAGCTTAGCTTAGCACAAAGACTAGGAGCAAGGGGGAAATGCTAGCCTACTGTATGGAATTAATAATAAAGTTGACACAAACAGCTAAACAATTCTATATACTCTTGGATGGTTTCATCTATAACAACACATATTATTAGATAGTCTGATGTTATGTAACATTTCAAAGATCCCGTGTACAGGATTTAGTGGCATCTAGCAGTGTAGTTTCAGAGAGCAACTCCCTTGCTTCACCCTACTTTTTCAAGCACAAGGAAGAAACGCACCAAAAAAAGTGTTTGCTTTGTCTGTTCGGGGCTACTGTAGGAACTTTAGTAGATAAAAACAGCTCATTTTAACGTGACAAAAAGACTCAGGTGATTATACACTAACCCATATAAAAAATAAAAAACCCATATCTACTATATTACATTTCTGCCAATAAATGTTACACACTTAAAAAATTAATTAATTAATTAAAAAGTAGTACTTGATATTTACCTATTTATCTGAGAAGAAAAACATACTTGCATTTCTGCATCATATTCACTATATTGTGAAACTCAAACCCAGAAAAAAACTATAAGCAAATGCAATGCCTCTGTCAGGAGATCCAGGTTTTACAAATCAAGATCAGCTTAGAGTTCTGTAGAGAGGAGTATAAGAGGAGATTTGTGTGGTAGCTTGTCCACTCACCTCAGGGTTGATGCAACTTTTATTTAAAGATAGTCAATCCAAACGTTGCTCTGAAGCTCAATTCTGAGGTTGTTCTGCAAATAGTTTTCTAATAAATATAGCAACTTCTGATCAACTCATGTCAATTTCAGACTTAAATGTACAACTTCTGGTTAGCCACATCCTGATGGTGGTCAGCCATAGGTTTATGGGACACTCTGCTTTAGCTCACTTTCGCGTTGTCCACTTTTTTTAATAGACCTTTTTACAGCAGCCATTTTGACATGAAATAGTAGGGTAAACACAGGTGTTAGCAATGATACTAACAAACGCTCTGTTCCAATAAGTATAGCAAAGCATTTCCAGTGAGCAGACATCCCCCCTGACCTAATTGGAACAGAACAATAATCACTATCAAAACACAGTAACACCTGTGTTTACCCTACTATTTCACGTCAATCAATAATAGGTCATTTTAACGGATTTCCAGGTGTTTCCATGACTAGTCCCTAAAGTTCCTGGTTTTCCAGAACGTGTGGGAACCCTGAACATATCTTTGACAAAAATATTATCAGTAATGTAATGCATTGTGCAGACTGTGACCTCGTGCGAGGAAGTGCTTAATGCTAAATGCATGTCACACGTTAACGATTACGTGTCCTTGCATCCAACCACTATATTCACACTGATATTGTCTGATTTCAAATTGATGCTCGTGCACAGAAAGAAAGAGAGGGCAGTGTCCCAATTCCATGCTACATTGTTTCATAATGAATGTATAAAACAAAGTGATTTTTTTTTTTATGGACATGAAATGATACAGTATGTGCAAAAACATACATGCATCTTTCAAAACTGTGAACTTTGACTGCAATTATCAATAAAAAACAGCAAACAAAATGTTCCCACAGATTTAATTATGTATAATTCGACAGATAAAAGACTCGATAAAGAAAAACAGTTTAAATCCATTCAGGAATATCCATATCAACCACTGAGCCTTGCTTACTGGTAACATATGTAACTCTATCTGTCTGACTGGCAGATTTCATTTCAGCATCAGCCTTCACAGGAATGACGAGGCATTTAAGTGTTCGGTGATAACAGTAAGCTGCCGGCCAGGAGCCATGAAACCCAAGAAGAATAATTCCATCGTGTCCACTAATAACATCTCAGCACTGAACAAGCCCACTCTAGGAAATTGGATTGAGACGAAATGGCGTAATTTTCATCAGAGCCAATTCAGGACACAAGGAGAAAGTCCCATTATATTTCAAACCATAAAATGCAGCATGCTGTGAATACAAAGGCTGTACCATTACAGAGGCAATATGAAATGAGTGAATAACCTTTGGAAGGAGTGTTTGTGTTGAAATCTTTCAGTGTTCTACTGCTAACTTTATTTATTTAATAAATGTATATGGTGTTGAATCATACAGTCATTAACAACATAACGTAACATGATGAACTCCAGTTCCAGGGCTCAGTCCAATGGTGTTTTTATTAATCTGCACATTTCAAGTCTGTATCAGTGATTCATTAAGAGGTTTGTTTCTTAGATCTCAGTGTGTAGGTTAGGGTATCTCTTCAGCAGGGTCTTGGCTACTTTTGGGGGCAGACGTTCTGCCTTCGTGCTTTCAGTTTTATTCTTCATAGCCTGTGAGAGAGGAAGATCATTTGTTAGCAGTGCTTTTTAATACAGTAATGTGTTTATTAAAGGGTTAGTTTGGGTTTTTTGAAGTGCTGTTGTATGAGGTTCTTAACCATACTCAAGACGGTCAGCACGTCCTCAGTTTGGAGAAGCGGACAGGAGTACCAGCAAGTGTACGTGTGTGTGTGTGTGTGTGTGTGTGTGTGTGTGTGTGTGTGTGTGTGTGTGTGTGCTCCACTCCCGTCTGCTACCATTCACAATAGAGATTTCATGCCTTCTCCTGTCCCACAGGTGCACTGCTGTGGATGAGGGTCAGCAGAAAAACACATTTTAGCCACTTTGCCTTGCTGTCACACAGCCCTTTCCAACGGGAGCCACCAAACCCCTTTGACAAAAACGTCCATTTTACCTCACAGAATACAGAAGTTGGTGGTCCACCACTGCCTGAGTCTGCAGCTACAAATGTTACAACTAATGTGTTAAAACACTGAAGTCCCACATCAACACTGACTGAGGTAGCGGTGGACCAGAAATTGCTGTTTTTGTCAATGAAGTCTGGTGCCTTTGAAGAGAGCAATACAAGACTTCCTGTTGGAAAGGGCTGTCTGTCGGCGAGGTAAAGCAGTGGAAATATTCTAAACACAGTGAACACTTTAACTAATATTAATCTTCATAAGTAGGCCTTTTCTATGTGGTGTTTTTCTGCTGACCCTGTATTCACGCTTTAGTCGACCATGAGGGGACAGCCCTACTGAATGCCTATTTCTTTTCCAAACTAATTTGGTTATGGATGTTTGGTACTGTTATAAGACACTTGCACAGTGGAGCTGTTTTGCACACAGTAGTACTCTTTGCTTGTATGATCAATTTATTTCTAGGAATTCTGAATTTTATATTTTATAAATCAGAATAAACTAATTATAACTAATATAAGTGGTCTGTGATAATTAAATGCAACTCTTGATTGATTATGCTAGCTAGCTAGCTAGCACAGTAACATTACACAGCACATCAGTTGAAATGTGGCAGATGGTCAAGTGGTCCATGTTTTCACTATTTCTGATTACTGTGGTAAGAAATGTCTAATATGTCAAATCTGAATAACGCTTCCCAGAATTTCCCAGTGTGCATTACAAGAAAAGTGTTTTTGGGCTTCACTACAGCCCAAACCAGTCCAGGTGTCAGTTGTGTTGCTGTGTACGTGAACATACCTTTGCCTCCTCCACACAAGTGAAGAAGGATTTCATCTCATAAGAGCATGGTTCTTCTGCAAAGTTCTGCTGCTTCCAACAGACCATCAGGGCTGACATCTCTGTGACACAGGTGGCCTCTGTGGAGAGAAAGGTTCGTGTTTACCCTGTGTGATGGCCCCTGCTGAAATTATTCAGCAGTCTTTGTATTTCCATGCACTGCATTTCATTGATTAGTGGCTCCTGGTGACACCTCCTCAGTGATCCCAGGGCCAGACCCTCTCAGTCAGCTGGCTTTGATTCTGCACAGTTACAACAGCTACCTCAAAGCATGATATAACCAGTGCACTGAGCCCCTCTCTCCCACTATAACCAGTGCACTGAGCCCCTCTCTCCCACTATAACCAGTGCACTGAGCCCCTCTCTCCCACTATAACCAGTGCACTGAGCCCCTCTCTCCCCTAACCAGTGCACTGAGCCCCCCTCTCTCCCACTATAACCAGTGCACTGAGCCTCTCTCTCCCACTATAACCAGTGCACTGAGCCTCTTCACTATAACCAGTGCACTGAGCCTCTTGTCCCACTATAACCAGTGCACTGAGCCTCTCTCTCCCACTATAACCAGTGCACTGAGCCTCTCTCCCACTATAACCAGTGCACTGAGCCTCTCTCCCACTATAACCAGTGCACTGAGCCCCTCTCTCCCACTATAACCAGTGCACTGAGCCTCTGTGTCCCACTATAACCAGTGCACTGAGCCTCTCTCTCCCACTATAACCAGTGCACTGAGCCTCTCTCTCCCACTATAACCAGTGCACTGAGCCTCTCTCTCCCACTATAACCAGTGCACTGAGCCTCTCTCTCCCACTATAACCAGTGCACTGAGCCTCTCTGTCCCACTATAACCAGTGCACTGAGCCCCTCTCTCCCACTATAACCAGTGCACTGAGCCTCTCTCTCCCACTATAACCAGTGCACTGAGCCTCTCTCTCCCACTATAACCAGTGCACTGAGCCTCTCTCTCCCACTATAACCAGTGCACTGAGCCTCTCTCTCCCACTATAACCAGTGCACTGAGCCCCTCTCTCCCACTATAACCAGTGCACTGAGCCTCTTCTCCCACTATAACCAGTGCCTAGCCTCTTTCCAATAACCAGTGCACTGAGCCTCTCTTCCCACTATAACCAGTGCACTGAGCCCTACTAACACTGAGCCCTTCCCACTATAACCAGTGCACTGAGCCTCTCTCTCCCACTATAACCAGTGCACTGCCCTAGCCTCCTCTCTCCCACTATAACCAGTGCACTGAGCCTCTCTCTCCCACTATAACCAGTGCACTGAGCCTCTCTGTCCCACTATAACCAGTGCACTGAGCCTCTCTCTCCCACTATAACCAGTGCACTGAGCCTCTCTCTCCCACTATAACCAGTGCACTGAGCCTCTCTCTCCCACTATAACCAGTGCACTGAGCCTCTGAGTGTGATCAGGGCAGTGGGCACTGCTATGACCTTTGAAGATCCTTGTGGGCCAATCAAGGCATACTGTAATCCCTTCAACATCCCCTCTGCACACTGCACATATTCCAGCTAACGTTAGATTATAAAGTCATAAACTAATATCTCATTGTGTCACCACACAACATACGACAGAATGTCACATGATCAAACTGATGATCATCCAGAACACTATTAAATGTGTGTGTGTGTGTGTGTGTGTGTGTGTGTGTGTGTGTGTGTGTGTGTGTCCTTGCATTAGCACATGTTGGTACCATGACAGCCCAGTATGTCCCCATCAGCATTATTATCTGGGGTAGATTGATTATCTAACCTGATCAGAACGACATGTAACATGTTGGACGCCATTGCTTCGGGTGTTGGACTGACACTGTGTGTGTGTGTGTGTGTGTGCTGTACTCTGTCTCTCTGTCTCTTCATACCTCCCTTCCTCTGCTTGCGGTCGGCCACAGTGTCCCTCAGAGACAGGCTCCTGTTGGCTTTCAGCACTGGTTTCCCGCTCTGTTTGCTGAGCAGTCTGCTGACCTTTTCCTGGAACGCGATGCCTCTCTTTGCCGCCATTAAAGCCCCTCTTCTCCTCAGTACAGCGAGGAGCTGCTCTACAGTGTTCTGGTATGTGGACTGCTCTCTGTGACCGACCACAGCGCTCACTCTGCGCTTCTTCTTCCTGCGCTGAGCTGCTCAGGACAGCGCCATGTTTTGCCGTAAGACGCAGTTCTGTCGTAAAACGGACGTATAGCAGTTTGTATCACAAGGAGCCACTGTCGCATTCAGGTGCAGTCCGACGGTTAAAGAAATACTCAATAACATGATAAACGCCTAACCCTACGCCTGCTACTGGTAGTAGTAATAATAATTATAATAATAATTACGAATCCTCTCCATAGTCAAAGCCCAACCTGAAGCTGGTAGATGGTAAAGATTCTATATCTTTGACAAATTCCAATCTGGTTTTCGCCAAAAACACAGCACGGAGACAGCATTAGTGACAGTGTCTAATGACATCCTTATGCATGCTGACAAAGGTGAAAGCTCCATCCGTATTCTTCTCAATCTGACTGCAGTTAGTGTTTACTGTGTTTGCCTACCAGTTCAGTGTACTCCTGTTTCCATGTCCAGTAATATTACCCTCCAGCCTTTCTTGTCAGATTGCCAAGCCTGTTGGCCAGCTCTCATCCCTGGATTCCCTCTGCCAAGCCTCCCCTGGATAACTTACCTTCACCTTAGCCTCAGCCTCCTGCCAGCCATCCACCATTCCACCAGTCCTTCCAGTATTTTCAATAAAACTTGTTTTGTGTTTTCAACTTATCTCCTGGTCTGTGTCTGCATCTGGGTTCAATATTAGAATTGTGACAGTTATTACTTTTAAGGTCATGCATGGGTTGACCCCTCCCTACATTTCTTACCTTTTGTCCCCCAACGAGCCAGGACACAGACTGAGATCCCTTTGTAGGGCGTTGCAAGGCCTTCCTAGCTCTAGGCTGAAAACCAAAGCAAGTAGGGCCTTTGCTGTCAGGGCCCCTACACTTTGGAACAACCTGCCAGAGTAGAACAGGCTCAGTTCTCTGTTTTATCTCACTTGTGAAGAAACATTTGAGCTTTTATGGTATTTTTTACTTTTATCTTATTTGTTGTTTGCATGTATATTGATTGTTGTAAAGCATTTAATCTGTATGTAAAAGTGCTATTCAAATAAAGCTATTATTATTATCATCATAGCCCAACACCCTGTGAACAACACAATGAAAAAATGCATCCCTTCCTCTTCAAATATCGCTTGAAGAGCCATTGTGAAGCTCAGTGTGGTCGGCTCTGGCAGGGACGCTGGAAGTCAGTTGTTTTGGGGGTGCTGAGTGAAAGTCAGTCTATATAATGATCATGCTAAATGCATAACATTGATTGTTTTTGCATACATTTGAATGGCTAGGATAATTTATAGCACATTTAATAGTTATGAACAACACCTAAAAAATCTAAATCAAATTCTTGTACCACGCTTTAAACCAGATAATTTCTGCTCTAAAGTTGAGCATTTTGATATGGGGCCTTATTCTATATAAAAAGAACAACAACAAATCAGCCCATTAGCAGTGCATTGTAAGCAGTTTATGTAACCAGATGTGTCCAACTAATGTGACATTGTGAGCCCAAAGAGGGAGGTTGTATCAACTGATGGTAAAAGTAGACTAATGCCTAAACTATGCCATTTTGATTGTACTCATATGTCAGATGTTGCATAGTGCTACCAGTTCACTGACAATGATAAAGAAGGTTGTGTAGAGTTTCCAGTGAAAAGGTCCTCTGCACTGTGTTCTGGCACCTGGCCTATGGCTACATGACATTCAGGGAGAATGCAGGGCAAGTCTTAACATCAGCCTGTTTCTGAGGGCATGTTCAGTGTGGATGCAGTGTCAGCATGTAGTAGAACTGGTATCATCAAATGAAATCAGGTTCAGCTTAATAATATCAGCTTTCAGAGGAAACAGCACTGTGTTACTCACATATCAGACTTTCCCACTTCAAACAGATATGTTAAGTAACAAAACTCGTGGGTCGTCAGTATATCAGATATCAAAAGGCCTCGCTGTTACAATACTGTAGATCACTGGTCCCCAGCTGTAGTTTAATGACTATACCAACTATTACATTCATTAATAATTACTGTACCTCTGTAAGAAAATAAAATAAGTCTATATTTAACCGGTGTTGTGCACGGCTCTCTACATGCTTCAATGAAATTGAGGCCCCGCGTTCACACAGGGTTGCTGCCAGTATACTTTATCAGAAGTGCTGGTCGGATCGGTCCAACAACTTCTGAAGCCACTCCTCGTACACCTTTCAAATGTCAGTTATTTTTTTAAACTGACCATCCATTATTGACCCTAGAGGACTGCATTTGGTTTGGGATCCTGCAGGTCCTGTAGCACCCAATGCAAATCAATAAAAACAGGTTCCTAGGATTTAGCTAGCACCAACCAGAAGGATGGAGACAAATGACACTGAAACTGGCTAACTGTAGCTAAGCTACGCTGGTGTTGTCCGACTGGCTGTGTCTTGGCTGTAAATAGTAAATGGACCTGTACTTGTATAGCACCTTTCTAGTCTTCAGACCACTCAAAGCGCTCTTACACTACGTGCCACATTCACCCTTTCACACACATTCACTCAGTGATGGCAAAGCCCATCGAACAGAAACTAACACATTCATACACATTACCGGGGGAGCAATTCGGGGTTCAGTATCTTGCAGTATACTTCGATATGTGGCAGTAGGAGCCGGGGATCGAACCAACAACGATTAGTGGACGACCCGCTCTGCCTCTGAGCCACAGTCGCCCACTGTGTGGTGTGGCCTGGCGTTGGTTGTTTGTGGTGTTGCCTGATTGGTGATTTGCAAACGTTGAGCTAGTTAGTAGCATGTAGTAATAAAATATAGGAACATTGCAGACTGTACAATATAATTGTAATTTCTCTTCCGGTATTCAGTCTAGTGTAAGTCACTTTTGACTGATGCCCAGGATAATGCAACAGCAGTTCACTTAACAGCCACTGGTGGGAGTATTAACAGGTTTCAAAAAGTCATATATACAACCTTTAACCTAAATAAATATGATTTATTTAGATGTCTGAAAAATGATTTTCTTCCAAAGGCACACAACCATGCTTTCATTTAAATACAATCTGGAAACTGTTTGTGTCCTCAGGTTCCCAGAGGTGAACACATTCCTGCCACTGTCTGCCTGGAAGCTGTGTGGTATTCTCTGTGTCTCTGCACGTTCTTCACCTGGAGGACATGTGCTGCACACAGCTGTCTCTGCACTGGGATAAATATGGGCTTGATTCTGGGCCAGCATCAGTTCATCCACAGCGATCCGACACCCAGGGACCATTACAGCACACACCACAGACCGAGCTAATTTCTTTTTCTTACCACGAGGTGTATGCGCACGTGACAGCAAAGCGTCAATGTGTGCCAAAGCTTTTATTTTCACATGCTCAACGGCAGAAGGAAAAAAAGAGAGGGCAGAGTCCTGAGTTGAACCTTTAACCTTCAAGACCTCTGACACACACACACACAGAAACACACTAAAAACAATTGAAGTCTTAAAGAATCTTTTGTGAGGATTCAAGTGGTCTGATAAATCATGCTGACAGTGTTTGAGCATTCTTTTAGATGTGCTGATGAAGCAGTTTCCTTTCCTGTTAACCCCCAGCTGAAAAATGCACTGCCACCTTTTACACATTACAGCCCTGAAAATTCTACTAGTTTTAACATGTCCAAAAGAAAAATCGATTTTTCAAAAGATCCAACTTCAACTCTGATATACTGAGAAGTCATGTAATATCTGACCTTTCCAAACAGCATTAGATAAAAGTTTATAATTCTACAGTTATGATCCACAAAACTAGTCGCTGATGAGTCAGGTTCCAACACATTCAAGATACTGTATGTCTATATAATTATGACATAGTTTTGATAATCTTCGTGTAAACAGGGAAAATGAGTGTCCCTGCCAACTATTCTTCTTCTAACCGCAGAACACAAAATACAAGCAGACTGACACACAACTCGGAACTTGTTGTGGGTTATCAACAGTTGGGCATGGTAAATCATTTCTGTAAGTTCTTTGTAACAGAAAGGCATGCTGGTTGACTGGGGACTGGTAAGTGAAAATGGATAGTGAGAAAGATGTGAGTGAGGAGAGTCATTGTTTTCATTAGCAGTTAAGAGTTGCATATACCTACAAAAATACAGTGCTGAAATTCACTTTCCTCACTAAGTAAAAGTAGCAATAACAATGGTGTGGCCGTTACCAACGGTTTTCTTAAAGTGACATATAGAGCCTTTAAATTTTTATTTTCACCATTTTTTACCACAAGCTCAGCCAATCACAACAAACAATGTCACACATGACAACAGTTACATTGAAAGAAGATCTAATTATGAAGAAAGGCTCCTCTGAGATTGTTGAATTATTGATGCATTAAGTCGAACTCATATTCTTTAAGAGAGCTGAAGTTACACTGTCCCCCACCTGTTTTTCCTGCTCCTCTGGATCAGGGTCTGATTGGTGACTGAGCTGGGAGATTGAGGAATGCCTTTTAGCATCTCAGCTTTGCCTTGTTTGTGTTTCCGCTTCTCCAGCTGTAGCATGAACTTTGACCCCTTCTGTCTTGTTTGCCTTCAGTGCTGCAGAGTCTGACTCCAGGTCTGAAAGCCTTCTGCAGATCTGCATATTTCCCAGCGCACTCTGTGGGAGGCCAGGCTGGGTCACTGCTGCTTTGTTAACTCTGACTTCTCCTGTAGAGACCAGACAAGCCTCAGCTACTGCTGACCAATATCTCAGAGAATATATGTTTGCCCCCCCAACTACAAACAAAAAGCAACTGTTGAATTTCTATTATTCGAATCATCTTTTTTTGGACAGTACATCCCTTTCTCTCTGCAGGGACAAAACATAAAGTGTGACCATTTTTACAGCTTCTGCTTTTTGTTTCCAACAGTCTCCGCCAACAATGGGGACGAGTTCCTGTAGTCTAGGCGCTGCTCAAGAGGGGATACTAAATCCAAGTTCCAGGTACTTTCATGGATAGCCAGCAGTTCTGTTATCCTTATTGGTTAAGCAGATGCCGTCAGAAAAAGTAAGACTACATAAAACGCAACAACAGTAATCACCATTTTAAAAGGAAAACCAATCCTTTAAAAAA